CATCATAATCTCCTTTCCACTATACCAATTCTCCGCCACTGCCACCACCTCTTCCGTGATTCCTTCTGCCCCTCGTTTCTCAAGCAAGAGCATCATAATCTCCTTTCCACTATACTGATTCTCCGCCGCTGCCTTCACCACCTCTTCTGTGATTACCATTTCTGCCTCTCGTTTCTCAAGCAAGAGCATCATAATCTCTTTTCCACTATAACAATTTCCTACCGCTGCCTTCACCACTTTTTCTGTAACTAGAACATTTTCCATTTTCTGATCCAACAAAAGTTTCATCATTTTCTGATTAAATGACCTTCCAACCCGTATTACATCCTCTTCACTCATTTGAATATCGTTTTCGATTCGATTCGCTAGTCTTATCATCATGTCTTTCATTCCTTCCCCCAAGTGATGTTCTTCCATATATACTATCAATAAATTTGCCATACTGCTCAACGTATCTTGATGGTAGTTCCCCTGCAGATCTTTTCTTATTTGTATTACTTGTGAAAAGAGATCGTCTGCTTTCGTCCATTCATTTTGATTCCCGTATATCCATGCAAGGCTTTCTTTTAATGCTAGGATATATAGATTCTTTTTTCCCAACACTCCCTTATAGTTCTTTATCCCTTTTCGGACTATATTTTCAGCGTTTTTGTAGTTTTTTATATTTCCCAAAGTTAGTGCTATATTAATTGATCTAACAGCTTTGTTTGTATCCGTCTTTAGATATTCTGGTACCAAAGTATTTATCTCCATTGTATCTTCATATCCTACTTGACCTTGCAAGTTCTCCAAGCTCTTTCCCCAGTTCCAGATAAGTAGAAAGTCACGTGGGAATTTCTGCATCGAAGGCAAGGGTTGTAGAGACTCAACATATTCGCTTTCTCTTGGTACGTGTTGTTGTAAAGTAATTGCAATGACGATAATAGCAAAATGATCCTTGTATGTTCTAATGATAGCTGGCTTTGAAGCCTCGTGTAGAAGGCAAACGAGGTCACCTTGTCGGATAGATTTTGCTGAAGCCTGGAGAGCCCATCGAGTGCCGTACTCTTTTTCGTACTGCAAGGATCGTGGCTGATTGTTGAAAACGATATTTATGTGCTGTTTGTCGTACCGAGCACTAGCAACATCTATAGCTATTGAGGATACATGACCAAGGACATAACCCTTGCTCTCAATTACTGCTATCTCCTTGTCCTCCCAAGTCTTTACAGATACCTCTTTGAAGAGTACTGATTTAACAAGTCGCTTCAGGGTTATCGCCCATGGAACCGTATAGTCAGGCGACAAGCCAGTTGGGTTGAGATTATCAGAACTCATGCTAAGCAAGGCATATATCTTATCATGGCGTTTAGTAGCCATATGGTTATGGTACATATCTATTAGCTCCCCTAGAGAAAGTGCACCTGATGGACTAACTGAATGTTTCGGCCGGAAGGTTGCTCCTCTTATTAGGTAGATCACTGGACGGATCAGATTTGGCAAGTCTGAATCATCTTCATAGAAAATCCTGCTGAAGCCTAAGGAAAAGGCATACCCGTCTACCATTGCAGAACCACACATTATGAGGATTTGTCGAGCCAAGCCAACCTCCTGAAGTACCTGCATCGAATATTGTTAGTAATTTCTTTGGGTGTCGTCGATGGTAAATTAACTTGCCCAAATACGCTGGAACCATGGTCGTTTGAGCAGTTCAAGAATTAGTCTCCGATCCATTTCATTGACTATTATATTCGGAGAATCACTTTCTGCAGCAACACGTATACCTTCGAGCGCTTGATCGCTATCATCTGCCGCCTCTCCGAGATAAACGATTACGCGATTTGCTTGACCAAAAATCTTCGCCATTAACTGAATCTGGCGACTCTTTTCTGTGTTATCTTCTTGATTGATACAAATAGAATCCACCCATATGATTCTTTCAAAAGTGCGATCTCGAAGATGCAACAATGCTGTATGAAGGTTCGCTGTGATTGGTAGAGAATGCTCGTTTATAAAGACAAACTTAGGCTTATCCGAGCTACCCCATACATAGGATAATGCTTCGTATAGATGAATCCCCTTATCCAATTCTTGAAGAGGATAGCTATAAAGTCGGCATTGTATTGGGGCGGCCTGGTCTTTGTTTGGCATTAGGCCGAGCAAGCGAATACTGTCAGAATCCAGTGAGTGTAGAGAATAACTGTACTGAGACATGATACAGGATGCAGGATACAATACCTAAGAGCTACGAGATTTTGGGATGATCGAGCTCAGTGTTGTTAAGTATCAATAGGCAGGCATTCCTCTATTTCATATATGGGGAAATATATGGAGCCTTATGCCTTAAACGATCACGCGCCACTACAGTGCGGCACAGCTAATAAAAATCGAGTATCCACATATGCTGGGGGAGGGGTAGGTAAACGCCCGCTTCCTTATGTCCTGATCCTACCCTGGACAACAATTAATTATTGGAGTTCTAATGCGTACAAGAACAGCATATTTTATTTATTCAAGTAAATGAATGGGGAATTTTTGGATATTCTTTATAAGGATAATTTTTTATGCTTCATCTACATTCAAAAAACGAATATTGTTTTATGAAAAACAGATATTTAATACTTGCTCTTACAGCCCCAGAAAACCGCGGTCCATCAAAAAAGGGCCCTATTTCTTGTGGCGCCATTAATCACCAGCACGATGTTCTCTCTCATAGTTTCGATGTCAAAATCGTTACCCAGACCAGGAGTGTATCAAGAGTCCCTGTCGATTAAATTCACGAACTTCGGGGTCTGGGTGTAATTGTGTGGTTGTGGTCTGCGATTCCCTTAAAATAAACAGGCCTAGTTTAGAACTCCCGCATCCTTAGCTCAGCCTTAAAGATATTTACATTCCCCTTCCACTTTGTTATAGCTAAATCAAAGGCACTTTACTCTTAAGCCTCCGGGGTCAATTGATATTCCAGATGGCATTTACATTATCTGCGAAGAGAGTAGTTGCTATTTTGAAAGCAAGCCAATAATCACCAGCCATCAAAGGCTTGCGAATCATGGAGAGAAATGCCTCATAGGCAGCAGCAGTAACATCAAACTTTCACAATGAACCAAAAGCTACAAAGGTAGACTGTTTGCTTATACAGTTAATTCAGTACCTAACGATGTTATCTGCATGTCAAAACAAAGCTTCGTCATAGCTCAACTTGTTGCAAAACAAACATTATACTTAGTAATTACTTATACACAATCACTCTTTGTATTTCGTGGAAGGAAGAGGATTCTATCTCTGCGATATGGAACATAGGAAGTACCTTGATTTTACCTTAGGAATCGTAGTCAATTCACTCGGAAATTCCGATCCAGAAATTGCATAAATATTATAGAATTAGGTAAGTGTTACATCGTGGTAACAAGAAACTCTCACGTGCAACCATTATCACGTGATTGTCTCAGTGAGGATCAGTGAGCTCAGTACTGAGCCGCATTGATTCTACTGAGCAGTCGGAACATGAAGGTCTATATAATCAAGATGGATTTCTTTACTGTAGAGCTTCGTGCTCAAGATCAATCATTTAGTATACTCTACTATTAGTTACGAATAGCATATCATTATCGTTGTTACTTAAGTCCCTGCCTGACGCCTAGTTATAAACCTACCTCGAGAGCCTGGAACACTTTCACGTGATCTAGACGGCTACCCTCGTAACAGTAGGGCGACTTTCAATATTTCAATGATAATAATCTCTTTGGGATCTTCAATACCTCCCATAGCGATGTCTCCGTCCTTGTCGGTACTTTCGGGAATGACCTAGTTGGCCGTAGCGGGGTTGCTAAGCTGTGGTGTCTTGGAAGACATGGTGTCGTTACTTCCGAGCCGGTACTTGAAGCGGTGCTCAAAGTGTTACGAGGATTCTAGAGGCTCTAATTATATTTCCTAGAGTCATCGGCTCTAGAGGCTCTAGTTAGATCCCTTAGAGTCGTCACGTAATCATCACATGACCCTCGGTGGTCCTTGATACCTGGCTTTGTGAGGTCTTGGCTTTATCATGTGACGAGCTATCCTGGTGTCGTATATTAACAATACGCTGGAAACAGAATCGAGAATCTACATCTTTCTCTTTGTGCTTTTGGACCTTCAATTCTAATAATGATTGCATCAAATGAAATAATTCTTAATATTTCTTTGTGCTAATAAAACTACCACATCACTACACAAGAACATACTGGAATCAAGGTGGCAAATAGAAAGTTTATATAATCATAGACTTCCCCCAGCCTCTCTATTGAAGAGAGAAAAAAATAAAAGGATATTATATTAAAGACACAAATAATGTAGTAATTAGTAGATATACTGAAACTGGTTTTTACTTAGATAATATAAAATTTGTTTCCATTTTCAAATTTCAAAAAGAAAATGCTACCATTGGAAAATCCCATAGCTACAATTCCTTTATAAAGCATAATACGAAAGGGCCGATAGTCTGAAGGTAGCCAAAGAATATTTCGCACTTCTCTATCTGATCTTTCAGTTATCCAATGATTTGATATAGAGTATTGTTGAAAGATTGAGGATGCGTCGAAATACGAATGACCCTCGAGCGTTTGAAGCGATTTGCCCGTGGTCGTATTCCAGAGCCGGATCGTCCGTTTGCCCGTGGTTGTATCCCAAAGCCAGATTGTACCATCACCAGAGCCTGAAGCTACCTTTGTACCATCTGGTGAGAAGGCAAGTGAAGTAACCCAACCCGAATGATCCTCGAGCGTTTGAAGCGATTCGCCTGTCGCTGTATCCCAAAGCCGGATTGTACGATCATGAGAGCCTGAAGCTACCTTTGTACCATCTGGTGAGAAGGCAACTGAAGTAACCGGATCCGAATGACCCTCGAGCGTTTGAAGCGATTCGCCTGTCCCTGTATCCCAAAGCCGGATTGTACCATCACCAGAGCCTGAAGCTACCTTTGTACCATCTGGTGAGAAGGCAAGTGAAGTAACCGAACGCGAATGACCCTCGAGCGTTTGAAGCGATTCGCCTGTCGCTGTATCCCAAAGCCGGATTGTACCATCACCAGAGCCTGAAGCTACCTTTGTACCATCTGGTGAGAAGGCAAGTGAAGTAACCCAACGCGAATGACCCTCGAGCGTTTGAAGCGATTCGCCTGTCGCTATATCCCAAAGCCGGATTGTACCATCACCAGAGCCTGAAGCTACCTTTGTACCATCTGGTGAGAAGGCAAGTGAAGTAACCCAACCCGAATGACCCTCGAGCGTTTGAAGCGATTCGCCTGTCGCTGTATCCCAAAGCCGGATTGTACCATCACCAGAGCCTGAAGCTACCTTTGTACCATCTGGTGAGAAGGCAACTGAAGTAACCGGATCCGAATGACCCTCGAGCGTTTGAAGCGATTCGCCTGTCGCTGTATCCCAAAGCCGGATTGTACGATCATCAGAGCCTGAAGCTACCTTTGTACCATCTGGTGAGAAGGCAAGTGAAGTAACCGAACGCGAATGACCCTCGAGCGTTTGAAGCGATTCGCCTGTCGCTGTATCCCAAAGCCGGATTGTACGATCATGAGAGCCTGAAGCTACCTTTGTACCATCTGGTGAGAAGGCAAGTGAAGTAACCCAACCCGAATGACCCTCGAGCGTTTGAAGCGATTCGCCTGTCGCTGTATCCCAAAGCCGGATTGTACGATCATGAGAGCCTGAAGCTACCTTTGTACCATCTGGTGAGAAGGCAACTGAAGTAACCGGATCCGAATGACCCTCGAGCGTTTGAAGCGATTCGCCTGTCCCTGTATCCCAAAGCCGGATTGTACGATCATCAGAGCCTGAAGCTACCTTTGTACCATCTGGTGAGAAGGCAACTGAAGTAACCGAACGCGAATGACCCTCGAGCGTTTGGAGGGCGGTACTCCAATTTGATCGTGTCCTTGATATTTTATAAATCCAACTCGGAAAATATTCTTGAAATGTTTTTCGAATAATACTATTCTCTGGAGCAAAAAAAAGAGCTGAGCAATAAATTTGAAGAGGAGCTTGTTCAATTCCTATTCGATTATAAAGGACAAAACGTTTAGCGTCATATATGAGAGTATAGAGTCCAGAACCTTTGTTATCCTTTATTATCTATTAGCTGAATTCCTAAAAGAACTACCAAATAGTATTGACACACTGGAATATAAGACTCTAAAGAACTTATTGCGTTGATGCTCTCTGAAGTTTTCCCCATCAAGCTCATAACCTCTAACCAATGCAGCAAATGCTTTTTGAGGAATTTATAAATATTACCGTTATCTTGAATATATTCTCTGTTTTGTTCAGGATCCCCATCTCTTAAATGGTTAATCCAGTAAATACAGGAATACCGTATAGAAGCTAATACATCGGGATCGAGCTGTTTGACTTTATCAATAGGAAAGCCGGGATAACCCAAACTGTATATATCGCGTTTTAAAGTATTGCTCATAACTGTTATCGAATTTAGGAGCGCTTTATTATGAACTTTCCCAATTCCATCAGGAAATATTGTTTTAACAGCCTCTTTAGAAAGGAAATCCTTTGCTGATTGGTGAACAAAGAATACATTCCTATTACGAACAACCAGAAAGGAACCACAAAGTTGTATCATCTCTTCTAGCGGAATCTCATTATTCAACCCGATTAGGGACACTAATTCGTCAAGCGTAACAGGCCGATATGCTATTACTACAATAGCCAGGATCTGACGGCATAGCTGAGCTGCCTCGATATCTTCCATATATACTATCTGTTCCATCATACGATTATATAAAGGATCAAGTTCGGAAGGGTAATCTTGTAGCTTTGAATTCGTGAATAATCGAGCCTTTTCAAGATTTTGACAAACTAAAGCCACCCAAAGAAAAGTTCCATTTGCATGTTCTAGGAAATAACGTTCGATAGTGTCCTTTGTCTCCGTTGTGTATTTTTTTTCCCCCCCAAGATATTTCACCTTCTCTCGGATATACCATCTGACAGCAGCAGATACTGATTCAGCATTCAACTCGAGACTGAGCCGGGTTCCCTGCTCGGCATGTTTTAACTGCTCTTCGATTTCGGGCCAGTTCCGACTAGAGACAAGCCATTTTACACGAGAATAAATGGATAAGCCCGAAACAATTAGGCGGAGTAATTGTGGCAGGTCTTTTTGGCATTCGTCAAGTGCATCAATAATCAGGATCGTCGGCTTCAAATTCTTATCATGCAAGATATCCTTCAAAATCTCAGAGAGTGCTATAAAGGTATTAGCATCTTTGAACAACTGTTCCCCTGCCTTCTCATATCTCTTTTGTAAATGCGAGAGAAGGGCAGGCTGCCCATCTAGAAGCATATAGATAAGGCCACGTAGAACAGCTACAGCACTATTAATGCGTACATCAGTGCCTTGGCAAAAGAAATAGGCTAAGGCGGTCTCATCCGATCTCTGCAGCTCATTTATTATACCACAAAGCAACATGGTCTTGCCCTTGCCAGGATCTCCTTTGATCCAAAGTAGGCGATTATCTTGGTTGAAGCGCCATTGTTGAAAATCACTATTCTCCAAAATCCAATTATATACATTATCGAGTAGTCCTCCTTTAGTCTCTTCGATACGTCTCTTGTCTAATTGTGGATCGGTGGTTCGTAGGTCAATTAGGCAGCGGTTTTGCAAGGTGTGAGTATTGATATTAATAGACCCTCCTCTAGTATTAAAGTTTGGTGCATTGAATTGTAACCCGCCCGCATTTGTAAAATTGCCTTGTAGGTCATTCTGTATGCCGGGTAGACCTCGAATTTCGTGTTCGCGGAGTTGTGAATTGAATGTGGTGGTATTCTCTATGGAATTTTCATCACGGAGGGATATATTCTAATATTTTATGAAATTAGTATTCGTATGTTAGAGAGGGTGTAGACCCTTGCCTTATTCAAACTCAGATTGCGAATAACTTGTCGGAGGACGCCCAGAATAGCACGATATTGTGACTCTGCTCTATTACTACATCTTGCCATTTCCATGTGGTTTGCATCGATACTCTCAACCGTTTCAAGGGTGTGTGGTAAATCGAGTTTTGAAGAGAAATCGTTAACTATCTGTTGTATGATTGCGTTAATATAAATGCAAAAATATAAGATTATTTGATCATTTACTTTACCACCCGATGTTGCCTGTGCTTCTTGAAATGAATGAATCTTGATATCATACTCGTATACAATCGTTTTAAACCCTTCATGAATATTATCGAGGACCTCGCTATTCACCTCTAATGGTTCCAGAATCTCCCTATCCGAGTCTCGTAGGGCTAGTCGAGCAAGGTTTGATGCGATTTCGCCCCATCCAGCATATGTGCTCCCTCGATGTGGTGTCCCAAGAAAGATGACTGATTTGGTACGCTTGCGAACTGATTGAGATTTGTGTATCGCCTTAGTTCAAAAGTTAATGTTTATTACTGATCATTAATTTCAAAGCGAACTTACATCCTTCACGATAATGCCACCTAAACTATGTGCTACAAACACAAAGGAATCCTGAAATCATCGTTAATATCTTTTCACATCTTATAAAGCAATTATAGTATAATCCACCTCATTTTTGATCTCTCTCTCAATCTTCACTGCAAGATCTCTGCTATGCTGTAACACGCTATTCTGATTGTTGGCCTGGAACAAACCATCAATCATGTCTGCATTGTATCCATATGTCCATACTCTAGCTTCATGTATATCCTCAACAAGGTAATCTTGAAGCCAAAATACTTTGCATATATCAGATAAACTTTTGCTGGCAGTAGACGATCCGGAAGGCTTAGAAGGCTTAGACTTGAAGAGGGATGAGAAAATTTTTCGTTTGCTCGACACTGCAGAAGCCGAGTTTATATTTGTATTGGACACTTTTCGGCTAGACTCCCATGTATATCTTGGATGTCCCCTTAAACCATGTATGAAAATGATACTATAAGAGAGAGTTAATTATGTTGCACAGTTGTGTTGCAGAAATAGAAAATGGAAGGTGGCTTGAGTGAGGACTTACTTGACCCGATAATCTTCAATCCTAGCATTGTTGTTGTCCGACAGTTGAGTAAAGCCAAGACGGCGCACGTCCATTTTCCTTAATGTTCGAGTTGTGTAGATATGATATATATTGTGTAGATATTAGTTGGAGTCGTTCAATGAAGCTTTGAGGCTCCCCACTTGGTATTATGTTAGCTTGGTATCAACGCATGGACCATATACAGCCACATCCCATCCGATAAGCCTCAGTAGGCAAGTTCATACTTCCAGCCTTGTGAAGCATTCAATCTTCCATCTCAGGATGTAGATAGAAACACAATCATGTACAGATTATTAGCAGAATAAAACAGTTCAATAAGGCAGACGCACTAGTGGAATATTTTGTTATGCATCATACAATAATCGGTGCCAATTACGACAGTCTCTGGCGACGGCTGTCGTTCCTACCCTTACCCCATCTGTACCGCGACCGGTTCGAGTTCCTTTACAGCTTTTGCCTGCTATTCCTCCCCCGACCCCTCCAGCCTCAGGCTTTTTTCCCCCCCAACAATGGCAATGGATACAAGATTTTAACACTCAGATGGACGGGACTCACATGGAGACGATGTGTAGTCGGTGCAAAGAGCGGTGGTTTTTAATGGATTTAAAACGTGGCGTTTGCCATACCTGTTTCTTGAGAGATAAAGAAAGACAGACCCCCTATCTAATGTCTATTTCCCCTTCCCTTTTTCTTTATCATTATCTGTAGATTCGAAGTAATTGATTAAATCCTTTCTAATGATGATTCTTTAAAAATTCATTGGTCCACCACCCGAATTGAAATTACCACCATTAAATTGCTTTCCACCTTGAGTAGAAAAATGGCCGGAAAAGATGGCTCCTCCACCACGACTGTTACTTTCATATCCATCTCCATTCCCACTCCCACTCCCATTCCCACTCCCACTCCCACTCCCACTCCCACTCCCACTCCCACTCCCACTCCCACTCTTGCGACTAGCTAGTTCTTGATGTGCATTCTCACAAAGATTGGTGATGACATCAGAAAGTTCTCTCCAATTTCCATCCTTAGGATCGGAAAACTTATTGAGTTGGTAGTGATCGAGTGGCAGGCCATATCGTTCACAGCCATCTAAGATAGCTGACTTTTCATCCACAATAAAATCCTTATAATCATCGCCGAACATTTTGGATACCTTGGAGCTTTTTTGTTCAAAAAAGCAATGTACTGGAATATTCTTTTCATGAGCCACCATTGAAAACCCTTGTACTGCATCCAATACCATTTCGTTATTAGCTTCTAATGCGATTAATGAGGCTGCTTCTCCTGCAGCACCAGCACGGATAATTCTTTGCAGAAGTTCGCTCGAGGTAATATTATCAGTGCCTCTATGTGGTGTCCCCAGCAATATAACCCCTATCGTAAAATCGAGTATTTTCGACATTTGAGGTTTGATCAAAGCCTTCATCTGAAGTTAGTAACAAGTAAATTCATAGTTTGCTAACCAAAATACCTTTTCAATCACAAGACCACCAAAACAATGCCCAATAAACACTAATGGTCGTGAAGAACAATTCTAGCAATCATTAGCCTATAACATAAGTCACATATGGTACATTACCCTTCTTTACCTTTCGTTGTCGCAAAATCTTTCGTCTCAAATCATCCGCAACATGGTCAAGACGAACTTTGATAGCATTATCGCCATACCAGTTACTATCATAATTGAAGGCCATTATTCGGGCATTGGTGATATCTGCTGGAAGCATTGTTGGATCGCTTAACCAATTAACGCGATCCTCAGATTTATTCGTCGGAACAGACGGGTGTGCAATGCTAGATTCGGTATTACGATCGATATGTTCTTGTGGCCTCCGTGCTTTGGTCCAGGTCGTCATTGGTGTGGCCCCAAGTCCATGAACAGCCACTATACTTTATAAGAGTCAGTATTCGAAGATAGTATTATCCGAAGGTAAGATGAAACAAATAAGAGTACATACTCAACAAGAGGGCTTTCGCAATCGACAAGTACATGGATTCCCAAATCTTGCGGATCAATCTGCCTTGGCATCTTCAAAGTTTCCATCTTAGCTTTGCCTTCTACGTTTCGCCTTGGGGTTTTTGGTGTATAACTATATAAGAAAAACAACGATTGATTGAGCAATCACGAAAAGATTGGCATACCTCAAGAGAAGTATCGATTATTATGCCCTCAAAAATTTCTTGAGGATAGATTTCCAACAAGAAATAAGAAGGCTATGTTGAGGCTGTATTCTATGTGCTGTTCATATTCAATTGATGCGATTGGAGTATTAGTTATGCAAGCTGACACACTTTGGGCAGGCTATAACGCCGAGGCAGACACGATGCTATGGTGCATATATGTACTCGGTTTATATACGAAACCCACTTTCAGCGTGAATTTGGTATATTCAACTTAACTATTACCCCCTCAAGCACTCCTGGCACATTCTTCTACATCGTGAATATTACACTGAGCTCAAATGCAACGATAAGATAACCAGCAATATGAGTATCAGTCCAACATCGCTAAAATACCCATTCGAAAAAGAGCACGAATTGCATAATGGACTACATAATCCAAATGAAGCTCAGCGACTACCTGGCTATCCTCAAATTTTGCTTCAAGATACAATGGAACTGGCAACCTTTATATCCAAAGATCTTCGTACACCAATATTAGAGAAAATCTCCCCTCGTCTATGGTGGATGTCCACACAATCAAGCGCACATATTGGACCTCTTCATCATCAAGGTGTTAAATTACGCGATATCGTCATTTCGGAGAATCCTGAGCTTCATCTGATTTGGTATTACGACAAGATCTTCATCAAACCTGTACCAAAATATTTATTATCTTTCGATTTCTGGCATACCTATCTCATATCACCAACTTCACCCTTGGGCTCAGAGAGAGAGATTATTAAACGCTCAGCACTCGGCTTTCTTCGTACTTATCGATATCTCGTACAGTATGAATCAGATTTCAATATTGCTATAAAAAGGAGGCTTTTACCGGAAGCAACGACATGGGAATCCTTCTCCAGACTTGTTTCAGATCTCCGCAGAATCGATGATGGCGATGTTACGGGACGTTATGCATTTGGGGAGATACGCCTCTCAAGATTGAATTTTTATATTAAGATTATTCTCGGGAAAAGCACTTTTCATAAAGTCTATGGCCAATATGGTGCTTATTTTGGACGTTTTTACGGTCCTGTTTTGTTCATTCTTGGAATAGTATCAATTATCTTGAATGCTTTGCAGTTGGAAATGGCTGTAGAATCTCTTGATAGTACTCGATGGCAAAGCGTTCGGGATATAAGCCGATTCACTAGTGTTCTAGTAGCAGCTATACTTTGTGGGATTGCATTCGTGTTATTTTTACTACTTGTATTACGAATCGCAGCGGAGTGGTTTTATGCTTGTCGTGATCGGAGACGGCAAAGGCGAAAACTTGATCATGTTCTTTAAACATTTTCGATGCCGACCAAGGGGAGATGGTTGAGACAAGAGGAAGGCTATCACCTTGATCCAGGCCACAAATCTATAAGTTTTGGGGTTATATATGCAGCTTTAGTCCTAAAAAAAATAAAACCTCAAACTGGTTTTCATGTGACCACTTTGCTTCCGTCAACCCAGTCAGAAAAGACACGAAAATAATTAAACTCATAGTGCCGGTCATGTCGTTCAATTGGCTTCTATGATGAACTCCATCGAAATCACAATCAAGAAATCATCCCCTAGGAAAACGTTACCAGAAAGGATATCAAGCAACGATCATTTGATGCATACTTTGGGCTTTAGATTCTAACCGTGTGATTTTCTCTATCATACTATATTTACAACATAAATACAATGATGCCTGAAGAGGCAGAGGCGCCAGATCGCGACGTTTTTGCCCGTCTGCGGTTTTTTGACGGTCACATTACTGGATTGTGCCCTTTACAATACTACAAATAGCTGGGAATAAGGGACATCACCATCATTACGACAATCGCCACAAAATCATCTCTTTAGAGAAGTTCTTTAGGACATCGGGCGTGATTTACCAAATTTCGATGTTTGTGCAGGAGTTTGTGTGTCGAAAGTCTTCGGTCCAAGGTTTATCATACAAGAAATGCACCTTTTTTTTTCAACTCGTTTCAAACAACCAAGAATGATTCCTTCTACCGCTTGTCCCACTTGTTGGACGATGCCTGGTCCAGAATGGCCTACAAACTCATATAATTCGACCGCCGTGAACATTCTGTTACAACGGTAACAGCTGACTTATCAAGAGCCCGAGTCATATGCAAGAAACACGTGGCTTGGATCCTTTGGAGCTTAGGATCCAAGAATCCAGTAAGTACGAAGGTCTATATAACCAAGTTGGATTTCCTTACTATAGAGCTTCGTGCTCAAGATCAATCATTTAGTATAATCTACTATTAATTACGAATTGTAATCATTCATTGTTGTTACTTAAGTCCCTGCTTAACGCCTAGTTATGAAACCACCTCGAAAGCTTAGAGCACTTCCACATGATCTAGACGGCAACCCTCGTAACACTCCTGCCTCTAAGTCTGTATCTTTAACAACAACTGAAAATTTCGGTTTTTGAGCTGTCAAACTGGGATAAGGGTCGTGTAATGTGACAGCAGTTAATAGCCATTCCATTTTGCTGATTTGCGACATTCCAAGCGAGCCGAAATCATGGATCAAACACCGTAAACTGCCGTTGATACTGTATATACCAAATCTTGAATTGTGGTAGACACCGTAAGATTGATGAAGGAAAAAAGAAGGTCGAATGGGAACTGGTAGCCCATTCGTGGTACGAAGTCCCGTTTCTCATTCTCCGGATTTGCTTCCCAAGATTCGCTTCTCAGGATTCAACGGTAGGGGGCGCCGAATTCCAACCCCACACAATTGCATAAAATATCGCCTAAACGGTATAGTCTTTGGGACCGACTTGTACGAAAACAGAGAAATATAGAACATTATTACGGAATTCGAACCATCGTTTTTCGGGCGATATTGACAAGCAACTCTCTGCGTCGCAGAGGGTTGTTTAATACCACAAAACATCGTATAAAAGATGTTACGACCACGGACCTTATACTAACCGATCGTGTGCTTACGAGATACGATTTGAACGATTTAGTATGGGATTAAGGTGGTGTGGGGAACAAATGTGCACAAACCCTGTTAAGCTTGGATCCGGATCAATAACAAATACAGAACCATATGATTAGAGGATCATATGATGGAGCATTGGAGGTTCGAAAGCTCTATGGCTCCTAGGTACGAAAATCTATATAGCCAGGAAGGATTCCTTATTGTAGAGCTTCGTACTCAAAATCAATCATTTAGTATATTTTATTGTTAGTGTTACGAGGGATGCGATCTAGATCATATAAAAGTGGCCTAGATCCTCGAATGGTTTATAACTAGGCGTCAAGCAGGGACTTAAGTAACAGCAGTAATGGTAGTAGAGTATACTAAATGATTGATCTTGAGCACGAAGCTCTACAATAAGGAATTCTTCCTGGCTATATAGATTTTCGTACCTGGGAGCCATAGAACTTTCGAACCTCCAATGCTCCCTTGGAGCGTAGGAACCTTCGAACCTCCAATATATAACCCTGTAATTATTATGGATCCAAGCTTAACAAGGTTTGTGCACATTTGTCCCCCACAGGTTGTACGCTTTTAACCATGGTATCCCCAAAATGATCTGTTGATTCCTTAATAAAATAATATCGAACTGGATAACCTTCTCATATTGGATTATACTTATTTGTATTAAACAAATCTCTTACGAAATCTTACCATCCAATTCTGCTAGTTATCCATCAATTAGTTGTAATTGGTATGAGGTCTATTTCATTTCAAGGTGTATCCCCAAATACTTCACAATTCCTAATGCAATGAAATTTCCAGTAACTCCTGAATTGATCATAACTCAGATTTTTCGTCCATTTATCTTGGTATTACAATAAATCTGTCCTGCCTGACCTGCAATATTTAATTGTCCTTGATCTATAACCTCGTTTTGGTTAATTTGGTTAATTTGGTCAATTTGGTCAATTTGGTCAATTTGGTTAATTTGGTTAATTTGGTCGATTTGGTCGATTTGGTCAATTTGGTCAATTTCGTGTAATTGACCATTTTGATGACCACGTGACGAATTTTTTTCTGACCTTCCCTTCTCCCGCGGCTTTCCTGCTTTTCTTTGGGGAAACCATCCTGTGGCTTCTTTATCTGATAGATGAATTCTACACAAATCTTTATAACAAGATATCCAGCTCATCGTCGCATGTCCTCCCGACAGTATCTCTTTTGGATTTTTCTTGATCAAAGAAGGTGATAGGGTTCGGAGACGCTCCAACTCATATCGGTCTATAACGTTCAACCCTTCCTGATCTTATAGCATTGCATCAATTTCTTTTTGGCGTTCTTCAATTAAATTTGAAGTATATAATTGAAATATAAGGATAGTATTGAATTGGTTTTTACCAAATCTACTTTTCTTATGATAACTGTTACAAGGTAACAGTCAACCTGTCCACATGAGCTTAGGCCTTATCGAAAAGCAAGTCAATTTGTATACAAATTTGTATGGTAATTGACTCACGGGGTCTCCCCACCCTCAGCAAGCTTGGACATATGGTCTGGTCCTAGTCACGTGATGGATCATAGGGATCTAGGGAGCTAGGAAATCATACTCTAGATCCATTAGATCCATTAGATCCAAGGGATCCCATCGATACGAAGGTCTATATAAATAAGGAAAGGATTCCTTTTGTAGAGCTTCGTACTCAAGATCAATCATTTAGTGTACCTTACTATTAGTTACGAATTGCAACCATTGATATTATTTTAAAGCCCCTGCTTGACGCCTAGTTATAAACCATTCGAGGATCCAGGCCACTTCCACGTGATCTAGATCGCATCCCTCGTAACAATAACTTCCTTATTTCTACGATTTCTTGTTTCAATAATCTCTAGATTGATAATTGGATTTATTATATCTAAAGCAAAGTTTATTCCTTCATCTTCGATCTACCTCTTCTTTAAGTAGTTTGCTTTTGAAGATTACATCTAATTGTATTGGATCTCTATAAGATTGTTGATAATCTCGAGATTTTTCTTCGTTTTTATAATATTTATCACAATCTCGATTCCTGTGAGAGTTGAAGGATCGACACTCTTTTTGGTATTCATAAAGCATCTCATCTGCTTTGACTGATTCTTCAATTAATTCGTTTAGATCCTCCCAAATACAATTGCGATCCAATTCCAATCTAACTTCCGCCTTGAGCCCTGTCACGGATCGCGAACTATAAGGATTATCACGTGATTCCTTTACTTATGCACCCGAGATCAGATTTACCCATTTTAGTACGGGAATATGGTGACCTTAAGATCAAATGTGCACAACCCTGCAGCGCAATACACATCCGATGGATCCCAGGATATAAAGATGTAGCAGGAAACAAAGCAGCAGACAAGATAACCAAGACAGACACAGCCCTTCCACAACCCGAAGGAGCCTACTCATATACAGGATTTAGAAGAGAAACTAAGGGTCTTAAACAAAAAGCAATCAACAGACTATAATCGATAATGATCCCTCAATTATACAAAGATCTGAAGATACACTCATTACCAAAAAAACCCTAAAGAACTTTCTCTATCTAAAAGCTTCCTAGAATGCCTATTAGCTATCCACTCTGGACACAACGATTTCGCAACATACTATAAACATTTCCACCACCAGGATACCTATACACTGTATAGATATGGAACTCGCAAATCCCTACTACACTTCTTCTTTTGTCTTATCGTCAAGAGAAAATACCCTCGACCAAAAGGTAAACCAAGTAACCTCATACCCTTTCTTTACAGTATATACAAAGGAATAAAAGCGCTTGCAGAATAGACTAAACAAAACGACTTCTTCAAGGAGATATGCCCCCGTCACTATCCCCGAGGACCCTATACCTAACCCACACCCTCTATGGGCTACGAAAACCCCATAGGCTAATAAACTACCAAAAGATCGTTTCCTTTCCTTTCCTTTGTAAAATTTCCCGTTATAAAATCTTCTCTGTTTATCTTAAAAAGAAAACTATATATAAGAACACTAAGAAGGTCATAGGGTTTAGGCGGACCGACTGCAGCTTGGCAGATTTCCATCTTATATAATCTTTCCCTTAAGGAAAGAACGTTCATGTTCCAAGATTACAATAGTTATGGAAATGCGCTTAAGAATCGTTCAATCACTAGAAGATAGCTATTTGTACATAGATATTAGTCACCCAGGAGTAACTCCCTGGCGGCCTTTGCCCCAATAGGGAATGTCACGAGAATGGAGGGGCTTCGCGCCCTCGGCCTCCGGCCGTTAAATAATAACAAACAAACAAACAAACAAACAAACACACACCAATCGATCTCAAGGTTGATCGACTTCTCGAAAGTTGGTTGGCTTTTGAATCAGGTGATATTTGTCACGTAATTCTTATTAGCTAACAGTCACATGGTGTAGGATATGCTACGCCGTCGTAACAGCTCGGTCTTATTTTCAAATATGTCATCTATGGGGGATTGATACTGGTATTCTAAAAGACGACCGAAAATACGTCTATAACGAGCACAGTCCCCGGAACGGGGCACTCCAAACGGACAGGATTCTGAGGCACGCAATTCATCACATTCCCAGAAGAGCTCTTCTTGTGCAAAAATGAAGAATTCGTGGGCTTAGAAAGCGCTATGCTAGCTTATTAGAATGGTAGAGTAATTGTTTGTTTTCGGCTTGAATATAGACATACCTCTTGAACAATCCAACCGCGTTCGCTTACAGGGGCATCGGTGATACTCAAAGCCAGGTATCGTCTCTATCATGAATGTCATAAAATTTTAAATCTCTAGACTGATACCCCTCCGATTTAGGGTTCGGTTTGAGAGTCAAATGCCTGATGGTGCCGGGAAGGGGAGTTAGATTGTGAACAATTTCTACTCGGATCGGCAGACGAAAGTCTAAATTGCGATCAAAGAAGCATCCCACAGTATTGTCATTTGCTGCTGTGGCACTAATGGTACACTGAGAATATTTATAAACTTCGCTCGTTAGCGAAGCTTGCTCATACCAATCGTCTCGAGAGTCTTATAATGCATAACGAATCGACCCAGATATATTTGAACCCCAGTTTTTGACAAATAGTAACCGCGTGATGGAACTTTTTCATGGATTTGAGATCAGGCATCTCTCGTGTCCAAGAAGTGATATTTTCTTTCGTTAAGATCAATCTCTGGGCTTCTGGGATGTCGCCCCAACAATAAGACAGCGTGGTGTACTTCACTCCTATAGGGATATCACTCCATGAATGCAGGATTAGAGTATCCACGTATTTGATATAAATCAAGCGGCTCGGTCGCCAATCTTTCAGTTCCAGAGGATAGGACAATAGATCATTGCACTTTTGATGCGAAGTTACACATTTATTCAGCCAGTGATTGGCGAGTGCAAAAGAAGCCTCACTACCTGTATTAAAAGTTTCGTGAAAGCCAAGAACTGAAAGTCGATCTAAGATAGTAGTTGATTAGCATGCTTTAGAGAAACTCCAAAATCACTGGCTAACTCTACCTTTAGACGGTTCAACTGTTACAAGGTCACAATGTAAAATGGAAGCCCCTTTTGACGATTATCTAAGATTAAGTTCAATAATCCATTTTGCAGCTGTATCTATTTGAGTATACTGCCAGAGGCAAGCCAGTCTGAAGTCTTTGTACCCACTGCCATGGAATTGCACTTTTGCAAGATAATCTACCTTTCTACAAAGACGAAAACCTATTGAAACCGCGTCTTGGAATGCGTCATAAGAAGCATGATGTTCGAACACCCGTTGCTCAAAATTTGGCTTGCAATTTTCTTCCAGTTGTATGCGCAATTGGTCGACGTTCTCCCTTATTGCTAGAAATAGATCTGTACAAATTTTGCAGAGCATCCTAAAAAGAATATTTGTGATAGCAAGGAAATGAAGGAAAATGGATTTTGGTGCGGGGTTTTCCTGTAAAAGCCAATCTAATATATCAGGTGCGCGTGTAGGTAATCCGAACAAGGCTCAGAAGAACCTTTCTTAATGGGAAGGAGAGTCAGGGGTGATATCCACGCTCTTCCATTCAACCCTTGTAGTTTCTTTTACCTTAAAACTGACTTTCAGCTGTATCGGAGACATCTAGACGGTCAGATTTTAAGTGAAGACTTCTTTTAACTCGAGAAAGCTCAAGTGAATACCTTTCTTTTTTAAACAATAGAAATATATATACATTCATTAGGCAATTAAGTAAACCAACCCATCATTTCATTAATCATTTGACCTCTGAATGCATTCATAATTACCGAGTTCATTAACCACCAAGCGCCAATAATTCTCCATCCACAACCGATCATTCATCCATTAATCTCATCGCATTCCTGTCTTACCCAAACCTACGACAAATAACTAAGTATCATATATATCGTACCTCCCTCTATTAAGATACTAAGACATCTCTTCGTTCACCTCGAGCTCGACAAAGGACTAACAGGACTAACCGGACTCACGACCCCCTCATTACCAGAACTATTTCCTGCATTACTCCCAAGAAATCCTCTAATTCTTTTCTCCGCCTCTCTAACAGCCGCACTCTCATCCATTCTCTCCATTGGACTCCTAAAGCTTTTCGTTTGTGACACCGGAGGTGGTATCGAAGTGGATAGTGGGGAGAATGATGTTTGTTGTAAGTGGAACGACGTCTGTGATTGGCACAGAGGCTTTTGATATGCCAGTGCAGGATTCGAAAACGTGTATCCCTTTGGTGCTCCTCTGGGTAGAGAGCTATTCCTCGTGGGATAATCAGCAGAAGCCTGAGGTGTCGCCACAGGATTTGAGCCCGAATATAATAATGAATTACTCCTCGAAATTGTAACTACTTTTGCCATTCCTCTAAGAGCTGTGGGGCTTGGTGGTTGCGGTGGCATCTGTGCTACTCGTTCTCCGGAAAAAGGAGTTCCGAGGTCGGAATGAGAAGGGACCCGTTCACGTTCACGGTCAGATAAAACCGATGAAGAAGGAATACCTGAACTCTCTGTTGTGATTGTCTTTATAGTCGAGGCGCTTCGAAAAGAATGATTTATACGCGTAAGAGTAATAGGAGCCTTGATGTCTGAATGTTGGCTGTCGTTGCGTGTAGAATCAGGACCCAGGGCCAAGAAGCCGACTTCGCGGCCCGGGAGACTTTTCTGCGGATTTTGAACTTTTGTCAATGAAACACTAGTTGTTGCATTAGGAGTGATTTCGATAGGCTTACAAGCCATGCTGCTCGTCTTTGTACCCGTCGCTCCGCTTAGGCTGGTGTTTCGCTGTGAAGCCGGTTTCAATGTACCGGGGCCCTCGTAGCCGGGCAATTCGGCAACGCTACCTCGGGAGCGTTTGGCTTTGAGAAGGTGCCAAAAGCGATTTGATTTATCTTTGAAAGTAGAAGCTTTAGTATCCATCCACGTATTTGGATGAGTTGGTGGTGGGGGAAAGAATGGAAGAATAGACCCGTCTGGATCTATCTTTTCGGTTGGTGGACGTCGGCGTCGATGTCGAATAATGAAGAAGAGGGAGAGAACGATGACGGCAGCAACACTTATCGCGACCGGAATAGCGATAACTATTTTCTTATGAGTATTGGTTGTGGACGTCGGAGTTTGTGTTGGCGTCTCGGAAAAGGACTGAGGAGAGGCAGATTCTGGTGTGGAGATTATGGTTGTTACAAGAGCCGATGGCAATGTAGATGGAGAGGTTGTGGGTGTCAAAGGCAGATTTGTAACGAGCACACCATCAGTTGGATTATGAATCGCCCCAGAAGTTGTGATTTGAGCGGACGACAAGGAATGTATGCTAGCCATAGCTAAGGATACTTGGTCCTGCGATTCGTCTCGAATTAGAGAATCTGGCCCATCTGTGCTATCGCGCTCGGCATTTGCAGCGCTGATAGCAGGGCTAAAATCTTCTCCTGTCATGTTCGCGAGGGAGAAGCGGGGTGAGAAATTGGTAAGAACGGGGATGGCGTCTGATGGATAGATGGAGATGTTAACAGGATTTGATTGAATGCCGAAGAAACTGAAATTCGTCAAAACGATGATTTAAGTTTTGAAATAGTGACTGCTTACTATGAGTTGTTTGCATTAGGTCCGATGTTTGAATCGAGGTGTATAGTTGCGTTGTATGATCCGACGGGGATAGCCCATTCATTCAAAATTTCCTACACAAACATCAGTAACTCACAATACATGTTGAAAAAGATAATCGGGAACACACCAGAACGCTATCACTTCCGGTAAACAAAACTAACAGATGGCTTGCCATTTCTTGGACCAAAAGCGCACCACTATCCTCCTCCCACCACACAGAAACATCTCCCGAACCCAAAGTAGATCCGGGACAAGGCCACGTGAAAACAACATCTGCTCTTATATTACCCAGGAAAATACTAAACACGAGGAAAAACACCAGGCGTTGCATATTCAAATAAGGTCTTCTTCAAAACTACAAATATGCATTTTTTGAGGGAATCCTGTATAAGGCAAAGAACCGAAAGTTAAATCAAAGCAAAAACCCCACCTGTATGTGTAGGCGTCTTATTAGTATCTAGTCAGAGTTTCTGATCTGGACTTAGACATGGTTTACTTTAAAATTCCTCAAATAGATTTAAACGTTGAGATATTCCATCGGGAGTCGCAAATCATGCAAGAGTAGATATATTTGTGCAAAATGAATAAGCGATACCACGCCACCACAGATAATACTACCACACCAAATAAGAAGTGGGAATAATTGTGCCGACCGAGAAGGCAGTATGTGGATATTTCCCACCATCGTTCCATGAAAACTGTTGGCCCTTGCATATACTGACAGCTGTGCCGCTTAACCTCGTCAATTTGAGAATCTTGATTCGTTGAACCGAGGCGACTGCGCCTTTTCCCGCCGCTAAGGTGGTCAAATTGAGCTGCATGTTATTTAGAATAAGGTAAGAATGATGAATCGATAAGTTGGTAAGAGTTGAATGTCACGGTTAATTGTAGACAAAGTGTTGCGATTATAAAGATCCAGAATGCCATTTGGGCTTTTCTTCACTTGAAGATCTTCAGCAAACGAAAGACTGCTCCTGATTCAATCTCGCAACTCTACGATCATCATATTACGTGAAGGGAAGGTAAATTTATTTAAAATACATTGAAAGATATCCCGAGCTTGGTATTGGAATCGACATAACTGAGTGAGAGCGAAGGATGAAAAGGGTTGTAATAAAGCTGTGGTGTAACATTTAAGAAAGAATCCTTCATTGTGAATAGGCACCAGAGATAGTATATTTTCATGTAGTGCGATGGTATATTAAGCGGGGTAAAGTATTTCCATTATATATATGACATCCTAGGATACAAAGACGGGACGGAAAAGATTCGGGAAACGTACGCGCATATTGTCGAAGATCGTTTCCATGCGGTAATCTATCATGCACAATGGCTCTTTGGCTGACTTGAGAAACTTGGCTGAAGGTGTACAAAGTGGTTAATTTTATTCTTACTTACAATCGAGGATCAGTTCATCTGAAGGAGGAAATAGTTTGCAAAATACCCGGGTACGTAGCCCCTGTGTCTCGTGCGGGGGCGTCCCGAGTAGGAAGGTTACACTTGCCTAACCAGGTATAGCAACACACACAATTCAGCCATTCTATTCCTTTCTGACATGTGTGCAATCTGTCCGAAGACTAGAATAATGAGAAATGGGAAATCTCCAGGGAAGATTCATTATCTCACATCATCCCGTACTTAGAAGAATTTACATAGAATACTCCGTAAAATTGAAGATATGAGATGAGAGATCTCTATCGTGAATAAGGTAATCTTATTGTCTCTTACCATTACGATACTTAGAAGTGGCGAGTTAAGTAGATCTATCCCATCGTTCTTGTGCTCAGTGTGACATGTAGTAAATTATCCGAAACACAAACTAGTTCGCTTGCATTTGAGGAAATATTTCCATGTCTTCAAACTCAAAATACCGAACAGCAAATCTGTCGCTGTGATCTGATTAATGCTAGATTCTAAGAAAAGAGAATAATCATAACTCTTTGTAGCTACAAGAAATCATGCTCTAAATTTAAACCCTTGATTTTGATGTAATTACTCATTAATTCATCATATGTGTTACAGTCACACGAATGTACACAAATGTTCTTAGATCGATTTTCAAACGTTGACGGAGATCTTGACTGTCATTGACTTCTTATGCTTTAGACACCGCATCAAACCCTGCAATATTTTATTGTTTAACAATCAAATAGTATTTCAGGCATAATTTAAAACTTTAAAAGCGGTATTTTTAATATAGGTTTCGTTCATCCCGTACACCACTCAACCTCTTTCCGTCTTCCCAAACCTCGCTCCCAGCCCGATCAATCCACAAGCAGCACTCACCCCCGTAAAGACGATTACTGTCCCATACTCTGTCGCATAACCACCTCCCACACCACTCAAACCTCCATATCGAATGAGGCATTCGGTAACTGGTCCACATACTACACTTCCCGTACCTCTGCCTGCGCTAAATAACCCCATCAATACACCAAACCCGGCATTTTCATCTGCGCGTTGAACTTCTCTTATCATACCGGCCCAGATGGCACTCCACCCTCCGGCAAAGATTCCATAAATAATAGTAAATATAACTAGAGATGGGAGGGAAGTAGATATACCCCATAACAGGAATACAGATAGGGCCGAGAAGGTAGACGAGAGAAGTACGACGGTGGTTATATGTCTGATGTCTGAAAGATGACCGAGCGAAATGGCGCCGATTACGGAAAATGAATTCAGGAGCGCAATTAGTGCAGTGCCGAGAATAGGAGAGAAGGAAAGCGAAGCACTAAAGGAGGAAAGATAGATGGCAGGTGCGAAGAAACCAAGCGAGGTCAAAATATTGGCGATCTGCAGGAACCAGAAAATGGGTGATCTGAGGAAAGTATAGCTTGGTACTTTTGAGGGCGGTTGGCTGGAATACGTCACCGGAATTCTTGGCTTAATATAATAGATTAAAGGGCAACATAAAATGAACATAATGACAGCCCAAATTCGAAGAGTACTGCGGAATCCATATCTATCAACAAGATACGACAGAAGAAATGGAAATATGAGACCAGACGTTCCAACACTGTTGAAGTTAGCTAGATTTGAGCTGAAGTGAAAATCAATGCTCACCCTGACCACATAACACCAAGCGCCAGGCCCTTTCGCTTGACTAGCACCAGATTACAAAGTCAGTAGTTTTCGAATAGAAAGGGATTCTGGACGATCCGAAAAATAAAGGGGATAGAGGATATAAGACACCCAGATGCAATTAGAGATCAAAACAGTAGTAAGTATTCAAACAGAATTAAACACAAACAAGTTGGGCTTGGCAGTGCTGCAAGTTGAAACAGAATTGGGCATTGAAAAGGTTCGGGATTTTAATTAAAGTTGAAAATTGAGGAAATAATTACGTACCAAACCATTGATCGAGATAAAACATCGTTGGAGAGTACAAAAGGCTACCTCCAATAGCATACAAAACTCCCTGTGTGACAATGAGGTGCCAGATCCGCGTCGCGAAACTAGCTGCAACGAGTGCTATCAGTACAATCAAAAGACCCACTATAGACGACGGCCGGCGAGTGAATGGAAAGGTCTCTAGAACGTAGAGGGAAATCGGTGCAAAAAGATACACTAATAACACCTTGTGAGTATTTATCAATAAGAAGAAAAGGGCCTGTTTCCTCAAATCAAAGAGAGTGTAACAATAAACGTACTGATCCCAGTAGCACAGGTTCCGGTAATAGCTATAGCGTTTGCATGCTTATCAAAGGGCGGATGAGTGGAGTAGTACGTCTGGAAAACTCCGAAAGCAAAAGGAAAACCTGTTTAACTGTTAGTCAAAGAGATATCTCAATTTTTGGTTCTGGTCGAATCCATGACGCTTTTCCTGTCGCAAAGATTTGAATGTCCAATTTCCGTCTGAATAGTAAAGTGATGGGGCCGGCGTGCATGAAACAGATCACCTACCCCAGATCAATGCCTCGAAAACAAAACATGCAGCCAAAAACAGCCAAGCATCTCTACCTCCATCTGCTCTCGGAATACTGCTTTCTGTATTTTCTCGGCCAGCGTTTCCTTCCTCTATATTTCGAGTGCTCTCATTTGAAAGTGGAACGTCAAATGCCGTAAGTGACGCTTGAACTCTGAAATCGTCCCCGCCATAGCGGTTGAACTTCTCCAAAGGTAGATCCGTGGATGAATACGCCATAGGTGAAGGAGAATGACAACTGGTAAGGAAACACGATTTTATTTCGAAGTTGTGGTGTGAAATATAGAAGTTGAGAAGCGGGATAAATTTTCAACGCTACGGCAGACAGTGCAAGAATGAGTGAATATATTAAGATGGTCGATGCCTTGTTGTCAGAGAACTTGACTACTGGTCCACTGTGTTCGACATGCATCCATCACACCTTCTCTTCTCGGTAACATCTTCTCGCTAAATACTTTGTCCACCAACTTGATGGTTACGCAGATTCAATTCCTAAAGTTGGCAACCATGCATCTGCATGGGCGACACCGTAGCCTGCGAGTTTGACGGGTTCCATTAGTTGCAAGTGAATGTGATTAAACTTTCGGCTAGAGGTGGAACCCATCAGCTTATTTTCTTTGAAGTACGACCTGTTGCATTGCATCGATTTCTCAGGTAGTAGATTAATCCTTATAGTCGGCTTAGTACTTTTCAATTTGAAAAACGTTCAGCAAGCACGGCTTCAGGCGAAGGAATATTGTAATGTGACTTGGGTACATATAATTCCTGTGCCTTTTTACTTTAATCTTATCGAAAACTTGCGCAACTTACCCCCAACTGCAGGAGGTGCCTCCGTGGCCAGGCCAGCTGACCTTTCGGTCCGTGTATAAATTTCACCCGTACCGAGAGTAAACTACCGAATGTGAGGTTTCGGCCCAGTAGACGTCAAAAGCGAATACCGGTAGAGTGGTTCATCAAACATTCTGATAAACCTGGCGAATAGATCTTCGCAAGCAGGGCAGTCCCTGGCGGACGGATTCGTCATGTAATATCGGAGAGCCCTACCCGGAAGATTTGTTGGCGATCTGTTAGCTTCCCATATCGTATGGTTCAATCGCAAAACCAGTGGGAGCTGAGTTGAGAAATGAAAGCCCGACTCAGTGCAGCAGATATGCTCTAGATGCAAGATAATGGGGTGACACCACCTTAGCTACAGCAGCTCTCCGGGTAATGGTTTCCACCTGAGATACTATCATATCTTTTAACACCAGTCTGCCGTAGGTAAGAGGTGTGATATTTTCTATCAGTGTTAAACTATAGTCGACGTTGTTTCTTCAATGGCACCTCCATGCAGCGGGGAAGCATATCTTCCCGCCATTCCCCGAGTGTCGATACGAGCTTTCCCCAGCCAAACCGCGATTCCCAAAACAGACGAATCTTGTCATGTCAGACTCATATGACAGGCTTATTTGATAGTGGTATGGACAGATGTAATGGTAACATACCTGTTGGTTGTTGGTTAGTGCCTGACAATGTTGTTAAGAATCCTATTTGTTCCCAGGTTAGATGTGATGCGCGGCTAATATTACTTGGTGCATCTGATTTTAAGTTCCTAGCTGCCTATAATATGATACTCCCCAAATCGCCCAGTTCGCCAGTTCTCGAGAGGGTGTCGGGCTACAATGTTGAAGAAATTCTGAAACATCATACCAGCAACGCCAGCAAATTCACACTTTGCTATTTGTGCGTTATACCTCGCTGTTGCCGTGAGAATAGACCTCGAATCCTTCAACAAGAGTAATGGTAGCTCTGATCGCAATTATATCCACTCGGTATGTGGGTGTAAGGCGTCTTCCAATCAACATTGGTCCGACGATAGAGGGCAATACAAACCCAACTTTCGCTTCGACTTTGGTGGTGGTGGGAAGTTGAGAATTTGACGAGAGGATTATGGTTCGCTCACCTTACCTTCACAGGTCGTTGCCAGCGACAGTAGAAATTTACTATAACTGTGGTTATCTTGACCCATTTTTCTCGCTGTGGTAGAATTCTGAGAGCCACTAGGTGTCCCAAAAAGCCCAACTTAGATCAAACCCTTCAAGACAGACGTTGAATTTACATGAAATCCTGTGATTGAAAATTCAAGATCACAAAAATCACGATTTGTCGGTACTAGTGAAGAAGGCTCGGTCGCATTATTCGACAGCAGACGGCTGCGTTGCTAATCGCGTGTGGCCAATAGGACTACTTCAAGGCGCCAAGAAAGATTTCACGAGCTTAGACATACCTAGTAGGCGCTGGGCCGGGTTGAGATAATGCCTCGGCGGATTACCTGCCGTCCAACACAAGGAGGCAAATCGGTTTGACATCTGTCTCCCGATACACGTTCAGCACGAACGGCTGAATAGCTTCTTTGCTGCCGAAACATGGCGGACGAATAGCCGCCACTTGGCCGATAGTTATGGCCTCTAACCACCCGGGATTAATGAGATTAGTTTCACGGGAAACTTTGACAAAAGAAGACAACTCAATTAGAACGATGTATTTTTATAATAAGAAGCTCCTAGAAGAAGGCTTAGTAAAAGGCATATGTACAAACAGATTTCTTCGCTCAAAATTCAGTCTCCGTTAACAAATATTTTCAAGGGAAAGTTCATAATTAAAATCCAGACCAAAACGCCTTTTCATTGGAAAATCCAAAAATAACTGGTAGAAGAACAATCTGGCAAAAGGATAATCTAACACTATCTTAAATACAATTTTCGCTTATAAACTCCGGTGAACTCTGGCCCGTCATCATGGTCTTTCAATTGCATGAGATTATTCCAGACTACTTGGACCTGCAAGGCTACGGTGTCACTGGCCCAATCTCATGCATAAAATTTCATTAACCATCACCAATCTTAACAGCCCGGAATAGCAGCTGCAAGATCTCCAATCCTGGCAATTTATTAAATGCTCTGTTGACTGTGACGCCTAAATGGTATATTATTTAAGCAGTCTTCTTCCATTGACTGTAGACACCGATCAAACTGCTCACAGTTCCTGCCAATCCGACAACACCATCATCGAAATTAGCCAAGCCTATCGCCGAACTGGGAACTGTGATATCGCATAGGTCCGATAGGAGTTGCATATTTATTGCAGCGCGTTCCCTATAACGAGAAATTAGTAACAAGCAAACTGCCTTCATATCTAAGGCTTAACTCACTTCTCGATTCTCTTGCTAGTCACGACACCCTCACCATCCTTCTTATCGATCCTCGCAGATTGCTGGCGAAGATTGTACAAAGAGTACATTCCAGATGCGGTACTAAACAGCAGTCCCATCAACCAAAATCTATAGGCCTCCTTCTGTATCCTCTTAGCTGATGGACTTTTTCTAATGCCCGCAGCATCCAACACCGTAAGGGCGTCAAAGGTTAAATAACCGGCATATCCCAGTTGTCTTCCCACAGCACAATACTTGATCACCGGATCAAGACTCTTAGAATCCGCAGCGATAGCAGCTGCTTTCAAATGCTCGACATTCTTGCCAAACCGCATTAATTTACGTGCAAGTCCAAATTGCTTTTTAATGGCTTCGAAAGGAGCAATTTCGCTGGAGGTCCCATTGGTACGAAGGAGATACCAGGCGTAGAATCGGGAAAAGTATTGAAGGGTTCGGAGGAGCTTATCGCGACCGACGGTTGATGCGACGAATTTGAGGTAATGGGCGACGGTTGGGTGGTAAATTAGAGTATCGGCAACCATCTTGATGATTCACGTTATCGATTATGGAACAGAAAGAGTGTATTGGGAAAGAGAAAGGAGATAGGCTAGATCATGAAGTTGGAAATGAAAACAGCTTCTGGAAGCATGAGATGATGATGAGTACGGCTCGTGAAAGGGATATGGCTATTGCTATCCTAATGCCTCGGTAGTCGTGTATGGGGAATCCTTGACCCCATTAGGTAAATGGATGCCCTATAATTAAGGCATTATATACCAGCACCATGAATGTACCATGAAGGCAGGTCACGCTTTATATATGCACTTGGAAGACGCATTAATCGATGCACTTCATTTTTGGAAGCTTGAGTTTGGGTTCATTAACCTTGGATTCTTCATTCTCCCATTTCTTTTCAATAACTGACTTGGAAGGGAACACCAGTGTAACCTTTGACTTCATCCTTACTCTACCCTCTTTTTTCCCCGCCTCGATCTTGCATTTGCCGGAAGTGGTAATCAAGCACCGGAGACTCCCAATATGCCAGAAATTGCCGAAGGTGAATTATACACCTCGTCCTCTTACTCACAAAATACGATATCACACTAACGCAAATTCGCAGTTGCGCGAGCCGTGCACCACATACGAAGAAACCTCGTTGGTAAAACGTTGGCCATCGTGAAAGCTCAAGATGATGCCAATGTCTTTGGCAAGGCCGGGACAAGTGCTGACGAGTTCCAAAAAGCATTGACTGGGAAGAGAGTAGTAGGCGCTGGACAGCAAGGCAAATATTTCTGGTTGGGCCCATTCTAGATCCCGCAAAAATGCGGCGCTAAGCTGTTCTGACAGGATGATTATGTCCTCGCCGCCACATCCAGTATTTCACTTTGGCATGACGGGTATGAATATAACCAAATTTATAATTTGACCGAGTGCTGAAAGATATAGGATGGTTTCACATTCGAGGACAGGAAACTTATTACTACAGATCGAAAGATGAGGGTGAAAAGGAGGTCTGGCCACCAAAGTTCTCAAAGTTTTCACTACAGACTGCAGAGGAACCAAAGGCCGATGCTGCATTCACAGATTCGCGGAGGTTTTCGAGAATCAGACTAGTAGATTGCGTTGCTGAAGCCATTCGAAACACGACCCCTCTCAAAGAAAATGGCCCAGATCCTGTAATCGACAAAGATATCCTTACAGCTGAGTGGCTCGAGCAGAAGTTGAACAAGAAACAGGTGCCTATAAAAGCGTTATTACTTGACCAAGCGAATATCAGCGGGATTGGGAACTGGGTCGGGTCAGTCATCCTTATATCCACTTCAATCTCTATTATTTGAGACCTAGTAACACAGCGCACCTTATTTACTTTGACCTAATCCTAATAGCCCAATTATGCTAATGTCACTTGCAGCGACGAAATATTATACCATGCAAGACTTCATCCTGAGCAATATAGCAATACATTTAGTTCTGAAGAGATCAAGCGATTGCATGCTTCGATGATGTACATTTGTCAAACAGCAGTAGACTTGTTAGCAGACTCGTCTAAATTTCCAGATGATTGGATGTTTAAGCATCGATGGGGAAAGGGGAAGAAAGATGGCCCGACAGCATTACCAAATGGGGAAAAGATTACATTTCTTACCGTTGGGGGACGAACGTCTTGTGTGGTGCCAAGTGTACAGAAGAAAACGGGGCCCGTCGCCGGCGATATAAAAAAAAGAAATGGATCTGGTGATAATGTGGCCCCCGAGGATGTTCCAGTGAAGGAACAAAGCTCGAGGAAGAGGAAGGCCGCTGTGGTATCCACGAGTTTCGAAGAGTTTAATGAAGATACCGCAGAACTAAAGAAGTCAAAAGCAAAAGCTCAGAAATCGACTAAGGTGAAAGAAGAGATCTCGGGTGATGGTGCGGGGAATATCGCCACGAAGGCAGTCAAGCTGACTAAGAGGGAGACTTCAAAGTCTACCGAATCAAAGGCGATGGAGGACATTGCACCAGTTCAACCAAGGCGTAGATCTGGTCGTCATGTGAAGACTGATGGTGTCCAGGATTGAGGTTAACGGATGGTATCTTTTTCGAGATGGTGATTTATAACAGTTACATGGTACTGTAACAACTAATGTGTGTTTTATCGTACAATATCCGGGTTTTATTCCACTTTCACGTGCGAATCTTTTATCTGCTTCTCGATTGCTTACTTGATCATCTTTATGCTCGGACACATTCTCACTGTCTCCGGAACGCGTGGCCGCTCTCCGAATCGGACAGCCAAAGTAAGAAAATGAAGACATGAAGAATCCCTTTCACAGCATTTTAATGGTTCATGATTGATGTCCTGTTCATTATATTGGAGCAAATAAATTGATATTCATTAGCTAAACGCGAGCTCCCAATCAGAAAGTTCTATCTCGGATGTTCTTGGCACCCGCTAACGCCAACGCCCGAACTATTCATGAGAAATCGGGGTCGGCTATGTACGCACGCAGCGTATTCGGATTTTAGGCTGCCTAGGAGCGGTGGAGGGAGCGCCAGTAAGGCTGATCTAGGGAATCAATGCAATTTTACAAACGCCACATTTCTTAAAGTGGATATTGACAGAACTAGAAAAATTATCTAATTCCTTAGCAACCTTGGTTGGTTTCTTGGAATGTGGACCGAGGGTGGGAATAGTAAACCACTTTGAGTTCCTATCACTCGGATACGGGAACTTTTCCTGCCGGTCACTGGTGAGAGCCTAACACCACCCCACACAATTTATCAGTGGACGGACTCATCTACCAATCACACAACGCAAGCCCTTGCTTCCTCCGTCTAAGCGAGGAGTTTTGAAAACAAATGATGACACGGGCTTGAATCTTCGTTCTTTTTCATTGCAGTGAGCATTCTCATTGGTTCCACTCGGAAGACGCTTACATCATGAAATCTCTCCGCCGTATGTGCGGCGGAATTTATGCGTTTCAAGCTGACGGGCGATAATTGGAATGGACTTTTTCGACAATCAACTTATATAATTAAACCTGCACAAATATCATCCTTTACTAATCCAACTTTGAGCTGTTCTTTTACAGTCAGACATTCAATTCTTCACGCACTATCTACGACGGCGTATAATTATAATTCTTACATTTTTTTAATCTGATTCAGTTAATTTGCTATTGATCGAAAAGGACACAATATGGCTACTTCGGCGCCTTTTGGGGTTCTACCTCAAAGTGAGGCTGTTGCCGAGAAAGTGGATAAGGTTATCGAGGAAAAGGCAGACCGAAATGTCGGGAAAGATAGTGATACAGAATCCTCGACTTTAGACTCGACGGGAGAGAGGGAAGATGCTGCCATTCGTACACTTGCGAGACAAATTACACAAAGATCTATGGAAGGTGTTAAAGATCATAATATAAACCCATTTCTTGGATCAGATGACCCTAGACTCGATCCATCATCGGAGAAGTTCAGTCCTAGGGCATGGACAAAACATCTCGTCCACATTCAATCTCGAGATCCTGAAAGATATCCCAACAGGACGGCAGGGGTCGCCTATAAAAACTTGAACGCTCATGGATTTGGTGAAGCAACCGACTACCAAAAGACTTTTGGCAACTACCCACTGGAGATTATCGGCATGGGGAAGAGGGCTCTTGGGCTCAGCAAACCAACTAAAATACAGATTTTAAGAGATTTCGACGGGCTTGTTAGAAGCGGAGAAATGCTTGTCGTGCTTGGTCGACCTGGATCTGGATGCTCAACTTTATTAAAGACAATATCTGGAGAGACATCGGGATTCTATGTTGATAAGAACACATATATCAATTATCAGGGAATACCAATGGAAACTATGCACAACGATTTCAGGGGGGAGTGCATATACCAAGCGGAGGTTGATGTACATTTCCCTCAATTGACCGTGGCACAAACATTATCATTTGCAGCTAAGGCTAAAGCCCCTCGGAACCGCATACCTGGTGTTACAAGAGAGCAATACGCTGATCATCTTCGAGATGTCGTAATGGCAACTTTTGGACTTTCTCATACATTCAATACGAAAGTGGGTAATGATTTTATTCGAGGAGTGAGTGGTGGTGAGAGGAAGCGTGTCAGCATTGCGGAAGCTGCTTTGGGAGGAAGTCCCCTTCAGTGCTGGGACAACAGTACAAGAGGTTTGGATTCTGCGACTGCATTGGAATTTGTCAAGACTCTCAGGAACTCCACGGAAATGACTGGATCCACAGCTGTAGTAGCCATTTATCAGGCTTCTCAGTCAATCTATGACCTTTTCGACAAGGTCGCTGTACTCTACGAAGGAAGGCAAATATATTTTGGTGATATCAACGCGGCGAAGACATTTTTCATCAATCTGGGATTCGACTGCCCAGCTCGACAAACTACTGCTGATTTCCTAACTTCAATTACATCCCCGGCAGAGAGAATCGTTCGACCTGGCTTTGAAGGCAAGACTCCATACACTCCGGATGAATTCGCCGCAGTTTGGCAAAGTAGTGAGGATAGAGCCCAGCTACTCCGGGAGATCGACCAATTTGACGCCGAATTTCCCATTGGCGGACAAGCTCTTGAGGTCTTCAAGCATTCGAGGAAAGCAGCTCAGGCTAAGGGTCAACGTATTAAGAGTCCATATACGATTTCACTTCCAATGCAGATTAAATTATGCGTGGAGCGTGGATTTCAAAGACTTCGGGGTGATATGACTATTCTCTTATCCGGTCTTATAGGTATGTCCCAGCTCGTAGATATATATTGAGGCATATACTGACATCAAATATTAGGTCAAGTAATGATGGCTTTGATTCTTGGTAGTGTTTTCTACAATCTTCCAAATGATACCAATAGTCTCTACAGCAGAGGCGCCCTCTTGTTTTTTGCCATCTTGATGGCAGCATTTCAGAGTATGCTGGAAATTCTTACTCTTTATGCTCAAAGACCAATCGTTGAAAAACATACCAAATACGCTTTCTATCATCCAGTTGCAGAGGCTTGTGGATCCATGTTGTGCGACATACCGAATAAAGTATTCACGACTATTGTATTCGATCTTACTCTTTACTTTATGACAAATTTACGGAGAACCCCCGGACATTTCTTTGTATTCTTCTTATTTACCTTTCTGTGTACTTTGACGATGTCTATGTTCTTTCGGTCCATCGCTTCACTATCACGAAGCTTATCAGAGGTTTGTGTTATTTCTTATACACCTCTCATTATTCAATTTGCTTACATAAACAGGCAATGGCGCCAGCTGCCATCTTTATCCTTGCTATCGTCACTTACACTGGGTTTGCCGTCCCAATAAGAGATATGCATCCCTGGTTCCGATGGATCAATTATATCGATCCAGTTAGTTACGGGTTTGAGGCTTTGATGATCAATGAATTCCACGGCAGGCAGATTCCATGCTCCGTATTTGTACCCTCCGGCGCAAGCTACACAAACGTTGGTGCTGATGAGAGAATTTGCTCCACCACCGGTGCTGCGGCTGGCGCAAATTACGTTGATGGCGACAGATACATTGAAATCAACTATCGTTACTCTCACACGCATCTCTGGAGGTGAGATTCAATTTCAAACTGACTTTTGAGACTCTAGCTAACATCGTTGGGCAGAAACTTGGGCGCCATGATCGGCTTTATGCTTCTTGGCTGCGCCGTTTACCTGAGCGCCAGCGAATTCATCTCAGCCAAGAAGTCCAAAGGAGAAGTCCTTCTATTCCGCCGTGGTCGCATACCTTATGTTTCTAAATCATCCGACGAAGAAGCCAAAATGGACGATCGTATGACAGCGGCAACTGTTACCAGAACGAAGACTATCCCGGATGCACCACCTAGTATTCAGAAGCAGACTGCCATATTCCATTGGGACAATGTTAATTACGACATCAAGATCAAGGGCGAACCTAGGAAACTATTAGATGGAGTTGATGGATGGGTCAAGCCTGGTACTTTGACAGCTTTGATGGTAAGCCTTTAGAGTATGCTAAGATCCGCGAAACATTAACTAACTATGACGCCTTAGGGTGTCTCTGGTGCTGGAAAAACAACTCTTCTCGATGTGCTTGCCTCCCGTGTGACCATGGGTGTTGTCACTGGACAAATGCTTGTAGATGGCCGTCAAAGAGATCTTGGCTTCCAAAGGAAAACGGGTTATGTCCAACAGCAGGATCTTCATTTGGCTACTTCTACTGTTAGGGAGGCACTGGCTTTCAGCGCTGTTCTTCGTCAGCCGAAGGCTACTCCACGTGCTGAAAAGCTCGCCTATGTTGATGAGGTCATCAAGGTCCTGGAGATGGAAGAATATGCTGATGCTGTTGTCGGTGTCCCAGGTGAAGGTATGCACTCGTTTCCGTTTGTTCTTACATTTTTAAATCGTGTCTCACAAGTCATTTAGGTCTTAATGTTGAACAGCGTAAACGTCTCACGATTGGTGTTGAACTAGCAGCAAAGCCGGCTCTGCTTCTATTTCTTGATGAACCCACTTCTGGCTTAGACTCTCAAACAGCTTGGTCTATCTGTGCGTTGCTTCGTAAACTCGCAGACAATGGTCAGGCTATCCTTTGCACAATTCATCAACCTTCTGCGATTCTATTCCAGGAGTTTGATCGTCTATTATTCTTAGCGAAAGGCGGAAAGACTGTCTATTTTGGCGAAATTGGGGACCATTCGAAGGTCTTGACTGATTATTTTGAACGCAATGGTGCTCCTCCTTGTGGAGATCTGGCCAATCCTGCAGAATGGATGCTTGAAGGTGAGGTGTATCACTGAACAGATCATTCTTGAGCCCCCGCTGACATTTAACGCAGTTATTGGCGCCGCTCCTGGGTCTGACACCTCGATAAACTGGCCAGAGACCTGGAGAAATTCCCCGGAGCGTCAGGAAGTAAAGGGGCACCTTGCAGAACTGAAAGCAGCGCTGTCTCAAAAGCCAGTCGAAAACGACCCTACGTCACTCAATTCATTTGCTGCAGGTTTTGGAACCCAAATGCAGGTTGTCCTCATTCGAGTGTTTCAACAGTACTGGCGTACTCCTCCTTATCTTTACTCTAAGACTATTCTCTGTACTTGTGTTGTAAGTTATATCTCCATACAATCATTCATAAGAGCATTTAACCAACAATTTGCAGGGTCTCTTCATAGGATTTTCTTTCTGGGACACCAAGACTTCTCTTCAAGGAATGCAAAACCAACTTTTCGCTATCTTCATGCTCCTCACTATCTTCGGTAATCTTGTTCAACAAATCCTGCCCCATTTCGTAACACAACGTTCTCTCTATGAAGTTCGCGAACGCCCTTCCAAAACCTACTCCTGGAAGGTCTTCATCCTCTCCAACATCATCGTCGAGCTTCCATGGAATACGCTTATGGCCGTCATCATTTTTGTAACTTGGTATTATCCTATTGGTCTCTACCGAAATGCCGAAATGACCAACGCCGTCAATGAGCGCAGCGGTCTCATGTTCGCCTTCGTTTGGGCTTTCCTAATGTTCACGTCCACCTTTACCGATTTCATCATTGCCGGCATGGAAACAGCGGAAACAGCAGGAAATGTAGCTAACCTCTTGTTCTCTCTCTGTCTCATTTTCTGTGGTGTCCTCGCTAGTCCTACTGCTCTCCCTGGATTCTGGATTTTCATGTACCGCGTCTCACCTTTCACATACCTCGTCTCGGGAATGATGGCCACCGGACTTGCCAACACAGAAGTCGTATGCGATTCCATCGAATATCTTCATTTCAATCCTCCTTCCTCACAAACATGCGGCGATTACCTCAATTCTTATATCAGCGTCGCAGGTGGATATCTGAACAATCCTGAAGCGACTACTAATTGCGAATTCTGTAGTATCCAAGACACTAATGTGTTCTTGGCGGCGGTAAATAGTTATTATGGTGACGTGTGGAGAAATTGGGGCTTGCTGTGGGTTTACATTGCGTTTAATGTTGCAGGCGCTATTGGTATGTATTGGTTGGTGAGAGTACCAAAGGGTGCTAGTCAAGGGGAGGATGATGAGAAGAGTGCGAAAAAGGGATGGTTCTCGAAGAAGAAAGCGGATGCTTAGATGGGCGGGTACTGTGGTTTTCGCGTTGGTGGTTTCAATAGATGGGCAAAACAATGAGGCTTCGGGTGGCCTCATTTGCTATGTTTCGATTTTATTGGATTCATGATCTTATGAGACAGGTTGATGCGTTGGGGATAGATTTCTCTCGTGCGGAGATGTTTTTTACTTGGTTGATTCTATAGAAGGGGAAGATGAGATGGGATGAGATGAGATGAGATGAGAGATGATTATGTTCGTACTTATTATATCCATATATGAGTTTTGTAATGTTGTCCATGGGCTTCAGAATAGATTACTTGCTATATATAGCAGTTATTTAACGGATTCTTTCTTTCTCTCTATATTGTTGTGATCGTCGTTTGACATTTCTGATCCTGAGATTGACTTGATGTGGAGGAAGTAATATTTCGACAGAGAACCGATAGTCCTAATAAGATTTTATGAAATGATAAATAGTAGATATAATTATGCGGGCATGTATTTTTTAGAAGATATGAAAGTAATTAAAATAATCTAAATATTTTTAACCATCGACTCGCCTTCTTCACTTTACATATTATGATCTTGAGCTACCTACCTACCTTTCTTTTGCTGATAGAAGGGCACCAGATGAAGTTATGTCATATTTACTAGTCACAGGCTACCTACTTCTGTAACTCGTGAATCGGCATCTCCCACAGGTACCTACCTACTTGCAGCTAATCATTTTGTACTTGATTTGATTTAGCCCTTCGGAACCTTGCGCTGATGTCGTAAATGATCATTAATATTCCCCGCAAACTACACATTCTTGGCTCGCATCCACAATCCATATATACCTAACACCAGCCAGTCCCTGTGAACACTAAAATAAATGTTCCACTGAAAGTACACGGTATGCAAAAAAAACTAAGCGTCAACCACCGTCAAAACCTCAACACGAAATTTGACCCTATCGACAACAAAATAACAGCAAAAGGTTGAACGACTAAAATTTTGGGATTGATTAATGTTGCCTACTACTGGAATCGAACCAATGATCTTAGCATTTCGTTTATATACAAGTGCTACGCGTTACCACTGCGCCAAGCAGGCTTATTTTAGAAGTTGTCTTCTAGTAGTGGATGTCGACCGGACGATTAAGATCGAATATATTATGAGCGTGTTTGGTGGTAAAAAATTGTGATGATAACAGGATTGGGCACATCCGTCGGCTGGCCATTTCGGATCCTCATGGCTATGTATATTCCGTAGGTCTTCTCATGGTCGCATAGTTCTTAGAGATCTGAAGTAGATATTGAGTGCTAGATTCTTTCTAGAGTCATTGCCTATCTGCTTCGGGAAATAGCAACATGTGTACTGTTTCCTGCTCTCTGGTGCCAATTGGAATGTGAGCTTAGTAGCATCTCTTAGCGATCATTTCATCAGTTCACAAAACCATGCGCACTTCTGTAGCAAATCCTTCTTTAGTTCTGGACCGGGACGGATCAAGATCTGAGTAATCCTCGTACTGCAAATCCATTTGCTGAAGTCAGCCGCCAAGCTTAAGAACCTCGGGTCCGGATTGGTGGATTTGATAGTATAGTCCATGGAAAGGTGATTTACTCAAGGAAGGGGAACATCCAGGTACATGGTTATGCATTTCTTTTTCATTCTATTGGCCAAGTTGTTCATAGATCGAATTCTTGTCTAGAAGGTTGTGTCCGGCGAAAGGTGGCTTGGATAATAACGTTAACCCAGGACAGAGCTCAACTGTGCTGTTAGATTAGAACGGTTATTGAAAAGCCGTGGTATTTAAAGGACAGGATTACAATTGGCATTTACGGCAACTACAATAGTATCTCCGTGGCAGCGACGAATATCTATCGGTAGGAACCGTTCTGTCTCTCCCAGTGTCTCATAGCGTGGACTGGAGTCCACCATGCGTCTCGATGTATTGGGTTCTTGAAGTCATCATGAACAAGGAATGGATTAAGTAATTCATTTGTTTCTAAGGATGTTCAACTTCTCAAACATTGAGATTTGTTCTAGACTGTTAGTCTGGACTATTAGATATTCCTAAACGAGAATTCATGCGTTTCTCTCAGGGCTAGAACCACATGTGATTCATATCACTGGCGGAGTCATGCAGATTTTTCTAAAGCTTTAATATCATGCGTCATTTTTACTTTTATTCCCTGGTGGATTATAATAGGTGCAAAAATTCATCTCTTTAACGTGCGTTGAAAAATCCTAGAACAATTCTTTGACCTGGGAAGGCAGCTTCGTGGATCCCGACTGATACGTCCGAGGTTACAGATATTTACAAAATTAGAGAGCTTATAACACTCTTATGAAGCCCTAGAGCTTCAGTACTGTAAGACGGAAATGTCGAAAATGGTACAGGCATTCTGGGCGTCTCTTCTCGTCGAAAGAAACAATCTCATAACCCTAGTCAGTTAAATATCTTCATCCTCACTAATTTGCAAGAGGTCACTGAATACATACTTGACATTTGGTTTGGAGCTCGGAATCCCGAGGCGATCTTAGGTGGTAAGTACATCCATTCTTTGTAGATGTAAGCAATCGCCTGCGTAAATATCACCAGAAGTAACCTTTTACCTGATACCAAAATTTCTCGAATCAAACTCTAATCTACATATTCCGTTCTTATATCTGTTGGTAAATTTGATGGACTCTCAGTATATATTGTGAAGGGGCTTACTATGAAAGCGGATGGTCAATGAGCTCATATCACATACAGTATATGCGAACGAGCACCAGAAAATATGAAGTTGGTCTGAAGCAATGGTTCGTTGGCGAAGTATCCATCCAGGCAGAGGCAATATCAAACTTTTACTGCACGAATTAGTCCTTTGTACGCTACACATTTTATCAATAGTAGAAGTACACTAGGGAACCAGTACCCAATATTCCATTCCTACTTCATGATTCTATACTGCGGGTCTATAACCTGTTTTCACCACAGCTTCATGACATTCTTAATTGATAGGATTTGAATGAAAATTCGTCAAACCTCTCCGAGTGTTGCCTAATTCCTTGTTATTCATTTCAGCGATAATTAATATCTGCCATCAGTCAACTCCGAAATCGTACAAAAGGACAATATTAGTAATTAGTCTTTATTCACAAGTTATCAAAACACGAGTAGTTGCGAGCTCAGCAGAGATTCCTCGGTTGACGTGACAGTCCATTCTTCTGTACCTGAATGGTATGATGGATACTAGGGAGTTGACTGCAAAACCTCGTCCATGAAAATATCCGTGATAACCGCGAAGTCAGTAGAGCAATCACGGATCTATTCCTGGAAAGAATATCAAAATTAAGGCCATCAACTGCGATCAAAAAAGGGTATAGCTGCCACAGTTTCTTACGAGCTGTAATTAAGTCGGCTAGTTCAAGTGACTATTATGCCTTTCCTGATTTCTTATTTCCCCCGATAATGAATCTATTCGTTTCTCCACTAACATCTTCAAGAATTATCATCCAGTAATAAAGTAAATTTACCGATTTTGACAGTATAATTAATGATCGTTTTTTTATGTGTTGGAATAGTGTACAAAAAGTCAATAAAAAGAGTCTGTTTCAACCCATTAGTACTTCATTTTATCAGCTCTATAATTATACCTACCTATGAATATAGAAAATTATACATTGAAGCATCTTATGTTAGAGATTTCAGGGGGGCAATACCTATGTCACCATCTGTAATTTGTATGGATAATTATGGAGAGGAAGAATCTTCAAGGTCTGATATTTAATAATTACTAAAGCTTTCTATGCTAATTTTAACGGGTAGTATGTTGAAGGATGAGGAGAGTTGAGCAGAGTGTTTGAACATCTGGTTAAGATATCGAAAGCTGAGGCATATTATAGGTTTATCCAGAAAACATACTGTTGAAAATGATTGTAAATATAGGCATTGCTGCGGAAAAGAAATATATTGTGGTGTTCCTTTCCTACAGAATAGTAAAAGTAAGATTCTCAACCCAAAGTTCGCCCTCGCCCGGTGTTTCGAGTATATTTCCCATAACTGTGAACTCCAATGAATATATTCGGTGGGTTTGCATAGAAAATCATGCGGAGTCTGGATGAAAAGACGAAACTATGGACTGGTGGATATTTCGTTCAGAAAAATATAAATCGTAGGTAAATGTGCCCACAAAACCAATATCTCTGATTTCTTGACGGGTATTGAGGAGTTCCTCAATGCCAATTCCACATATTCTACTCCCGAAAATCGACTTCGGTGCAACTTTGCTGGCTTCACACGTGTATTAATGAAGTTCGTAGGGAACAACTTAACATTAATCTTTTGCTGCTCAGAGAACTTCTCGAATTGTACATACACCCTAAGATCGTAGAGAAAGCCATCAGAGAAGTTTCACCCAACTTATGAGATGTCGTGCTATCCGAATGAGAAATACACATTTAGACTTCTCAAGAGGTTTCTCGAAGTAAAGCTTGGCCAATACTATGGTAATTCTACTTACGAGCGAAGATATATCGAAAAAAAGACGCAGATATCCTTCATTCTAAGAAACCTTCTACTATAACTTCATCTCCTTGCACTTGCCAAGACTAAGGTTAGGGGATTTATTTAATTTTTGGAAGCCGTTCAGTATAAACTTTATACTTCGCATTCAGGTGGTGTAAGAAGAAACGCAGAATTAATTAGATACTGAGATGAGAGATTGCCAGATTCATGAACCTTTTTATGCCAGACTGAAGAAGCACATGTTCCGCTCGGAATATAAGATCTTACTCTTGGCGGTGCATATGCACATGAATATAAACACAAGAAATCTGTTTGAAGTTCAATTGCTGGTGTATCAAGTATCCATCAGAGACTCCTATGTAGTACTATAGACGAGACATCAATAACAGAGAATCTGCATTAGATATTCCCCAAAGATGTAAAATAACCTGAAGCTCTACAAACCAACCAATTTGCCCCTCCCCACGTGATCACCGGCCAACCTTCCCCATCCAAACATCTTCCTTTGCACCCCCACCACGCCCCGAATTCCCACCACGTCATTGGTCTTTTTCATGCATATCAAACTTTCTCGTGAAAAGTCTCTGACAAAGCTGATTGATTCTACATCATCGTGTAAATATTTGCATGTACAGTAAGAGTCATTCATCACAAGGCGCATCATCTATTTTCTCATTCTCAAGATTCTTTCATAAGATTATCTCGGTATAGATTCCCAATTGATGTTTCCGCATTACCTATTTATTATAAATTGTTGGTTGTTTGCTGATTATGAAAGAGTAGAAATTACAATTTGATTTGTATATTTACTTTTTCGGTTTCTATATACCTACTAGTACATGCTTTCTCTTCTGCGAATATCAATAAGACCACCGACATCTCAACCTAAGAAAACAAACCCCCAACCACGCAACCACACATCAAAATGGCAATAACCCTCCACCTCATCCGCCACGCCCAAGGTTTCCACAACCTCAGCACAAAAAACCACTCGATGCCCGACCCCCTGCTCACCCCGACAGGAAAATCCCAATGCGAAACCCTCTCCCGAACCTTCCCTCCAGAAACAATAACCCATCTCATCGCCTCCCCACTCCGCCGCACCCTCTACACAGCCCTCTATTCCTTCCCTACCTTCATCGCCTCGGGCTCCAAAGTAGTCGCTCTCCCCGAACTCCAGGAAACTTCCACTCTACCCTGCGACACGGGCTCTGAACCTGTCGCGCTCGCGGAGGAGTTTGCAGGGAGTGTGGATTTGGAATTGGTGACTGAGGGGTGGAATAGTAAAGTAGGGAGATGGGATGCCAATGCGCCTGCGATTGAGAAGCGCGCGCGGGAAGCGCGCACTTGGTTAAGGGATTTAGGGATCAAGGCTGAGGAATCCGGAGTCTCGAATGTTAATATTGTGGTTGTGACGCATGGGGGGTTTTTGCATTATTTATCTGATGATGTAAGTCTTGTGTATACATATAAGAAAACCTTTTACTATTTTCTCATCTCTCATCTCTCATTTCCCCCATCTCTCTCTACTCCATCCCAATCCCACATTTCCTTCCCCACACGGAAATTATCACTAACACCCTCCTCCCCTCCAAATAGTGGGAAGACTCCACCCTCTTCGTCGGAACCGGCTGGTCCAATACCGAATTCCGCTCGTATACGTTCCGGGACGCGGAGTACAGTGATGTTAATGCATCGATTGAAGAAACGAGAGAAAGTAGAGACAGGAGAAAGGGAAGTGAAAAATCTCTCTCGCTGGAGGAACAGAGGAATTTGAAATTGGCGGCTGAGAATGGATGGCAGAAGGATGGGTTTCAGCAGAAGGTTTTGAAGGGGGTGGAGAAGGAGGAAGAGGGGGAGGAGAGGGTAAAGGAGGTGGAGGTTATTGCTTAGTATGTGTGGTTGGGTAGATTGATGTATTGGGAGGGGGAATGAGGGGTGAGATGGATGATGGGGTTTATACACGAGATCTGGGTTTTTTTTCTTTCTCTTTTTTCCAAAAGGGTTTTTTGTACGTTGGATTAAATTAGAGATATATATTTAAATTTAGATGTAGATTTTGTTAAATCCGAGATAGACTCAGGTATACATGGTTGGATGGGTAAATAGATGTAGCTAGCAATAGATAGATAGATAGGTATATATACTAGGTTATAGATGATTAGAATAGTCGAGTTATGAGTTCAACAGTGTTGTATTACTATCACTTGTAAGTAAGTATACGAATCGTTCTATTCATAGCGCTCTTTTAACCATGCTAAGTTAAATCTATACCATACAATTGTATAACTAATAACTGGATACCAGTCCACCGGATCAAGACCATCTAACAAAGTCCTAGTAAATAAACGATGATTAATCTAATCTAAACTAAACTACACAATGTCCCCCCTTCTCAAAAATACAATTTTAATCATACATGAATATCCCACCCCTTGCCTTTTTTCCCTTCAATTCACCCGTTCTCCTTACAATCCGAGCATAAATCACAAACCACCCTCTTCAATCCAGTCCCTCACCAACATCTCTCTTTCTTTTTCCCCCTCCCAACCCCCCTCCTTAATCTCCACATCCTTAATCTTTTTCCCCGACCCGAACATTTCGAACATCCATGGACTTCTCCTCATTAGCTCTGATAGTTCTTGCGCTTGTTGTTTGAAGATGTTTTGATTTGTTTCTTTTTTTTCTTTTTCTTTTTCTTTTGTTTTTTCTTTTTTTGTTCGTGTCTGTATCTGTGTTTGTGTTTGTGTAGTTGAGACTGGTGTTGTGAGAGAAGAGTAGGTGAATAGGGATCTGGGGATTTTGATGGAGGAATCTAGGGGTGGGAAAATTAGTTTTGATTTGCGGGATTCGTCGAGGGATTCGTGGCGGGATTCTTCTTCGTCTTCTGATGGTGGATAGGATGTTGGGTTTTTGTAGCGAGGATTTTGCGTCTTGGAGAAGGGCTGGGTGTTGGTTCCTGGTTTTGGGGATGTGTGTTTATTGGGTGGGGAATACGAGATTGGAGGTGGGATAGGCCAGCGTTGTGGAACTTGGATGCCAGGGGTACGGAAGAAGAGGATAGGCGAGGCAAAAGGGTCGAATGTTTGGGATGGAGATGGAAAGAGGCGGGTTTTGAGAGCGTGTAAGGTCTTGATTGTCCAGGGAGAATGGGTATACAATTCTAAAGTTGAGGGATGATCGTAAGAAGGGTTTGATGATGAGAAATCAGAGAATTCAGAGGGAAAGATTGAGGGGTCGGGAGTGGTTGAGATGGGAGTCCAGTCGAAAATTCCATTGTGCACTATAAGAGAATCGATCTTGGCGGGAGGTAATGGGGAATTGCGGGATTCAGTGAGTGCGAGAGAGGTAGCAAGGGTACCGCCAAGGTATGATCCATAGATTAGAAGTGGTCGTTGGATTGCTGGCGGTTGATCGGATAAGAAGGTTGAATCCAAGGTTCTGCCCCCCAATAATAGATGTGGGAGGTAACGATTCAGGAGCCAACTATAGGCATGAAGTGTATCATGAACTAGTGTGGAGATAAGTAATTGTTCAAGCAGGTGTTAAATCCCTATTATCAAAATAAAAAGCCGGGATGTCTTCCTACTTGATATACTAAGACTCTTGGCTTACTTACGTGGTATTGGAAATGGATGGGATTTTTGGTTGCGAAATGATATGCTAGGTTTATGAGACCAGCGATACGGAATGTTAAAGACAGGATATGAATTTAACAACCATGAAGGTGGGCGTAGTGGTGGAGATGATGGATATGGTGGCAGGTAGACAACCAGAGGTGTCGTTGGAGAATCGTGAAGGAGAGATGCATTGTGAACTCTGTATACACAATATTAGCTTGACTATCTCAACCATCAACAGCACTATTGAAATATATCACTAACCAATATTGAACATGTAAGAACCCTGAAGCTGCCATGTGAAGACCGCGCCCATCACTTGTATAATGGATACTTACACCGAAGATCTTTCTATGTACGTCTATTCGCCCAGCAAGCAAATCACCCTTCAGATCGAAAAGAAGACTTGGCCGAGAACACTTGCACGTAGCCAAGGTAGTTGCCAGGGAGGAAGATAGACCACTTGATCATCCCACACGTAGTGCGTGAATTTTGTAAAATAATTTGAGATTCCATACCAGGTTCCTGCTACAAGAATCAGGCAGGATCAATGGCCGGGAAAAGAAAAGATAAATTGTCAACCTACTCGACTGTGATTTCTCCCGAGATACCACAAGTGATATCATATCTTTCCACTTGCAGTGGTATAGCTGTTGCTAAGTGCCTCGTTCTTTGAACTGGCCATTTCTTTGTTGTAGCTCGTGTCAATGTTGGAAGTATTCCAACACTGCGGCCATATCCATATAGGCAGCGCATTTCTTTTTTTTAAGATGCGATGCCGTGATGATGTGTGTACATGTACGCGTAAGACTATTGTACAAACTGGGTACCCTCAGCGTGTTGGTGAGATAGTTTCAACAACACCACGCGTCAATATGCGTACTACTGATACAGGATCTCTCGTCTTATGTTTGGAAGCCTTCCAAAGAATTTCATAAAGATACGGGAAGCATAAACTTTGTTTGGTTGCGCAGTATCATGAACACGAGGTTGGTTGAATGGTATTGGAGAAAATATCCGCTTAATTTTTCTCGCATCGATGAAAAAGTGGAGAAGCGTTTTTGAGAGTGACATGGGCAAGAAATGATACCTAAAATACGAAGTGAACCTTTGTCATTCTCCTTTTTGCTGAATTATTCGATCTAAATTCGATCGAAAGGGACCAAAACAGTGGATCGGTAAATGGCCATATCATTCCACCGGTGTAAATCTTGTCCGTCTTCTCTGAATAGGAACTTTTGCCCGGTGGACAGGTTTTGTACAGGAAATGCCCTTCAAACCGAATGGATTCCTTGAAAATCAGGTAAGAATTGGAGTTTTAGCTCGAGTGTTTTGTCATCTATCCTCTACTGCCTAGTACATAGCTTCTGTTGGAAGCTTCATCCAACTTTGCAAATCTTGGCACACCAAAGCTTGTATCACATTGGATTAATAAGAAATGCTTATCCTCACCGCGCCAATCCACTTCATCATTTCCCCGATCAAAAAAACCACGAACAAAACAATCCAAGACTAACTCGATTAAGCTGGTAGGTGGGATTACAAGAGCACGAGCAAAAAGCTAGCAAACATTTGAAGCACCGCAGGGGGGCAGTGCAACTAGTAATACTACCTTACTTACTGCATTAGCTCTAAGGTTAATCCTAAAAGGGAAATAAGGGGTGTTTTCGTTCAAACATGATTGGTTACGGTTAACGAAATGCGACGTCAAAATGGAGGAGGGATTTTTCAAAGGCCCATAATGTCACCACATGGGCAAGATCAAATGGGAAAAGACTGGGTAGTCGGTGAACCCTCGAACATACAGATGGATACCAACTGTTGGGAACAAATCATACATGTCATATTACCGTTTGGTATTGACGATGGGAAGAAGGAATGCGGGATTTTGGGGAACACTGCATGCAATCAAAGGTTGGAAATGAGAAGTTGGTATAGCCTCAATTGAGAAAAGCATTATAGTACGTATACAGCAAGGGAGATATATATATATATATACATATATATATTACAGCAAGGACTTGTAAATCATGTACAGAGAGTATTGTACTTACCTACCTCGTACATCAATACATCAATACATCAATACATCAAATTATTAGTGTAGCGCCCAGCCCTGCTGAATAGCAAGTCCCCGCAGCCCTAGTCCGCCATGGATAATGGAACCTTCTAACCTGGGAAGGATCAAAGTCATCCAAACTTGTACGTATACTGGACTCCGTAAATCGTGATAATTGTCGTGCTATTCATCTGGGCTGAAACTTGCTCACATCTGAGCAGTATATGGAGTAAATGTGGAAACAGGAAACATCAATAATAACATCAACATCCCATCCTACAACCGTACGGGAATAGTCTGCAGTATCTATATATATTATATATAAATATATATATATCAAACAACCAACAGCTCTTCATCTACAAATTCTTTATGTTGTACGGTACCTGACTTATCAGCCAATATCTCATTTACAATTATCGATACGCGTAACATTTGCACATTTCACACATTTCATACATATTACATATTACATATTACATATTACATATTACATATCACACATTTCACACATTTCACAGCAGACCACCCATACAAGTGACACCGGTAATACCCCAAATTTAAACACGCACTGCATGGGAAATCTATCTAGCATCGCACGGATGGCTAAAATTATTCCCTGGTCAGAACTCAAATACCAACAGAGGACTAGGCCACTGACTTAACTACCTGACTTATATAGCTAACAGCCAATCCAACTTGCCTTACCTAAGTTGACTTAGCTAACTCTAACTCACTTAACATATCCAACCATCCATCATTGGTCCTTTTTGTTCTAGATTCTAAAATCCACCCAATAACTCAAGCTTCACTATAAAAAGAGGCTTGACAATCGACCATATTTAATTTCTCCCCTTTGCGCTTCTTCCCTCCATTAAAACTTTCTTCCTTCTGGATGGTCACATTCAAAATCTCTCAATCCCTTCATTCTACTTTTCATTTCTCAGTACAGATATTTTTCTATTTTGTATTTACATTTTTGTTCTAATTCCTCTAGAGAGAGTCTTCAATACGTGATCTACATCCATCACATAACTCAAATTCACTCCTTGGAAGTATCCAACTACGGCCGTGTTTTACCTGCTCCTGAACCTCTTACTCCATACATTAAGTCAAACCAAGTCCATTGAGATCGAACAACTCTTAGTGTATAGCCTTCGAAAATATTCATACACGAAATAACGTCCTTCAATTTACGAATCCTCGAACAACTCGCTCACTTCCTGATGGCTCGCATTTGAGATAACTCTCCAAAAATTGCGTCAAGCAGTTACCTCGCAGACGATTCGTATATTCGCACGTCTACCCCTCGAACGAACCAGCCGACAAGTTTAACTCCAACATGGCGAAAAGAAATTGGGGAAAATCATGCTGCGGAGTGATAAATAGTATCTTAGCTGCGCTGGCATTGTACGGGACTTTATACTTGGCAGTCCTCATTTTTCAAAAAGGATCGCTCCCAAAATCACCATCAGAAATTTACAAGAAACCTTCTCATGGATCACCTTCTGAACACGGTTCTGGATCTATACCTCCTCCACCAGCGACACTAAAAATCCAGAAGATAAACCCAAATGCAAATTGGTTCAACAGACCCGAGAGCTTGGTTGCGCCAAAGGATGATTATTTGGGAAAGCGACCACACATCGATACAGTTGCGAACCTAACTAAACTAGTCGAAGAATGCAGAGGATCTTACAGTAAAATCGAAAAAATGCCATATGTTTTCGACTGTTTGAAATACATGGATGAAGGTGAAAAGGAATATTATTACATGCCACCACAAGGAGAGCGTGCGAGCGAGCAACCACCCAAGATGGCAGAATATCTGGATTCCGATGGTCAGGGCAATTCTTTGGCACAATATCCATCGCAAAAATCTTACTCGAAATCATCCTCTGGCCGATGCAATGGCCCAATTGTACCATACCATACCTACTGGACCGGTCCTGCGACTTGGAGAGTAGAGCTTTTTATAAAGAGTTATTTCTATACGCAGAATCTTCCTTGTTCAAGATTATTCTTATGGTTGGACGGAGATAGGGATCCAGATGCAATCGAAAAGTTTATGACCAGCGATCCATTGTTCAAGAGATTCGTACCATTCGTTGAAAGAGGAGACATAACTTTGAAATTGTGGAATTTTCCTTCAAGAATACCATTACCACCTGGAGATAATACGGATGGACGTGGATATTACAAAACTCCAGGAAAGCCTAATGCGAAAAACGAGGTTTTGGTAGCAGATGGGCTTATTCGAGATTCCAATAGCCAGGAATGGCTGATTTTAACAGAGAGGCAGATGACGTTCTTGCCTGTTGCTGTTTCAGATGCCATGAGATTCGTTGTCTTGCACTTATATGGAGGATCTTATTATGATATGGATGTTGTCATGCTAAGGGATATGCGACCACTATTGATTGGAGACGAACATGCATTTGCAGAACGTTGGGGAGGTCATTCCAGCCCTGGTGATTACAATACGGCGGTGATGTCTTTGACTGCTAATTCATCTCTTTCCTCGTATCTTTTACGTGGTGGTGTGAGGATGGGACTTAACTTTCATCCTCGAATCATTGGTGTTATGGCTGTGAAAGATGGTCGAAACCAAGAATTTAATATGTTGGAGACTGCCGCTTTTGACCCCATCTGGACTGAATTCAACTGGGATAGATTAGGAAGATGTACAATACCATGCATCAAGGATTATGGACAAGTATTCAAGGGAAAGAATGCCTTTCCAAATCATGATGAATGGGAAAGTTACGATGGACCTCAATTAAAGCTTGCCTCGAAGACCACATCAAAACATTTCTGGGAAATGAGATCTGTCGAGGAAGTAGAAGTTGAGAAGCGTGTCGTTACGGTGGAACGAGCATCAACAGGAAAGGGTGTTGAAATGTTGACTATCGACCGAGCAGCATTGAGCAAAGCCGATTACAAGCTTGAAGAGGATAATTATCCACCTACAAATCGAACTTTAGAAAATTTCTTCCGAGGCGCCTGGACATATCACATCCATAACCAGGTAAGCTCACAATTTATCTTATGATTTTAATTTTGGCTAATGATTCTAGTGGTACAAAAATCCCGAACCATCATCATGGCTTAACGTTATCCAAAGAGCGCAAGATGGTTTCTTTTCTGGAACACGTACGAATCCATATGGCGAAAAGTGGCAAGGTCTTGAATTACCTCCGTACGAAATATCTTGGGAATACACCTAAATTGCCCAACATTGATATTTTGTCAAAATTAGCGGTCAAGTAAGGTTATAATACTTTGACATAAACTTATGAATAGCACAATAAACATGTGTATGAAAGCAATGGTACAAAGAAATAGATATTTAATTGGTGGGCGCAAAACGGCACATATACTCACATTTGAGTTAAGGGTAAAATATATACATGGGTTGAGGCATACAAATACATACGGCGGGCGTTTTTCTTCAAGCATCGGTCTTTGATTCAATTTATTGAACAGAACTTCTTGATTGATTGGATGAATCTGGCTGGGCATAAGAATGGAGTTTATCTGAGGAGTTGTTTTATGAATTTAAATATGTGGAAAATAGATTTGGGATGGGATGGAATTGGTGGGATGGGATGGGATTGGAGTTGAAGTTGGAGATAGATACTGTATGTATTTAGTAATATGGAAAGCAGAGAGGATGAGGATGAGGATAGAAATAGAGAATATTTTTGTATGGATTGTATATATATATTGTAAAAGTGGTAGGTCGAGATACGTGCGTCCCGATAGCTCGCTGTGAGGGGGAATTGGGAGAGAAAGCTGATTAGATTATATTGTAATACGTTACTATAGAGAAAACGGGGTTCAAATGTATATGTGTAGAAGGTTGATTATTGTGGAAAGAAGAGGCAAAAGCTCTCCTTTTATATCTAATTATACGAGGTTATGTGATTGACTAGTTAAAAACCTTTATGTATATAATTTATAATTCCAACTTTCTTATAATGTTATTACAAGGGATACGATCTAGATCATGTGGAAGTGGCCTGGATCCTCGAAGGGTTTATAACTAGATATCAAACAAAAGCTTTAAAGTAATATCAATAGTTGCAATTTGTAACTAACAATAGAGTATATTAAATAATTAATCTTGAATACAAAACTCTATAAAAGGAATCCTTTGCTAGCTATATAGATAGTTCTCCGTGTTTCACATCCCACTCCTCCCACTGAATAAAATCGGTGAGATCGATAGGAATTCTTTCCCACTTGTTCCCACCGATTTAAATTAATGAGATTAGTAGGAATAGTATCATATAATGACTTGATCATACGATTCTATAGTTATTATTGTGGTGGATCTAATAATAACAATTCTGATGGTTACTAGATCCCCACACCACCTTAATCCCATACTAAATTGATCAAATCGTATCTCGTAGGCACAGGAACGGTTATTGTAAGATCCGGGATCGTAACAGTTATATGATTGATTGATTAGTTAAAAACCTGTATGTATATAATTTATAATTCCAACTTTCTTATAATATTATATATATTATTAACCTATTATATAATCCATATAACTCTAGTTATAATTAGATCAAATTGATTATAAGTTTATCATGACTACTATCTTAGAATTGTAAGAAAATTGAAATTGTAAAATTATTAATGAATGAAAATGATAATTTTTGATATAAAAAAATACTTGAAAAGTAAAGTGTGACGTACAAGAGCCTCTTAAGAGAGCTGAATAAACAGGGTTAATTATATTCCTTAGAATCTACAACTGAAGAACTATGGCTCGTAGGGAGCATCCATATTTATATACAAAATACCTATGCGGTAGCTGCACGGTTGTGCACATCGGTTGTTAAGGTGACCATAATCCCATACTAAAAAGGGTAAATCGAAACTCAAGTGCACAGCCTACCAGCTCGCCGATAGAAATTGTCGATCAATTAGAATCACGTGATCGTCCTTTATACGAGATCCGTGACATAAAGTATTAAATCTATTCTTTTTTTATTTTATATATATCTTCTCTTCAAACAAATTAATAAGTCAAACTGTTATTTCAACAATTTTATTCTTTTATTTAAATTCAATTTATAACATTTCATCTTCTATTTATTTAATCGTCACTACTCTCATCATTTCACACCACTTAATCCATCTTCTTCTCAATCACAGATTTAATACTCCTACTTCAAACGTATACAATTTCTTAAAGTTAAAGTTCAAACCCCCTCATTCCATATGTCCAAATCAATTTCGCCTCAAAATCCGTCAAATTCATCTCAAATCCTTTAATGATCATACCAGAGCATACCAAAAGCCACGCTGAGTAGGGGAAAATTAGGACCGAAAGCACTGTAGAGCACATCCAGAATCTAAAAAACACCCCCAAAGAACATACCAAACCATGCTCAAAAAATACCTCCGCCATCTACCACAATCCACCACCGATTCCAATCTCCAATGCACGTTTTTCTGGTACCATGACAAAACGAACGCGTGGTGGTTTAACACCAACGCGAACTCCATAGGCTTGAACAATTGCTGCATTAGCCTTTTCGATAATACTGGCAGATTTTTTGAGGTACTTGGAATAGTATTCCCCATCCGAGAGCCAAAATTCAATGCGAATTAGACCCGGGAAAGCTTTAAGGAGATCGGCAGCAAACCTACGCAGGCAGGTAACGTTGCAAAGTTGGTAATGAGGAAATGACAATCTTTGGACAACATTCCCTCTCCAGAGGACAATCTGACTGGTGAAAGAATTAAGCGATTCAGCGGAATCATTGAGAAACAAGGTATCGAAACTTGGAGAGAAATAATCGCAGCCAAAATAATATCCACAATGTTTATCCATCATTGATGCTTTTTGCGATTGTTTGTTGACGTACCACAATGGCGAACCTCCGGATCCTAAATGACGTATGAATAAGCCAGGACCATCTGAAGTATAAATTTGCTTCTTGTTAATACTGGCAGTAAGAGTTCTCCCTGCCCGGGCTGCGAAGCCCCAGATCTTCATACATAACTCATTAGGAAGCTTGTCGAAACAATGAAAGGTGTCATATTTTGGTCTAGCTTTCTCTGCATCATATTTGGCTCTAAGTCTTTCGATATAGAGTTGTACTCTAGGTTCAAAACTTTCCAAAATGCCTGGCATGTACCCTATATGGGTCAGGAACTCATCCCTGTCTGAAATACACATGGAACGTGCCCATCTAATGATATCACCAAAGGTGAAATGCTTAAGGTTACCATTTGAATGCATCTCCTGAAACCATTCGATAGCTTCCTCCTTTGCTGGACAGGGTTTACCGAAAATTTTCCAGATAGCACTGTCGCAGTACTTTTCATCACCCAAATGAGGATTGTTTGCCCATACAATAGATTCGAGACCTGGGAGTGTCGCCTCTGGCTCTGGCTCTGGCTCAGGCTCAGTAAACTTGACCACAGGGGCTTTGTAGGCTTTAGAAGCCTTACTGGCGTTGCGTTTGCGTATCATGGTCCTGGGAAACTTGGGAATTTGAACTTCACCAGGAATGGTATCGTCGATGAGCTTTTCTGGCTCCTGTGAAGGGAGACTTTCGTGTGAAAACAGGCAATGCTTCCTATGACAACCACGAGAAGACCGATAATCATTACAAGCTGATCTTTTTTTCACCGTCTCTTTTAAAAAAGATTTTGAAGAGGCAGTAACAACCATTGAAACTCTGGCATTGTTGCTCTGGAGGGCAAGAGCCTTCTGGGTATATCCAGGCTGTTTGTCAGAGCGAACTTGCTCGAGCTTCTTCGCATCATTGGCGACCCATTGTTCTCTACGCTTATTGAGAGCATCATAGTCGTGAAATAACGGGCAATTATCCTCGTATCTGCATCCATTGCGACTCAAGAAGAATTTGCAGGCTTTATTAGATAGAGTTGGTGGAACTGGGACATCAAAGGAAGTGCAAGCGGCCTTGATTCGATCGAGTCCTTTATCTGCGCCTATTTTAATGTTACCATCTTTTGCAAATTTGACCGATTCAATTGGGGCGACTTTGTTTGGTGCAGCTGCTTGTAGTTCGACCACAGGAATAGCTTGAGTTGCCTTGGCTGATGCAACCAAAGGAGGAGGAGAGTGAACGGCCTTGATTCGTTCAAGTCCACGATCGACGCTAGATCTTTTAGATCTAACTACAGGAGTAGCCAAGCCTGTTCGGATTGGTCTAGTTGGCAGAGGGGGGAAGTGAGCGGCATTGCCCAATTCAATTCCTTGGTCGGCGATAGCTTCCCGAGGTTCAACTACTGAAGGAGCAGCTGAAACAATAACAACTGGTGCAACCCAGACAGGAGCAGAGCGAGCGGCCTTGATTTGGCGCTGCACGTGATCGAAGCCAGCTAGTGGAGAATCAACTACTTTGTGAACAGTTGAATCGGTGTTAAGCTGTGCAACCTTGGCTGGAGCATTGGAAAATGCTCTTTTTGGTGCAGCTGAGGTAACAGGATCACGAGAAAAGACCCCGTTGCGGCGATTGATCTCAACCACTTCAGCGAGAATTTGTCGAAGAGGTTGCTCGTAAAAGCTTGTAAAAGTCATCTTGATAGGGGGGAGATGATACTATGGTAAAGTCAAAGTTTTATGACGTGATAGGCCAAATTTCAAATTATCTGTGTTGCAAAAAATAGGAAGAATTCAACGTAGAAAGTTAAGAATAACGATTGTCCAGCGTTCAAGTTTTTGAAATAGAATTGAGGAATGAATCGTGAATTGATACTATCCTCAAATGATTTGTAACAAGTGAGAGTTTTATCAAATTGTGTTGTATCAGGTGTTTCGATTGGTTTGGATGCTGGGGTCGTTATGCAGGAATTGGAAGATGCAGGAATTGGGAGTATTTAAGTGAAGAAGGAAGTTGCCCTTTTTTAAGTGTATGTCTAGTGGCAAGTAGCGTAGAACCCAAGCCAAGAAATAGAAAAGATAAGAAGTTGCGCTTAAAGGGCGATCTCTTCCACAGCCTGCAGAACTTAAAATGATGGACTCGAGAATTGTTTGTGGCGTTCCTATCGTTCTTGAATGTAACGTTGTGTGTTGTGTTGTGTGTTGTGTGTTGTGTATTCACTGCGGTGACTTTCCCAGTGAAAGAGGAGGAATCTTTGAATTGACCTTGATTGAGAATAAGTTGATGGGGAAGGAACAAGATGAATTGAATGATTTCCTCGAGTGAATTCTCAATGAGGGTGAAGTGAAAAGATCTGGAGATTCCTACTGACTGTCCTAGTGCAAAAATGAATCTCCATTAGTAGTTAGTTGAGGGTAATAAGTGGGTCGGTATTTGATAGATGTTGGAAGTAGAGTCTTGGATGAGGCTCAAAGTGTGGATCACACCAAGGTGGGTACTTGTGGCTGACTAGGTAGGTAACTAAAAGTGCTTGTTTTGGATTGAAGGGAGGACTAGGTAACTGAGGGATAACGGTGAAGTGCGATGATCGCAAAGTGTAGTAAAGTATGTGAATAGTAAGGTATGAATTGTAAAGTACGTGAATAGTAAAGTATGTGAGGAGTGAAGCACGATAATATTCAAGTACGACAATCCACCCAAGAAGAGACGACACCATAAAATTCAACATCGGTTCCTTTCAGTGTCAGAGCTTGCAAAGCCTGCGAAAGTAGAAATGGCAGGTGAAGAAGAGTAGTAGATACATACCTGATTAGATAATGAGTCAGGTATCGGTGCTTGTGCAGAAGTAGGCAGTTAGGAGGTCACTACCTTGGAAGTGAAGTTAGGAGGCTACTCCTAGGTACCTAGGTCGTTAGTGAAGGTGGGAAAGTCGTGATTTCTATCTTTCCATCTTTCCCATCGGTGATTGGTTCAGATATTAGTTTAGCTAGCTCATGACTCATCCTGCAGTGAATGTGCTTTGGATTCCCGGCTGGGGAAAGTGGTGACCTCTAGCCAATAGAAGATTTAGGACCAAAAAAGAATTCGTCAGTCACCGATCGATTCGAAGTGATGATAAAGTCTCCCTTCCCTTACCCGCCGACTAACTGTCCCAATTCGTAATGGAAAGTGTTTGTATATTAGAGCTATCCAACCATGACGATAGCTTCATTCTTGGGGGAATCAATTGGCATATTAATATGAAGCTCTTGAATGAATTTATTTGATCATAAAACCTTAGCTTATTTTGCCTACAAATAATTAGATAGTGATGATTTGCACCCTGTTTTCAACGGTATTTTACACGGCCATTCCATTCACTTAACCACTTAACCACTTAACCTTATCCTTAGGCCGCCAGAAATTTAACAAGCTTAGACTCTTGCTGCTTTACAGATGCTGTATGATGATATTCTTTCTAATTCCCATTCCAAATTCCCCAACTCTAAACTCCAAATTCTACATCAACCTGCTCTCACCCACTCTGCCTTTTCTTCTTGGGTACCTTTCCGGAAAATAAAGGTATTCCTAAAAATGGTTCGTAGTGAAATATAAGTTACAACCACGTTAAATTTATGGTCAGAAGGTGTTTAATCCAGCTTTTCCTCCATTATCTTCTCCATTTTCTTATCTCACACTTCAACTCCTTAAACTTTGCTCTTTCTTTTACAAGCTTCTTATTCTACAAACTTCATTCTGGAATTATTTAGTTCCTACTCTCATGTGTTATTGAATTTATATCACCACAGCCCAAGAATCATCGCTCTTCAATCATCAGAAACCAAACAAATCGAAAACATCAAGTATAACCTTATTATATTCAAGTGCTGCAAGTCGTAACGATCTTGTGTATTCTGTTATAAGTAAAATATCCGCTTTATTCTCTAGCCTCCTTTACCGTCACAATCTGCTAACGTCTCATCGCAGAGCCATTGAGCCACTGCAAATCGCGATATACCTTGCCCTCTTCCTCGACGATATACTCAACGCCGAGCCCTTCATGATAAATATAAACCACCCACCCCAATTTCACAAAGCGAGAAAGAACAACCACAAATATATAAATTGCAGATTAAAAAGAAGAATAAAATGAATCAACAACGAAGATTGTTTTCTATTATTATGGATGAATCTAATTCTGTCTTTGATTCTGATTTTGATCTTAATCAAAATACAGACTATAATTCTCAATCCGATTTGAAATTCGATACCGATGCTGAAGCTAATTATTATTAGCAAATGATGAACGGGTTTAAAACAAAAAGGGTTATATTATCGAATTCTAATGATAAAACTAAAGTTATAATGAAAGTAGAATTGGAAAAATAAAAACAATAAGAATATATTTTGTAATCAATTAAATTCTAAATAATTACTAACTTTTTTCTAATAGATTTTATAAAATCTCAAAAATCAATAAATTTAACAATTATCGAAATATATAAAACGGTTATTTTCAAAGTTTATCTCTTCTAACAAGTAAAGAATTTATGAATAAAAAAGAAGTCTTTTATTATTATATATTGAAAAGTTTTTAATATAATATATATACGATTTGTCACGGACCTCGTATAAGGACGATCACGTGATTCCAATTGATCACCAACTCCTACCGGTGAGCTGGTAGTCTGTGCACATCTTGTCAGATTTACCCTTTTTAGTATGGGATTATGATCACCCTAAGGCAGGATGTGCACAACCATACAGCTACCGCATAGGTATTGTAACGATCTGGTTGAGGCAGCGGCTGCCTTAGGTTTCGTATGGTTGGTAGTTGTAGGTTAAGGCTAATAATCACTGGTTATCCACTCGAAGGTGAATACGTTACTAGATCAATTGGAATGTAGGTAAACTAATTGATAACTAAGTTGAGCACGAAGCTCTTAAACTATGAAACTATTCTGACTATATACTAATGAATGTAAAGGAGCTTTGTGGAGCCCTAGAGCTCCTTATCACGTGATTAGGATCAGACTATATGTCCGAGCTTGCTAAAGGTGGGGAGACCACATGAGGCGATTACCATACAAATTTGTATACAAATCGCCTTGCTTTTTGATGAGGCCTAAGCTCATGTGGACAAGTTGACTGTTGCCTCTCAACACACCATAATCTTAATCGTAAATCGTGACAATAGCATTCTAAGAATTCTGGAATCTACTCACCGCACACTATTTAAATTCATGACAAAATCCCTGCAAAACTCATATTTTCCTATATAAAATAAAATATCAAATAACTTTTTCAATATTGAATTGAATCAAATGAAATTTTCAAATATTATAATTAACTACAAAAGGATATTGAAAAAATTTACAATTTATTTTTAATTATTTTGGTTTTAAAGTTATATCTATTTAAATTTAAAAAATGTTAAAATTTCATTTGTGTAACGCTTTTTTGAACTTTTCCCCATATAAAATAAGCGATTTTTTTAAAATTTTTTGTTTTTCAATCTTAAATATATATAACTTTGAAACAAAAATAATAATAAATATTTTGTTAAATTTTTATTATATTTGAATGAATTATCTATATATATATCAATTTTTATATATTTATTTTATTATTTTATAAAGATAACAAGGGTTTAAAAAGTTGAAAAAATCGTTGATTTTGGTGTGATTTCGCTTAGTGTGCGGTGAGTAGATTCCAGAACTCTTGCCATAATCAGAGATAAACTTTAATATATATATACACAGTATATGATATAAAGCTGGGAACAGAATCAAATTTACATCTTGTTACGAGGGTTGCGATCTAGATCACGTGGAAGTGGCCTGGATCCTCGAATGGTTTATAACTAGGCGTCAAGCAGGAGCTTTAAAGTAATATCAATGGTTGCAATTCGTAACTAATAGTAGAGTATACTAAATGATTGATCTTGAGCACGAAGCTCTATACAAAGGAAATCCATCTTGATTATATAGACCTTCATGCCTATGGCTAGTCAGGACCGCTGCGCGGCCCTGGACAGCCAGCGTTCCTCAGCGGTCCATAACGTGACTTTAATCACGTTACCTTGGTTTAGTCATGTGACGCGGCATAGAAGATAGCCGTTGTAACATAAAACTACTACCTCACTACACTAGAACATACTGGAATCAAGGTGGCAAATAGAAAGTCTATATAATCATAGACTTCCCCCAACCTCTCTGTTAAAAAGAGAAAAATAAAATAAAAGGATATTATATTCAAGACATAAATAAGTTAATCAGTATTGGATATATTGAAACTAATCTTTATTTATATGATATGAAATTTTCATACTCAAATTTCAGAAAAAAAATGCCACCGGTGGAAAATACCATGACTATAACTCCGTTACAAAAATATGTACTAGTTGGTCGATAGTCTGGAGGTAGCCAAAGAATATTTCGCACTTCTTCATCTAATCTTTCAGCTATCCAATGGTTTGACTTAAAGTACCGTTCAAAGGCTGAGGATGCCTCCCAATCCGAAGGACCCTCGAACCTTTGAAGCGATTTGCCTGTGATTGTATCCCAGAACCGGATCGTTTTATCGTCAGAGCCTGAAGCTATCTTTGTGCCATCTGGTGAGAAGACAACTGAACTAACCGAATCCGAATGGCCCTTGAACCTTTGAAGCGATTTGCCCGTGATTGTATCCCAGAACCAGATCGTTCCATCGTCAGAGCCTGAAGCTATCTTTGTGCCATCTGGTGAGAAGACAACTGACCTAACCGAATCCGAATGGCCCTCGAACGTTTGAAGCGATTTGCCCGTGATTGTATCCCAAAGCCGGATCGTTTTATCGTTAGAGCCTGAAGCTATCTTTATGCCATCTGATGAGAAGGCAACTGACCTAACCGAATCCGAATGACCCTTGAACCTTTGAAGCGATTTGCCCGTGATTGTATCCCAGAACCGGATCGTTTTATCCTTAGAGCCTGAAGCTATCTTTGTGCCATCTGGTGAGAAGGCAACTGAGTAAACCGAATCCGAATGACCCTCGAACCTTTGAAGCGATTTGCCCGTGATTGTATCCCAAAGCCGGATCGTTTTGTCGTTAGAGCCCGAAGCTATCTTTGTGCCATCTGATGAGAAGGCAACTGACCTAACCGAATCCGAATGACCCTTGAACCTTTGAAGCGATTTGCCCGTGATTGTATCCCAGAACCGGATCGTTTTATCCTTAGAGCCTGAAGCTATCTTTCTACCATCTAGTGAGAAGACAACTGACCTAACCCAATCCGAATAGCCCTCGAACGTTTGAAGAGATTTGCCCGTGATTGTATCCCAGAACCGGATCGTTTTATCCTGTGAGCCTGAAGCTATCTTTCTACCATCTGGTGAGAAGGCAACTGAACTAACCCAATCCGAATGACCCTTGAATGTTTGAAGCGATTTGCCCGTGATTGTATCCCAAAGCCGGATCGTTTCATCCTTAGAGCCTGAAGCTATCTTTGTGCCATCTGGTGAGAAGACAACTGACCTAACCCAACCCGAATGGCCCTCGAATGTTTGAAGCGATTTGCCCGTGATTGTATCCCAAAGCCGGATCGTTTTATCCTGTGAGCCTGAAGCTATCTTTGTGCCATCTGGTGAGAAGGCAACTGAGTAAACCCAATCCGAATGACCCTTGAATGTTTGAAGCGATTTGCCCGTGATTGTATCCCAAAGCCGGATCGTTTTATCGTCAGAGCCTGAAGCTATCTTTGTGCCATCTGGTGAGAAGACAACTGACCTAACCCAATCCGAATGGCCCTCGAATGTTTGAAGCGATTTGCCCGTGATTGTATCCCAAAGCCGGATCGTTTCATCCTTAGAGCCTGAAGCTATCTTTGTACCATCTGGTGAGAAGGCAACTGAGTAAACCCAATCCGAATGACCCTCGAGCGTTTGAAGCGATTTGCCCGTGATTGTATCCCAAAGCCGGATCGTTTTGTCGTTAGAGCCTGAAGCTATCTTTGTGCCATCTGGTGAGAAGGCAACTGAGTAAACCCAATCCGAATGACCCTCGAACGTTTGAAGCGATTTGCCCGTGATTGTATCCCAAAGCCGGATCGTTTTGTCCTTAGAGCCTGAAGCTATCTTTGTGCCATCTGGTGAGAAGGCAACTGAGTAAACCCAATCCGAATAACCCTCGAGCGTTTGAAGCGATTTGCCCGTGATTGTATCCCAGAGCCGGATCGTTTTATCCTTAGAGCCTGAAGCTATCTTTGTGCCATCTGGTGAGAAGGCAACTGAGTAAACCCAATCCGAATGACCTTCAAGCGTTTGGAGGACAGCACTCCAATTTGATCGTATCCTTGATATTTTATAAATCCAACTCGGGATACATTTTTGAAATATTTTTCGAATAATGCTATTCTCTGGAGCAAAGAAAAGGGCTGAGCAATAGATTTGAAGAGGAGCTTGTTCAATTCCTACTCGGCTATAAAGGACGAAGCGCTTGGCATCATGAATGTAAGCGGAAAGTTCAGGAGCTTTCTCAATCTTCACATTTATCAGTTGGAGTTATTTGAAGCTATTTGAAGCTTTCTTGACTTACCGAGATATAGTTTTCTAAAGAACTTATTGCAACAATGCACCCAGAAATGTTTTCCATCAAGCTCATGACCTCCAACCAATGCAGCAAATGCTCTGTTAGGAAATTATAGACTTTGCCATTATTTTGAACATGGTTTTTTGTTTCTGGGGGATTTCCATCTATAAAATGATTGACCCAGTAGGTACATGAATATCGTATATACGCTAGTGGGTCAGGATTGGGTTGCTTGACTTTGTTAATAGGGAAGCCTGGATGACGCAAGTCGTATATGTTCTCTTTCAATATATTGCTCATTTCTATTATCGAATTTAGAAATATCTTCTCATTTACCTTGCCGATCCCATTTGGAAATATTATCTCAGCAGCCTTTTCTGATAGGAAATCCTTTGCCGACTTATGAACGAAGAAGATACTCTGATTACGAACGACCAGAAAGGAGCCACAAAGTTGAATGATTTCTTCCAAATGGATTTCCGATCCGATCAGACGTGCCAACTCGCAGAGCGTAATAGGTCGAAAGGCTACTACTACAATAGCCATGAGCTGAAGGCAGAGCTCAGTTACTCCAGTTACTCCAGGCTCTTTTATATCTAGAATTTGCTGTAGCATACGTTCGTATAAGGGATTCAATTCTGGAGGGTAATAATCTTGTAAGATTGAAGTCGTGAAGAATCGAAGTTCTTGAAGATTTTGGCAGACCAAAGCCACCCAAAGGAAGGTTCCGTTCGCATTCTCTAGGAGATACGATTCAACCGTCGTTCTATTTTTTTCAATACTTTTTCTTTTGCTTGCAAGTTTTCCCACTCTATCTCTTACATACCAATCGACAGCAATAGATACTGTGTGGGTATTTAATTCGAGATTGAGCGACGTTCTCTCCTCAATCGGCCCTAGTGCCTCTTCAATTTCAGACCAGTTACGACTAGAGACAAGCCACTTAACGCGAGGAAACCCAGTTAGACTGGAAACAATCAGGCGAAGTAATTTGACCATATCCTTTTCGCATTCGTCAAGTGCATCAATAATCAAGATTATTGGCTTCAAACTCTCATCATGCAAGATGTTCTTCAGAATATTAGAGAGCGCCACCCATGCATTAATACCTTCAAATAACTGCTTCCCTGACACCTCATATTCCTTTTGTAAATGCCGAATGAGGGAAGGCTCTTCATCTAAGAGCATATAAATAAGGCCACGTAGGACGGAGATAGCACTATTAATAGTATCGACGTTGCTTTGGCAAAAGAAATAGGCCAAGGCGTAATTATTTGATGTCCGTATTTCGTCTATGATACCACATAACAACATAGTCTTGCCTTTGCCAGGATCTCCTCTCACCCATAGCAAGCGGCTGCTTTGGTCGTTGTACCATTGTTGGTATTCTGCGTTTTTGAAGACCCATTCGTATACCTTAAGGAGCAATCCTCCTTTCAGTTCCTCGATACGTTGCTTGTCCTTTCGTGGATCGGTAGTGAACAGATCAGTTAGACAGCGCTTATCTGGGGAGGGAGGATTATCGGGATTACTCTCGATCTCCCTGTTGAGCCTCCTGAATGCTTTATCCTTTCCCTCGCCATAGATAACTGACATGGATACTCCAAAGATACCAAGCAAGCTATATGCTGCGTCTTCTTCTCTCGTCGAAATTCGGTTTTCCGCCCATTTCATTCTATCAATAACACTAAACTCCGATAAAGGAACTCCTTGGAGCGCTTCAATAGCAATTCCCGTGATCTCATGTATAATCAACTTCAGAGATTCTCTATCACCAAGCCTACAACAATCCCGTGAAAAGAACTCGATTGATATTGGAGCGAGGAGTTCTTGGAGCGTCCATCCTCTTGTAAACCATCGGCTGGCCCGAAAACGCCCTTCCCACACGCTTTGTGGTTGCTCTACACCATTTTGAATGACCTCTACATCTGATAAATAGACATAGCATTTTCTAGCCTCCCTATACCAGCGGAACATAGAATTCAAAGATTCACTCAACTCAGGGTCGCTCGTCTTTTTAATGCAACAAGTATCCACCCAGAAATAATCGATGTTGTCACAGGCAGCCTGTTTTCCGCAAAACTGGAGCTTCTCGTAGCCGGTTTTTGCTTTGCGATTACCTGAGTTTATATCTTCGAAATCGACTTCCTGTTCGTCACTTCCCCATGTATGTGAGAGAATAGCATAGGGAGGAATTTCGTTATCTAATAGTGCTTTGGTGAGCTTATATCCGTCAGCATTATCGCACTCTAGCAAGCGCATTTTAGGATTTGGAGTATGAAAAGTTGAGAGATCAGTAGATAATAATGAAGTACACAGCAGGAATCAATATGGCGCTGATATCTTGAAGTTGCCCTTGATTATAGATTATCTCGAGAAATTTGTGTGACAACACAACTATTGTGAGGTGTCGAAGGTTATTTACCTTTTGGAATGTGGGGTTATGCGGGTCAAGCTGTCTCACGGCGAGAATGCTCCGACGTTACATTGTCTTTCTGGCTGTATGACCGACTTTCTCGTCATCATATGTATTATTACGATGATTTCCAACATGGCTAGGGAAAAGATATCTGATAGATGGAAATGCAATAAGATTAGAACAGAACCGGCAGCAGCTCAGTCAAATATAGGACAGACATCAATTCATATCAGATATACGTGGCTTATATATGATGAGTGACGGCTGTTGCATGAGCGACGTCTTCATGATGTTTACCAACACCTCAAATACAATCAAGGTTATCTTAAATTAGTGAAAGACGAAAAAGCATCATGTGATAAAATTGTGTGTGTCCTTCCATAACTTTTTACCACGATTAGCAAAAAAACCTCGGGCAAGAACTGGCCTCGGAGCTTCCAGAAGCGTCACCCAGAACTCAAATCACGACAAGTGAGGGCGATAGATTGGAAACGTCATGAGAACCATATTTATGACAAGATTATACACTGGTTTGAGATGATTGGAAAGGTATTACAAGATCCAACCATTCTGTCAGAGGATGTCTATAATATGGACGAGACAGAAGTTATGTTATGTATGCAGGGCTCAGTCAAAACCCTTCTAAGTCAAGACGACACCTGAGACTAAAGAGGCGCGGACGTCAAGCGCATGATGATCACTGCCATCGAGTGCATCAGTGTAAACGGTGAAATCTGCCCGAAATTGATGATGAAGGTGATAACGATACGCGACCTACAAAACAATGAAATCTTCGTTCATCGCCTATTCACAACAAGCAAACTTTGTCCGAATATGATGATACAAGATGTCATCTCCGACCACATCGCATCGCTAGCCCATCATTCACCGCTCAACCTATCCTGATAAATTCCCCTACATCAACCCCTATTGAGCATTCACCAACGGCCAACGATGGCAATCGCTGCTATTTACCACAATGCTCTCCGAGTCCCGTATGTGCGGAGCCGGCGACAGCTATGCATCAAGAGTGGCCTTTCCAAGGTTTCCTTGAACGCATCAGGATCGGGAATGTTACAACATGTAACTTTGAGTTCTAATTGAAATATGTTCCCGAACACTTTCATCTCCCCGTTCTGTCAGAAGCATTGGACACCAGTACATTCTCGTCTCCTAGCATCAAAATACATTCCGAGGTACCGCCTGCAAAATTACGAGCGAAGAGGAAATGTGTTCCATGGGAACTGAAGGAACATGAAACGATATTGAGGATGAAAAAGGATGATTCGTTCTGGGAGGAGATCTATAATTCCCTTCTGTATTGAATTCCAGTTGCGATCTAGATATAGTATTCTATAAAATTTAAGAAGTGATCATTATATCTTATTTTATTTTTCTTCTTAAAAGCAAATCTTTAATAAAATTACTAGCTAAAGGGGAATTTTTGAATTATATGATGTAAATAAGTCCGGTGCTAACCTCTACCGCAAACTATTCTTCTGGATTGTCCATTCCTTTTGTTGCAATCTCTACTCCAACTTGGTTTTCAGCTACCCAGATTTGCCTTATTCTCTTCTCAGCCAACAAAGAAAGCATTCAAACCCTCCTATCTCAATCCAAGACAATTTTATTCCTCTCCTTGTTGGCTTGAACACATTAGATTCCAAAGTCTAATTTATACTAGATGAGTGATAAATCGGACGTTTCCCATCATGCCTTTTTCCTGCCTTTGCCTCCGCTTTTTCTTTCAATCTCTCCTTTTCCCCTTGTCTTGCCTCATCTTCGTACTGACGATTCAATTGAAGGTCACACAGTAAGCCTCCCGCATTTCCTTTGTTAGTACTACTCTTCCATTCCATCTCGTCGATTTCGGCTCGTTCTAAGTCGATAAGCATCATATAATCTCCAATATCGACAGCACTATCCAATTTAATATACCTATAAATCACTCTGTAAGAAGTTAATACCTTATAGACTTCCTCTAACTTCCTCTCAAATTCTTCATCTTCTTTATATTTCATCGTAATATCAAATAATCTTCGACCAATGATTTCTAATAGAATCAATATTGATGATCTATCATATATTACTTCTTTATAAAAATAAGATATAAACCTTCCTTGAAGAGTTTGAAGTCGGCGATATATAAGCTTATCATTCTCAAACTCTTTATCCCAATCAAATTTATGTTTTTTGAGAATAACTATAAATAGCAGGAATTATTCAGAATGTAAAGTCTTGAAATATAAAAAGAAGTCGAGAAGTCTTTTAATTATCGATCCAATAAATAGAATCAGGAGATAACCGAGAATAGATGGTTTTTTGATCTTCAAGCGATACACAGTTCAAAGTTAATCAGCAATAGTGGCAATTATTAATCTATGTCCCATACAGAATTCCTAGACAAAGGTTAGAAATGTTTTAATGGGGCAATTAAAAGTAATTTATCTTACTAAAGGGCTATAAGTTTCAGTAGGATCTAATTCAACACAGTGAAGTGGTAGGGAGGATGGTAAGGGTGGTGATGGAGGTGGGTTACGGGGGGAATGCTCTGGCCAAGTTCAATCCCACCAAATGTTTGGATCAATCAGCCACGTCGCACAATTACTCGTTATCGTTCCCCCTTGTTTAAATCGAGTGCTACTCTGATCGCATTCATCTGTAGCTCGTCTCAATATTCTGCCACACTGATTGCTCGGACTAGAACCATCAATGGTAAAGGCACAACCATTGATTACAGTCACCGACACGGAAATATAATCGAAACAGGAATTATCAACACAAACCGCACCACTCCAGTCAGCAGCTGTGTGGAGGGAATTAGATGCAGTGGCATCGAGTACTGTGCCCTCATACTTGCCACAAAAGTCATTGATAGCATTTATCATGTCCCCACGACCTACTATTGCACCTGAATTGTAGCAATGCACTTTCTCCGTTGAAGGATTCGGCGATGGTTTGGCAGGTGGCGTAGGTGGCTTACTATACGGTGGAGGAGGAGGAGAAGCAACAGACGTCGTTGCTGATGGCTTGCCAATCGGCCTATCATAAGTTGGTACTGGAAGGCATAATTCCAAAGCACACTTATCGTCCTCTTCTTCTTTGTCGGGATCCTCCGGGTCATCCTCGTTAGGATCGCCAGTAGGACCTGGATCTTGTTTTCCTGGTGGTAAAGGATCATCTATCGGTTTTGGAGTAGGTTTAGGGCTTGGACTAGGGTCCAAAGGGTCAGGAAAGTCTTGCCCCCCATTGCTGCAGTCCAGAAGACAAGGGTGGTCGCAGAAAATGAGACATTTAGACCCACAGCCAGACTTACATATCGGCCCAGGCTTACCTGGCTTAAACGTCACAATTGGAAAAATTGCAGCAACAGGAGTTGTTGTTTTTGATGAGGTGGTCTCCGCGTTTTGTGTTGTGAATGTGTAAGGATATGGAGGTGGTGTTATTGTGCGAGTTACAGGAGCATGCGTTACTCCGGGTGAACTTTCAGGGTTTGGATCATCAGTAATTGTGAATGGCGGCGGTCTGACACTACTGGTAACATAGAATGGAGATGTGATGGTTGATGCATTGTTGGAATTCGTCACAGAATAAGCCCATACCTCTATCTCTGTTGTTGTAACTGGAGGTATGGTGAGAATAGTGGTCCGAATAGTAGTTGTTAACTTCCCGGATTCTGACCAAGCCACTTCTAACGAAGTTGTATATGGTGGGAAGGTGATAGTCGTTGAATTTGACAACACCATGGGAGGCAGTACAAACGTGCATGGTGGCTGGCAATTGATGACTGGATTGATTGAGTCCAAATGCTTGGATCAATATAGACAAATGAGCCGGCGCCAATTCCCGAGTCTCCTCCACCATTTTGTCCTCCTTCTGAACCTGGATCGCCACCACCAGAGCCTAATCCGTCTAGAACATTTCCACTCCCCGCCCCAGAGAACAAGTCAATGCTCTAGATCATCGTTCCGCCAAAGCAATGTTGACTGGCCCAAGTTCTTTTCATCGCGATCGTTTCCATATCATCATAACCCATCTATTGATTTCCCCAAGTCAATTGATTCATCATATCATCTGCAAGTAGAGTTGGCTGAACCCCAAGTTGAGGAATGATGATATTGTTGATCTCTTGTAGCGACATGACACCCCCAAAATTAGTGCATGGACCTGGCAAGCTCGGTTCAGACCACTTGCACCCAATGTGATTGCAGCTGGAGTCTGCCAAGGTGTATCCCCTACCATAGTACGCCAAACCCATGTTGATCTTGGATGGATCCAAGCCATTGTACCAAAGTGGCAGTGTCCAATTGTATATCTCTGGTATGTTGGTCTGACCTATGACGGGTTTGCCCATAGCTGACACTGAGGCATCCCATGGTCCATGAAGATCATATGTCATGAGTCCAAAGAAATCGACGTAAGGTTGCATGGCTATTGGATCAAACCAGCGGAGATACCAGTAACTTGCAGGAAGAGTGGCACTGATTCCAAATTGTGTTCCGAAAGAGGCACGCATCTGCTTAAGCAGATTAACGAAACTTTCGGTATCTTCTGCCTTGCCACCGCGATCTGGAGCGCCTGGGCTGCAAAGATGTCAGATGTTGCTTGATCACAAAAAGGACATTAGGACTCACTATTCCCAATCAATGTTGACTCCTTGAAATTTGTACTTCATCATGAAGCTCTTAAGAGAACTTATAAATATGGCAGTATTAGCGGCTGAGGACGCTATATTGCCCCAGACCGTTTGTGTTGGACCAGGATTATTGAAATCCCATCCACCGATTGCCACCCATGTCTGTAGTTCTTTTGACTGGAGACCAGTAAAATCAGGATAGATAGCAACGTCGGCGGCAGCTCCAGGAATTACCTCAAATGTGAAAGGGTTTATGCTCGCAAATGCCAAGACAAGATGAGTGAAGCCGGTAGTATCTATTTGCGCAGGAGTAACTCTGTTGCACTCACGATTACGAACATTCCCAATCTGATAGTAAGCAATCGTGCGACCACTTGCAGAGTTGCCTCCACAAGTAGGCGCTGCTATTTGTTGGCATGATCCAAACCCAGTTTGACATGGCTGGATTGGGTTAGGGGAATTGCAAAAATCGGATTCGACCTAAGTATTATTAAACGTCAAAATATCGTTGATCTGAACAAAAGGGTATGCTTACACCACAGAAGCCATAATAACTACAACAAACATCAAGTGGACACTTTACTGAACCTCCAGCACCGTCCTGTCCGCAGGCAGCAGTTGCATTACCTGGTTATTCTCTGGTCAGTTCCACCTTACTTTGTACGCAAGTTCGTTCATTGCGTTGCAGCAAACTTACAATTATAGATACAACCATCGCCACAATTATCTGGGCCATATCCACATTTGCCTTCGGCGTTACAACAACTTCCATCCGAACAAGGACTTCCGATACTACATGATCCAGCACCAGTTTGACGATTTACTAATCGAGGTGTACTGATCTTTTTAACTCCTTTATTATCTTGATCTCGCAAACTCTCTCGATTTCGCTTGCGCGACCAAAATGCATTGGAGGAACTCATCGCAGCTCCTACTGCCTGCAATGTTTGATTTAGGTATGCCTCAGATGCTCTTAAATACTCCAAAGCTTGTTCCCGAATGTAAGATCTTGTGATCTCAATTATAGGATGTACTGGAGCGTCTGGAAGCATATCAAAAATTTGCTTAGCTGGTGGATGTTCTCCAGTGCCTTGTTCTAAGATAAGAGCTTTTTTGCTTTCATCTCTTCTTTTTATAATGCTATATCTCTGGAACCCGTGTCAATCTCAAAGATCAAATAGAAATAGGGATAATTGACCGACTTATTTCTTGTTTTGTCAATTTATATCCTGTGGTTTTTATAGTTCCATTGCCATATATCTCATCAACCATGAAGTGTGATGGTCCCGGAATCCGTCGTTTCGACCATGTATCTACAATGGCAGTGTTCGGGTCACTATACCACTCAATAGCGGTAGCGGGTGCAAATCGGTCATCGTTCCAAAGTGTTTTGAAATGGAACTCCCACGTGCCACTGGGATTATTTTGTCCCGATACACGCAGCCGAAGAGTGCTGTGAGCATCTGACTGAAAGTTTTGCTCAGATCGCGTACCCACTACAACGGTATTGGTACTACATTTCCCATTTGCTGGTGCACAGTAGGTTGTCGCACCACCTGCTATACCCCCTTCTACCGTACTGTGCAGTTGTTAGCCTGGAACCTATGTAGCCTTTCACTCAAAAAAAAAAGGAATTTAGAAGGGTTGATATAACACAATTTATAATTCCCAAATCATTCACAGAAAACCCAGGGCTATCGGGGTCTAAGCATATTCACAAGTACTCACAGTGCTGGAGGCCATTCATCGCACGTCTAGATCATGCTAGAGTTTCCACCAGTCGCACCTGCAATCGCATTATAACCCGCCTGGCCCATAACTAAACCATTTGGATTATATCTGTTGGGAGGAAAACTCCCAACGCCATACGTTGACCCCTTTGGCACTTTATTTGGCTGTTGTGGTGCTGTCTCAGGGCATGGGTGATGATTCTTCCAAATATCAGAACACATCTCCTTATTACGCCTCTTTCGAGCATTCGTATCAGTATCATAGTTTAACACGATATGATCGTTGCCTATGAGCTGGCCTCACATTCTAGGCCCGAGATTTTGCAACGGATTTCGAAGTTGTACATTGCTGCAAATTGCTGGGAGTTTTGCACAATTGTAGATGAGGGTTGGTATTCCTATCCTAGTTCAATCTAATCATCATCTTTTATCACCAGTATTTTATGGATGGATTTGAGCACGCACCATTTGGGTTAATTGCACGAGCAGCCAGTTGTTTGACCGTTGATGTCTGGCCGTGGACCGTAGATTGAAAGAGAATAATAAAGCACAGAACGAACTTCATGTCTATTTAGCTCGTAATTTTAGCATACCACTGCCAATGCTCGTTGTCGAAATCCGAGTTGCATCAGTCTATATGTATTTGCAGCCCATCAGGCTGTGTACGCATGGTCTGGAATGATATTTTAGAAGATACTCTGTGAGGGATCCACTCAAAGAATAAGCTTGTAACGATGTACAGCATGGTGTGACAGCCCTGGCGGGCGGCCACGTTAATCATCTTCTTTTCCTATACCTCATTCATTCACTCTCCTTTTGCACACCTCACCCTCAATCTAGACTAGACCCTCGATTGTCTGCCCATCATGTATATTACTCTTACCGTAGAAGGTTCTTCTTCTTCTTCTTCCTATTTCCTTAGTTTAGAATCTTCAATAAATAGCATGCTACAAGTATTACCCTTTGTGGGACCCCATTTATAGCGTTGTCACACATGGTACAAAGGCGCAGGCAGCCTCACGCCCCTGATGCCACAATATAAGGTGTGGTACAGATGAGGAGTAGCGGATGGAAAGCCTGATGTTTGTTTTCTTTTGCGACACAGTGGGCCCTTTGGTCAGACGCTGACAATGCGGACACCACTTAAGCTTATCGACAGGATCTTGACCAGCAAGGACCCCAAAGATAGATGAATCACTTTCTTCAGGATTGCCAAAATGTTGTCGACCATCTACTTCCTTGTTTTTCTCTGCTTTAAATTCGCCAGCTCCACATATTTCAAGGACTACTCTGAACTGTTGTATAGGCCAGCAGGGGGCTGGCAGCGCAGTCAATATCACAAGCGTCAAACAAATTTACCAGAGTGCCATCTTAACTACACAACGGATATCTGGACTGGATGTGCTGATGTCCTCTCACAATTCAATATCACGTTAGTATATTTCGAGTCCTCTAATCCAGAGGTTAGTCCCAACTGCGACGGCTTCATCCCGGGAAACACATATTGTATATTTCGAGGTTAGTGAGCATTTTATTTCTTATTAATTTTAACCTACTAACTAGTTTACAGCATCAACAACAGGCACACACACCAAGCCTTCCACAAATGGTCTATGTGGTGTGCAGCAGAATTGGACAAATACATGTGTAGGCAGTCAATGGGGTAACTGCTGTGGTAGTGGCGGCTAGTTAGTATCTAAATATTTCAAGGTCTAGTAAAACCTCGGAGAATAACTCTTTTGCAGCTGTGGATCGGGTGAGGATTATTGTGGGGAAGGCAATTGTCAAGAAGGCAGTTGTGATGGTGGACAAGTATATTCCACAGATGGCCTTTGTGGCAAGGATTACGATGACTTGCCATGTCCGCCAAAATTCGGGGCTTGTTGCTCACAATACGGATCGTGAGTGCAACTCTTATGCATTAAAAATCTGATTATCCATCTACTGATTCAAGCTTCCAGCTGTGGCAACGGGGCAGGTTTCTGCGGCACTGGCTGTCAGGGTGGACAATGCCAAAGCTCAAGCACAACAACACCTAGTACAATATAAACTAGCACGCCAGCTCCAGGAATTATCAGTAAGGATGGTACTTGTGGATTCAATTTTCAACAAACGTGTAATGGTTCGAATTTTGGAGATTGTTGTTCTGCTGCTGGGTATTGTGGGTATGATTTATATCATTGTGAGAATCTTTTAGGATGGTACGTATTTTTCAGCGAGGGAAAACATGCTAGATATTTAGCTAATTGGAGTAGTCAAACTAGCTATGGTACTTGTAATGGGACGCTGGCGAATGTAACTACGACTGCGGGTAGTAGTGGCAGTTCCAAAAACTAGTTCAACTAATGGGTATGTTATTGTGGCGAGGAGTAGGTTATGGTTGAAGTGGTTTGGGATCACGATGAAGTGCATTTTAAGTGCGTGAGAAGTTCAAAGTATTCTGAAAATTCGTAGCAAATAATGAAAGTCCTTGAGCCTTTACAATTCGGAACAAAATATAGCAGCTTAAGCCTTGGATGTAAGATTTTGTATATCTCAGAGGTCTCGACTTGCTGGTTTCATTATTATATCTACTATAGGTCGTAACCACGAAACCTTGCTCAAATTGCAACTGACCCACCAACTTCCATTTATTCCTTTGCAAACAAATCATCACCCACTCTCTCCCATCCCTCTGGCGTGGCCTCTTTTACAATTACCGCATCAACCACTCCTAACCGCTCCACAGCCTCCAACAACTTTTGTCCCGTTTTCTGCTCATTGATCCATAACAAACATGACTTCCTCGGATACTTGGCCTTCCACTCATTGACACCCAATAGAGGCAGCTCATCGGCAATTTAACCCCAGTCTTCGATTAAATTTGCAGGTAGCATAAACCCCTCAGGACTTGTAGCTTTCCATAATCCCTCTTCTGCAAAGGCTTGTAGTTCTGGTAGATCAGCTATAATATCCTTGTCTTGCGTACGCAGGAGAACACCATCAGACTGAAAAGGCGCTATGGTTACGAAAGGCATAGAGTAGATCGTGTTACGCATTATATTGCGTCGATTGAGAGTAGCATAAACAGATTGATCCTCGTCGTCGCAATTCCCAGAGTCAATCAATGCTATGTGTGTGCGTCGTGGACAATGTGGCACAAGAGCTTGTATAGAGAGTGCTAGATCTGAAGCAGCTTCTTGTCCAAGGAATAATTGAGAGTAATATGGATCTTCTTGGAAAGAATTGCAGAGACGGGCTTGGTGGCCTTGAACGCCTTTGCCGAGGCAGTTAATAAGTAATGTTTCAAGGTATGGTGCTTCAATGATCTCGGCTTCCGTTCGAAATAAGTTTTTACATATAGTGCCAACCCTTAGGCGCATATGTTGCAGTTGTGGCAATATGGTACGAATAGCATGGCAAAGGTGAGCAGACTTCGGTTCACCGAGATCCTGCCCTTGTGTGTCGATCTGAATAGCGATGCATGTTCGAGGTAGAGCAATGATTAGCCTTGCGATAAGTGGTCGGGGAATCCAAAAACCATTCTTGCTCTTTGAAATAACGTTGAGACTGAACGTCGCAAGATTCGAAACGGCTGGGAGAAGATTCGCGAAACGTTCTAGTTGGCTCCATAATTGTCTTGTGCCTTCTGTGGCATTGCGATTTTCGCTCTCGGTCTGTATTGAAGTGGTTTGGGGTAATTTATTGTTGTCAATCGCGATGGTGAGGCTGCGTATTTGCGAGGTATCTGATATTAATGATTGTGTGATAAAGTCTTGTAAGGTGGTAACGGTGAGGAGAATTTCCTGATTCATATTGATATTATTGATGATACGATGGCAAAATTGAAATCAAATGTCTGAAGAATATTCGTATTCGCTTTCGAAATGTGAGTTTGGATTGAAAGCACCATTATCTTTCATTCCTAACCCCAACATTGTTACCTTGTAACAGAGAAGATTAAAAGCATTACTTTTGATTCTAAAAAGTCTGGATTGATTTATTTCTACAAAAAGCATTGTATATTGAATGATATTTCTTCGATTTATATAAATACTCTGAAAATTAAAATGAAACTTAATTTGCTTTGATAGCTCGGGGTTTATTTTGATAGAAAACTAAACTTCAAATTGTATATCCAAATTCTTATAACAAAAGCTTTCAAAGGAGTCAATACACTAAGATCTTTCAATAATACCTGTCGAAGGATATCCCCTTGTTTTATTAAAAGAATGGTTATAATCTATGTACTAAAGAAATGCTACTTTGCCTTGGAAATATAATGGTCAGGCCGAATCAGATTAAAAAATAACGCCCCGAACATTACAATCTCAAATATAGTAGATAGCTATATAAATCTATTCAACAAAATAACCTTCACTTATACAAAAACCATTCTTCTGGTATACAAAACCACAAACATAGTTGTATATATACCTTCAGATTAGATCTGTACCACCCTTTTAGAATCAGAGCAAAGAGCATGATCAAAGCAAAAAAAAAAGCCAAAATCGAATCTCAGGCACAGAACTCCCAAGGTTTATTATAGCACTACCAAAAACCGAATATATAAACCTATTGGCTTTCCCTCCATAAGAACACAAAGAATCGAGAATAGAAATTGAAAAACATATAGCTAGCCCAATAGATAGAACAAAAGCTCAAGCAATCGATGACTTCTGTGACGTACAAGAGCCTCATAAGAACTGAATAAACAGGGTCAATTATATTCCTTGGGGTCTACGACTGAAAACTATGGCTCGTAGGGAGCATCCATATTTATATACAAAATACCTATACGGTAGCTGCACGGTTGTGCACATCGGTTGTTAAGGTGACCATAATCCCATACTAAAAAGGGTAAATCGAAACTCAAGTGCACAAGCCTACCAGCTCGCCGATAGGAATTGTCGGTCAATTGGAATCACGTGATCGTCCTTTATACGAGGTCCGTGACAACTTCAAGGTCTTTTACTTTATAATCTCAAAAATTGATATACAGATCTTTTCGGATAACTCAAAAAACAAAAACTAAGATGAAAGAATAAATAATAGCTTTGTAATCTTATAATTCGATATATAAATAACTTATTATTCCTTTTTATTTGATATAAATATAAAATTATTTAATATTAAAATAATAAAGATTCTAATTTTATTATCAATTAAACTTATTATAAATCTTTGAATCTTTTTAAACAATTACAAAGTAATTTTTAAACTAAACTCTTATTTCAAAAATTTATTATAATCAATCTTCGAAGATTTCCTGAAGCTCTTACAGACCTTGTCACGAAACTAGAAGGACGATCGCGTGATTCCTTTTCCTGTCGGTGAGCTGGTAGCCTGTGAACACTTGGCCAGATTTACCATTTTTATTATAGGATTATGGTCACCCTAAGGCAAGATGTGCACAACCATACAGTGTTACAAGGTAACAGTCAACTTGTCCACATGAGCTTAGGCCCTATCGAAAAGCAAGTCAATTTGTATACAAATTTATATGGTAATTGACTCACGGGGTCTCCCCACCCTCAGCAAGCTTGGACACATAGTCTGATCCTAGTCACGTGATGGATCATAGGGATCTACGAAGGTCTATATAAATAAGGAAAGGATTCCTTTTGTAGAGCTTCGTGCTCAAGATCAATCATTTAGTATACCTTACTATTAGTTACGAATTGCAACCATTGATATTATCTAAAAGCCCCTGCTTGACGCCTAGTTATAAACCATTCGAGGATCCAGGCCACTTCCCCGTGATCTAGATCGCATCCCTCGTAACATACAGCTACCGTATAGGTATTTTGTATATATATAAGGATGCTCCCTATGAGCCATAGTTCTTTAGTTATAGATTCTAAGGAATATAATTGACTCTGTTTATTCAGCTCTTATGAGGCTCTTGTACGTCACAAATATCTTGTACTAGAGAATACTAGGCTAAGGAGGAAAGAGGAAAAGGGGAAAGCAGAGGGCTTTCGTAACGATTTAAATAATACATATATAACCTGTGCGTAATGACTAGACCGTAGACGCGTGACACTAGGCTACAGTCATGTGATCATAGTGCGTGACCTCAGTGCGTTACACGCAATTGAGATGGCATTGATGGTGGCAGCTTGAGATTAGACACCTAGGATAGACTGGGAAGTATTAATTCGCACTATCTAAACTATAAGATTTTAGAATGGTTGTGTGAAGTCACATGATCACATATATATTTTCCGTGATACACCTCTACAGATCAAGAATCGGTCTGTAAATTCGAAAAAATATAAAAGCATGGTAGAAATGATACAAGTAATATTATTAGAAGTAGGGAAAAATGTATTTGGTTGAACTGATCTGCCAGAATGAGTTTTTGACCAATTTGATTAATTTTGGTCAATTTAATTGACCAAATTAAACTGTGCTACTACAATACTCTTAATGAAAGATTTGTTGACAACTGCTTTATTCAGCCTCCTTAATCCTGTTATTTACATTCTGTAGGTCTCTAGTAGTCTTATACATACTAGCTACAAGTATATGATCGGCCTCGAGCACTGGCCGCTCGAGGAGACCGGAATTCCGATTACGTTAATCAGTAACGCTAGGTCTCGCCCCTCACAGGTCACTTCACTTTCCGGGCTCAAAACAGCTCGGATGACGTTTTTACCACCACCAGCGTGTAGAGTGCGAAGAGGGGATCCTAATGGTGTAGTAAACCATGCAATATGATTCATATTTCACCTTACCCCCTCTCTCGGTGCCTACGTAAAATAATTTTCTGATAAATTCATCTCACCCCTGGTGAGCTCCCGGTGAGCTTTGATGGTCATCAATGGGTACTGAACCACCTTGGAGGTATCGAGGCCTGTAGACTAAGCCGAAGGACCTCCTGATGAGCTTTCCCACCACCTTATAGGCATTTATTTATTTATACACTTTTAACGTCCATTGGAGCGGCGGAGCCTGCTTTGACCTCCCGTAGGGTACTGGAGACGGGCTAGTTTGAGGAAATTACATAATCAGAAATTGACCAAAATTGACCAGAATTGACCAAATTGATCACCATCTGAAAAGCCCTGGAACGCTTGTATCTCCCTGAAATCAAATTCCTCCATCAGAACTCCCTTCTCAGATCAATCTTTTCTTTGAGTTATTCTCGCCAGTTAGAAGTTATCAATTTTGGTGTTGGTGTTGGCATTTAGCTCAGCCGGACTCCGTGATCCTGTATCGCCACTTGTAGTGGTGCTTAGCCCTTCGAGTGGAAAGGGTACATTGTTACGGCTGTTATTTTAGGTCGTGGCCTGTATAGTTTTGCTTTGACGTAGCATAATCGTACGGTGTTTACGTTAGGGCGGTGCCTTTGTAAGGGGGGGGGTTGGATGACCAGTTTTGCTGGGAAGAGCATGGGAAAGCGGGCTCTGTAGGAATGGTGCCTGTAGTCAGCGCTTGAACGCCTTTCTTTTTAGTCCTCTAAACGGGGTCACGGTTGTGGAAGGTGTAGAATCTAGTGACCTTCAGAAATTGCTCAAAGTGAGAGGGCAGGGCCAGTAGCTCTGCTAGGTATTTCTGCTTTTCGATCGCATTGCGGGGTGGGGCCTTCGGTTTCGCTGGCCATAAAGCAAAATTTTTTTGTGATATCTCGCAGAAGACGAGATGCTCAGGAGTCTTCGCTCTTCCGCAGGGGCAATCATATTCTGCGTCTGGGTGTTTGAATCGTCTGTGGTAGCTAGCAAAGTCCCCATGTGTGGTTCGGATTGCTAAGAGTCGATGAAGTGTCATACGTGGGAGGTTTAGTTCCTTCGGTTCCTTTGTATTATATTCCAATCTCCATTTGCGATAGTTGCTTGCTAGATTTATCTTATGCTTGTTCCACCAATTCGATTCCTCCGTTCTGTAGAGTGCTCGGGCTAGCGATCCGATGCCGCTAATCGTCGGGGAGGTATTGAGGTCTGGGTCTATCCTGCCGCTCTTGGCTCCTATGTCTGCGAGAGCATCCGCCTTTTCGTTTCCTTCGATTCCGGTGTGACCGGGTGACCAACGTATACCGATCTTGTGTTGATCTATGAGCTTATGGCTTTCCAGGAAGGCCCATTGTGATGAGGGTGATGCGTTGGCCTGAAGGCACCAGATCACCGACGTGCTATCGATGCACATCCATATTTTGGTTCGGTGATCGCGTACGGTTGTTAATGCGGTTTGGAGGCCCTTTAGGGCTCCTATCGCTTCCGCATCGAATACATGCGAAAGGGAATTGATCGCTCCGTGCCCCGTCTGTATACATCTTCTTCCTTCGTATACTGCGTAGCCGTATCCGACCATCTTATGTTCGTCTGTGTATTGTTCTGATCCATCCGAAAAGATGGTTATAGTGTCTTATGGAAGGTTCTTCCACCAGTTGTTGAAGATCATCGCGGCGGTTTCTTTGGGTACTCCTTTAGTGGGATCCTTTCGGCCTCCTGGAGAGTAGTGCGGGGTGGCTAGTATCGGGCGTGGTACCCGCGGAATGATTTCGTCTAGGCATCTCAGTTTAGTTCCGATTTGCCAGCGTTGGGTTGGCTGTTCTAATCGATGGGTAAGAAGGTGGTTGGGATCGGTCGTTTTCAGATGCATTGCGAACCGTAATCTTGAATGCTCTAAAGCTATCTCTCCAGAAGGGAGGCCTGCATCGCGTAGCAGGCTTATTGTAGGGCTTGTTTTCCAGACTGGTAGAACCCCTCTAGCAGCAAGATTGATCACTTTATTGATTTTCTTTATGTGGGTTCCTACTCTAGTACTGACCGGTGTTCCACGGAGAGCCCCGTTTGCTGTACTTGGTTTGGTCCTTCCTGCATACCAGGCCTCTGCTCCGTATAGGAGTGATAGGAGTACACATGTAATTGTGGCTTTGCGAAGCGCTGATGCTGGTGGGCCATCCTTTGTTTTGCCCAGATGTTTAATATGGAGGCTATGACCTACAGCAGTACATAACTCGACTAGTATATAAACTTTCGACCCCATTAAGCTTCAGGGCCGCCTTATAGGCATGGAAGCCTACAAAGTAACCCTACAGACCCTAGCACCGGTGAGCTTTCCCAGTGGGGTGCATCACCATCTTATAGACACCAAAACTATAACCTAAGTCTAAAAACCTCCTCCCGGTGACCCCTCACCGGGAGTACTAGGTTAGGCTAGAGACCTGGATGTAAGGCTCACCGGGAATACAGCTCAGGGCCACGACTCATCCAACGTTTGAGATATGGATCACCGGGGATTAGTCAAATGTGTATCGAGGTTCTCCACCCGATGCAATATCAGGGGCTTACCGGTGATGAGTAACAGATTATATATATTCCATCTCCTGACGGTTCACCTAGCCTGCTACAATCAGGGTTCACTGGGAGGGTGAGGGTAAGATCTTTGTATAGATAGCGGCATAGAGACTTTCAAATTCCGGGGTTAGGGTTCTTCTTCGGAGTCACCATAGTGGCCCCCCAGTATCTCTAAAGAAGTATCTTGGATGAAAGTTACCGTTTACCCGGTGACCTTAAAATCTTGACATGAACTCGACCGATCTCCTTGGAGACCGGTCGATTCCACGACGCGCCCAAGCCCACCATCTCAAATGGGACCCCCTTCCAAAGCCTGTAAACAAGCTGAAAATGGGAGATTGTGTAATCAAATCTAGGCTACGAGACGGCTTACCCTCAGTAGATCGTAACAACAAGGCTACTCTACTACTTACAGGACCGTGTAGCACAATTAAGTCGTATGCAAAGGATTCAACCCCACAAATGGTAAAATTGCAAGACGCCAGTTAACCCTAAAGAGTTTCTTCAATAGGGTCGTTTCCAGCCAGCTAAGATTCGGGGCCAAAGGCCTATTCGTATCCGACTACGATGTGTGGGTGTAAATCACCGCTTTCTGGCATGGATTCTGACTTAGAGGCGTTCAGCCACTATACAGCAGATGGTAGCTTCGCGGCACTGCCTTGTCAGACAGCCGCAAAAACCAATTATCTGAATCGGCGGTTCCTCTCGTACTAAGCTGAATCACCATTGCGGTGTTACGAGGATGCGATCTAGATCACGTGGAAGTGGCCTGGATCCTCGAATGGTTTATAACTAGGCGTCAAGCAGGGGCTTTTAGATAATATCAATGGTTGCAATTCGTAACTAATAGTAAGGTATACTAAATGATTGATCTTGAGCACGAAGCTCTACAAAAGGAATCCTTTCCTTATTTATATAGACCTTCGTAGATCCCTATGATCCATCACGTGACTAGGATCAGACTATGTGTCCAAGCTTGCTGAGGGTGGGGAGACCCCGTGAGTCAATTACCATATAAATTTGTATACAAATTGACTTGCTTTTCGATAAGGCCTAAGCTCATGTGGACAGGTTGACTGTTACCTTGTAACATGGACCTTCAACTCATCTCAAATTTTTGGAATTTCAGTAAGTAAAATAAAGTCATACTTGGTTCACTTTTAGTACAGATATAGGCTGTATCAGCGTTGTTGCTCTTACTTATTATTATTTTTGCGGAGATTGATATTTGAGGTATTCCTCAAAATTCATTTTGTTAGCGTTTATTGTGGTTGTTGCCCCATTGGAATATATATCACACCTTGGGTTGACTCAAAGCATATTCCCGATAATTATATTGTCCTTGTAATCCTTCAATACTATAATACAGTGGGGAAAGATAATTTACTATAACATTGATGGTGTTAGTCATTCCTTAACATCACAGGCCGATATTTTCCATTTCTATAATGGCTTGAAAACGAGGACCGTCAGTGCAATAAGATTGACAGTCCTTAACCTTCACGGTATCAGAGTACTTGAAATGAATATAGCTTAGTAGAATAGGATCGGTCATTACTTTTTCTATCAATCTTTGTTCCTATATCGCTTGTATTTAATCTTTTCCAATATCATCTATATCTGTAGTCTCATTCAGCTGCTCCTGCCTCTAAATCTGTATCTTTATCAGCAACTGAAAATTTCGGTTTTGAACTGTCAAACTGGGATAAGGAATGTGTAATGTAACAGCAGGTAATAGCCATTCTATTTTGATGATTTGCGATATTCCAAGCGGGCCAAAATCATGGATCAAACATCGTAAATTGCCATTGATACTGTATATACCAAATCTTGAATTGTAATAGATACCGTAAGATTGATAAAGGAAAAAGGAATGTTTATATAGTGTCGATATTCCAAATCTAGTAATTATACCAAGTTTTAGTATAATCGAATGGGAATTGGTAGTTTATTTGTGGTACGAAGTCCCGTCTTTTATTCTCCAGATTTGTTTCCCAAGATTCGCTTCTTAGGATTCAATAATAGGGGGCACCGAATTCCAACCCCACACAATTATATAAAATATTGCCTAAAACAATATAGTCTTTGGGACCGACTTGTACGAAAACAGAGAAATATAGAACATTATTACAGAATTCGAACCATCGTTTTTCGGGCAGTATTGACAAGCAACTCTCTGCGTCGTAGAGGGTTGTTTAATATCACAAAACATCGTTTTCGAATCATACTATATATGCTTCATAGCTAAAAGATTGAATTTGCTTGCCTTTCTAGCGGACGAATCCAACTACAACATGCTAGGAGAAAGATATCTGGAACGATGAAGGTAAGGATAAACAAATGCAAGCAAAATTCAAGAAAGATAAGAACAACAAAAAACCTAACTAGTTTCCTATTTCAGATATACGATACTAGTTGCTTGATATTAGATAGAAAAATTGCAGCGGAACCTCTAAACGAATCTAACAAGACCTTCCTTTTTGGTATGCAGATGATACTATATAAAATGGAAGAATTGCAACAGCATCGAATTCAGTTGAACAAGTATTGTTAGTAAAGGAATATAATTGTATATTTGTAGATGGATAATAAGAAAAGACTTACTAGAAGCCAAAAGCAAATCAAAAGGCGAGTCGAAGTTTAAATAGAAGATATAAGGATGCCAAAACAGGCAACTGAGAGAGAAGTCTAGCTGTAACAATCCTAGAAGACAGTACCTAGAATAGTAGGTGAAGAAACAAATAACTCAAGTGCCTCTTGTGACCTTGCGAATCGATTACGAACCAATATCCATAACATCCGAAAGATCAATTGATCAATTGATCAATGGATCTATATTTCTGTTTCATCCTACGATATCCACAAATCTAGATAAGGAAATTGTTCCTTTGTAATGTTGTAATTTCTGAGATTGGTTATTTTTGGAGATTGATAATGAATTGAACAAAAGAGGAAAGTATACGATACTCTTAAGGTTTTAGAACAATCTAGATCATTCCGTTTATACATATCAAAATCATATACTGCCTTTTTGTGATCATACCATCTCGACTGAGGAATTGTTGTTGTAATATCAATCCTAGAGGTCCACTTGACGATTTCCACTGACTTGGCATAATCTGCAGTGAGTTTCTTGTATTCGAAATGTTAACATTGATTAATTGATATTCTAGAAGGTAAAATTAGTGGAAGCCTCGAAGGAAACCTCACAAGAATTTCCTATACCGATATATAAAGGATACCACGTATTGCAAAAGATTGGGGTCTTTCAGACAAAAGTAAGGGAAGATGTCCACAATCCAAAATCGATTGGATGTTTAGTGATTATGATAATCACGGCAACACCAAACTTAATTGAGTGTAGATCGTAAACCGGAAAGTGAGGTTATATTTCGTAGGAATAGGATAAAAAAGGATCCAATAAAGGTTAATACATCTCAAAAATCTAGTTGAAAGCTTTAATAGGAAATTTGGGTGATAGAATATACAATCAAATAGGGGAGACCTTCATCCGCAATTTTCTTAGGATCAGCAATATCTAGGATGATAGGTGGAAAGAGAAAATGAAGAGCTGGAAGAAGAATCCAAAAGATATCAGAGCAGAGAGGGATATTGGCAATAGCATTGGATTTATACAGAAGTCTCCAGGCATAAGAGGCTAGCGGCTGTATAGTGGGTAGCGGTACAGCGGCCAATGGATTACGCGAGGTATTCCCTGTTCAGGAAGCTGCGGTTTCCTGAAGCAGAATCACCAACACTCATAATACTATGGTACATTTTCCCCTTCTAAAATTCATTCTCGTCGTTTCCAGCAATGATGACATTATTGATCTTCAATACCATGCGACAAAGTTGTGTTGCCAACATCAACTGTTGCTTCTTACCGATCAATGGATCGATCACGAAAGCATCTCTCATATCATTACTACCGGTTTGCATACAATCAACACCCAGTCTTGTGTTCTTCTCGGTAGCTTGTCGACTCTTAACGGAGGCCAAAGTTTCAATCGGTGAAAGACCAGAGTTTTCTGCTAAAGCCATTGGAATTGCGTCAAGGGCATCGGCAAAAGCACGCATAGCGTATTGTTCAAGACCAGGTGATTTAACAGCGGCATCTTCGACGGCTAAGGAGCATGCGATTTCGGCCGCACCACCACCATAGACAACTCTATTATCCCTAACGAGGTTACGAACAACACATAATGCATCGTGAAGAGAGCGTTTGGCCTCATCGATGATCTGTTCTACTGTTAGCGACGACGTAGGTATTCTAATTTAGTATGACATACCATCTTGTTGCTTCCTCTAACAAAAACTGTGACGGCACGAGTGTTTGCACATTCCTCAATGACCAGCATCTTCTCCCTAGTCGTACCGAAACTCATTTCTCTGACTAATCCAGCTTTTCCGAGTTTCTCGGCCGATAAATCCTCAAATCTTGGTACGATTCTACCATTTGTTGCAATGGCGATTAATTCTATTTCTGGTCCTCCAACCCATCTCACGGCTGGTAATTGACTTTGTAATAAAAGATGGTTTGCTTCATCATCAAATCCCCACTGGCATATAACAAGATTGGCACCAGTATCTTTAATCTGTTGAACCATCTCGGTGAACTTGTCCTTTTCATATGTTTGAAGTTTTTTAAACTCTTCAACGGAGGTGATATCGAGCTTGTGCTTGGTTTTTGGCTTGGGTGGTTCAAATGCACATGTGAGAATAGCGATCTTGGCATCTCGAACCTCATCGGGCATCTGAGGATGTGAAAAGTCCTTGTCGACAATAACACCTTGAACCAGTAAAGAATCCTCAAGAGATCCACCAACCTTACCATCAACCTTAATCAAGTCAAAGTCAACATCCTTGCGCTCTAAGTCAGCAACAGATAGGATAGCATCAACAGCAATGTTTGCGAATTGGTCATGAGCCTTGGAGACGATTTTGCTTCCCAGACTTGTCCTTGCGACCTTGACTAAATTCTCTTTCTGTGTTTTTGTGAATTCGATAGTATCGGCAATTCTATCCAGCTCCGCAACAGCAATATCACAAGCTTGATCGTACCCGTCGGCTATCCGAATAGGATGAATTCCCTTGTCGATAAGTTCGGCGGCTTGTTCTAATAAGGCACCAGCCAAAACTACCACACCAGTTGTACCGTCACCGATTTCGTCATCCTGAGATTTGGAAAGTTCGACTAGAAGCTTCGCAACGTGGTTCTGAATCTCCATCTGTCCCAAAATGGTAGCACCGTCGTTGGTAACTGTGATATCGCCATCTGGGGAAATGAGGATCTTATCCAGGCCTCGTGGACCAAGGGAGGTCTTGACAATATTGGCTACTGTCCTTGCTGCTAGGATATGTGATTTGACTGCCTCATTTCCATGTTGTCTCTTCTTCCTTCCCTGACTGTAACCTCTTCAGTACTTTGGCTTTAAACAGAAAGAACATAAATCCTTACTCTCTGACAACGATGAAAGGTCTGCCTTGCTCATCCTTCACCACAGACGCTATTAATTCATTATAAGCTTGAAGGAATTTTTGACGGAGTATACAAATACAACGTACCCTGCGACATGTCGATGTCTACATAGTGGGGTGGTTAGCAGAAGCTCTAGAAAGACATATAACCAGCGGCAACAGGGAAAAACTTACTCATCGCCATGTTTAAAGATGTACGAGGTTTTCTAGATTAAGCGACCACTCAAACAAACTGCGGAGGTATCGAAATAAGCAAACAAAAAGCCGAGTATTGGACAAACTTCTTCGCTGATCAGCGCGTTCAACTCAGCTAGTCGCGTTTATTGAAAGCCCTTCGTCTGCCAAAAAATATTTCGACAGCCTCAGGTTCGTTAAACGTTGACGCCACGCTTAGTAAAGAGTCCCGCATCAGCCACAGGTAGCCTCGGTCTCAGCCTCGCACGTATTTAAAAACCTCATTTCTAATTCTGTCACTCGTATATATGGAATTATCTAATATCACAAACTTTTTCACAACTTTGAATTTATTTATTAACCATGAAAAAATGACTTGATGTTTTCCTTCATTTCCCCTTTCATATGCACTCGTGATACGCTCTCAGCTGGATCAAAACCAATGGCTTCGATGCACATTCACAGTACATATCTTCAGCATACATTTTTCACCAGTGCTTATCCTTATTAATTTCTTGGAGTAAGATCTCGGTATGGGGTTTTCAGGGAGTCCCGCAGATCAACAATATCTCTCTTGACACCTTTGGTCGACGCCTTTAATCTTGGAAACGTAAAATTTCCTTTATTGGTTCTTTAGTACTCTTTCCAAATAAAAGAGGAAAATCTTTCCAAATCGAAAAGTTCCCCGGAAGAACTCATGAACATCTCTATCAAAATCTCAAAACCTCACCAACTCTATGCGAATCTACTAATATCATATATACTTTTAGATGGAAATTCGGTGAAACAAGTTACTTTCGCACATCTACCGGTATTCAACATGGGTGTCTAGGACCACAAATCCCCCAAACTCAATGATTATTAGGGTGTATCAGAAGCTGCTGTCTCAGGAAGAAACAAAAGTTTCCGTCTGATAATTTCACCGAAAAGGCTCCATGGTTCATGCGATGTCGACAATCAAATCGAAGTACCAGGGTCCATACAAGTCTGGCTATACTCTCGTAGACGTCGGAAGTATATATTTTATACATGGTATACATGAAACATGGTTACCGCATTGGGAACCTCCTTTCTGTTGGAATACAGACTTTAAAAGTTAACTTTGTTATGGAAACTCTCTAATTGATGTCAGACACACGGGGAAGATTTCCCCAAAAGCAGCAACATCTATCAAACGACAGACGAGACAAACGAGACAGACGAGATGGAATTGTACCTGCATTCAGGAGGGATACATAGTATTCCAAAAGCTAATCGCATCGCAGATTCGCAAACTACGACTCGACTGGGTAAAGTCACGATATTTAACCACTTTGGGTGGGTCAGAGTTTCAGATATACTCGAGATTAACTCGAGATTGGGACCCCATTTTCCCCTCTTATATCATCTGTAAGAAGTTATGATGGTTCTTTTGGATTTCCATCTACGCGAGCCCATCTAGATTCTAGACAAATCTAATCATTCTAGTGATTACTTTAATTGGCGACCGCGGAGTCATTTTTACTTTCCTCAACATGATCCGCATCATGCTGATTCCCCTGGCCCAAGGTGCGCCGGCCCATAATACCCCACTCTCAAAGTTTTGATTGATTTGGTGGGATTCTTACATGGGCATATCCTCGAGCGAGTACATGGTTATCACTACCAAGTACACGTAGAGTAAGTACATATAGGTAAATATACTTCCAGATCTTTCAAACCGCTCCTTAAGAACTTCCATCTTTAACTTCTCTTCTTCTACTCCAAACGCAGACTTGTCTGCCTTTCACTCTTTTTTGAGCTTCGCCATCGTTTTTGGTCTTGACCATTGTACATTCATTCTTCCATTCATTCTCAACCGTCCTTTTCAAGATATAGTTTCCGCAAAATGCAACTCAGCACATTGACAGCCCTTGCGGCAATCGCACTCCCAGCTTTAGTGTCAGCACAATTAAGTGGTGCAGTCGGTCCATCGACCTCGAGAGAATCTAAGGCTAAAAAAGTGTGTAACGTTTTGAATTATGGCGGAAAGGCGAGCAAAACTGCAGATATCGGCCCGGCGCTTAAATCTGCCTTTGCAGCCTGCAAGACTGGTGGAACAGGTATGTATCCCAAAGTCTGCTGCCATTGACCAAGACCTTACCTTTATATAGTCTATGTCCCGCCCGGAGATTATGGTATGAGTACCTGGGTTACACTCAGTGGAGGTTCAGCATGGGCACTTAAACTAGATGGTATTATTTATCGTGTTGGTACCGATGCTGGGAATATGATCATGATCGAACATACTACCGATTTCGAAATGTACAGCAGCACTTCTGCAGGTGCTATTCAAGGTTATGGTTATGAATTTCACAAATCCTCGACTTATGGTGCACGCCTCCTCCGACTTTACGACGCTACCAACTGGTCCGTTCACGACATTGCTTTGGTCGATGCCCCTCAATTCCATTTGGTGATTGACACTTGCACGAATGGAGAGATTTACAACATGATTATTCGTGGTGGTAATGAGGGAGGTCTCGATGGTATTGATGTTTGGGGAACTAATATTTGGATTCACGATATTGAGGTTACTAACAAGGATGAGTGTGTTACTGTCAAGGCAAGTTTTATCTTCGACAAAGTTGTAATAAACTTTATCTAATCATAGCATAGAATCCTTCCGACCATCTTCTCATCGAAGACATCTACTGTAACAGTTCAGGAGGTTGTGCTATAGGCTCTCTCGGAGCAAATACCGCCATCTCTCACATTGTCTACAACAACATCTACACTTATAAATCCAACCAAATGTTTATGATCAAGTCAAATGGTGGTAGTGGAACCGTCTCTGACTGTCAATTCAACAACTTCATCGGTCGCTCCAACGCCTATAGTTTGGACATCAACGGTGCCTGGCCTGAAGCAAGCGTGGCTGCTGGTAAAGGAGTTATCTACAAAAATCTCTCCTTCAACAACTGGAAGGGAACTGCAGCCAGCGGCCTTGCACGTGGACCAATCAATCTCCTCTGTCCTGCCACCGCCCCATGCACAAACATCACCATCACCGATTTTGCCATCGGCAGCGAAACCACCAGCAGTGAAAATTACATCTGCCAAAATGCCTACGGTTCCGGAGGATGTCTCAAGCCCGACACTGGTTCCCCATCAGCATACACCACAACCAAGTCCCTCGGCGCCATCCCAACCGGCTACAAAGCCGCAACCATGGCCCAAGATCTAGCCACTCCTTTCGCCGTCACGGCAAGCATCCCCATCCCAACAATCCCAACCTCTTTCTTCCCAGGCAGAACGCCCGCCACCGCACTCATGGCCCACGGAGGCGCCATCGCTTCTAGAGCTGTTCTCGCCCACAAAGCTGTTACCATACCAGCTCAATCCTCCTCAATCCCAGCCTCTAAATCCAGCACCAGCGCCAGAATCTGCACCAAAGCCTCCTCTCCATCCGCCACCCCCAAGACAACCCTCGTAACTAAAGCTTCCAGCACCGCTCCAGCTCCATCTACATCCGCCAAGCCAGCCACGACCAGCAGCACTTCCTCAGCTGCTTCCGTCCCTTTATATGGTAACTGCACAGGCGGAAAATCTTGTTCTGCTGGTACTTGTATCAAGCAGAATGAGTATTACTCCCAGTGTCTTCTAGCATAAAAACTGACGGTAGATGGTGGGTCTGATGGTGAGTCGGAGACAGGAAGTGAGGATGATGAGTGCGAAGTTTAGATAGTAGTTTAGCTAGATATGCTTAGGATGAGAGGGAGGGGTTGTGGAGAGGTGGAGGGAATGTGGAAAGATGGTTGGAATTTATGAGAGGAGCTAAATTCATTGTATTATAGTTGAACAGTATCTTGATTGTACCTATTGGAATCAGAAAACACTTCCTGCCGCCCTGTGATGGGGTGGGGATGATTTATTAACTAGCCACCATGCATTTGAAAGTTGATATATGCGAGTAAGATATTCATTTTTTGTCCGTTACTTACTTGACTTCGACTTGCAATTTCGTATTCGCATGTTAATAAGAAAAGAGCGATATCCTTCCTCAAAGCCACATAACCCCTAAAAAAAACACTCCAAACCACAAATCCCCAATCAGCCTAAACCAACCAAAGCTAAGCAGTCCCCTCTTTAAAAGCCGCCGCAATACTAAACCGACCCTTCCCCCAAACCCTCCCACCCTCCGCTGCTGGAGACCTCGCTTCATATCTTAGAGCCCTCCCCTCCACAATCGCCACCAATTCATAATCCACTCTATAATGTTTCGTCCCATTGCTACCTTCTTCCGGAAACACAGGCTGGATCTTATTTTTATCGCGGAGAAATGTCATGTCTACTATGATTCGGCCGGCGATTTGCGCGTCTGGTGATTTTTTGAAGAGTGGTTAGTTTGGTATGGGATGGTATGGGATGGCATGGGATTGATGTGATTCAAAAGGGAAGATATGTAAGACTTATATGTAGGTACGGGTATATGGTAACTCACCGGCATTTTTAATATTCTTCCTGCTGGAGTGAGATTCTGCCGCGGTATCGGAAACGTAAAGAAGTTCTTCGCACATAAATTTTTCGGCGTGGATTGCGAAGGGGTGATAGGTGGGGAATCGTGGAAATTGATGATCTGGACGAACGGGTTTACCCTATCGAGTGTAGTGTTAGGACGAGATCAAAAGATTACATTTCCGTCGAGAAATGGGTCGTTTACCTTGATCATGAAATAATCGATCGTGGCCACATATTCCTCGCCATCCAGTTCGCTTTTCTCGGCTTTTGCTCTCTTGTGTCCAGGGTACGCTTTGGGCTGCCATGGCTCATGGCGGAGAAAACCATAACTTGACTGAAATTCTCGCTGGTCCATTTTTCTTATCTAAGGAACGAAGAACGGCTCCGGATGCCACAGCTGTGACGCTTCAAAGATTTTAGCCTATTGGATAGATCAGAAGAGACATATATCACCATTTATGCTTATCCACTACCAATTCAATGTTGGAATCAAGCTCCTCCGATTTCTCCTGAAGCCATTGCTTGAGGTAACTTCTCAGAGAAGGGGAGCCAGCAAAGCCACCCACTAGAAACACTTTCTTTGAACAGTCAGTAAGTTTCATACATCTGGTCATTTCGGCGCATACCTTGACCACAAGGTCTTTTGCCACGGCTTGTTCAATCTGATTTTCTATCAATGCCGAGATACGCATGAGGAGGGGTCCGAATATATCTTCACAGTCACTCCTGAGAACACATCAACCAATGACGCTTATAGATTGAAGAAGAAAGCCCATACTTATTCATGAGTAGATGGTTTGTCTCGAAACGCTTCTCTGCTGGGCCAATTCGATTCATCTGTTCATCACCGCGTAAGCCAGCTATATACACCCTGTGGCTAGGCCGCTTCATGACATTGACTCGTCTCTTGTATTCATTCTCGAAGTCTGGGATCAATCTATTCCTCGGTCCGTATTCTCAAAATTTCAAACAACTGTTAGGTCCTTGTAACTTGATTCCAAATATAGCTACGTTTCGCTGGAATATGAAGGATGATATTGCGCTACTTGCTTGGATTGACTTTTGCAAGCAAGAGAAAGTGGAACCTAGTGAAAACATGCTCAATTTCATGGTTTTATTCCATGGCGTCCCCAGCCGTGATGCAGTAAAAGAACACTTAAGAGAACTATAGAAGAGGTACAATGATCAAAGTGATGATTCAGACCAGGCAACGGAGTTCATTGATATGCTAAGTAAAGGTTCGGCTTATATGGCCAAGCTTCCAGGTGGAATACATGAAGGCATTAGAACACTGGTCGACAAACATACCAGCAATGCGACAAGCCTGCTAATTACGGAAGTGATGAAAGACAGCCAAACGCAGAAGAAGGCCACAGGTCAATCGAAAGCGCATCCTGTAGAAGAAAAGGATAAGAGGGGAGTAAAGCGTGGCAAGCAAGCGAAAAAAGTAGACCAGAGTCCCACCCCTTCCAAAAAAGCTCGCTCGGGCAGGGTATGTAAATCCCCATGTCATGGACATAGAATGTTATTTACTCTGCTCCGTAGGCTGAGTCATCTACAAAAGTCATTGAAGAAACCTCGGCGACTAAGGTAGAGAAATCTCGACCATCTGTCGGAAAATCGGCGACCACTTCAACCAAGACTAAAGATGGAGTCGCTAAATCCGATGGCAAGGAGGCCATAGAACCAAGCCTGACGCGTTCCCGCCCGACCTGATGAACCAAAATTCAAATGAAAATAACTGGTTGATAAAGTTTAGGGCTTTGAAGAACAAGTATAGCCGGGAAATATCTCAAATGCAAGAGCTGTGGCAGGCAGAGGTCGAAAAGCTCGGTGTGAGGGAAGCCGAAACCCAGATGACAATTAGAAATCTGAAAGCAGAATTAAAACATCTGGATGAAGCACGAAAGACTCGCCAAGATGAAGGACGGAAGACTCAAGAAGAAGATGCGAATGTTTCACGGGAGACGCGGCAATTTGAGGATTTGGAAGAAATATATCGGTTGACCAAAGAAAACAGAGAAATGCATAAATTTGCAACGTTTGCCGATTTGAATTCATCAGGAAGCCTACATCTAGGGCACGATATCGTGGATGATGCGATGGATCAAATACAGTTCGAACTCTCTTCAATTTCTTACCGTCGCAGTACTACCGGGCGTCTTGTCCCCATAATATTTGCAATATCAGGGGACTTGCGCAGCCTGACACTTTCGGCATTTAGTAGCGATATCGAAACGGCTACTGGTAGAGATGACGTCGAGACTATTTTGAAGAAGTTTGGTGCGCAAACCTGCATTAGAGTTCTTGTCTTGGCTGCAGTCAGAGATTGGGTATTTATGTCGAGGTTTCCCAACTTCACACCTTCGAATCCCCGTATTCTGTCAAGTTATAGACACATGATCTCCACCTTAGGTTAGTTCTCCGCCATTGATGATTATGCAGGAACTAATCCAGTAGATGGGAGAGACAAGCTTTATAGCTTGGACATGGCAGCTCATCGCACCATGATCGAAGAAAAATGGTTTAACGAAAAGTTGATACCCAGAAGAGCCATGGATCTTGCGGACAGATTTTCTAATGCAGTAGCTCCCTTGTTCACAGCAACATCAGAAAGTGTAGGAGATGGGCTATTCCATACTTGGGGTGAGCACAGGGAATGTTGGAAAGACAGACGAGCACATCTGCAAGAAATCTTCCAAACAGCCTTAATCTTGAAGGCAGATTCCGTGGTCACAAAATATCTGTATGAATTCGCACTCTATCCAGTGGGAACAACATTCGTGGGAGATACCTCGGATTTAAAAGAATCAGGAAAGCCCAAGAATGGAGATAATTGGATTCATGCATCATTTCACGTATACGATTCTATGAATTTTGGCAATGCTAAGGAGACCGCGCTGGTGCAGACGGAGAATTTTGTGAAGGCTTCCGGAAAAATGGCCGAGGCAAAGTACAGTAAGGTTTTGCTGCTTCCTAAGAGGCAATCTGAAGCTGCTTCCAGTCGTATCATAGAGACTGCTGAAAACTCAAGTCCCAAACATAAAACTGCTGGTCAATCAAACGTTGAACCTGAAGCTGGTACCCAACAAATTAACGACGCCACCAATAGTACTGTTGGAGGTGTGAAAGAAATGAAGCCGCAGGAAGCGAAGATGGTTCAAAATCTGGTCCAGGTAGAAGTCCGCCTCTTCCAACGTGCGGGGAATGTGGTAAAGAATTCCCAGTTGCTGCTTTATTACGCAGGCATGAAAAAAATAGTGAGTAACTCCTCATGGTTCGTCGCAAGCTGTTCTAAGATCTTTGAACAGGAAGTTGTACAGAGTGCAGTGAGTGTGGCAGAAGATTCGGTCGCGCCTCTGCTCTGCTTAATCACCAAAAGGCTGAGCATAGCGGATATCGTGCATCGAGATTTGGCGAGATCATCGAGCAGGCGTATACGCAGCCGCAGATCAGCGCCATAGTGGACCAGGAGAAGGGTCGATACCATGAAGAGATTTTGGCTGCTGTAGCCAGGAATTTCAGTCCAACACATCAACGCACTGGTCATAATCCGGGAAACCAGCTGGTGGAAGCGCAGCGAACTTCCTCCGCAATTGCACCCCAGGTTAGACCCACAAAAGTCCTCCGCGATGAACTCGAGCAGAAAATTCTTGAAAGCGAAACCGTGGACGTCGAGGCAAAATGCGAGCTTTGTGGAAAACTATTTTCGAATAGAGATAATTTACAATGCCATAACAAAAAGAGTGGAGTCACTATCCACACGGGTCTTATGTGCATGTCGCTGATATAATATAGCAGATACCTGCTCATTCGAGTGTCCAGATTGCAAGACAACATTCGCGGATCCCGAAGAAAGACGTCGTCACCAGCGTACTGAGCACAGATTCGTGGAAAGGGAGCTAAAAGACCCGAGAACAATATCTGAACCACAAACTCCTCCAACCTCCCCCAGAAAAACCGACAAATCGCGGAGATCAAATCATACAAGAACCCCGTCATCGAATGATGCCCGAGTTCTTGATAAAAGCAAGTCTTCTCCCATCCCAGCCCCACTGCCGTACTCATCTACATTACTATCTCATTGTCTATGCGGCGACTAACAATCTTGAAGATGGTAAACCTCGTTACAAGAAAACTCCCCGCAAAGAAGCAGAAGACTCAGACGCAGACGACATTCTCTCTCCATCCGAGATTACGAAAACAGAGCGAGCCCAGAGAAGAAGATGTAATAGATCTTCCGATAGAGCTGAGGCAAGGATGACAAATAGCCAGGAATCACCAGTCACACCCGGTGCAAGACGAAGTCAGACTCCTGTAATAGAAGAATGCTTGAGATGAATTGCATTCTTCAAGGACAGGCGGTCTAGGGAATATTTTCCTCCGGAAATATATCTTCTTTCGGTTCTTATGAAGAATGGAAGACGAGATGATGTTCGCAAAATGGAGATGAAATTGAGTTGGGATTTTCAGGAGAATTAGTCGTCAGTGTGCATCTAAAAATGGAAAAGGAAGGACTACTGTACCGACAAGGAAGGAGAACAGGAATAACGGCAGTTCGATTTGTTACCTTAATTGTACTGTTAGACACAAATCTAAAACTATCATGGACTCCGCTTTCATATACATTGATTTTCAAGCTGGAGTTGGACACGATGGATATATTGAGGTAACTTACAAGTTGTTTGTGGCGCATGTGGCGCATGTGAAAGCCACCCGGACATGAAACCCGTCGTCCAGATTCGGAAGCAAAGCCTTTAACCATTCTTGACGATGTGCTTGAACTTGACACAGTGCGACCTGGGAACAGTGCAGAAGCCTGGGCAATGTCAAGTTATTATGCTGTCAGACCTCGGTGTAAGATGTAAGAAAATCTCCGCTCCTATTGTAAGGATGCGTGTAAGCGAAAAAGTCGTCACCGCTCCGGACTCCTTTAGGAAATTCATCAAGGAGTTATTATGATTGGCTGTATGGGATATTCCCAACATCGAGTGGGCCAATTAGAGTTGAGTATTCGATGCTTGATGGTAGGATTTACTGATTTGGTTGATCTCCTTCCCACAATGTTTCTGACCTTTTAGCCATAATGAGCAATTTGGTTTTGCCTACATCAAAGTGAGCCGAACATGCTCTCTACCCATGGAACCTGCAGGTGGCAAATCCATACTTAAACATGATCCCATCTGCCCGAGTTATCTTCAACTGCCCACCTTCCTCATTCAATCATCAAACAGCATCCTGCAGGTTTATGGCATCTTGCAGTACATAATTCAACCCATAATCCCCGCACTTCAAGCAGTCCCCAGGTTACTCGACAATTCCATATAGCTGGTCCATTGCCACTTTAACCCTTACATCTTGACAGATTGCTGCTATTCATTCGTTACATCATGTCTCATAACGATCCAAATCGTCTTCGTACCGGGGAGTTGGAAATTGGCTACACAGAAGCAGTCGAGCGTCATGCCAACAGACATGTGGTGGCACCGAAACCAGTATCGCAACGCAAGTTAGACTTCGAAAATGCCAGGCCAAGATGGATGCGAGAAATGGCTGCGGAAGCTATGGGTGTCTTCTTCTTCGTGTAAGTCGAGAGCGCGAAAATATGCAATAAACATGCATCACTCACTGACAGTCATTCTTAGATATCCGGGAATTGCATCGTGTGCATCATTCTTTCTGAGCCCTGGTGACCCTGGGTTTGGATCAGTTTTCCAAATTGGTTGGGCCTTTGCAATCGGCATCGCTTTTGCTATCATGTAGGTTGGACTCGGATACTATTAAAACACCATCTGCTCAACGTCTCAGTCGCTAATAACCAATAGAACTTGTGGAAGCACCTCCGGAGGCCATTTCAATGCGGCAGTAACGATCTCTTGTGCCGTGTGGCTGGGGGTATGTTCCACTGTCCCCATTTATGTATCGACACTAGCTAATCCATACCAGTTCCCTTGGAAAAAGGTTCCACAATATATCTTTGCCCAGGTCTTCGGCTCCTTTATGGCGGCTGTGCTGCTTGTCGGACAATATTACCCACAGCTGACAGCACTTGCTGCGGAGTACCGTGCTAAAGGCTTGAGTCTCAATTCACCAGGCGGACCGGGAAGCATCCTTTGCTCCTTTCCTGGAGCGGACCAGTCATATGGGTATCTGTTCTTCATAGAATTTTTTGCTGATGTCTTCGTCGTACGTATCAATGAAAATCCTAAGTACTGCAGCTTGCTAAATTGTTTTAGGGGATTGTGATTTGGGCTTGCCTCGACCCTATGAACCCATTTGTGTCTGCAGCTGCGGTGCCGTGGGTAATTGGATTAGGTTATGGTAAGCATTGAAGTCACACCTGTTTCTTGCTCTCTACATCGCCAATAATATCTTCATTGTTGAATACTTGCTAACCTCTCTCAGCAACAATGATCTGGGGTTTTGCGGATGTGACGATAGAGCTTAATTCATCGCGCGACTTGGGAGCTCGCATCGTTGCAGCTATCTTCTTCGGAGGAGATGCTTTCTCGGTTTATTCAGCGATACCCGTCTTCACAAGTATACCTGCCATGCTTCTTGGGACGGCATTGTATGAGATGATTCAGCGCGACAGCTTTGCAGTCATCGCTAAAGGTCATAACGTGCACGAGAAGGGAGAAGATGGTGTCATTCAGCATTTGTCCAAAAATGGTGCTCTTGGTGGAAGTACCAGTAACTCGGGAAGGAGTATAGACAGTGAAACATGGGATAGTGAGAGAAAGAATGATTCTGCTGTATGAAATATTTTGAAGGTTAACGAAAACGAAAGGCTGGAGTCGGGTTTGGGTACCCCGGAAAGCCAAATGAATAATGAAAATATGTATTATGAAATCAAAAGATGGTTCTGTATCATGATAGTAACTTGTTCCCAATCAATGTCCCGCGGTACCATTGTCTCTCAACTCTCGAGCATGCCATTTTGGAAATGCTGAGCTGGAGAGGAAATCCTGACGCTGAGATCGGGGAACAAATAGACGCATGCTTAAGACTTCCAGGTTATTACTGCTCAATCGAAAGGGACTGGAAATTTGAGGTTTGATAGACATTGATGGGAAGTCACCCGGGAAGTTTGGAAGTTGTGCCGTACAGCCACTAATGCCAGCACGTGATTGAACACCCTTTGCAGCGCTTAACCATAAACAGTCAAGCGCATAATCTTTCTTCTAATAGCACCCGCACCCTTGATTATTAGTACGGTCATCATCAAATTCAATACCTGACGGAGGAGTCATTCATGTAAAATAGTATCATAGTATCATAATATTATCATTGATGGTATGTACTGACCTACGTATTGTATTTAGCTTCATATATCTAGAGTACATTTATGACTACCTCCTTTTAACCCACGAACTTTGATTGGAATGCTCATTGCTGTTTTATAAGTTATATCAATTTCATTTTACTCGACACAATACAAAATACACAATACCATCTCCTGTCGCATATCTGGACATTCAGCGGTCACACCCCTTAAATTGACAACTCGAACAGCTGGACGATGTTAGAGAAACATTGAATCGTCTGTTCCCAATTTTTATAATTTTTCACCATTTATCTACCGCTATGCTCCAAAATCAATCAATCGAAGATATGTCGTCAAGTATGGATATATTTGAACCCGAAACTAGAGCTGAAGTGGACGACAGACGCGCAAAAGCTAATGAGAGAAATACATCACGGTCGCCTTCAAAAGCTCGGTCATTATCAGATGGCGGTCAACCGACGCTTTCACCGTCTCCAAAATTTTGCGAATCAGAGAAGCCAATATCTAAAGATGATAGTTCCCTTTCCGAAAGTCCGACGACCCCAAGGCGACCTGCATTCCCTCGCGGCCTTTCACTGCAGATGCCACCAAAGGATTTTATGCCATTAGGACCATCAGGATATATCAATCGAGCACCTCTATCACCAAAATTAGATCAATCGCAAACATATGGGTCGCCTACAAGTGTCTTGCCTAGACGATCCCGAGGTTTAGATTTTTCAAGAGCTGCTACGAATCTTCACCACTCCACACTCGCAGAGCATTCGTCGCCTGATTCGTCGCCTACAATAACCGGCAGAGCAATGAACATTCCGAATAGAAAAAATGTGTTAAACTTTACCAGCGTTGGGGAAGGTTCCTTATGGTCTCCCATGGCAAATACAGAAAGAATGACTGTATCCAGCTCGCTCGGCAGTGTTAACATGATGGCCTCTGATTCTTCCGAAAGTAGTTGCGACGACGACGATTTGATGGAATCAGATGATATCGATGACTCTATTCTTACCACACCTCAGATTAATAGGATGACAGCACCTTACTTCGGAAATTCCAATCCGAGCCCTGGCGGTGCCTGGTCTGGACAATCTCCCGCAGTTAGCAGTCTTATGAATTTTCAGAATGCAAAATTAAGAAACGGCAAGAGTCGCAAAGGATCGAAAAGTGGCCCAGTGGCTAATACGATTTCCAAATCACCTCCTACTGTGCGCAATATCGAAAGTGGCTATTTTAATAGGCCAATGGCGGTTGACAACTTTCATTCGAGGAGAGAAAGTATAAGCTGGGCTGCAAACCAATTACATATATCAGGGAGGGAAAGTGATGATGGTGCTTTGAAGTCGACGTTGGAGAATGTGGATGGGATGCCTAGTACACCTGGAAAAGATGGACAACGAGGGGTCATTCGCAGACCGGTGACGAGGAGGGGTAACATGCTAGTATGTAAATACACGATTTCAAGGTTTGGCATGACTAACGTTTAATAGCCTAAAACGAAAACATTTGCGCGTATCAAAGCAGCTCTCGCTGAAGAGAGCGCACCAATCGAAACGGAAGTTCGTCGAGAAGCAGAAGTCGTCCGCCAAACCCGTGAAAGTGATATGGACCTAGAACCTTCCCGTCATCCCTCTATATCAACAACAGATACTACACGCTCATCACCAATACTTGGCGCGACACAGGAGTTTCTAGAAGGCATGACTGAAGATGATGTGATGGCCGATGCATCCAGTTCCCAACTATCCAGTAGCTTCAAGCAACAAGCCATTCGCAACTCAAAAGGAAAAGAGTTCTGGGAATCCTTTAGCGATGATAATAGTCGGACACCACCACCGCCCAATTTTAATCCTCGCGGTTCCACCGCAGGCATGAATGACGATATATCATTAGAGTCCCATCTTTCCACGCCCCTACATCTCCACCGCAGCAACTCTGATTCCTCTCCATCCCGCTCCTCCACTCCTCAGCCATCTGAACCCATACGCAAAATCACACATAAACGTCGTCGAGACGATGACCTCGATCCCACGAGTTTTAAGCGGAGAGCTGTTAGTCCAGGAATGAGCGTACATAATAGTCCTGTAATGCAAAGTCCAATGCAAAGGGATATGGCGCCTTGGGGTACCAGACCTGGTAGTAATGGAGAGCCTGGGAATGGAAAGAGTGGATTGGGCAATGGTGGAGCAGGGATTGGGGGTAGAAGGGTGGGGCTTCAGGGTATGGTGGACACTAATGATGGGTTGATGAAGATGAGTATTGAATAATGGGTTGAAGTATAGTTTCTGGGGTACGGCTATGGGATCGGATGCGGAGTTAAATGGTTGTGCGGGGTCTTGCTCACATTACCATGGTCTACTAGGGGCGGTTGGGTGTTCATATTGCTCAGGGAAATCCGTGGATTTTGGGTCTTGTTGCTAGCGGGAGGCGTATATATATTATCTCATTTAGCATCAATTGGTAAATACAAAGGGAATAGGAGGACACCGCCACAAAGCGAAACTAGCGATAAATATACACATTTTACACTGACTTTTAAGTTACCTATTGCTCGTGTACTTACCTATTTAAAAGGTGAATTGTTGCTAGTGCTCTGTATATATGTTTTCTCTCGTGCCGGTGTAAAATTTTATGGACTCTAGCTCTGTAGTAATGTGAATGTGAATGTGAATGATCAATCAGTAGGACTGCGCAAGGCCCCGGGGTATGGCTAGTGAATATCGAATTAATAAGTTAAATATAGATAGTTTATAATGAATATTATAAAGAGATAAATAATATAAAGTAATTGAACGATTAATTAGTAATAATGCAACAAATGATCTAGATACTTCTTTATAGATTTATTATTCTAAAAGAATATACAAAAAAAGATTGAAAATAAATACTAAATGAAATTCGAAAATAACTATAAAAATTAAAGATTAGATTTTATAAATGATGAAGTAATATTATTTTAATAACTTGATAATTTGAGAATTAGTCGTTTAATATTTGATGATATTTGATAAGAGATTAAGAGTGATAAGATATATTCTTTTCAGTTCTTGGTTTTGTCTTTCTTTATAATAGTTGTTATGTCACGAAGGGTATCTATATCTTACATCAAAACAAAAAAGAGGAAAAGTTCGTCCGAGGAGAGTTCGTATCAAAGTCAGTTTATTGGGCTGTAAAAGAGGTGGTAGGGAGAGGGAATTGATCTTCTTAAGCTTTGTCTTTCTTTGTATATACAGCTTCCAGGCTTTATAGCCATTTGTCTGTTGATTATGATATCCAAGGAGAAAGGCAAGCCGTAACTATATATCTGTAAATATATGGTTCTTTAGAAATTACAAGTATAATGCAACTTTCATTAGGTTCTGTTCTGCCTTCTTGTTACGACCACGGATCTATACTAACCGATCGTGTGCTTACGAGATACGATTTGAGCGATTTAGTATGGGATTGAGGTGCTGTGGGGAACAAATACGCACAAACCCTGTTAACCTCAGATCTAGTTCGATACAGTTACAGAACCATATGACTAGAGGATCATATGATGGAGCTTTGGAGATTCGAAGGCTCCTAAGGCTCCTACGGCTCCTGGGTACGAAGATCTATATAAGCCAGGAAGGATTCCTTATTGTAGAGCTTCGTGCTCAAGATCAATCATTTAGTACACTCTACTATTAGTTACGAATTGCAACCATTATATTACCTCAAAGCCCTGCTTGGCGCCTAGTTATAAACCTACTTCGAGCCCGATTGATGCTCGGTAGACTTCTCAATCCAATCGTTTTTTCGAAATCATAGCTCACTGACAAACGATGCCTCAATAACAGCGCTATTGAATCTTACCGATAAGTATCTCGAAATGCTTGGCTTTGTTTCAATTGTATTCACCAAAGGCCAACTCTTGATGACACCAATGTTTAAAAGTGTATGAGATGGATTCTTACTCTGCATTTTTTGTTATCTTGTCATATAGTTAGTTAATTATAAATCTTAAATAACAAAAAGGGATATGAAAGTAAAACAAAGCGAACCAAGGAAATGTCTGTACAGCACACTTACAATTAACCCTTACAACAATAAAAAAGACGAGGTCCCTCCTCTCACCAATAGTTACCGTCTCCAAAGAGTTGTAGAAAAATAAAAGCTATCCAAGATATTCGATGGTTTAAAAGACAGCCGGAGGAGTTTATGAAAATTAGAGAAAGGTCGATTTTAGTTAGCAGTGCTTTCTGCGTCAGAGTGAGAGCTAGGCTCATATAGTAGATCATCCTTTTCTGCCCTCTCCCTTTCCGTTTGTAATTCTTTCCGAATTTTTCTCCGGCGGTCCTTATCGAGCTCCTCTTCCGGTGTAATAGATCGAGCTCGCTTTCTTACAAATAATTGTTGAGATCGGATGATTCCCCTTTTCGCTTTGATCATTGCTGTATTTGTCTCAGCAGATTCGATATATTCGCAGAAAGAACGAGCGGATATAAATAATGAATCTTTCATCGGTTCATTTACAGATTCAAAATTTGAAACTACATCCTCCGTTGCAAAATCTTTTAGTTCAAGATGTAACCCTGCCTGCGGAGATTCGTTCCATTTACCATCTTCATAGCGAATGATTTCGTTTGTTACTGTTTGTATAGCACGGAGCTCCATCTCTCCATCCTCGTTGGGTATGATTTGAGGCCGCCAAATAGATAAAGTAACCTTCTTGGTTCCTTTATATTCTACATCAATACCAACCATAACACAAATATCACCGTCGGATCCAAGAATATAATCATCAGCTAATCGGCCCAAGTCTTTTCGTTTTTGTGTGAATGACACCTCAATCACAATACCTGGATATTGTGCCAATGAATGTTGGAACTGGCCATCAGGATCATGTTTACCATAACCTTCAAATTCGAGGGTTGTCGAATTATATGACTTTATTCCTTCTGCGAATTCCGCAGATCGGCTTTCTCCGGAAGCAATAAATTTGAGCTGCTGAATCAATTCGTTCACGGTTTCGGATATCAAACTTTCGTGTATACGTGAAGGCATTCGAAAGACAAATCGTTTCGCAGATGCAAAATAATCGTATCTATATTATCTCAATGTTAGTCAAATATCCATATTCCCATCGTTTTTAATAGTCCATACCGAAGCTTGTCTTCCACAAATCTTTGCAGAGATTCGTCGCGTTGAATTAAACGCAATACCTCGGTGTATTCCTCCTCGTTCAGTTTATACCCTTCCCAAGCGTTGTTGCAAGTACTACGCCCCGCTTTCCGTCTCTTGATTTCCTGCACGATCTGTAATACTGTTTGTGTCGTCTTCTTATCGGTCGGTGGAGGAGTAATAGGTATCTTGGAAATAAAGCTTTGAGGAGGGGTAACGAATGGTTTCTTAATGATGTTCATATTACAGAAAGAGATAATATAAGGTAGCAAATATTTTGATAGAAGCAAGATGGTGTTTTGATGTTGTGATGCTTTGATGTTGTGATGCTTTGATGTTGTAGAGGAAGAATGTTGTTTGATTGAAATTGGAAGTATAATTGTAGCCAGGTAAAGGAGCCACCTTTGGCACTAAGATCAAGCTAGGCTAGGGATCATGTGACTTGACAAGTTCGCTCATCAGTAGTGATGGTGGCGACATTAACTCTCTCTCGATCTGGGTCATTGACAAACAAGTTACCAACGTGTAGATAGTTTTGATTCCCTTCCGCTATGATACGAGCTGCAGCGTAGGTATGATTTAATAAAGGGATCTTGAGTATGAGCGGGTATTGAAGTTACTCAGAGTAGCTTTAATCCTGGTTGCAGCCAATGCCAACATTTGTGTACAAGATTGCTAGCGAGAGAGCGGATCAACGTTTTATTTCCGATCCGCATTTCTCCGGAGCTTTGATTATTCGTCAATACCCCGAATAACAGGGAGCGTCTGAAATGCTTCGTGAAGCTGTGATATTGTGGATGAGTTGTGGTATCGAAATACCAAGACCTCTACTAACCTTCATATTCAATTTAAGTCGTTTAAGGTAACAGCAATACGAAGGATAAACAATATTACCAAATACCACGAATTGAATGCTATGATTTTAAGTAAATACTATATCACTATTAATCACAAGTAATGGTAGTAGTAATATTCATTTGCGTTCCGAGATCTGGCTAAGGATTTTTAAAGATAAAATCAAAAGTCAAAAACGAGGCTAAATATAGATGCTCTCAATGCACAGATGCTAGCCGTTCGAGTACGTCCTACTCCGGTTAAGGTGGAGATACCGAAGCTCTCTCGATAGATACACAACCGGAATGGCAACGACGTCCTCCACGAATACAATATCCAGAGCCCTTTTCAACGACAGATAACCCCTCCAACTAGCTCCAACCATACCAGAACGTCCTCGAACACGGTGTCCCTCCCCATCCTTCGCCCTCAATTCTATAGCTAATGGTAATGGGTATCGATCTTTGATCGTCATATCGTTGAGCTTGCAATAATCTTTCTATCATAATAGGAAGTATTATTAATACCCTAGAACTTCTTATTTGTGATGTATATCTAAGTTTTGTCGGCTACAAATTTTCCGAATAGTTAAGATACCATTCCTGCGTGTTGTTGTTCCACTCCCTTATCCACTGAATAAATCCTACCCAATCTACACATAAGATTTGTTCTGCAGATGCCAGGTTTTATTCTGGGATGCAAGGCTAAATCGATGAGTGAGATGGGTTACTTGGATACCGGATTTTAATTTATGATCAAGGTTTATAGTATCTTTCCGATTCTATTACTCCTTAGTTCAAAATGTATTAATATATTTTCTCGCTTAATCCTGCTAATGCTAAGGCTAAGAACCTATAGCGGATGCTATTATGAGTTTCGGAATGCAAAGCGCGTTTTCTTTTTCAATCTCAGGACTTATGGTTGGTGTTTTGTTCTGGTGATTCGAAGATATGTTTCGATGAATTTCCCTATGGAGATTTACAGTATTTTAATCCCTAAGCTTGTTCATTATCCGAAAGTAGGCACCGAAATCTTAGTCTGATAGACGACTATTGGAACTGATACCTCGCGGGTGAACTATATCATGATTATAGCGAACTAGAAATATATATATATATATATATCCTCATATAATACCTCACAAAGTCTTCATTTCACAAGAATCATCTTCTACCGTTCATTGACTTCATACAATCAAATAATCGATCATACTCAGCGTTTCTGCAAATACATTCTCTTCTGTGACTTCTGCTGAGGAACTGTGATCGCATGCACAACTCCACATATAGATCTACCAAAATCGAAAACAGACATCCTCATAGGACTTTTGGATCCCACAGCAGCCGTTCTTGAATAATGTCATCATCAATTGGAATGGCATCAGAACTCCCAACAGCTACCAACTCCCCTGTTACGAGGGATGCGATCTAGATCACGTGGAAGTGGCCTGGATCCTCGAATAGTTTATAACTAGGTGTTAAGCAGGGGTTTAAGGTAATATCAATGGTTGTAATTCGTAACTAATAGTAGAGTATACTAAATGATTAAGCTAGAGCACAAAGCTCTACAAAAGGAAATCCATCTTGTTTTATATAGATCTTCATGCTTCGTAAGTCGGTCGGCTTTAGGGTCAGGTGATACTTGTCACATGATTTCTATTTAGCTAATCGGTCACGTGTATAGAGTATGTTACACCATCATAACATAGACAAGGACTAAAACTCCTCCTCCGCCATACCTCCTGGTTGGATCCGACCCCTTTGGCCTTAAGGTCCCGAAATCCTTGGAGAATCCTTGTCGTAATAATCCATTACCTCAATAGAACTAACTATTACTATGATGATTCTGCTGAGGCTTGCCGGATGCCTTGCGGTTGTCGCCCTGTGCCTCCTCTTCTGTCGTCCTACTCTATCCAAAAGTTTACCGGTATAACCTCCTATTATATCTCTCCCAATCGTATCGTACCCCTCACCCTCTGGTTCTTCAGATCCGTACCTCATGGTCTCCTTTAGAGCCTGCCTCACCCATATATATATGCCCTTCCACCAATAGTTCTGTTCTGACGGTGCGGCTCTGGCCGGAAGGGGACCCAATCCTAAGCGTCCCACGGTTATGGTTGCTATGTAGCTGATATTATATTGCATTCGAAATAATAAGAACGTAGGGTATATATATCGTGAGCCCAGAGATCTAAGGAGAAGTGTTTGTCGTAGTCGTACTTATATGCTCCGTCTTTCGAAGGTCACTACTCCTCGTCGTATGGCCGGTGCCCTATCGTATGCTGTGAGGAAGCCAGTCGTTTGGCGGTGGTTTATCGTGGTCTATTTCGTGCGTAAATAGATGAAGTGGATCACTAGAGGAGATTGAAGATATAATGATATATAATGATTTGCTAAAACAATAATCAAAAAACCAGATACACACCAAAGTCTAAAATAAAGTACTTTTGTAAACGATTATATACATAATTACAGATGAGAGCCAGACCGCCTAGCAGAGGAGGTTGATGGTCACAAGTCTGTGATAAAGAGAAGTATAGCTTGCCTTATTTGATAAGGGATACTTCGGCAACTACGCCAAAACTAGACCATTCCGGTATAGCCACTGCTCACCTGTTGAAACCCTTCGATTCCAAAATAGAAACAGAGTATTAAATCTAAGCTTATTCAACAATAAAGAATAGCAAAAAGTACATCTATATTATCTAGAATTTGATACTAAAGAAAGAAGAGAATAAGAAAAGAAAAGAAAAGAGAAATCCATATATAATAAACTTCCAATAGATCTTGAGATATAATAAACATAATAGAAAATCCTAGAAGATTTGTATATAATCTTCTAACAGAATTACTTTTTGAGTTTCGTCGAATATTACATCTGGATCGCCGGGGAGTCCGGTGTAGGAGGGCATTATTGATCTCCTCACAACTACATCCTTTCAATTCGTTAAAACGTGCAGTAATTCTATACTCCTTTTCCACAAGTGATCCATTCCCTTTTTTGTAAATTATGATACGAAGTATTTGTAATAATACAATATACAATCAATCCTTCAATTGGCAGTAAGGTAGTTTTACTATCAAATACTTTAGGATACAAAATGTTGGAAAGTTCAGATCGAACGACAAGGGGAATCGGAACTTCAGACTCGGAGTTTTCGTTGGATTGGGATAGTTTCGATAGGTTCTCGAAATGGTTCTCTTTGACTTTTCTCAAACTATGTTTCCTTATGTGAGTCTTTCGCCTTTCAATATTACATTGAATAATAGTAAGCTTAGCTCGGGTACTCTCTTTTTGACTGGGTAGATCTCGAAGTTCTCATTTCAACCTCTTTCTAGATGCAAGTAGATCTTGTATGTCTTCATCTTGGTTATAATACTCTTTTTTTTTCTATTGAAAGCTTCACCGGGGCTGTAAGGTCTCGTTTAGAATGCATATTTAACATCTCGATCCTTTCTGAACACAGTTATTGCATTCGATAAATATTCCCAGTGTCAATATTCACCTTTCGAGATTGATAATATTTCTGAAAATTTTTATCTGATGAGCCATTATGGCCCATAAGTTGCTTTATACGAGAGTTATCAACCTTGTCTGGAAGTTAGTTAGTACATTTCGCTATATAGATATATTGAAAAACTTACTATCATAAAGAGCGTTGCTCATTCTACGCCGAATACAGTAAAACGTAAAACGCTGTCTAAATCCCATCGCTGCAACGATACGTTGAGTATCTGTGGTCACAGAAGTGCTGGAAATCGCGAGAGTAGAGGAAGTTTTCGATTATCTGGTCCTTCCATCCTTCGAAACAAAGATATATGCATTTTGCTTTGTTTGAAGATAATTGGGATCTCCATTGTATTTGACATCTCCCTCTCAAATAATTGAGAAGGTATAGAATAATGTTCCAATACATCATCTATGAATACAAATACCAAAATCCAAGAAACAATACAAGTACCTGAAACATCCCTCAACAAATATAATTGCTTGATGCTGTTATCTTGTTAGAACAAAACTTTTAAAAAACATTCCCTATAATCTCACTATTTATTCTTCTTTCCCCTTCTGTTCTTCCTGTTGTCAAATTTTGATTTCCAATCTGAATCGAGGGCTTGAGCTCGAGCCTTGTGCTGGAAGGAGAAAGAGATTGAGATCCTGTAGATATTGATTATTATTCTGTACTATATAGATACTTTTGTAGTATAATTACCTTATAGCACAACGCGACATTACCTTCACGATAAGAGTCTGATCTAGTGATTGCACCAATCCGTTCTCCATCATCTGCAATCAACATGGAGATACATCCCGCACCGTCAAGTAAAGAATCATGATCTCGATATCGATCCAGTCGGTACACTCTTTATCATACTCAGCATCTTCGAGACCCAGCTCCTTTGCCAAATCTGTCGACACATACTATTGAGGTTAGTTGTATAAATTGTAAATCAGATTAACAATACTTACATAGCGAATAAGATCAAGAACAGTATCAGGAATTTTATAATGATAAACTGTATCATATATATATCCAAATTTTCCTACTTTATATAAAAGAGTTTTAGTAGAAAGCTTTTCATTGAGTTTCCCTCTGGTATTGTTAGTATGCTATATAAGGAATGTCTCGATAGTTTCAAGATCGGGAAAAGCATCAGGTATAATATCCTATTGGAAATTAAGCAAAAATTAGTATGTTTGTGATATTATTTGAAGTATTTTACTTGCCTTTTCTAAAGTTTTTGTAAACTAGTATACAAAACTTTTGTAGGGGTTGTAAGAGATCTTCCTTGAAAAGGTATCTCAACTTTTTGTAAATTTGCTAATTTTCGAGCTTCGCGATATGCTAATAGATCATTCATTGTTCAAACTTGACAAGAGATTGATGGAGGAAAGAGAGAAAATGACAAGATGATATATATACTTAGAATGCTTAATATTGCACCGTTCTCACGGAAGAATCCCAGGTAGCTGCTAAGAATCTCACCGCTTTCGTTTTCGTGAGAATCAAGGTTGGGAATAGCTTCAGAATAATTACATTTCGATTTCGAAGTAAAACAAATAACAAAAAGGGAAAACAATTAATGGAATCATCCTTTGAAAAACAGAAAATGTGAAATCGTAAATCCAATATACTGGTACCGTTTTATAGTAATCTATATTGTAAAAGATGAATACTAAAATCCAAAATCCAAAATCCAAAATCCAAAATTTGGTTTTACGAAAGTTGAATGTTTAAAGACAGAAAATTTCAGGCACGAATTTTGGAAATAAATAATACTAAAAGCGGCACAATGATGGGTACATAGATTTGGAAAACGAGTGACCGTATATCAAAAATCAAAAATCTTTGATGGTCTAACGGTCATGATTTCCGCTTGTCACTAAAACGGCAAAGCGCGGGAGACCGGGGTTCGACTCCCCGTCAGAGAGTTCAGATAGAGAATTCCTCGAATCTCATGTTCACAATATTTTTTGTTGATTTTTTGGGTGGAATTCCTTCGCAAGGCGGAAGTTTTGTGGTGGGTGTGGTGGGTGTGGTGGGTGTGGTGGGTGTGGTGGGTGTAGTGGGGTGGGGTAATGGAATTTTTTCTCTTACTTTTGAGGTGGGGCTCTGGTGTGAATTAGCCCAATAGGTATGACGTTGAGATTGGGATGTGAATTGGGCTGAAGAATTGGTATGGGGGAAGGAAGGTGTAGCGAGTTTGTGATCTGAGGTCACATAAACGCGAACTATTGAAGCTTTCGGTTGGAAACTCTCCGTTGCTTTTAAGTTTTCCGCAATAATATTACTCGAGTACTTCCTCATAAGGAAATGCAACAAACGGAAAACCCATGAACTCAAAGTCTAAAAATATGCTTATATCTATCACGAGGAGAAATTCATGAATCATATGCATCATTAGTATGACTTCATACAACTGCAAATGTATTCTTAGCTGTGGTTGAATCGTTGCCAAAATCTTGGCTTGCAGAATGTGGCTTTTGCAAGGGGTAAGCACATGTCAAGGGCAGAACGAGGTTGGAGGAAATTCTTTTTCATGTCTCATGTGAAATTCTCAAGATTGTAGTGTAAAAATTGGTCGCCAGAGTCTTACATGTGAAGCTCTCGACGAGTCGATTGATCTCATGTGAAATCAGGAGCGTCTGAAAATGGCTGTGGAACGCCAAGCCCCCCACTCAAATCCATATATAAGTCATTTATAGTAGTAATTGATTATATAAGCAACGTTACCGAGCAACACGGATAGATGTCACGGTGGCTTACATAATTTAATTCTACTGGGCGAGGATCACGGTACCCTTATCAATAGCCAGTAAAATGTCACAGTGGCTTATTTCCAATTAACTATATTCGAAATTAATCATTAAAATTATGGGTACTATACTTTCCATTATATTAGTATACTTAAAATTTCAAAATATCGTGATTGGTGGTTGATCCAATTGAAAGTTGAGGTTTAGGCTCTGAGTTTTAGTGATTTGAAGCCTATAGCCTGTAGCCTGTAGCCTGTAGCCTGTAGCCTGTAGCCTGTAGCCTGTGGTGTAGTACCAAAAAAAAAGGTCAAGTCCTCAATTCTGACCGGGATGGGATATATGAAATATTGGAATATCGGACCTTGCTTGTTTGGGTAAGGGCCTTGGCGTTCCACAGCCATTTCAGACGTTCCCGTGAAATCGAGCATAGCGAATTGAGGAGGGGTGATGGAATCATGCTGTGTGCATCACACTATAAATTTGAGTCTGGATCTGGGAGCTACCAGTTTCGAGTTTGTGAAATGATATAATCTGATATACATGTGATGCGATTTTATCACTATCCTTGCGACGACTTGCATTTATCCAGTTCGAGTGTGCGAGTGTGCGAATATACAGATGTGGTATGGTAACCTAGTATTCCCTAGAAACTGCGCCAGGGTCAGCCAAACTTTGGTCGTATTGTCATGTTTTAAGAAGATTAATGCGGGAGATTTGTGATGTCCGTTGATATCTGTGAGTGTTGACGAGCTGTGGAGGCATGAATGCATCGAAGTCTTGAAGGATGTAGTTTCTGTTGCCCCTAGTTAATGTATGAATGCTTGCTTCACCTTTTGTGTACGAGGACGGAGTAGAATATCGTAGCCCACATAAATACACGTCGAGAAGATATAAATAGTGCTTGTGCTTAAGCATCAAGCATACCTGTACTGGTAGCGGTGTGTGTATGTACTTCCTGCGACCTGTCGTCGTCAACACCATGCAGTGAGCTATCAGATCCCTCATTCAATAAAGGTACATCGGGAAAACTCGAAATCTTAGTTATCATCAATGCCAGGTACGGACAGATCTATGAATCCACACCCAACAAGCGAAGTTCGAACAGAAGAAGACGCACCAATCATTACTCAGGAATTTTAATCTCGGAGGGCCTTTCTTGAGACTTGTTTTCTTTAAGGCCCGATACAGAAAAAGTAGCTCAGTAAAATAAAAAAGCGGTTACCCATGAGCCTCATCATCCTTTTGTTACGCAATCACTCTGCAGACAAGTTAGTTTCGAGTTCGCAAAGCTAACAAGCTACAAAGATAGAATAAGGTGGAACCGTGGGACAAGGTCAGATAGTGACCCATACAGAAATTTACCTTATCGCAGGATTTTCAAAAGGAGGTCGAGATCAAGGTTCCATGTCAGAAATTTGTGGGTTTGAGTTATTTTTTAGCTTTGGTTGGATTTTTGATTCACGGTTGAACTTTTAAATGACAGGATCCATGTGGTGGTACCTAATATGTATGGACCATTTTCGGCCATCTAGTTTTATACAGAGTACACACTGCACGGGAGATAATACGGCGGCAGCACCAAATAGGTAATGCGCAAATTATCCTCAAGGGCAGTGGCACTGTGACTATGGTAGATCTTTTGCATGCAATATTGCGGATCTTACACGGTATGAGAACATTGTGAAGATGTATGGATGAGCGGCGCATCCTCGGCGGCGGACCTTCTTGTGATATTGATGTGATAGCGGCCATGCCATACAGAGGTCGGTTGTTTAGCTTTTTTAGATGAAGGAACGAAACGTGTGAGAAGGATTTGACGCAGGCGCTTCAGGCCGTGTCCACTACCGAGTAAGAGTCTACAAGAAGTGTCAAGAACGTTAAGACTAATAAAAGTTTGTTGCTTAGGCTTGGGCCGGAACGACATCGTAGCGTCAAGTTTAAGATAAAGAACGGCTGATGCAACTTGCAAGAAAGCGGTTGGTATCAGTGAATCATAACCAAAAACCCGCTCTAGGACTCATCATTCGATAAGGAGAATATCAATGACACCAGCACTCATTCATCGGGTTGCAGTCTAACTGTCTGACTGTCTGACAGACTATTTTCATCTGTTCGGGTGTTGATAACCATGATTTATTTGTGTTTTTCATGTGAAAGTCATTCGATATTATGGATCATCGCTCGTGATATTTGATCATGCCATATATAGAAGACTTAGGTCTCGGTTCATTCATCAGATGTTCATGACTCTTTGAGCTCGCTCAATTTTCCCCCTTTCCACGTGTAGGAATAGACCGAGGCCATACATCAAGTTACATTGAAGTTACATCGATCACAGTGACTGTTTTTAAAACGAGGTTGATCTGACCTGATTTTCATGAATTTGCTCAATGCATGCTGCGACTTGCTAAACGAGTTAACTTTGCGAGGTTTAAATATACCTAGATACTCTTAACATCCACCTCCTGCATCTTTTAATATACCGGTAGATATCCGAGGATCGGAAAAATGCAATCATTCAGCCTTGAGAAACCTAGGTAGTGAGTGCAGTCCCTGGTACACTAACTATCACTTGATAATGGAATATTCCCACCAGTCGACCATGAGATAGCAGAATGAGACTGTTGCAGGAGGACGGCGAAGTACATATATTTCAATATTAGATTCCAGTTATCCATATCATATCTGTCCATCGAACTATTACATGTCTACTAGGTGCCTACTACCTACCTATCTATCTAATGAGACTTTAGTCTTAGTATCCATTGTATTGATCCCATCTAATAATATCAATTCATAAAATAATTTAGAGAGAGAGAGGCTCGTATCTATATATGTCTAGCGGTGTTTGATTGGTGGGCACCCAAGCTTAACGGGGATAACCGTATCAGTACTTTGATACACCAACGAAAAGGAAAAGGGAAAAAGAAAAAACGTTCTCGAACATCAGCAAAAAGTTTCTCCTGCGCTGACCCCCACTAAATCAAATCCACTCTTCTACCAATTATCCAAATACCAAGCAACAGCAGCCCTTCCGATTTGTGACGTGCGGAAGCGCCACTTTGATCTACCCAGATTAAGTGTGGATTTCGTGAATCGGATTCGCACCTGAGCCACCGGATTAACGGCTGGTTATTGGACCATAGAGGTAGGATTTTTCATTGGATTGAAAGAAGTACGCAAAAGAGAGAAAGGAGAAAGATTGCGACAAATATACTAGGCTGAGGCCGGATAAGCTGATGTACTAGGGAAGGCTAGAGAAAAGATAGCCAAAGAACGGGTCATAGTTTGAGATTTCTTTTTCTCATTGTTTTATACTTATATGGCTTTTCTTTAATCTGTACATGTATATACTTGTGCAGTGGTACTGCAGAAAAGAAGGAGCGATTTCCAACTACCGCTACTATTTTCACACATTTCTCAGGCAGTCACTTTGGAGAAGAAGTCGTTCATTTTATTCCTCAATATCCTGAACTCTCACTACTTCACTACTTCACTACCTCACAACGACATATGAGTTTGGCTGAGGGGACTCTCACACCGGCCTCAGATAATTTTTGGAATATTACCTCTCACACACCACACAACGAATAAACGAGTTATTACGACGTTATGCCTAATTTCTTCGGAGGGGTTACTGGAAGAGGTGTTTCGACCCTTTTCGAAATACGGTATGCGAAGGATTATGTACAATATTGCCCCTCCATCACACACTAATGCCTTCCAGTCTTGACGAGGAAATTATTGTGCTTCGAGGAGGCGAAAATGAAGCTTCAAGTCAACTGCTCAAGGGATCGGTAGTCTTGTGTCTGCCAGGTGCTTTGAAAGTTGAAGATGTACATCTTCGTATGACGGGCCAACTGAAAGTTGGGTGAGTCTTTCCAAGTGCGATTTCCTCATCTGCGAGTACTGGAAAACTAATTTTAGATTTCCAGTTGGAACGATCAGCGCGCTACGCCTACCGGTATTTCGAATAATCGAGTCGACAAAACTATGGAAATTTTTACTCATAGATGGGCTCCTTTTGTGGGTGGAGGAGGGCCAGGTTCTTCCTCAAAGGGACTGCTTCTACCAGCAGGAAACTATGAATGGCCATTCGAGCTCGTCATTCCAGGATCTATGTCGGAAAGTGTGGAGGGATTGAATGAAACTCACATCATTTACAAATTGAAGGCAACCGTCGCTAGAGGAAAATTGGCCTACGATTTACATGCTTGGAAGCCGGTGCGAATCGTCCGAACCTTAGATCCGTCGGCATTAGAATTGGCCCATGCCATGACAGTCGAGAATATCTGGCCCAACAAAATCGAATACCAGCTAGTCATTCCACAAAAGGCTATCGTCTTTGGTACCGCCATCACCATTGAGATGAGATTCACCTCCCTACTAAAGGGTTTGAAAATTGGCAAGATAAAGTGTCATTTGATCGAAGTACAAGAATTCATGCTTCCAGGAAATTCTACCACGTCGGATAGATATTGGAAGCATTCGAGAGATGTGGATGCCTGGACTTTTGAGTTAAACGAAGAAGAGCATTACCAAGATATGCTTGACGAAAGCGGGCAAGATGGTTACAAGATGACCGAATTGATGCCATTGCCAAAGAGGTTGAGCAGATGCATACAAGATGTTGACGTCCACGGTATCAAAATCCGCCACAAGGTCAAATTTAACATTGCGTTACACAATCCAGATGGGCATGTTTCAGAGGTATTTTGAATTCTTACCTTAACCTGATGCAGCAATACTAATCGTAATAGCTCCGCGCAACGTTACCAGTCACAATTTTCATTTCCCCCAATATGCCTTTGACTGCCGAGGGTGCTCTTGTGGATCAGACACCAACCAATAATGCTCAGTCAGCCGCAGTGTCAGCACACGCGCCTCCTCTTTATGGAGAGCACGTATTAGATCAACTTTACGCTGATATGGACCAATCTGGAATAATGACTCCTATGCCGCAATCTGGAATGAACACGCCATTTTATGCCCAGTCTCGAGCAGGTTCATCGGAAAATCTTGCCTCCATGGACGCTCCTCATCCAGCGGGTGCAGTCCCTCCCGCAGCATTGTCATCTAGGCTTCAAAGTTTAAACACAAATTTAAGCGCTAGTCACAGAAATAGCGGCTTCCTAAGACGATATGGAGGATCTGGCTCCGGAGCAAATACTCCTCACCCTAACGATGACCATCAAGGAAGTTATTTTGATTCACATCACGGCCATTCTGCGTCTGTAACTGCGAGAAGTAATCCCCTTAGCAGACGAGGAAGTTTTAACGACGACCATCATGCGGATGCCACTCACACTACCATGAGCAGTGGATATCATACCCCAGAACATTTGGATTACAACGAAATGGGGGATTTGACCAAAGTTCCCTCATATACCACAGCCCTCAAAACACCTGTGAGAGGAATGAGTTATACCGAAGCGCTACCCAATTATGAATCTGCTATCTCGGCACCCCCAAGTCCTACATTACTTGCGAGCACTAGCCCAAACACACCTCATGAGCACTCATTGGACGCTGGACATCCTCATTCGTTTTCACATTCAAATTCAAATTCACACTCACACACAAATACACATCCACATGCAGATACGCATAGACATCACGGACCCGGGTTTTTGAGGAGAAACCCATTCTCTCATATGGGGTTCACACCGTTACATCCACCAGCACCAGCACACTTAGGCGAGGGGGATGAAAGAAGAAGACTGCATCTATTGCAGCACAGAGATAGGGTACATTGAGAGATGCAAGACTGGAGAATTTAATGGAATAGGCGGCGGGAATGAAAAGCGTGATTTCAACATGAATTTGGCGCAGCGAAGTCTGGATACAGATTTGGTGAATTGGGAATTTTTGGGAGGGCGTTGAGATTGATACCTTCTGATGATACACAGATATAGAAAGCGATGGATATTAAATGGATGGAAAATTGGGTGGCGGGGATGTGTTTAGTATTAATATACTCACCACTCCGGTGGCTTACGAACGATTTGTTCGTGTTGAAAATAAATTCAACATTTTTCATATTTTGAAAACTATTATCTTATGGCTCAATTGGTTGTGAAGAAATGAGAGTGGCGAATTAGCCAAACCTTACATCAGGAGGCTAATTGTAGGAGACGACCATTCGCACACAGGAGTCATTCCACTCACATATTTAAATTTGTATTTATCCAGATATCATCACCTGCAACGATAGTTTTTCCTTTGGATGAGGCGCACTAGCTAGATATATGTAACTATACAAAAAATGATAAAATAAAATAAAATAAAATAACATGCTCTGTCTTCTTGATAGTAAATGGAATTTTATACTCGAGTATCTAGTCACGGTCACTCTTTCGGAAATCCAAATAGTCAAAACTCACCTCATAATGGCGTAAGCCGAGGCCAAGAGGATCGTCCAAGCTTGAGCTAACCTACACCACAGCTTCCAGTCATCGATTTGCTCATTGTGACAATCAATCGCTTTATAACAAACTTGTTTTGCGAAGAGTCCTCATTTCGAAACGATAGATTTTACTGTTTGCGCTTCTACCAGATTTCTTGATTCATTCCTTGCAGTTCGTGTTGTTCCAAAACTCACCAATGCCCTCACATCTAGCATAGCTATCTACACAAATCCAGGCCCATCACTCACCAAATCATGGCGCCCACAACCCATACTCCTCTCCTTCGATCCTCCTCACCGTCATCCTCCCTACGATCCCCATCCGAATCTTCCTCTGTCTTTCGCTACCAAAAGGCTCGAAAACAAAATATGATCCGCTACACATCCTACGCATCCGCCATCCTCTCATGTCTCTGCGCCGGTTCCATCACCGCTTATTCGCTGTATGGACATTTATTCCAATCGCGTTTGCATTATACGCAATTGCAAGTTAATATTGTTATTATTGCTGCGGAATTGGCTATGTATCTACCAGTGCCCGTGTTTGGGTATCTTTGCGATCGAGTTGGTCCTGCGCCTTTGTCTCTAGGCGCGGGTATTATGTTTGGTGCTGGGTATGGATTGGCTGCACTTACATATAAGAGTGGAGGGAAGGATATAGAGGGTTATGTGACGGAGAGGGGGTGGCCTATCATTTGGATGGTGGTTGCGTTTATGATTATTGGCATGGCGACGACGTGTATGTATATTAGTGCGGTGACGGCTTGCGCTAAGAATTTTGGGAAATCGAAATATAGGGGTTTGGCACTCGCTTGTCCCATTGCGGCATTTGGGTTGAGTGGGATGTGGCAGAGTCAGGTAGGGGAGAAGATATTATATGAAAGGGGAAGAGGCGGTCAGAGAGGAGATGTGGATGTGGAAAGGTTCTTTTGGTTTTTGGCTATTACGCTTTTTGTGGTGGGGTTTATTGGGTGTGGGTTGTTGAAGATTGTGGATGAGGAGGAATTGATCGAGGAAGCTGTTGAGGAGTTGGAGAGGAGTGGGTTACTTGGGGAGGGCGAGGGATATACCGGGAGAGGATATGGCACTTTAGATGGAGAAGAACGGAGTGATGTGGATGAAGAAGATGAAGAAGCTAGGAAGAAAACTTGGTTATTGAACGAGGAAACAAGGAGATTCTTGAAAGATCATACAATGTGGTGGTTAGCCATTGGATTTTTTTTCGTCTCGGGGCCTGGCGAATCTTTCATCACGAATCTAGGCACGATTATTGGCACTCTTCATCCACCTACTATTCACAATCCCACTTCAGCAGCAACACATGTTTCGGTTGTAGCACTTACATCGACCATCGCTCGTATCCTCTTCGGCACTCTCACTGATGTCTTGGCCCCGGTTCCAACAACCCATCATTTTGGATCTCTTTCTAACTCCCTCGCTTCTCTTCCACCACAATCTACAACCCGTTTCACAATATCCCGTGTATCTTTCCTTATCCTCTCCGCCATCTTCATCCTATTAGGTGATGTCATCCTCGCCTCAGGGTTTTGTCAAAATCACGCGGACCGCTTTTGGATCATCTCCACTCTGATCGGTTCCGGTTATGGCGCCTTATTTTCCCTGACTCCACTAATCGTAACGGTAATCTGGGGTGTAGAGAACTTTGGTACGAATTGGGGAATTGTAGCAATGGTTCCAGCGCTAGGTGCTACTATATGGGGCGTGGTTTATAGTCAGGTGTACCAGAGAGTTGCTGAGGGCCTATGGAAGGAATTTATTGGTGATGGAGTACTTTGTTGGGGACAAAGTTGTTACGAAGGAACGTTTTGGGGAATGGCGGGTAGTGTGGGTGTTGGAATTGCATTTTGGGTTTGGGCTTGGAAGGGTAGGGATGGTTGGAGTGAGAGGGGCGTTGTGGTGTAGAGTGTTTATAAGATGGTTTTGCGGTGTAGTGTGTAGGTATGTGAAGGAGGAATGTAGATGAGAGTCTTTGTATAAGCGTTTAGAGTTATGCTCGTGGCATTAAGAGCTTGGTATTCGCATTGGTATTGGTATTAACATTGGCATATTGAGAAAGGAAATGAGAAATTGTACATGGTGCGCATGCATTTTGTTGGCGTATGGGTTTGGTTGGTTCTTGGGATTAGTATTAGTTTCAACGGATATCATGTGGTTTGGTTGGGTTTGATTAGTTTGGGTCATCAGTTAGTTTGTATGTATTTTGATCATGGCTTTCTTGGATTGGTATTGATTCGATTGGATGGTTTCTGGAGCTTGTTCTTAGGGGATGTTTGTTGTGTTTTATAATTCAAGTATAGCATGAAGTTGATGGATAATAGATAATAACGATATTTCATTTTCAGAGTGATACGGTTACGAGTAAGGTTTTTGAAAGAAAATGTATAAATTTATAGGTGGTGATGTGGATATATGTGTGACGGGATGGATTTAGGGGGGTTGGAGGAGTAGAGGAGCGGATATTGGATTAGTGGAAGGTGGGTGGGAACTTTGTTCTGTGAGTTGTGGTTAGTAAGGTTAGTAAGGTTAGTAAGGAGTAAGATTGAGATTTAAGGTTGGAGAAGGTTTAAGGAAGAGGGAAGAGGAAGAGGGAAGAGGAAGAGGAAGAGGGAAGAGGGAAGAGGGAAGAGGGAAGAGGGAAGAGAGGGAAGAGAAGAGGAAGAGAGGGAAGAGGGAAGAGGGAAGAGGAAGAGGAAGAGGGAAGAGGGAAGAGGAAGAGGGAAGATGGAAGAAGGATGGATGGATGGATGAGGATGTCATAACGATTTAAGAAAAGAGGATGGAAATATTGATATTTTTCGTTTTGAAGTGTTTTGAAGTATTTTTGAGTGTGGATGAGATGTTCATTGTTTGATGAAGAGAGAGAGGTAAAAAGAGGAGAGAGGGAGGAGGAGGAGGAGAAAAGAGAAGAAGGAAGAAGAGGGGGAAATGTATGGGATTAATAATGTATCTCATTTTGTACGGTTTTCCAAGATGTAGTGGAAAAGTATATCTTCTATGTTCGCCTTAAATCTCGGGGGGTAATGTTATATATCCATCATTTCTCCTTCAATTTCCAGCAAACATATCCTCGAAAATCCTCCAAATGCATTCCTGAACTCAAGATATTTCCATCAGTATCCGCTTCCCTTTTGGGTAGCCCTAGTCTTACATTGACGACTCGCCTACAATATTACATGCAAATTTTCCATTATACGCAATGATTCTCCCAGTGATATTAATTCCCCTCCTTTCTATCTTGTCTTGCAGAAAGTAATAAATAGGCTTATTGGAATTCATTATTAGAAACAAATCTTCCCTCAAAAACTATTCTCTTTCTTTCCTATATTATTTTTAAGAACAGAAAGAAGTATAGTTTTTGAATTATTAAAAGCAGGATAGAAGAAAAAAGAAAGAGGAAGGAAGCGCTAAGGAGGGGAAACCAAGACCACTGGAATGTTATATTGAAATATTAATTTAGAGGGAATATTTAAATTTTCGTCTTTTCCCCAAATATGAGTAATATAATCTCACTCGTCTAGGAAATGAAGCACGAGTGAAAGATGATTAATAAAACGGAAGAGGGGGGAGAAGGGGAGAAATAGTAAAGGAGGTATAAAAGCACCGAAGTATGGTTTCAGGAATGCTTTTAGAAAGAAATTTGTTTCATGGATTGATCATGAGTGTGAAATAGATTGAGTATGTGGAAAGGGGGTTGGAGGGTGGGCATGGAAAAGAGATTAATGCAGTAAAGGGATAGGGAGGAAGGGGGAGACGGGGGTTGGAAGAATGAACAGGAGTGGAAGAAATGGAAAGTAGTTTGGGATGCTGGTTGAAGGTGTAGAAGGACGCTTGGATTAGGGGAAGAGGTTGTATTGGGAATCAACATATTATTATTTGAACGTACCGCTATAGTTACAGTTAACTATGGGGAAACGAGGAAATAGAATGGATTTGGTATTGTAATCATACTTAGAAGTCTTAGTACTCGGAATCTTCATCCTGTCCATCTAGTGATGGCCATTGACTATTTTCCACTGAGCTAGATAATAAACGAGATGGTGAATATTTTTGGGAATACTTTATGCTCCCTGATAGATTATTTTGAAAGGTATTTAAAATATAATACCAGTATTCATTTATTTTGAATGGGATTCTAGAATTTGATAATATCGATATCCCTCGCTTACATGTGAGTCTTATATTTCTACATCGTGACACGACGTCACTTCAACACATCTTGGTAAGAGGGCAAGGAGCAACATGGAAAAGGAAGTGTAAATGATACCAATTTGAACCATGTGATAAAGGCTTCACGATTGTGTATAAGGTTAAGAAGGAGAGTGAGTGGTTGGGACAAGGAAGTAGAAGATATAATGGAGGTGAGGAAAGGTTGATTTGGAAGATGATTACGGATGCGTGGAAGGGAAATCGGACTTGCGTTTGACCGTTGGAATATAATTTATTGGGAAAGGTAGTGAAAGTGAATTTATTGGAGAAGTTGTATTCGTCTCTCTTGCCTCATACATATGCACTTTCAAGTTAGGTATAAGATCGAGGTAAGAAAATAATCCAAACAATATTACTCAAACAAATCATACTTCAACATAAGCTTACACAAATCTAAAACCTCGTCGATACCTTGAAATTACATCATTACACCCATTCAAATCCTCAACCAGCGTCGAGTAAACTCACCAGCTCTACGTCACTTTCCATACTTAAGATAAAAGAAATTGATCTGCAGCACTTTCAAGGGAAATTTCAATACTATATCTCGATCTAGAATCAACGAACGATGGTAGGCCAACCATTGAGCAAGAAATTCCGACCGCACGATATCCACGGAGATGATCAAAGAACTTCAAGATCAGCGACAGTAGGAGAGACGGATAGAAGGGCGACATGATGCCCAGGATTGGAATGATGGTGGATATTGGACGTGCTGAGAATGAGTCAAGACACTTGGCCGTGGGAAACAGAGGAGTGGGAGAGGGCGAAAAAGCGCTTACAAAATAGATTGGCCAAGTTGAAGTAGGCGGCTTGGAAGAAGGCAAATATAGAAAATCATTATGAAACACTAAGCATAAGAGAGACTTACATATTATCGAGAAGATTCAGTCAAAATGATAGGTTCGTTAAGTAATCCACTACTCCATTACTCGGACTAGTCAATGAAGAGGGCCGGGGGCTTAGCAAAGCACATTTTCACACCAAAAATCATGTATTTCAAAAATTTCTATAAATCCAATAAATAATTATATATACTTCAAATTTCAAAAATATAATAGATATTTATCAAAAATTCAATATCTTATTAATTTTCTGATTTCGTATATCAAAATATATTAAAAATCAAAATCTTAAAATATTATAGTTTTGATTCAATAGTTTTTCATTGATAAAAAAACCCCAAAAAAATTTCATTAATACATAATTATTAATTGAATAAATATTAAGATCCAATTCAAATACCAAATTCAAATATTGAAAAAGTGAATTAATATTTATTTTTCAAAAAATCGACTTTGTGATGATAAGAATATAAAAGCTTGGGCCCGGCCCTCACCAAAGACTAGCCCGAGTAGTTCCAACTGGAAAAGCTTAATCGAACGGTACTGCCCGATTTACAGAGTAAAAAATCTCGAAGTCATTTTGAGAGTTACCAACGGCTCAGAGCGGGATTCAGACAAAGCCAGCATCTACCTTGAATCCATCCCGCGATATCTCCTAATCATAGTTCATGCTAACCTAAAGTTATTTAGTCCACGGCGTTTGAAAAATGGTTCATCCAGACTATTCAAATTCAAAGCTTTGTAGTTCGAAGTTCGAACTAGCGTGGTGAGTAGCTTGGACTTAGTTCCACCGGTAGATGATGGCCAGATATGTCAAATTCTTCAAGATTTCGTGAATAATCGGATATAACTAAGGATCCGAGTGGATTGATGGGTGCTTCACATAGCTTCGACATACTAGGCGGGTTCACTGTGCCATTTGATGGATTGTGCGAAATAACTCCATTACGAAAAGCTTTGGGGATCAAAATCTTCTCAATGGATGGGGCGGCGCCGATGTATAAATTTTAGCCTAGAGCTCGTATATGGTATACACATAGGTGTCGACTTTTGAAATTTTGAAACTAGCTCCGGAAATAAGTTTAAGAAAACTTGAAATGAAGCTAATGAGTATGAACCATATGGAGACCAAGTGGTCGATGGTCTTGGAGAGCTTAACTAGCATGAAGTACATCTGCCGGTGGACGGGAAATTGGATACTAGTCAGCCCATTCGACAAGTCATCATGAAGCACGGGACGGTTTTTGAACTGGAGGGTGATGTTAGTATTTCCCGCCAAATCAAACACCGATGTCTTCAAGTTTCTAGCTTGTATATTTTGCTTCTCTACTAGACAAATTCATGATCAGGGTCCCAGAATTTGAACACTTGACTCAGTAGTTAGTATTGTACGGGCATCTTTAGGGAACTTTGGACCTTATTAAGTAAGTCACTTCGATCTCCCAAGTACGTTAACCCTTTCTCCCAAAGTTTATTCTTTTTTTTCATCTCTCGAGACCGTCAAGCATAACATCACATTACATTATATCACATCGTATTATATCATATCATATTTACACATTCAAATTTTTCGAAAATACTTCATTCTGATTCAAGCACCATGCCCCTTTTTTTCCGAATCCCCAAAATCGACCCTTCCGAGGATACAGCAGAAGGAGAGAAACTAACCTGGGTTTGGAAAGAAATCGAAGACCAAACTACCTCTCAGATCGAAGCTCTAGAGTCACAACTTCAGAATAGGAGAATCGCTCAACAACTCGAGAAATGCAGATTACTCCTCGAAGAAATCGATCTTCGAGTCGAAATTCTCAAGATTGAGAGCAAGAGAATGAAGGAGCTGTTGGAAAAGATGAAGGATGCAAGGGAAAAGGCACCCAGCCTCCTAGAATCTATCCATGAGGAAATTGACGAGGATACTCGCGACCCTGCTCCTTCTTCCTTCTCTTCCTTCTCATCCGCCTCTTCTGCCGGAGACAGCTCCACTACCTCGGACTCATTCGCTGCCTCCTCTTCCTCTTCCTCCGATTCTTCTTCCGAAGACGGCTCCACTATCTCAGACTCATCTGCACCCCGCTCCCCTCCCATGAAGCCTGAAATACCATTAGAAAATCTGAGTCTAGACGAGCAATTGGAGGCATTGATTGAAGAAGGAAGGGAGCTTGATAGATCCCAACGTGAATCGGGGATCTGGAATTAAAAACGAAAAGAAGATAAAGTGCAGAGAGAGTAAGTGATCCGTGCTATTGAACTATTAAACATTGCCTTGCTAACATATTTGAAGGAACAGATGAAGATATTTGGTGAGAGCGCTCTGTTTGGAGGGGAGGATCAGTCTAGTCGATGGGTGGTTTGGCGTATGTGGTTTGGGTATGTGGTTTGGGTATGTGGTTTGAGACATGGTTTCGGTATATGGTTCGGATATGTGGCTTGGGTATATGATTCGAATATGTGGTTCGGGTATGGTTAATTATGGCGATGGGTGGGTTGGTTCTTATGAAATGATGATTCATGATTGGATGGTTGGGTATGGTTGGGTATGGGTTTTAGGATTGGAGTTTTATAAATTGATACCTAATTTAGTAGATATCAAACCAGCGATTACAAAAATAATATTGTACACTTTGAGCTTTAAATAAGATTTTACATAACATTATTACCTTGATCTAGGTTGGTGATTGGCAAACGGAGGGGGGTTGAAAAGTACAAAGAACTAGGATAGTTTGAACTTCCTTGGGAGACAGAGCAAGGCTACTTCTCATATGCATATAGGATATATCTATGGACACCTGTCTGCGAGAATGGGAGGAAATATATGCGTGCTGAAGATGGATTGATATTCAGCTGAGTATTGTTTACTATCACCGAGAATCCAGCAGCAAGTTGGCCTGTGTAGTGTTTTGAGGCTAGGAAGTTGCTGTCACTAGGTCTTTCTTTAGAAGAAATAATATGTTAGAAAGTAACCGGTCTGCCTGCTCATAGTCATGATACAAAACCATATTGTTTAATAATTCGTGCGATTTAACTTATAAGTGATGTATATATAAACTCACAGCGTCTTGTATCTCTGCTTTTTTTCTTTGCTATGATGATTTAGTGTAAGATTAGGTGTAATCACTTGGATATCTATGCTGGGTAGTTGTTTGAGCACTTGTATTTCATTATAGGTTTGAGGGGTCTTGGATATTTATATTCATTCAAATATTCACATCCTCAAACATTGAAATCCATTCATATAGTCAATCTACATTAACGCTCATAACTATATAAACATTCACCTCTATACAAACACTCTAGATCCTTCACACATTCAAATTTTCAAACCTCCTTGTACATCCAGTCCATTATCCTAATCGCGTAATATTATCCCCAACCTCCAACCCCCAACCCAAAAAGACTTGAAAAGAACTCAAATATTCAATCCTCCCCATATACCCAATTCATTCCATTCAAATCCTATCCACCTAGCCCTCTTACTTGAAAATAGTAAAAAGAGTGACTCAAATATCCAACCTACTCACCTAACATCCCTCACAATGCACATATCTATTTACCCCCATCCATCCATCCATCCATCCACCAACCTCAAAATACTCTATACCCTCTTTTCCTCCCTCTAGATCCTTCCCTGATCATATAAATACAAATACATCTCAATAAATATCATCTCAATATCATCTCAACATCATCTCCAATACCACCTCGATATCAATACATTCATACATTCATAATATCTCATTAAACAATCTTATCTCAGAAAATTCCTTATTATAATATATTTTATAACTTTATAAATTATGAATTCTAATCTTGTAATATTAATATCTAAACTTAAAAAAGATCTATATTATATATTTTCCGGATTATTATAATATTTTGATTTTTATATCTTTTAAATAAAAATAGATATTCAATATAAATATCAATTTTTGTAATATAATTTCTTACTTGATAAAGATTGATAATGAATATTGATAATATAATTTGATATTAATGAATAGATTATAATAATTATTATACAAAGTTATATAATTATAGACTTGAAAGGATTGAACTGAGTGTATAAAGTCTTGAGATAAGATAATTTAGTATAATATAATCGAGTATTATGATTTGATATTTAATTTCTGTTATAGATATCTCGGCTAATCTCTCCTTTCATATCCACTCCTAATATTCAAGCTATTCCAAAACCCCCAGAATACCCTACCCACTCACCGCAGCCCCCACACCTGTCAGCGCCTCCCCAATAACCCCCACCATCTCCAACACCTTCTCATCCTCCAACCTCCTCCCTACACACTGCAACGCCACAGGCGTCCCATGATAAAACCACTCCTCATAATCCGCCTGCAACCTCGCATCCTTCTCACTCAACGGGCTCCACTCCTCTCCCCTCCTCTTATCAAGCACCTCATCCGCAAACGTAACCGGAAAAGTACAAGCGGGATAATCCAACAAATTCCACACGCCCGTAAAATTGACACAAAAAACATCCGTCTGCGTAATGCCTAGTCGCGGCGCCGTCCACGGACTAGCGGGCATAATAATCGCATCCATAACACCCTTTCCATCCTTCCCCGTACTCGTCCATCGATCCAGATACTCCTTTTGATAGGCATTTCTCCTCGTAATCATCTCTCTCAATTTCGTTGGTCCCAATGTTCCATGTTCGCCCTGGTCATAGGCGAATTCGTAATTTTTCATACTTTCGAATACAGGCTCGTCGTGTTTACGCGTTAATTCGAGAATAGCGGCCCCACCTAGTGTGTAGAAGGAATTATTCATTTCCTTGGCCATTTCGGGATGATTTGTAGGTTCCCATTCGAAGACCTCGTGACCAGCTGCTTCTAGTGCTCGTTTTGTAAGTGCGAGTCCGCGGGCAATAGGTGGATGAACGCTGATTTCACCGTCATTGTCGGAGATGATTCCGAAGCGGAGTTTGCGGCCTGGTGGCTGGATTGTGTTGTCTCGCCAGGGGACTGGGAGACATTTGGGATCGTATAACCAGGGTGAAAGTGAGGAGGATAGAACAGCTTTGCAGTATAGTTGGAGGGTTTTGAGGGATCTGGACATGGGGCCATTATTGGAGTAGATGAAATCTTGTCCTGAGATCCCAGATTTAGTGCCGTAGATGGGGAATCTGCCAAAACTATATACTTTCCGTCAATATTGCCTGTCTATTGTGGAGAGAGAGAATGTACGTACGTAGGTTTTAATCCAAAAATCCCATTAAAGCCACTAGGAATCCTGATACTACCTCCAATATCCGTGCCAATCCCCAAAGGACTACCCCTCATAGCCAAAAGCACACCTTCACCACCAGAACTTCCTCCTGAAGTCGTACCTGTATGATATGCACCATTAGTTTCGCCCCATACATTTGAGATTGTCTCCATCATCATCATTGCAACAGGTACTGCAGTCTTGACATAGAAAACAGCTCCAAGCTTCGCCAATAAAGAAACTAAAACCGTTTCATCCCCTGCATTTGTGGGTACATTGGCATAGCATGCCATACCGATAGATGATGGATGAGGTGGTGTTATGAAGCAATCTTTGAGAGAGATTGGAAGACCATGAAGTGGACCTATGACATCCCCAGTTTTAGAGAGATAATCATCTAGGAATTCTGCTCGTTTAAGAGCTTCTGGAATAAGAATTTCTGTTAAACAGTTTGTCTGAAAGATTGGTTAGAGAGTGCTTATTCATGGATTAGAAGAGAACAGACCAATTGATGGGCAACAACAGCAGCCTTAGAAAATGCTTTGGTAACTTGAACAGACGTCCAGATTCTCTCTTTGATCTTTTGAAGTATATCTTCCGCATCTGATTCAATTATCTCCAATTCCTCGTGGGTGAAATGACCAGATGATCTTGGCATATTAGTAACATTTCGTGGAAGGTTTTTTAGAGCTCCCTCAGGAAGAAGATATTCTTTGGGTAAAGAATCAGCTCGACGCTTTTGAGCAATCGTTGCTATTTCCTTGTAGTGGTGATCTTCTAATATGTGTCGAGATTCACCCATTGTTGCGGTAAGAGGAAGGGGAGTCCTTGATCCTTGATTATGCTAGATCTTAATGTATTGTAGTATTTGAGAATTAAAACCAACTGAGGGAAAGAAAAAAATGTTATGAAGGCATAAATTTGTAGTGAACGAAGAGACTAAATAATTAACTGATAGAGGTGAATTATATTTCATACTCTAACTACGTATCTCATCATACCTTGATTTGAGGTCAGATTTGAGGAGTTTGTACCCCGCCGTCGCTCACAAGTGGGGTTTTCCCGATTTCGGCAAAAAGTCCCAAAAATCCCGGTCACTGATATCAGGATCCTCATTACCACCAGAACAATCGGAAAGTCAAATAGCAGATAAATAGCAAAAACTTAATCAAATATTATAAGGAATGGAGAGTGTATATATAAATTTGAACCTCTTGCAAGTCCACACATTTCCTGCGAGGTGCAGATATCCTGACCAACAAACGCCACTCCACGCCTTGAAGTATTCCTGTAGCTTTAGTATGTACATCCAAAACGTCTATATTTGATATCAAAACATTCAAATCTGTATCATGAGCCGCCATTCCCGGAAGTCACCAGTGCTGTTTATTGTCCGGCAGTTCCGCACGCGGAGATCGGGATTCTGTTGGTACGCCGTGCTGGTGGTCAGCATCATATCCCTGATAATCCTTCTCGAATCGAGTTAGGAGGATATTGAGAACTCGAAAACTACAAGCAACAAGTGCTGCACTTAGAGTTCCGTCACTCAGGTTGATCTTTCAGGCCGCGTTTTCCACTCAATCAGAATCTGTGTAAGGCATTGATGGCAGCAATTGCAGCCGTTCCGGCAGCAGTTGAATCGACGCTCGCGCCACAGCACCAAGCCATTGATAGCTACCACAGAATCAACAGGTACGGTGAGAGGGAACGGAGGTGTTACTCCCAGGAACTGTAGCATCATTCATGGCATGGAGAAACGTAAGCAGAGTCTACCAGGAAGAGGAGCTGATGTCTTCACGGTTGTAGAATTTATGAATGAACGTATAGATATGTCATGATTGATTGAGAAAACTATTTGGTGGATATTAGGAATGACATGTTCGAATCGAGAGCCAAAAGATCGACGAGCACTCAAAAAAAGAATGAGGAGATGAGGTAGGAGAGAGATATGGAAGAAATTATCTAAAACTTATAGAGATGAACACTATTTAATTGTAATATGGGACAAAAGAGGCTTATTACTCAGTATTACTTGTGAAGCGAAGGGTACTTACATATCCTAAAGTAACAGCAGTCCCGTAAAGCGTCACCTGTGGTTTCTTGAGTTAAATGAAGAGATTGTCTATTAACTTCTTAATGTCATATGTATAATGAATAACAGATCTCTGGTGTAAGATTCTACTACTGACAACGTAACATGAGAGATAATGAAACCAGCTCAACAAATCACATATCAAAATGTTTACTGCGCACATTGCATCCAAGTGAAGTACATGTATGATTTTTTAATACCAAAGTTCTTGAATTTCCAGGTCTCAGCCTTGTGAGAAGCAGTAAGGTGAAATAAGGTCTGATCCCTAAAAGGAATGCTTAAGGTGATTACATTTGTTTCCATCATCTAAATCTACGTTCCTTTGAGAGAAGAGGAGGTAGGAGTTATATTGAGGAAGTAAAGTTTGATCTGCCATCATCTATAGACGTTGAACCCAGAGTGTAGTAGGGAAGAACGCATATGCTCAAATGGGGTGCACGGAGACACACAAATTCACAAGTAGTCATTAAAATCAGAAAGTCGAATGATTCATTCCCTAGCGACTCCATATCATCAATTGTATGTTTCTCATCCTAGACAAACGTAAACTCCGCCGTCATCATTAAGCTGTTCTAATGCGAGGCGTATTATGCTGCAACGGCAAGCGTTAGCAAGAATATCGACCATGAAATCGAGAGGTAGTAGTCGAATACTAACTGTCCAGATAATCGGCTGCCATCAACAACTCGAGACACAACTCTGCCGGAATCTCCATGTCTGGCACATTCTCCGAGTTGCGATATTTGTAGTTATAGTAAAAGTATTCGGCGACCTTCTCGAGGACAATACCACTATTTAAGAAAGATTGTAGTTAGTCTTCGAGAAATATTTGTAGCAATGCCATGCTAGACATAAGATGATGCTGCCCTGAGGGCCGGCTAATCATGAATCGCCATTCAACTGGCTTCTAGATGGTTGTTGATGGATTGTTGAAGAATGAAAGCATTCGCAGAGAAAAAAAAAACGAATAAAAACTTAAATAGGCATAAAAGCGGGTCTCAGATCAAGTGTAAAAAACGAGCATCCAGTCCACGGCAATCCCAAAAGGGGATAGAGGGTCTGTATCGAAATAGCTTCTATCATCACCGACGCCTGTGTACCCTTTGTTGGAAAATAATCTCAACTGTGTGATGTTTGTCGAAGAAATGGCTAATCGTATTGTAGAGAGAGCTAACCAAAAAAAGGAAATGGCAGGCATACTTTATCTCAGCGAAACGGCAGATTCCTGTTTGAGACTCTTCCCAACCACCTGTATATGAATAAAATAAGTAAGTATTGGTTCAATTGCAAGATATTCGCAAGGTCGGATCGATAGAGGAGGGCAAACGAACTGGTTGTATCCAGCATCTTCTTGATTGCGCCACTTGTCAAAGCAGCCTCTCTCAAAACGACGAATTCAAAGCCATCGCAAGATACGAGAGTCACGTATTTGCTTGTACCTGGTGCTGCCATGATTAGAGAAATTGGTAAATGTTGTATAGCAATCGTGAATTCCAATTTCTTTAAAGCATAGACATGATTTTCTTTGAGGCGACGTGAAACGGTTAAGCGGGGAGGGCACCAGCCAGGCGCGAGGCTACGAATCTGCAAGGAGTGACACAAATCACAATATCTTGAAAAGCTTACTCGGTACGGAGTATGATCATTGTATCCATTGTGTTAAGCTTTCTTCTTGCAGTTCTTTCCCTTCGAAGTTCGAAGTTCGAAGTTCGATTACAATTTACAATAATAACAATTCACGGTACATAAGAACTTGAGAAGATTTCAACCACGCGACAATCTTCTAGATGTGGGCATGGCATTGGCCACAGCCCATGGGTTTTCACACTACCAACAATACTTGCAAGTTTAGATTACGCCAAGATCTGCCAGCTCTACCTAGTATCTTCAAAAAGGAAAACAACCCGGTACGAGAATGCGAGTCCGAACGATTTCCCCTATTCGATGTTTATGATAGAACGAACGATCCATCGGATTCCCAGGAACGTATCCTGCATGCATGCGTACTTCGTACACTTTGCGGGATGAAGTCCAAGTACTAACTAGGTAGGTAGGTAGGTCCATTAGAGTCGTGGGCGGTCACTGGTCACTGGTCAACACGGGAATCAACAACATTCACGGTTCCTTGGGTCCTTATCAATCGGATATGGACAAATCCTGTTCAAAGTCCACTTTCATTTCAAGCTTTCCCCAAGAAGCTTACGAGTCAATGATCGGAAGGCATTTCACCGCGATTCCCTTTCAGAATCTCAGCATGACTCCTCGAGCACTCGCGTACCTTGTAAAACTTTATCGTTCATAAAACTTCATACTGATCACTCAACCAACAGGAGCGGACACCTGCACTGCTCCGAGATGCATACACTGGCAATCTCCCTGAGTTTCCACTAGTACTCTCACATACTCCGTAGTCTCTTCTATTCACATTTCACATTTCACATTTCACACCGACACCAACACCGACACCGACACCGACAACTGTTCCGTGTATTTCTAGAAATCGCGGCTCTTGGCATTCGGCTTAAATTCGGTCGGATCAACATGAGACCATCTCCACAGGTTCATTGATTGGCGAAATGATTATGGCTAGAGATTTTTGCCTGGCTAGCCACACACAGCCAACACAGCCACAACATGCGACACCCAAGATATCAGGCACAACAGGCATGATCGTCATTCGAACAAGGGTTTGTGCAAATGCCAAGAATCCGAATTCCCAATCTGTAGAGATTAAACGGTACAAAGCATCAATGGAAGGATTTGGACCCTCTGAAAAACTGGGCGCTTACTGTAGCTTTTATTTTATATTTCACATATGCTAGCTGCTCTGCTACACCCGTTTCCCTCGGCCGTCAAGATGTTAGCCACAGTCGCACGAGCAGGGAGTCGAGAAGATGTCGCGAATTGGGTATAGCTCCCCATTTAGCATATCATTTCATCCCACCCGCTTTGTCGGATGTAGACAGCCAACTTGAACCAAGTCTCCAGAGAACAGGGAATGTCAACAGACCATAATTTTATCTTGGAGAAATGATAAATGATATGCGTGCAAATGCGTGTAAATGGATGGTCAAGGAGGTAGCTTGCATAGGATAGGTAGCATAGATAGCATAGCCATCGCATTTCTTTATTCCGCTCTAAGCAATGCATCCGAAATGGCTACTTGTAAGTCTTAACCTTATACTTTCCTACATTTGTGGACGTCATAGAACTACCTCTATCCCTGATCTTTCCTTAGGGCTCCAAGCATCGCGGTCTAAAGTATATTCTAATTGCATTTCTTTTAATCTTTAATAATGCTGGTCTCCCTTCTCGAATCTCTTCGCTTTCTCTTTCTGACATTTGCTTCCTATTAATCATGGCCGGGGTTTTTTGCGCCGTGAGGCGCCTCTTACTTCATGTATACAGAACTCTTCTCAATAGGTACGTAGATGCAATTCTGGATAATCCCTATGCTTTGGCCTCAAGAATACTAATATGTGTGCAGACATTCTTTCTTTGGATTGCTTAGACATATTTTAATCAACATGACATTTATTCTTATGTGGATAACGACTTTCAAGAATGGTAAATTTTGATGTACACTCCATCATATACAAGCTCCAGGCTAACTCTCTCTTTCAAAGCATGGCGAATCGACTCCTCAATCCGGCCACTGATTGATGTCAATTATCTCGAATTATTAGATAGGAGAGTTTTTGGATTTTCCATGTTTGGCCTCGCATCACAATTTACCTGTTCGGTCATCGGAATATCGTGGATGTATGCACTCACTCGAAAAAAGATATCGATACTAGCTGGACTACCTCCTCTTCTCCTCAACATTCTCTACTCCCTCTCCCATAACCTCTCTGAACCCCTCGATGTTTTCGCTTGGCTGTCATACGGTGTTATTCATTTCATCTCCCCTTTCTTCGCCGCATTCTGGCTCTGGCTATTTGCATCACCAGGCGTTGTATCCATATTCGCCTGGTCTTTCGGAATTCAAAACTGTCTCGGGATAATCACCCATCTCTCCTTCCCATCCGCAGCCCCCTGGTACGGCGATCAATACGGTTACCCCCTCCCACCCGGAAACTACAGCATGCCCGGTTCAGCAGCCGGACTCGTACGAGTGGACAAAGTCCTGGGAACGCACATCTACGCGAACGCATTCAAAGCGTCACCTCTAGTCTTCGGTGCATTTCCTTCTTTACACGGAGCATTCAGCTGTTGCTGTTTCTTTTTCATCGGCCGCTACTCCAAAAAAGGTACTTTCATCCTCGGCTTCTACGTTCTATGGCAATGGTTCTCCACCATGTATCTACGACATCATTGGCGTATAGATCTTCTAGGCGGACTCGCATATAGCGCCTTTGCATTTTCCCTTTTCTACCGCAGTTTGCAAAAAATCGATCGTGCGTATTCCATGGGTGTCAGTGGAGGAAATGGATGGCAGAGACTTTGGGAAGGTACGAAATTACAGTATTGGTTTGATAGGAGACCGGCACAGTTGGGTTATGAGGTGTTGATGGAAGATGAGGAGTATAACAAAGAAGCGCGGATGGAGCTGAATGAAATAGGAAGTCCCGGGTTACAAGGGGAGTTGGAGGGTGCGTGGGTGAGGGATGAGGGGCTTACGTGGACGGTTAAGGATATGGATAGGAGGTTGAGGTAGTGCGGTGCGGAATGGAACGGCACGGAATGGATTGGATGGGATGGGATGGAATGATATTTCGCGAAGTATATTTTTGAAAACTATGTAGGATGAAGTAGAAAAGAGGGAGGTAGTATTCTTTCGCTTGCTTGGATAGACTGGGAAGTTGGATGAATTGCATTTCGGATTTTTTCGAAATTTTCAGTCGAATTTTCAAAGGGCGTTGTGGTTGGATTGGGATGGATGGTGGGACTTTGGATTACTTATCTTCTATGTACCTACCTACTTGTTTATTTATTAAGGTTTTAGATATAAGATGGATGAATGAATAAAGATAAATAAATGAAATAGAATGAGTATATATGTAAGATATAAGATTATTGATTGGCTATAAAATCGTATAAGTATAAATTTGAGTATATATTTGTTTAGATTATACAAGAGATATATTATATAAATTTGAAATATAAATAAATACTAAATAAAGAAAATAAAAATAAAAATAATAAAAGAAAAAGAATAAAACTATAACTTTTATTTATTCTTAAAAGAAACATTTCACACCTCTCTACTAGGTACTGAACGTTTAAACTGGTAATATGAATTCATAATTATACTATCACTTTATACACAGATAAAATAAGATAAATCGTTACTTTTATTTTATATTCATCCATCCATCCATCCATCCACCCCTCCTTTCAAATCGCATCCAGTAACTCGATAATATACCGTTCCATAAACGAACCCAAGAGTCCACTATTTGTATACCCTAACTCTCATCAAATTGCTCTGATGTGAACTTTGATGTAAAGAGCAAAAGATATCCATACAAGTCCTTTCGTATCATCTGAGAACTCCTAGTATCTCCGCTTTCTTGAACGAACTGAATGAATTGAATGAAATGATTGATGTGTACGAAGTCGCTTCTCCAAAAAAGGAATTATCTATGCGACTTCCTCAATCTTTGCCTTGGGTTGCTCTCCAGCTTTCTCTTCTCCAGCTTTCTCTTCTCCAGCTTCCTCCTCTCCTTCAAGTCCTGGCATCTCCTCGTCATCCTCATCATCATCGCCCTCATCATCATCACCACCCATTCCTCCCAACCCACCCATTCCTGCGCCACCGAGTTTTGAGAAATCGATACCACCGAAATCTCCACCGGCTCCTCCCATCATGTCTCCCATACCTGGCATTCCACCTAGAGTAACATTCATTAGCTTACTGTCAAATCTTTCAATCAGAGACAAAGCAACTTACCCATACCACCCATCTGGCTCAAATCCTCCTCAGGAGCTTCATCTTGCTCATCCTCATCAACCCACTTATCGAAGTCGGTCTTCAAGAAGTGAACCTTCTTAGAATCCTTTAATAATCTTGGCCAGAATTCCTCCTTCAACTCCTTCTTTCTCAAGACGAATTGAGTGTTCTTTTGAGTGTGGTTGTACTTGGAAGCACTCTCATCGATCTCAGCGTAGAATTCCAATGTGACAGCATAGGCACGCTTGAGCGATTCAGAGTAGCCAGAGAATGTGAGGGATTGGGACTTGAGTTCGATCTTGGGTTCTTTGACATCAGGAACACCGATGGTCAGGTAGATGAAATTCTTTTCTGCCTCAGTCTTGTTGGATCGTTGAGCCCAGAGAACTGTAGTTTGTAATGATTAGCAACATGTTTAGATATCGTGTGTATTGTGGTAGGAGAAGAAAAGCTTTTGATGATCCTTGCTTATAAATTTGAAGATTCAGCGCACAGTACCCCTCATTGAAAAAGTAATGCGGGATAGAGCTGGTCAACCTCGAAAGCAATTCTAGGCACATGAACCACCAACAGCCAGTATCTGCTCGAAGTGGCACATTCTCGAGGTCATAGTTGAAATAACAGGAGTTGGCTAGGCAGAGATGCTTTGTAGCTTCTCTTTTGCCGCATCCGGAAAAGAAAAGAGCTAACAAGCTTACCTTCTGGGGTTGCAGTAGTTTCAGACATTGTTTAACTTAAAGAGTTGTAGGAAAGATGGGGTAGAACGTTTTTATTGTTGCAAATATTGAATTGGGTATCAAGCAAAAAGCTGTTAATGTTGTTGTTCTTGTTGTTGTAGAAGAGAGAAATTATGAAGAAGGAGATGAAGAAGGATTGGCGAACTTTCTATTTGTTGCTTGTGCTGTGTGCAGACAAACGAGGCTGAAAGCCGTGTTATGTATGGAACCTGCGAGAACATTGGGGAAAGTACAATTCAAAGTAGGTAGCAAACATTCTTCCTTAATTTACATTAAAAATAGATGATGTAGTGAATTTATTTGTGACGGAGTGAGTATATTGAAGATATATTTCCCTTTTGATTTTTGGTCTTTTAACTTATTATTCTAATTTTTGAACTCCATTTGAAGATCCTCGAGAATTAAAAAGTAAAAGTTAAAAATTAAAAATTAAAAATGATTCAACCTGTACTGTAGCTGATGCTTCGAAACTTGACCCCACGTTACTGCGGCTCCATGCCCTTGAGCTTGGACCTAACCCCAAACTTGAACCTAACCCAAATACAATCAATCACCATCACTTCCTATCTACTATTATCACTTGTCTAGTATGCACATTTACCATAATTGAACCCTCGATTCTGGTTAGAACAATATTGCCACAATATCTTCGGATTGTGAAAGAACCCGTGCACTTGCCCATTTTCACGTTAAAGGTTCCAAAAGTGCCAGCCATTTTGCGAGTAATTCGCATCCGAAAGACGCATCATGGAATCCATAAAAGCCGTATTCTTCAAACCCGATCCTCAAGTTCAAGTGCGTATGCTCTTCATCTCTATGCTCGTTCCATTTCCTCTAACTAATTCCTTCTCCCAGGTCCGCAAATGTAATACCCTAATCCGACAAAACATACGGAAACTCGACCGAGACATCGCAGCCCTTAAAGCCGTCGAAAACAAAACCCGCAACCTCATCATCGCCGCCAATAAACGTGCTCAACGCACCCCCTCCCAAGCCAAGCAAGCCGCACAAGAAACCCGCATATTCGCGCGCGAATTAATCCGTACCCGAAAAGCCTCTCGTCGGCTCGTCACTTCAAAAGCGCAAATGCAGAGTGTGAATATGCAAGTCAATGAAGCCTTTGCGGTGAGGAAAATAGAGGGGAGTATGAAGGCTAGTGTGGGTATTATGAAGGATGTTAATAGTTTGGTTCGATTACCGGAACTTATGGGCACCATGAGAGAATTGAGTCAGGAGTTGGTGAAGGCTGGGATTATTGAGGAGATGGTTGGAGATATGTTGCCAGATCAGTTGGAGGAAGAGGACGAGGAGGCAGAGGAAGAAGTGGATAAGGTGCTTGGAGAGATATTACAGGATAGGATGGGAAAGGTGGGTGCGACGCCAAATCTACCAGCCGCGCCAGTACAACAAGAGGTTGCTGCAGAAGAGGAGGACGAGGATGCAGAGGCTATGTTAGATCAGATGAGAGGAAGGTTACAGGCTTTGAAGAGTTAGGTGGGAGGATAGGGATTGGGTTTTGTATACTGTGTTTGGAGTCTGGTTGGAGTTTCGGTCGGGGTTCGTATATGCTTAGAGGCATTCGCCAGTGACCTGGCACGGATTAATTATACAGAAGGATCATTCAGGACTCTTCCTGATTTCTCACGTTTAGGCATATCTAGTATATGCTTCATGATAATAGATATCTTTTTGAAATTGATTAGACTCCTCTATAGAATGAAGAAAGATATTCAATAACTGAAGCTGATAATAGGCAATTTTCTACCTGGTCCTTGGGTGGCCACTACAACTCAACTACCTACCTCTAAAACATCTTGACTCCGTACAAACCTTTCTATCAATCACTCTTAAAACATCCATCCATCCATCCATACTATATATATATATACTCTTAGTATACATTTATAAAATACTACCACCACATCTCATATTATATCATAATTCCACCTTTAGCTTCATCTATTACTTACTACTCACTCCTCCTCGTTTGTATATATTAAAATAAATTATAAATATAAACATACATTACTTTTTTGATATAGATAACTCTATTCCTAGCATTGTATATATAAAATAATATGTCTCATGTTACATCCCTGGTGTACCTTTATATCTAACACAGAGTATATGAAACCTCATCGTTAGATAGGTAGTGTTAGATCAGATATTCATCACATGGGTAGGTAGGTAGGTAGGTAGGTAGGTAGGTATTCATTCAATAAGTAAACAATGTAATAATAATAATGATAATGATATAATTCCAAAGCCAATTCCTAACCATAAGATTTCTTCCCTATCCTACCTAACAACAAACCAAAAATAAAATTACTATCCTAAATTTTTCCTAAGAAAAGGAGAGAAGAGGAAATAGATGAGGATGAATATGGATATGGATATGGATATGATAAAGATAACCAGTATCCTCATTCCATCGCACATCATATCATATCATATCACCAAACCTATCATTTGAATACTATCCATCCATCCATCTTTCTTTTCAAGAAGTCCACATTCCACAGTCCATATTCCATATTTAATATCCAAATCCAAATCCATATCCAAACCAAGGAAAACACACACACACACACACACACAAATAAAAATGTAGAGCATCAAACTCGAACTTTGCTTTCCACATTCGAGAATCCAAGAATCGAATCCAAATCCAAATAATAGGCCGTTATTTTATCTGTTCTCCATGTTCTCCATGTTCTCCATGTTTCTTTCTCATCAGATACCATCTGATTTCCAGCCATCCTGTGCATTGTGTGGCCTGTTCTTCCATCCATGCGTCAGGACACCCAATCCAATCCCATCTTATCCTAACCAATCCAGGAATAAAGGAAAGGAAATGCGATTGTGAAAAGTTGATAGAGGGAAGGTAAAAAAAAAAAGAGAAAAAGATGAAAAAGAAAAAAAGCGCGATTTTCCATCCATATTTCCAAAGTTCATGCAAACCAAAGATAAAACCAAAAATGAAAAAAAAAGTCTCCAAAAAAACACACCAAAGAAGAACCGCAGAGAATTGAAAAGGAGACGAAGCCGAAAAACATGAAAGCAAAGAAAACACCGCAACTTAAAATCCCTGCGGTACAGGAGCATCAAGTAATTGTAATTCCTCCAAATACCCCCGTTCCTCCTGCATATTCCTAATAAAGACTTCTTCGCCCACTTCACCCCACCACCCTCTCTCCACAACCTCCTTCTTCCTCTGCCAAATCTCACTCGCTACTCCTTTTACCTGGCCAAATGCACGTCCGGCACTAGGCCATACTTGCCACAGAGATTTTAACGCTCCAGTGTTCAATTTCAATTGTTGCTTGAGATCATCGTCGTTGAGAAGAGGGTAGAGAACTGACCAACAAGACAAATGAACGACGGAGGCGAGCGTTACGACGCAGGTGAAGAAATGAGTGTGGCGGATGAGGGGGATGGGGAGGGTAATTAATTTGGAGATTGACTGGGCGGCGGTGACGGTTTTAGAGGCATGGATGTTGTAGTTTGAGCCTGGAGTGATGGGGTGGTGCGGTGCGCAGGAGGTTATGGGGGTGGTGATGCTGCTGTCTAGTTCGGAGAGTTCGCGGTGAAGAACGATAGTTGTGCTGTTTGAGAATGGGGTTAGTTCATGTAGAAATAGAAAGTATGGGAGTAATGATAAGAAATTTGACAAGAAAACATACGCTTCGGTTATCATGTTTGCTTGGAAAAGCATTTCATCGAGCTTGCCATCACCACTGACGAGTTGTCTCTTATTCTCTGGGAGATGTAAACGGAAGTTTACAAGATATGCATCTAGACGATCGACAGCGGAACTGTCAGGATGAGGATTCATTTGACGTCCAGTCAATAATCGGCCCAGATTTCGGATCGCAGAGATACGATATGTGAAAGAGGAGTAATTGAAATCACGGTGCTCGAAATCCTCATCGTCAAAATCTGCAAGTGAATGAGGGGCCGGAATATTCTGGGTTTTGTTAGTATGGTAATTTTATAAGATAGGTGTGGTGGAAAATCTCGCCTATCAATTAGGGAAAACTTACTCCGCTAATGTATTCGTACTCTTCGCATGGTAGTCCAACTTCTGCAGGTATGTCTTTCATGGGAAAGAAACTCTTTTGGTGAACGCCAGCGATCATTCCATCCACCACGAACATTTCCCACCAAGTACGACGCAAGCTCTCTTCCATACTGGGCCAACCATTCCCGTGTATAGAAGCAAAATCCCTCTTGTTCATCCCCAATTGTAATGCCAATTCTTGAGTATCGGTAAGAACTTGTAAGGCCTTCTCCTGGTATGTGTAACCATCAAGCCCAATACAAAAAATAAGCATTGCTTGAACTTTGAATGCATCCTTGGGACAATCTGCCCGATAAATTGCTCGTTCGGCTTCTAGACATAGTGCCGTGGTGGGTGCTTGATCTATGTAGAATGAACCCACATATCTCATAGCAGCTTCTAAATGCTCCAATTGTTTTTTCTCCTTTAATAATCTGAGCAGATTATCTCTCGGGAGAACAAAGGGGTGTGCGGGCCAAAAATGAAAGAAGAATGCTTCAATACATTTTTGGCGAAGGTCTAATCCGTTGTATTGAGGTTTATTAACGTCTAAAATCGTCTGATCTCTATTATTACCATAAGACGCGGGATCTGCCGGTCCGAACGGAAGCGACTGCAGTCTGTTGTCGGGAGGTGTAGCTAATCCACTGGGAATGTTGCCCGAAATACCGGTGGTATTGAGAGTCGTCGATGATGTCCCTGGTCGAACTAGTGGGCAAGCTCTGGGATTGTTTGATTGACTAGACGTCGACACCACCGTCTTGTTTTGAGCTCCATTACGTCTAGGGCCTTTGAAGCCTCGACGACTTCTCACGTATATACATTCATATTCATTAGTAGAGCATCTCGAACATGGGCTTAGGCCATCGCATTTGAGGTGCTTAGAACGACAAGCGACGCATGCTGATGGGACAGTGATCCGATCCTTTTGATGTTCCGGAACGACCGCCGGCTGTCTTTCGCCTTGTTTCTCAGGCACATGATCGGAAGTAGGTGAGAGTGATGAAGCATTACTCGTCGAAGGCGTTTGAATGGGAGAAATGGAATCCATAGCTCTAGTGGTCAGATTTGTTGTGGATGTGGATGAATTGCTCGCCGACCAAAACATATGAGGCACAGAAGTAGAGGTCTGCTGCATTGGAGGATGTCAACACTGCAACCCTGGTACAGAGCGTCGAATGATTGCAGGATATTCTATCCTTGTCCTACAATATCTGATAGGAAATGCTGACCACCGTAGTAATTGTGGTACCTAGCGAGGTCCCCGACGAGCCCGAATAGATTGGGTACAAGCAAGTTTTAGTACAAACACGTACGTTGATGTGCTGACAGCAATACGGTTTGTGTTCAACTAGGACAAGTCTAATCTTTATAAAGGGTGTGGGGAGCCACAAGAATGAATAAGTTGTGAACTTATGTTGGAAGATGTTGGGAAAAGGGGCGGATAGTCTCAATATAACGGCGGGGAAGTATCGATTCTGCGTGCAAACAAGTTGTTATTAAGAGCAGACGGAGTGGTCCATCCGCTCAATTGATTTTCTATCTGACATACAGTTATTTCATGCGTACATATGCGTACTTGATGCGTATTCGATGCGTATGCCCTTCATTTACCTTGGAGGACAAGAGGGTAAGAAATCCTATTGGTGCGAAGTCCCGAGGGTTGTGAAACTACCATACACGTGACCCCGTTTCCAACATCGATTAACTTCGGATTTCCCCTTCATTATCCGCGATTGAAAGAAAAGTTCCTCAACGCTGCATTTATTCTGCAGTCAATGTGCATATAAAAGTTATGATTATCTCACATGGGAAATGTTTCCGCCCATCCTTCAGCACACCACCAGAGAACAGGAGGGTTGCAGTGAAAATCTGCCTTTTGACACCTGCATCGTTGTGGAGAACAGCCCAAAAGCGATTGGGCAAGGCATACAAGCATGGCCACAATGAGGCTGGCTACTACAACTCTTGAAGCCGGTAGATAAATCTTCATCATTTATGATACGATGAGGATAAATAATCTGCCTGATCAAAACCCAACGGCGTTGCAATCACTGTCGATCATCTTTGTGCTTAATTTTTATTCTTTCAAAAGCTGTCTTCTCTCCAGATATAATTTCTGAAAAGCTTCAGTTTGATTCCCTCACGGAATTGAAGATTGTAAGCAGCAGTATTTTTTATTAGCGCTATCTGCGGACTTTAGCCTAGTTTCTCTTTGCCCAGCATATATTTCAGCAGCGCCCAGCAACAATCCTGCTTGATGTAAGTGCTTCTCACCAACTCGTTCATACTTGCCGTTATTAGACGAACCGGCCCTTTTTTGTTCAATCGGTTCCAAATTCAAGACCATCCGTGCCGTGATTTGGGTTGACTCGCATATGTCGGTAGTACAATCGAAATTCCCGTCACACCATCTCAGTTCTTGTACATCATGGACCCAATCAGCGCCGTCGGAATAGCTCTCAGTGTAGCATCCTTGGCTGGTCAACTGTTTACAGGATGCATTCAAGGTACGCGATTTCCTTGATCTTTCGAGGCACTTTATTGGATGTTGATTTTGCTATTATCAGGGATTCAATTTATAATCACAGCAAAGAATGTACCTGAAGAGTCAAAGTACTACAATTTGAGATTGCGGATGGAACAGCAGAGATTATTTGCATGGAGTGAGACTTCCGGTCTACTAGACCTTGAGAATCAAAATAGCCAGAAAATCCGCGAATCCAATACATTTGTCATTCATCGGACCACCATCCTAGACCTTCTTGTTCAAATCGAATGCTTATTCAAGGAATTTGAGAATGCCCAGAGAAAAAATAAGCATCTTAAGGTTATCCTTGACTTCGTTTCGGATGAAAACTTTATCGATCCAGCCAAAGACGCCTCTAGTGCTAATGTACCGCTGTCTGAATCAAGAAGGAAATTCATAATGAAAGCTATGAAATCCCTCAAGAAAAATGCCACATATAATATTACTGAAGGAGCACGGCGCCTTTGGTGGACTGCCTTCGACAAAGAAGCATTTGAGATGCTTCTTCAACGATTCTCCACACTAAATGATAACATGACGAATATCCTTGACACCCGTTTGCAAACTGAGATTCATCGGACAACTCAAGACACAAACCGAGGAGTACTACAGCTCCACAAAGACCTTTCCTCTCTCTGTCAATTGGTAATGGCTCTGGATATAAAGATTGATGCCCGGACAAACTATACTCCATCAATTACACATGAGTATGCGGATGACAATAGCTCAGGTTTGAAACTCTTGTCCCAGCTTGCCAAGTTCAAAGCATTCAACGAATCAATAAATCCCACAACCGAAAGTTCAACTTGGGATGAGGCAACAGGGGAAGCTCTTTCATTGGGAAGGCCTGATGATGAGAGAGTGGGTCTCCAGATTGACAAGTCAAGCATCAAGTTTGCTCTAGGTGAAGCTTTAATAGAAGCAAGTGCTATTAGATGCGAGGCTACATATTTCCACGACGATATTGAAGAACCAGTATGGATCGAATGGAAAGAATATGATTGTAGCCCTAACGCTACCTCTCCATCACCTCTTATAGTGGACCGTGTCCAGAAACTTGCTGCACTCCTTCATCATGAGCCAAAACCAGAAGCTTTCCGTGTCCCTCATTGTCTCGGCTATTTCGATAATCTTGCACCCCAACCTACTCTACTCTCTACCGACTCCGAAGAAGATGAACCACCAGAGGCACGCATCGGACTAGTCTTTCGGAAGCCGGCTTCGATCAATACCTCGCCCATTTCTCTCATCCAATTGTTCTTGAATTACCCCAAACCACGCATCACAGATCGTATAAAATTAGCTCACGCACTTTCAAATTGTTTATTATATCTACACTCCGTCAATTGGCTTCATAAAGGGCTTCGTTCGCACAATGTAGTATTCTTTCCAGTCACACCAAAGGATGATGGACGTCAAATTGTGATTTGGGACCAAGTGTATTTAAGTGGCTTTGACTTTGCCCGACCAGCGAGGAAGGATGAAACGACAGAAGTTCCAGGAGACGGTGAGGAGCATAATATGTATAGACATCCAAGTACCCAAAACATTGGGTTTGGCCCAAGAGAGAGTAAGCTTTCTTCTCCCCACAAACATGATGATCGGTGATCCTGATGATAATTATAGGCTACCGGAAAAGCTTTGACATATATAGTTTTGGTGTCGTACTAGTTGAACTGTGTTTCTGGAAATCAATAACAGAGATCGTGACCGAAATCAGCGAGCGACCATCTAAAAGAGCAAAAAATGTGCAAGGAATTCTTATGAGCGAGGACATGCTATCAAAAATAGGAGGAGAAATGGGCGAAGTAGTGGAAGAAGTTGTAAGGAAGTGCATAGTGGGTGGCAAAGAGTTAGGTATAGAAGATGGAGAAGATGAAATGGGTGATGAAAGAGTCGCCTCAAAACTCGGAATGAGGTTTTTCGAAAATGTAGTCAAAAAGCTAGGCGATGTCAAAGTCTAAAACATATACGTACCTCGGAGTATCAATACATATGAAGCCTCAAATGAACTTAGATGCCCCACACCTTCAACCGCGGTTGAGTATCAATGAAACCTTTCGAAACAGCACATTTTGTGCTCAGAAGAACACATCCAATTTCCTCGGCTGCAGCTTCCAAGCAAATACCTACATATATTGGGTAAAAATATCTGCACCCCAAAGATCCCAAACATTACCAATCCAAGATCTAACTGTTGATCACAAGATTAATGAAAAGTTACCTTCGTAGACGCCATACCCAGTTTCTAAATTCATCCCGTCTATTTTGTAAATACTACTACTCTATACTACTACCAAAATAGACGTATGTCAGCAGTGCCAACACCCTACACAGCATTTCTACACATTGAGAATCTCTATTTAGCCCCTACTTCGAAAACCCAAGGAATACTAGGTAGTTCTCATGTTAACGGTCCAAATGCATACAAAGATATACCCTATCCAGCCCGCACTTGCGGTGAGTCTGAAGATCGTTGGGTGTGCATAGTATATATGCACACACGGCTCATGCAGAACACAAAATGTATGGAGCTGGTGAAATTGATCTGCATAATACATTGAAGTGTAGATCAAGATTCTTGCCTAACCCGGTATGGCGTCATGGTGTGCACGAATTGTCACAGCGTATACGTAGTATCTGTATATCATTATCATCTTGAGACCTAACATAATCTCACATATATGCAATATGTAATCTGCAACTACATATTTGGTACTGTGCCGTGTAAACACAGCAGGAGTGCGTGCGTACCTGGGCTGGAATTTTATGGGCTGCTCTGGGATTGAGAAGGCGGTTGAGAGTCGTATGATTTGAGGTTGTACAGCATGGTTGGGTACTTACGTGGAAATGTACCGGAATCCATGTTAGGACTTCCTCAACCTCCTTTTGACCGAATGGTAAATACGTAAATACGTGTAGCTATAGCTCAGCTTGATATCGTAATACCTGCCTCCCCTATAACTTCCACCATAATAACTACATCGTCTCGTCTTCGTCCGCTTTATCCACATCCACGACAAATAAATCAAATCTCCTCAAATCTTCACATCTCGAGCACAAACACATTTTATCATCTGTACATGTACATCCCCGGAAGAAAACGAATCTATAGTGCAACATTGTAGGCGCAGTAAAAACGAGATACTTATCTCTGTTCCTCGTTACTTTGTGTAAAGTTTCGCTTGATTTGTGGTTCTCGTGTAACTTGTACTCGACCCGGCTGAATCCGGATAATCTTCCTATATGCTGTGTTCAGATATGTATAGCCTGAATCTTGGGAATGGGTTATGTACACCAAATTATTTATGTCTGGATGGATATCGATGTGGTGGGACCGTGGGGTTAGGATTTGAGGAGGCGAATGGAGAGATTGTGAAGATGGTGGAGGTGGATAGAGGGCTTGGTGAGAGGATCGGCTGGAGAGTCAGATGATGTGGAGGGTGGGCTCGAGCGTACTGTAACGTCTGGCTGGATATTTGTGGATGGATATGGTTTATATGTAGTAAATCCCAAATTGGTGTATGTAAGCTCATCCTTAGTCGGCTCAACTCAGGCTATTATACGGTTTCAATAGTTTAGTCTGCCATGCTACGATAGTATTTCCATGGAACTTTGAAGTAATTTGGAAAATCCATTATATTAGAACGATATACAGAGCTGAGAGCGTCCTCCCAAGACTCCTGAAAATAAATACAAAACACCAAACCCACGAATATTTTGCCCTCGAGTTCCGGACTCGAGTAAGGATACAAATATAAACAATCCTGGTACCTATGTATGTACAACACTGTGTAAGCACCACGACCGATCACCACACTTTCCAAGCCTGCCGTCTTCCGTGCCTGCCGCATTATAGTACTTCATTCCCAAATAAGAAACTTTAAGCCACTAGACGCCTCCAAACAAAGAATTCTTTTCCCTTCCCCAAACAACAATTTTACCGTCTAAAATACATAGCACCCAAGCCTAGAATTCTGTATACTACAATAATCGCAATAAGAATGCCTACCCATTCACCCGTCTTGCCGGTCTTGTATCCACTGTGTATCGTTAGTGAGATCTAGGACGTGATGATAGGGAAAAAGACGTACTATTGATCCAAAACTCCTTTTCCGCTAATTTTGCATTGCGGTGCGAGATCGGTGATGTACATGCAGTGGCAAGAGCTTCCACAGGAGTAATCTCGTTCTGAAAATTCGTTCACCATCATTCCTTGAAATACATATGTCTATTTGAATGCATTAGCATTGCTCTCATCTCAAGAACCACGAGTGGTACAGCATTGACGTGGATGAGAAAATGTGGATAAACATACCTGATAATCAATATAATGAAAAACGTATCTCCAAAACACGTTGAGAATATGTGGAGGTACCAAAAAGCCACCCACGCTCATCCAAAGTCCATTTGCAAAAGCAGTAAGAGCAAGAGATATCACGAAGGAGGGGAAGAGGGAAGATATAAGAACTACAAGCGATTCGGCAGCGAGGAGATCGAGGAAAAGCCACATTATCCAGGTGAAGAAAGCTGTGCCAGTGGGTCGGAAATTGCTGAGAAAATAGGTCGTTACTGAGAAGAGGAAGGTAATGAGGACTAGATATAATGTTAGTTGGGTTTGTGGGGCAAACTTCGGCGAGTCACTTACATAGATATGGCAAGCCTATGATGAAGTTTGACAGCATGAATGCTGCAGGTCCATAGAGACCATTTGCTCGTTCCTTGATGAATGTAGAACGATCCTCAAGGAATGAGGGAACATAAGCGACAGCCATAAAAGACATGAATGCAGAGCCGAAGAACTAAAATACGTTAGTTATACCAAGTAATTTGCCTAGGCAGATGTACTTACAATAGCATTGATATAAGGTTGAATATCACTTTGATCTGTCTTGAGACGCAACCAAACTGTACCCATCATGATAGCAAGCCCCATATACATCGCAATACGAATGCCATATGCGACCACATCGCGATAACTTTTGATAAATGCTCTATGCACCAATGTCATCAATACATTGAAAAAGCCACCGTCTGAAGAATGAGCCACTGGTAGAGGTTTGACATTCTGCAATGTATGCTGAATCCTGCCGTGCATTTGTCGAAACGCGGGGGAAGCCAGCCAGGATTCCAGGATTTTTAATAGTCTTGTTTGCGCTTCTGTCTGGTTTGCTGAGAAATCAGTGTTCAAAAGATCGAGAAGGTATTCTGAAGCGTTCATGTGAAGTGGGATTGTGTATCCTATGGATTCGAAATGCGAATTGACTTCTGACACGGGGCCAAAATAATAAGATTTTCCACCGGACAACAACATTAACTTATCAAACAGATGAAAGGTGGATGTGGAAGGTTGGTGTATGCTTGCTATGACAATCAGCTAGAAAATTTTGTTAACATCATACCTGCAAAATAAAGGTGGCTACTAACATTGTTTCGTTTCGCAACCTCTTTCACGAAAGACATAACTTCCCAGCTTGCTGCGGAATCCAGACCGGAAGTGGGTTCATCCAAGAAGAGAAGTTTAGGTCCAGTGATGAGCTGACTTGCAACGCTCACTCGTCGTTTCTGACCACCACTGATACCTTTCTGGATTGGAGTCCCAATAATAGTATGCGCCTGATTACGGAGACCGAATGATTCTAGCAAGCCCCTGATCCGCCTCATTCGCTCAGTTTTTGTCAATGAACTAGAAATAAATCAGCTTTTAATGGTATAGTACGGAGCTTAGCAATCGTACCTCTTATGAGCAAGACGAGCCGCAAAATTCAGTGTTTCTTGCACGGTCAAAGAGCCTATAAGGGCATCCTCTTGTTCAACATATGAACTCATATCACGGAAGGCTTTCATCGACGGACTTGATCCATTGACCAGAGTTTCTCCTGTTACAGTCGCTTTCGCAGCTGCAATTCTATGGGCCAGAACATTCAACAATGTAGTTTTCCCACAACCACTAGGTCCCATCAAAGCACATATTTCTCCTACGGATTCATTAGTATTCTACTCCTAGTTTGGGCCAAGCCTCTGCAATAATAATACTACTGACCAGCTTCGACTACACCACTAAGGTCATCTAGAATCGCTTTTGGTTCTTTCGTCTTGTAGTCCTTCACGGTAACGGTGACATTTTTCCAGATAAGGTTCCGAACAGTAGTATTTTTCAAATGTTCATCGTCGGCAGCTGCTAGTTCAACATCGGCCATGAAGTGATTACGAAGTTCCATATCCGAATCTTGATCAGCTTTTCCGGAAGCTTGTGAGAGAGTGCTAGTCGTCGTGTCTGTCATAGTGCGATCTGACCCAAGGCCGAAATTGCCTACCACCCTTCTAGAGAGATATTCGGATCCTGATCTCGAGTGATTCAATACTCTTTGAACGTTAAAGTTTCAAGCACGAAGCCCTTGTTAGAAAATTGTTTCGAGCTTTGTTGGAACCTCTTTCTTTTTAAGGTGTCGTCGATGTTGATATTCTGGTACTCAAGAAGAATCGGATCAAGAAGTGAAAGGGTCCGTCTCTCGGAGCTGATTATTAACTTGACTCAGAGGAATGTTTGAAACTATGTTGTGAGACCTCAATTTCTGCGAGTGAGTTGATTCGACCCTGTGTTTGAAGCACATTAAGACATTTCTTTAACGTAGGGTGCACAACCTTTATATCCCATATTTCCTCTTCTGGTACTAGTCACTATATAGTCAAATGTTGCGTCAGACAGAAGTTTAAAAATCCAAAATTGGCTAGATACTATTCAGCCAGTCTTACAGCGCAAGCATTCCAGCTCTGACACCGTGATATCGTATGATATCGCAACACAAGGAAACGTCGGAAATACAAAACTATCTTAGCATGAACACTATTATATGGATAATTCGCCGACCGGAGAATACAAACCTTATAGCATATTAGAGTTATAGATAGGTATGTATATATATCAAGCCAGGCAACAAGTTACAGTACTTTAAAAGTCCATAGGTAAATCTGCAGGTCCCCGGTTCCTGTGTAAGGACTGTAAGCGCGATGTTCTTGGTGGGGTACACGAGTGAGTGCCACTAAGAGCTCTGAGCTCACCTGGGCATTGGGAATTTTAGGATATTTGATACTTGGTAGAGGTGGGGGCAGAGCAAAAATAACGATCTTGCATTTCATCCAAAAGCCCCTTCACTGGTTCCAATCTTCAACGTGCTAGGGCTTAGCGAGGTCACCGAGGAGGATCCACAGACTCCGAGGTAGTAAGTAACCTTATGATAAGCATGCTAAGGTAAGCTACTACCGCTACTATCGCTGCTACCATACCATTCGACTAACAAAATACCTCGCCGACACGGCATTCAATGGATCTGTCTCGGTCTATTGACGTAAGTACCAAACTGAGAGATGTGGTTGAATTACATGAGAATAGTCATCTTCTATAGCTAAAATATCACCACGTGGGCCAACAAGAAACGTGGTAATGTTCCCTGATTGGAACAAATCAAATCCCGAAATAAACAGTTCATGAAACTAATATTGACCAGGTCGTCAAATGGGTTCAGTCAATCCTACTCCTTTTGCTTGATATTTTCATGCATTCGACGTGGCTTAGATGGTCACAATTGCATGTGGTGTTGGGTATTTTCAGAATTGGGCATGCATAAGATAGTGACTCTATGCAACCACAACGCTCATCGTACCGACCGTTTAATAGTCATTATGCAGTCTCGCCGACCATATCGATTTATCTTGAATCGTGCAGTCTCGCCGACCAGAAAGGTCCACCTTGACTTACTTAACGGTGACAACGGTTAAAACCGATTCCGGAAAATAATATCTAAACACTGTTAGCTAGGACATCATCAGTCATCTGACTCTTCGATCCTTGCACCTCCTGGAGGCTTGATCTCCCATTCTAGAACAGTTTCCATACCAGGAATTTCGAATCCTCCTATGATCAGCTTTTGGAAAACTCCTTCAACGCCACCTCCGCCCAAAGGTTTTTATCTTCTTGATATTCTTCATTTTCCTCCGTAATGGATACTAATTTTGCCACCATATTCCGGATAAATAAATCATTGGTAATTTCAATACTCCCGGAAGTTGTATTGATCTCGTTGATCGTAATATAAGCTGTTTTGGGCGAACTTCTTCAAGTCTTTAAGCTATGGTATTATAGATCGACAATGCGGTCTAATTTCTTTCCTTTGATTTTATTCACAGCCATCTGCTTTGAGACGAATAGCCTGGAAGAAGGCACCACACAAGGCATGTAACATTTTGAAGTGTCAAAGTGTGTTCAATGCATTCACCACTGTTCGTACATCTCAACCCTGTTAAAATGGTCGTAGTGACAAAAAATACCTAAAAGTCAAGAAGAGGGACTACCAGAAATTCTGAATTCGTGATTCGCGTCGTGCTAGATATTAGGCCTGACTCGCAAGTGCGTGAATACTCTATTACGTCCAGGATACTCCGTGTGCGAGATACTTGTTAATGGGTCCATATATTCAATAATTCGGCTCTCAAGCCATCCGGTATATGATTGGTGACACTGGTGAAGGGATTATTTTTGGCTCCCGCCACGCTGGCAAGAGATTCCATGGCCCCTTCCCTGGTTCTATCCAAAAGGAGATGTCTTCAGGACATAGCCAGTGACAATACCAGAACTGTTACAGTCCAACGAAGAAGTCTCCATTCGAAGTAGCATTCACATTGATAATTGAAGCATTGCCAGTTGGCCGAACAAGCTCTAAGTTAATCATAGCATCCGCCTACCAAGCCTTTTCGAGGTGCGAACCATGCATCTAGAATCGATTCTATGTAAGCTACCTGCACGCTATTTATCTCGCTCAAGATTCAAATTACTAATCAGCCAACGCCAACCAGACGGTTCTAGCAGCCAGCACCCTCAAAGCCCTAGATTCCAGATACTCAAAAATCTATATTCACTTTGGACCTCCGCCGATACGTGTAGTGCAACCATTATATTTTACCATAATTGAGCTCGGTAACTCCGTGTTGATCTGCGCTGCTCCAGGCAACAGTGAACGGGCCCTTCTTCGCCGGGATTGGTGACAACGCCGAGTGAGGGTTTTCACTGGTACAGCACATCAGCATCCAATCAGTTCTTCCATTCACTTCAAGAGGCTACTTTTTGGACCACCAAGATTATGGTGGGGAATGCAATTCACAACCCCAAAATTCTTCCAGAAGGCAATGCACTACCGCAAAAGAAAAAAGATCATAGGATGAGAGAATCTCTACGAGCACCAGTGGCACATACATTAGCCTGTGTCATGCTTATCAACGCACCGGGCTTCGACTCAGTGATTTCTATATTTACACATGAAGAAAGAAAGAAGGAAAGAAAGAATACTTGTTAATGGTAGTCGGCCTGATATTCGTCCGGCCGATTCCCGGCCGAATTCCAGGTGCCCGAGACGTATGTGCGTAGCAGATAGATCTTTGCGCTTTGATCAATGTGTACACAGTCCGTATTAGGCGAGAAGATAGTAGCCGATCCAGGCTCAACTAATCATGTATTCTTGTTTTAGTTATCCAAACATCACATGTATACTACAAAATGTGTCCTTTCTACAAGGCGAACCGGACAGAGAACCAAGTCCCAAGCACCAAATAGCTTTGGTGTGAGTTAGGTACCGTATTGATGTGATATGAAAGAAAGCTTATGTCGCCGTTACACTTGATCTAGAAAACATGGGCTATGATATGTGCTGAGTATGTACAACTTGACCTCGCTAACTTTTCGACTTGCGTATAGCCAATCCTGCAGAGCCCCTCAGTCCTGTAGAATTTATCACAGTTCACGATGAAACCATAAATCTCAAGGGGTCCACAAATGGAAGATGCCAACATTGCCGAAGCTGAGTTGATCAGCAGCAATCAATCGTTCACATTAAGCAAGTTCTACATTCCATACCCTTGGATAGTTATTGAGCTAGACCAACAATGCAAGGACGAGACTCTTTTGAAAGGCTTTTGAAGTTAAGCTGCTCATTGTTGCCCCTACGATCCTTTTTGACCATCTAGTAGATGGTCGACAAGGCACCAGCCGCAGAGCTTCTTTGCATACCCGTATACCGGGTTGATGAAACGCATATAGCCGGGGGATGCATCTTGCTTTGTGTAAATACCATCCAGAAGCCCAAATGCTGACACACCCTTCAGAGCATTTGCCTCACAGCGCTAGGCAATAAGAGCATGGCATATCTCTACATATCTCTACATAACTGTTCAACTCAATTAATGATCTTTTTAGTACAATAAAGTAAGATTTTGCATACTCTCCATTGCGCTTTTATAATGTTACAGGAAGGGTGATATCGGATTATGCCATCAATCACGTACTAATAATCATGCTCAGTAGCATCCGATTTAGTCTTGTTTGCGCTTGTATTTGTTACCGTTCCATGAAGCTACACCAGACCAGTATCTTAACCCTGTCAATCTCGTGAGTCAAAGTTTATTACCCTTCTGTTTTTGGCTCAAGGGAATTTTAACATTTAAATATTGAACATTGAAAGGAGCTCAGACCAAAATCACTTCAGATACTAAAATCGCTTTAGATATCGAGATGGAAATTCTTCTGAACTTTGACCTTCTTTGAACATTGGAACCATTTCAAATATTGAAAGAACCCGGAGCATTAAAATTCATTTAAACATTCAATTGTTTTGAAGCCAACGAATTCATACATGAAATCAACACTAGAGATATAATGGAATGATCCTGCTAGTAAAAATTGGACCCAGCCAAGTGCACAGCTATTCCACTTCATTCGATTCCTCCTCAAACAAAAGGAACTCCTTGAAGCAACTTCTTCTATTCCTATCTCCTGAAGGCCATCCAAACTCAACTCCGAACTCCTTCATCAATACCAGTGTCCATATAACACTGAAGGATTCACGACATGTGGTTGCTTCCCCCATCTGTACTCGGGTTACCGATCCGAATCCTCCATCCCCGCTCCCATGTGCCAACACTGCATATCTCGAACTTCCACACCTTTCTCATCCTTGAATTCCTTCCACATGCAAAGAAAACCGTATCCATAATCAACTTAATGAAGATCAGGTAGCCAGTGCCGTTTTATGAGACCGATATAAACCTTGCTCGTGCATGTTATTGCAGAATCCTTATCATGCAATGATCAAGCTTTTCTCAAAATATATTTGAATTGAGCGTAGCAGCTATCATGATTAAAGTGTACGGTATTTGGAAGTGCCCGCCACTTTAAGCAATTGATTTTCTGATGGGGTAAATCACCTGATGAGCATCCGATCAGATCGGCTCTTTCGCTGGGGTAATGTTGAAGCTATTCACACCGTAAAAATCGCAAATTCTTTTTTTTCTAGAGAACAGGACAAAGGCCCCTAAAGTCTAGAATCCTGGGGCCTCCCTGACTATTCCGAAAGATCGGGCTTCCAATCTTCCATCATCAATTCCACAACTCTGTAGAAGAATCCACTCGGTTCCATTCTCTTTCATTTATGTAGATCAACAGCATTCGCAGACAAAAAAGATTCTTATTGAACCAATAGCAATGTAAATCATTGGCAGTGGTGTCAATGCAGCTAACATAACAAGCCTCTCTCAGATCTTCATATCTCATCTCCTTTGTCTCTCAACAAAATACCAAGCTGAGACTTCGTGAGCGCTCGGACCATATTTCCAATTCGCACTAATGAAAGCTTATTTTCTCGCTTATCCTCTTTTCCCCAGCTATCCCAAATGCATCTCTGCAATGTTGCCCTGCCAAATTGCCCAGATTAAATTCTCGAATCATATCGTCATACTTCATACCCATCATCATCAACCTATTGATCCACCACATTCAATACCAAACCATCAACACCGATAATCTCTACCGGCTCCACACATCAAAAACCATCATCAAAAACCCCAAAGACTAAACCATAGCAACCATGCCCACTACCCGGCGCAGCCACGGCCCCGCGCAAAAAGGCACCCAAAGAACCCTCTCCTTCAACAACTCCACCAAAATAACCAAAGCCAGCACACCCTCCGCCCTCACAACCAAAAACTCCCTCACCAACCTCTCATCTCTCAATCCCTCAAAACCTTCCCCAGAAATTAAAGATGTCACAACCGCAACCAACGAACCCGCACCAAGCAGCACACCCCGACCCTCCCAAACCCTCCCCAAACCCTTAACCGCAGAGCAAGAACGCCAGAATGAACTCGCCTCCCAAATAACCGATTCTAAAATTCGTAAATATTGGAAGGGACGCGAGGAGTTAAGATTAGCACCTAGAGTACATCAAAAAGATTTGGATATCAGTGAGAAGATATTAAGGGAATGGGATGTCATGAGTCAATATGGTGTATGTATTTTATTTACCAGCTTTTCATTATATCCTCACTTGTAACCTCAGCCTTCATGCAAGTTATCTCCTCCACCCATTATCTCAATCTCGATTAAGATTCAGTATAAAAACTAGACACTAATACCCCCAAAAGCCAGCAATAGGTATCACCCGCACCAAACGCTGGCACCGCGCTTTCAAACTCGGTCTTAACCCCCCAATCGAAATTCTAGCCGTCCTCCTAAAAGAAGAAGAGAAGAAAAATACAGCAGTAGAACGAGCATATATCGATGAATTAATGGGCGCTAAGGAAGTCATTGGCGGGGATGCGGTTTAAATCTAATCTTGGGGCTACGATTAGAAGCCGGAAGAGGTCAAAGAAAGATCCAGTGTGCATGATCAAAAGAGCAGATTGCAAACGATTGAAGGGGAGCATGGCAATTCCCTCACATTAAAAAGAGAAGAAGAAAATGATAAAAATGGGTATACGATATGATAGGACACAATATGACACAATCTGGCAGGGTTTCCTGATAACAGGATGACTTACACACACGGCGTAGGGCTAGGCGCCTAGGTTTACCTATTTTACGGCTTCTCATACCGATTGATTTTCTTCTTATTCGCACGAATACAAAGAGAAGATCTGGTTTCATATATAGAAAGGAGTTTTCAGCTGTGGATAGATAGTGCATGTGGATAGGATAGCAGATACCTAGTTCTATTTGGCTACAGCTTGAAGTAAATTGCACATCATCATGAAGTGAGGGTTCAATCCAGCTTCAATAAACCCATCATAATTTCACAGAGTCCAAAAACACTTCATTGATTCATAGTTTTGCTTTCATTTCCATTAAAAAATCTTGCTCTATAGCAATTCATCTACTACATGATTGATCTTAAAAACTCCATCCAGCATGTTGGATCAGAAAAAAAATCCCTGTAACAAGTAGAAGCATGCTCTATAACTTCTACCCTTCGCATTTGCGTTTACAAAATCATCTTCAACTACTCGCACCTTACATCTGCACCTCAACACGACCCTCAGTACCCGGAGCACCCGAAGACAAAGATGGCAAAAGGTAGGTAATATCATCCCAAGGATGTCTGTAGAGACCAGTGCGCAATCTCTTTTGATCGAGGTAATGAGCAATCAAACCAATGGAACGTCCGAGAACGAACAGGCCGTTCAATACACCCATCTTCATGTAATCCTCAGCCTCCTCTGCGCTGAATGCACCGCAATTGCGCATCAAATCAACGAAGCAGACGGCAACGGCACCATCAACGTTCAAGATCAAGTTGTCTTTCTTGGAGGTAGTGACGGATTCGACAGCCAAAGCATAGTCAAGCATCTTGCAGCTTGGGAAACGCTTCTTGACGAACTCCTTTACGAGTTCGACACGGAGATCTGGATTGTTTCTTGACTTGACCTTGTGTCCAATACCTGGGATAAGCTTGTTTTGCTTTCTCATGGTGTCAACAAAATCACGTGGAGAAAGACCCTTGTCAAATGCCTTGGTGAACTCCTCAGCGGCACCGTCAAGAGCACCACCGAATCTGGATCCAATGGTCAAGAGACCAGAAACAAGAGCAGAGATAAGATCCTTTCCGGCTCTGGTGGTAATGATAGTGTTCATGGCACCAGAAACAGCTGGACCGTGATCGGCAGTAAGCATGAGAACCATCTCGAGGAATTTGCTTGCATAATCTGGAAGACGACGACGGAACCACAAAAGAGACATGACACCACCAATTCCGATATCCTCCTTGAAGACATCAGAGATTGGCATACCAGCATACAAAAGTTCTTGTCCACGATCATCGGAAATGGTGGAGATGAAAGCAGCAGGCTTTCGAATAAGACCAAGTTCTTGAGCCCATGAATAATCAATTGGGATCTTTGGTACGATTGGCTCGGGTTGTGGTACGATGGTTCCATCTGCAACAAGCTTTTCGTAGACGGAGGCGAGGACCGCTGGCATATCTTCGAAGGTATCTGGAACGTAGAAACCAGCTTCTTTCATGGACTTGTTCTTAGTAGCTGCAGTCTCGAGCTGTGAGTTGGCAAATGAACCAGCGTGTCCGAATTGGACCTCAGTCTTGAACATGCTTGCGCAAGTACCAATGGCCCATGCGACAATTGGCTTTGTGATGGTTCCGTTCTTAACGGCCTCAATAACTCTGTATTCCTCAACACCACCAACTTCTCCTAACAAAACCAAAATCTTACATTCTGGATCAGCTTGATATCTGAGGAGATGGTCGATAAAGGTTGTGCTTGGGTATCTGTCACCACCAATGGCAACACCCTCGTAAACACCATCGGTTTTGTTGGCAATAATGTTGTTGAGCTCGTTGGACATACCACCAGATTTGGAGACGTAACCAACGGAGCCCTTTCGGTAGAGCTTAGATGCAACAATGTTATCCATCATACCACCAGTGTTACCAATCTTGAAGGATCCTGGCTTGATTCCACCGACAGTAGCTGGACCAATAATTGTAACACCCTTCTTGGCTGCTGCATGAAGAATTTCACGAGCACGCTAATTTATTTATGAGCATACGATCAAATTGATTTGAAGCAAAAAACTCACTCTTTCAGGTACACCCTCAGCAATGATGGCAATTGACTTAATTTGTGGGTATTCCAAAAGTTCCATAGTGGATTGGTAGACACTTCGCGATGAAGCAAAGTTGACAACGGTATCAACATCCTCGTGCTTAGCCATGGCCTTTTCAACATCTTGGTAAACTGGAAGCAAAGTCTCGCTGGTTCCCCAGTACATTTTGCTAACAAATTGACCACCGAATGTATAAATAATACCTGCAACCGAAGGAGTCTTTCTCTTGCAGATGAAGTCAAAATCGAGCATGCCTTGAACGGCTCTTGGTTGCAGACCGTAGACAAAACATCTTGTCTTGTCGTGGAAAAGGGTATGTTCAGCTCTTGGGCTCAAAGGTCTGGAAGGAGCAGTAAATCTGCGAATATTGTCGTTGGCATTGCCTGAACCGGATTCTGTGGCAGAAGGCATCGTGAGAGGAGGAAGTGATCAAAAATCTGAATGTGCGAAAGGGGAAATTGTTAGTCAATTGAAGAAAACTTCTATGCAGCCCAAAAAGGAAAGAGTGGTAGTGGTGTGGTGGGCTGAACGGATGAGAGAATAAAAAAGCTTGAAGCTTGGGGAAGTCCGTATACGGAGGAAGGACGAGTAACGAAATTGAAGAAAAGAGGATCGAAAGGGTTCAATTTGAGCTTACCTGGGTGAAGAGTCTCAAGAAATTCTATTCTTCGACGGTGTGGTGGAGTTCTAAATGAATAAAAGAGAGATGGGGAATCCGTAACGTAAACAAAAACGTAAGAAACCTTTTTATTCCGTTTTTCTAGATGTAAATGAGAAGTAGTATAGAATGAAGTGTTTAAAAAAAGACAGAACAACGAAATACTTTTGGAAGAAGTACTTTGATGTTTGATTGAGGGTATTTAGAATTTGTATGGAAGGTAACAAACAAGAAAGAGGGGGTCTTTGAATAGAATAATTGACACACAAGTCAGTCGGTCTTTTCGAAGAATTCGGATCCTTTTCGTTCTCCTTCGTTGATAATTGAGGGCCGATATTTGGAGTGAGTAGCTGAAGAGAGAGGTGGGATATATTGAGCTCGGACCGGAGTGATGATTTGATTGATTGACTAAGTGACTGATATGCGGTAGGCAAGTTAAAATGGCAATGGATTTTTGTCGAGGGCTTTACTCTGTGAGGAATCCTTGGGTTTCTGATTTCTTCCCCTTGCCCTTCCTAATCCTTTCCCAGTCCTTCTTAGCCCTTTCGTCAACCCTTCCTAACCCTTCCTAGTTCCTTTTCCCTTCCAAATATGTCGGCGTTGAGTAAATCCCGATGGTTGAGAGCCAATAATATTCGAATCCTTATCCAGTAGCGTCCCAACGACCACCCAAAAAAATTAGTTTCCTTAGTTTCCTTAGTTCCCATAATTAATAGTAGCTCATACCATTGCAAGTTTGCATACCTAGTCGTCGACCGGCTAGTCCACTAGTAGCCTAGTGGATAAAGTGCAGGGGAGCTTTCCAAAAACCTCGAGTTCGTCAATACGCTCATAAAAGCTGACGGACTATCAAGAACGGGGACCCGCATCTATCCAAGGGACTTCTTTCGGAACCTCCACCATATCACCTAATAATCCCACCCCCAACTTATTCCAGACTAGGAATCAGCCAGCACTCGTACGACAGCAAAAGGTTCAAATAAAAAGTAAAGTGGTCGGCCTCCGTACTCGCTGCTCTTACACAATTGAATCCTCATTCAGCTTGCCCTTTTTCCCCCTCATCTCATAGAATTAATTTCTGTTTCCCTTCTCAAAAACATTAGAAAGGCCGATTCCTTTTCCATATTCCTGACCCCCGCGAAAAAGAGAAGAGAAGAATAGAGAGATAGAACATAGATTCCATCTTTCGATATTATTTTCATTCCTTTTCACAAGAATCGAAATCTTTTTGATCTACTCATTTGGCCATTTTTTGCGTTCCCTTAAAAGAATACCCTTTGGTACGTTTATTCTCTCTTATCGCAACCGGTCCAGCAAGTTCTGTTTTGTTGTTTGTATCGAGGGACAGAGCTGTTAAAATAACCCCCTCACCAACTTCATTCATTGAAAGCTGGGAAATCTATACCGTTGCTGAAGTGTTGTGAGTTGGCATAATCTGCCGGGAGTTGAGAGTTTTGATTGTCCTTTCCATTGCGGTGGGGTATTCTGGATTCCTTGGGAAATTCGGAGCCTACATTCGGCGGGGGCTGTTGAACATCATTAAGCAGCTCGTGGAAACTTTGAAACTTTCTACCAAATTCAGCCATTAGAATTTCTCAGACGTTTTGTGCTAATTCGGAATTTCAACAGTAAACCTACCAATTTTCATACTTCAAAATGTCCGCCAAAGCAATCACCGAGGCCGATGGAAAGGCAATCCTCAACTACCACCTCACAAGAGCTCCCGTCATCAAGCCATCTCCTCTCCCAAAATCTGCCACTCACAACCCACCTTCGAAGCTCGCTTCCTTATATTTCCCAGCGGATGCTGAGGTCTCAACAGTTCTCGATCAGGCAGAAATCTTATACCCATGGCTCCTTGTTCCAGGGTCCAAGTTCGTCGCAAAGCCTGATCAATTGATCAAGAGACGAGGCAAGAGTGGTCTTCTTGCTTTGAACAAGACCTGGCCGGAAGCAAAGGCATGGATTGCTGAGAGAGCAGCAAAGCCAGTCACAGTTGAGACTACCGTTGGAACTCTCCGCCAATTTTTGGTAGAACCATTTGTGCCACATCCAGACGGAACCGAATATTATATCAACATCAACTCCCAAAGAGAGGTATGTACTAAGTTCACATTTCAAAAATTCATTTTCAGAAGGGGTTATTTCCTGGGAATGAATTCCGAGGCTACCTCGAATGTTTTAGCAACCTGAAAAAAAAAGGATGACATTAAAGTGAATGTCGAAAAGTAAAGAAGTTGAGTTTGTGAAAAGTTTCAACATTTGCAGTGGGATGCATGGGTTTTTGTTGCTTCTTACTGCCCAGGCTCGGAAGCACAAACGGACGAAAGGAAGCTAAGGAACCGATTCCAACCTCCCCCTGTCCACAGCTCTCCTTATCAAATCTTAAAGCAAGCGAGCTTAAGTCCGGCAGATGTACTGGGAAAAGATACTAGACACGCTGTCTATGCCATTTATGCTCTTTACGATCAGCACAATTTTCATAGCATTATACATAGTCATACACTACATGTCCACGTGCTAACAATATTTTCCTTCAGGGTGATTGGATTCTTTTCACACACGAGGGAGGTGTCGATGTTGGTGATGTCGATGCGAAGGCCGAAAAATTGTTGATCCCAGTCGATCTCGCTGAATACCCTTCAAACGAAGAAATCGCTGCAGGTCTTCTCAAAAAGGTTCCACAAGGTGTACACAACGTTCTCGTCGACTTCATCACCAGGTTATATGCTGTCTACGTTGACTGCCAATTCACATACCTTGAGATCAACCCATTGGTTGTCATTCCTAATGCTGAAGGTACCTCTGCTGAGGTTCACTTCTTGGATTTGGCCGCTAAGCTCGATCAAACTGCCGAGTTCGAGTGTGGTGTAAAATGGGCTGTCGCACGCTCACCTGCCGCTCTTGGTATGACTCCAGCTAAAGCAGTTGATGGAAAGGTTAACATTGATGCTGGTCCACCAATGGAATTCCCAGCCCCATTCGGTCGTGAGTTGAGCAAGGAAGAAGCATACATTGCTGAACTTGACGCAAAGACTGGTGCATCTCTCAAGCTTACAGTTTTGAACGCCAACGGCAGAGTCTGGACCTTGGTTGCTGGCGGCGGTGCTTCTGTCGTTTATGCCGATGCTATTGCCAGTTCTGGATTTGCTGATGAGCTTGCCAACTATGGTGAATACTCTGGTGCACCAACAGAAACCCAAACCTACCACTACGCTCGTACTGTCCTTGACCTTATGCTTCGTGCACCAATTACCTCGGAAGGCAAGGTTCTTTTCATCGGTGGTGGTATTGCCAACTTTACCAATGTCGCTTCCACATTCAAGGGTGTCATTCGTGCTTTGAGAGAATTTAGCAGCTTATTGATTGAGCACAAGGTTCAAATCTGGGTTAGACGTGCTGGACCTAACTACCAAGAAGGATTGAAGAACATCAAGGCAGTTGGTCAAGAGTTGAAACTCGATATGCATGTGTACGGACCAGATATGCATGTCAGTGGTATTGTTCCTTTGGCTCTTATTCCAGGACGTCTTGCAGACAGTAAGGTTAAGGAGTTCAATGGTTAAATGAGAAGAGATGAGTTATGAACATTTTTGACATTTTTCTTCGAGGGCATTTTTGTTTGGCTATTCCAGACCAAGGTTGCACAATGGCGTACAAAGCTTGCTTAAGAAATTAACAAATAGAAACTCGTAATTGTGACCATTATTTTGAAGATGTTCTATTGATTTGTGATTTCGTGATTATGTGATGCGAATTCGAAATATGTCGCTGTACAGTCGCTGTACACCAAATGAATCCTGGCTGCACATTGTACATAGAAATCCTAACTTGTAACATTCTTATACTATTTACTATTGAATTAACCTAGAAACGGCATGACTTCAAATATACGAAGCAATCTTCGTATATAATCTCCAACCATAACAAAGCGCAGCCAATTTTGACCAAAAGTTACCTATTCACTGCAAACACGTGACACTCACGCACGCACGCATCATCAACATTTTCATGCTTTGGCCTCAAGCTCTCTGTTGAATCGACAACAGCTATCTAGCTATAGTTTGAAGACCGAAAGACAACGGGGATCAAATCGAAAGCTAAATCGAAATTTAAGATTAGGATTAGGATTGGGGTTTGGTATTTGAAGGGAAATTTGGAATTTAAAGACTTGGAATTTTTATTTTATTCCGTGTTTAAGGTTATTGGCTTTTTGGTGGGAGATAGATTGTGGTTGGAATTTGATCTTTGAACTTTGAAGGGGGGTTTGAAGTAGGGAAGGTGGTGAATGATTGTTGCGATTGTTGCGATTGTGAGGTTTTGTTATTTTGGGGATTGGTTTGATTCGTTTTTGATTTATTTTGATTTGTTTTTCGGGGGAGGTATATTGAGTATGTCGAGGGTTTTGGGTATGGGCATAGGTATGGGTATGGGGACCGGTATGAGGATGAGGATATCTCTCGGAAGTAAAACAGGAAATTTTCCCGCGTCTAGTTTTCGTGCTGGAAATCATAGGGGTATGGGTACGAGTATAAGAATAAGAATAAGTACGAGATGCGCAAATTCCGGATTTACCTTGCGATCAAGAGGTTTCTCTACACGATCTTCCGCACAATCAGATTCCGCATCTGGACCTTCATCACCTTCATCAATTCTCTCGACAAGTACCAATGGGGCGGCGATAAATGCATCAATGTTTGCGAATAAAACGATTCTTGTTACAGGTGCTTCGAGGGGGATTGGAAGGGCTATAGCGTTGAGGTTTGCATGGGAGGGGGGTTTTGGTGGGGAGAAATAGAGGGTTTTGGAGAGTTTGGGGTGGAGATTGGGGAGGTGAGGAAGGAGAGGAGAGGCTGGATATGGAGAGGGGTGGGTATGAGGTTGGTGAGGACAGGGTTGGTGAGGAGGGTTGATAGAGGGAGGTTGATGTTGATATTGTTTGTGGAGATGTGGGGAAGAGAATTTTGGGAAGAGGAGTTTGGGAGGGGAAGAGGGCAAATGGGGTGAGTTTCTTTTCTCTTCTTTTTTGGCTTTGTTTGTGGTTGTGATTTTGGATTGGGGAATACGGGTGAGATTGGGGTCCAATTGAGTTGAGTGGAGGGAAAGGGGAGAGAGAAAGGATCTAGGAAAACAAAGAAGAGTGTAAGGGGAGAATGAAGGAGATATTAAGGGTAGGGTAGTTCCCTTTGATTTTCTTCATCTGTATTTGAGTGCATTTGGAGTCGGACCTTGACCATTTGCCGATCCTAACGTCCTTCCTCTCACCCCTCCTCTACCAGCTCAATTGCTACCTACCATTTCCCATTCCCTCTCCTTGCCTCCCTTATCCTCTAAATTTCCCTCTCAATCCCTCAATCTTTCTATCTCTCCCCACCATCTCTATCCCTCCCCCCACCCTACCTCCCAATCCCCTAAACTCCACCTCCCTCCTGCTCCAAACCCAAAATAACTAACGACCCACCCCCAACCCAGCACCCCAAACCCAAAATCGACATTCTCATCAATGCAGCAGGTCTAACCCACGCCTCCCCCCTGATAGCCACTTCTCCCTCCCTAATCGAAAATATCCTCCAAACAAATCTGATGGGCACGATATGGGGATGCAAAATTATCGGAAAAGATATGTTGAGACGGAGGGAAGGTATGTTTATTTTCTCTTATTCTCTTGTTTTCTTCTCTTCTGTTGTCTTCCTCTCCCTTCAAAAATAAGGATGGTTTATCTTGGTTTCTTATGGTGTTTGAGAGAAGGGTTGAGTTGGTATATTCATTATCCTCAGTAAAAGCGACTGGCTCCATGAATACTCATCATAGATGAGTACCAAGAAACTCCAGCTTCAAACCCAACTCCAATCTCATAACCTATCCCCTATCCTCCATCCCAAACACCGCTTCAAACACCAACCTCAACCCCAACCACAAAACACAACAAAAAAAACCACTCTACTCCTCTCTACTCTCCTCCAGCAAAACAAACAAAACAAAACAAAACAACACAAACTAACCTCCTCCTTCCCCTTCCCCAAAAAGCAGGCTGCATAATAAACATCTCCTCACTCCTCGGAATAAAAGGCGGAAGAGGAAGCGCAGCATATGCGGCTAGTAAAGCCGGTGTTCTTGGTAAGTTTATGTTTATGTTTATTCTTTGTTACTACTTTCCTATTTTTAATATCCATCCCTCACCCTCCCCTACCCCCGCTCTCCCCCAGAATCTCAAAATCATTCACTAACATCCCCCCTCCCCCATAAAACAGGTCTCACTCGCGCTCTAGCCGCCGAAATGGGTTCTGCGGGAATAAGAGTAAATGCCATTGTGCCTGGGTATATCGAGACGGATATGACGAGGGGTATGTTATGTTATGTTATTTTCTATGCTCTTTACTTTACTTTCCTTTATGTATTCACTGCACTCCGTTTTCCCACGTTCCCGGGGCTGTTTTTAATATTTATTTTCTTATATTTCTTCCCCTCTTTTCGGTCGGTTGATATATTATATCTTCATGTACCAAATCCTCAGGGGCATCAAGTGATACTGAATCCATTTTCAAAGTGGTAATATGAATGGAGATAATGGATGGATATATATTCATTTTGATTCGTTTATTCATGTCATGTCATGTCATCTCATGTTGCGCTGTTGGTAGAATTCTGCTCTGCTATTCTATGCATTAACTCCAGTCCCGCATATCCACCCACCCATCCATCCATTCATTCATCTTCGCAAATTCATTTTCTCCTCCCACTCCCATTTTTATACCAACCCTCAAAATACCACACCATCCACACCATCTACACCCTAAAATATTTTAAAATAAAAACCCCACCTCTCCCCTCATCTCATTCTCCCTCATCTCAAATCTCAAATCTTAAAATCTAATGTACAAAACCTCACATCTCACACTGCGTTTTTAAAAAAGAAACAAAAGAAAAAGCCCAACTAATACGATCATTAAAGCCATGACCGATCTCGCTCGTAAAGAAGCACTAAACGCCATTCCCCTCTCACGTTTTGGAGAGGTTACGGAAATAGCCGATGCCGCCGTCTTTTTAGCGGCCAATAAGTATGCCAACAATTGTGTGCTCAATCTTGATGGTGGGTTGAGCGCTATGTAACTTTTGGGCGGAGGGGTTTCTAAATTACTTGATCGGTGGAGGAAATAGTATGATTGTTCGTGGAAAGTTTGGTTGGCGTGAATATGGAGATGTTTGAATGAGGTGGGATGGGTTGAGTGCAAAACATTAAAGATGATTACATCTGGATGCATATAAACATCTAATCATCATCAATCATAATAGCACCATCATTTGCATCATCTAATACAATAATACCATCATTCAAAGCAGCCATTGACATATCACCAGAATTTGATGAAGGCTTTGGCCGCTTTGATGTACTTGAAACATCATTACCGAGGGCATCAGATGCAGTTCTCTTTTTGACACCATTAGTATTGGTATTTTGAAGTTCTTCCCCAGTGACGGATTTGACGTTGCCATTTGTAGTTTTGCCGTTCGTTGGAACTGTGGGTTCTGGTTCCGGGGCGGGTTTCTTGCGACGGGGAATGGGCGATTCGGGAGGAATGGAGGGGTGTTCTTTGGTAAGGAGTGGGGCGGCGGAAATCGAGGGGCTAGCATGGATGTCGAGACTTTTGATAGGAGCATCTTCCATTGTGGTATCGCTATATGATTATTAGGATATGGACAACGACAGTGACATGACTAAAACTTACGATTCTTGTACATTGAGTACGAGGTTAACTCTAGGACCTTTTGGATTTTCATCATCTTCATCAATAACGGTTAAGAAAGTATCTCCCTTGATACCTGTATATCATGTCAGTCAGTCGCTTAATAATCAACCAGTAAACAAACGTACCAAGTTCACTAAGTTTCTTATTCAAATTCTCCGTCTCCTCAACATCATAAAGTAGTCCACTTTCATTATTAACCACAAACTCTTCTCCATACCCAAGTTGAATCTTCAAGAAACCTTCGACAAGATCACTAAGTGTGGCTCTTGACATATCGACCAATATACGTGTTTGTGCCACGCTGCATACAGGACAATCTGGATTTGGTTCTCGAAACTTGGAGGAGGAGAGGAGTCTTTCCGGGGCGAATGGAGATAAAAAGATCTACGCTTGTGAGTACACGATTTTGTTATTTTAAGTCATCGGGGTGAGATACCTCTTTACTACTCGAGTAATCACCACGAAGAACTTTGAATGATTGTAGAACGCAAAGACCGGCTACAATAGCATTGGTGGTTGCAATAGCAGGGATGATGTTACCTGCCATTTGCTTGATATCAAATCGAGATTTGGTTTCAATACCAAATACGATAGATCTCAAGTTAGCGCTCGCTGTAACAAAATCCAGAGTATCTTCATCGTCTTTATCGAAGGTAATTATTGGTTCCGCGGAGTCAGCACCGTTTGAGGTAGCTTTCATTTCTTGTAGTCTCTTACTCAATCGTTCCAAACTGATAGGGTCAGAATAGTCAATTCTTGACATCGAATGAGAAGTAACTTACCTATCTCTGAAAACTATGATATTCTCCTGTAAATTCCAAACTCGTTGGTCATCTTTGAGTACAGCTTCCTTTGTGGCCTCATCATTTGCTGCTTCTGCGCTAAGGGTGGCGTAATCTAAAGCTTCAGGGGGCCGTCTAGATTTCCACATATCCTCCATAGATCTTAAACGAACGATATCATCCTTATAGACCTTATCGAAGAGCAGTCGAGGAAATGCTTCGGTACCCATCGATTCTTTAATCTTCTTCAAAGCTTGAGACTCTAACCGCAGCTTTTCAATCTCCTTGGCTGCCTAATGTCAGCAAGGCACTTGAATACAGTATGAAGCAACAAACCATTTTCTGAATCTTCTGAATGATCCATCTCAGTCGATTCATCCTCACTAGCACCAAATACCTCACTTTTTTTAACTTAGTAGAATTTCTTTTCCGCTCGTCGAGTCCACGTACCTCAATAAATAGCTCTTTCCCCAAACTATGCAATGAATAGGCTGACTTGGTGTACTTCGAATAGTGCAAACTGGAAAGCTCTTTGGAGTTTCTTTAGTCGTGCAATCATAACATGCCGTCTTTCCCTTCTTAATAACCTGAACCTGTCCATTGAAACCAGTTGTTCCCGACTCAATCAAAGGTATATCCGCCGCCAAGCACATCTTGTTTACATGTCTCCTCGCTTCAAGGTTATCCAGCGCATTGAAAACCATTGTAAATCCCTTGAACCAATCCACATTGAACTGTGAATCCTTAATATTCGCATGATGTGCCTCGAGCTTGACTTTGGGATTGAACTTATGCGCCGCATCTTTCGCAACCTGTATACCTCTGTATCAGCGCATATACAAATCCGCCGAGCTTAAACAACATACCAAAGCCTTTGATTTCTTAATATGTTCATGGCGAAACAAGAATTGTCGATTTAAGTTGCTAAGATCGATAGTGTCCAGATCTACGATGTGAATTTCTCCAAAACCAGCCAAAACCAAATTCTTGAGTAATTCGCATCCGATTCCACCAGCTCCTACCATCAATATGCGTGCCTATTTGAGAAGTTTAGTGGGCAAATTCGTTTTCAATGGGTTTCCGCAAAAGCAGGAAATTCATACAACCAAGCGCTTAAAACAAACAGAATGCCAGCAAAATAGCATATATATTTCTGCAGAGGAGAAGATGGATAGTAGGATCGCCAAATCTAACATAAACCACCAGGAAATAAAAACAAAGCAAAAATTGAAGTATTTCTCACACTTCATAAACAAGACATTGTGAGCTTTGTGCGCTTACCTCCTTTACTATAGTATTCAAAGGCTTCCCCAGTGACTGCGTGTTGAATTGATCGCGCATCATATTGACCATGATTCGTCGATTCTTCGCGAACAGCGCAAGATATAGATTGACAATCCAGATGAAGGTTGAGTTGATTTGAAAAGAAGTTCAAGGTTGGTCTTCAACTTCACACGGAGATGGTTCCTGAGGCTCTGCTTATTATTTCTAAGCTATTCATTAGACTTCCTTACCTTACTCCGTATCTACCTATAGGAATAAATCGCGATCGCGTTGATAGAGGTGGAAAACGCGGTTGATTAGATAAGCGAACTCTTATCGCTTTTATGGGTCTGTGCATGATTTTATTGTGCAGTTTCATGCTTCTCTTTTGGTGTTTGTTTCTTTTGGATGCTGATGATTCTATCAATTTGAGGTCTGAGTGTTTAGGCATGAGCTGAAATTGTAGTTTAACATTGCATCATAAAGCCAGCATGACTCCAATATAAAAAGAAAATTAACAAATTTCATTATCAATCGTTCCTGCCTTTACGTTTTGTAAGATTACCCACAGTTCATCCAAAAACGTCGAATTTTACACCCCGCCTATGCCTCTCTCTCACCCATATACCATCATACTCTTCAACTCCCTACAAAACACACCATCGTACCAACCACTTCAATAATTTCCCATCTCAAGGCTCCCCCCCAATCATGTCCGACGATGAAGCCGACCCCGAGCTCCTAGAGCTTCTCCGCCAACACTTCCGCAAACCCACCAGCCCAGAAATCCCCGAAACCCGCGTCCTCGAAAGCGCAGAATACGTCTACAACAACTCGATTGACGTAGCCCTAGACATGACCTCCACAAAAGCAGCCGCGGCATCCATCTATTCCCAAATGCAGACGAAATCCTATTCCACTAAAACATGGTCATCACATGACTTACACCCTCAAGCCAAAGACGAGTCGACGGTGAACTTTATCTTCACCATGGATTTACTCAATTTCTCATTCTGGAGTATCCAGAATGAAGATGAACGGTTTGCGATTGAGTATAAGGGGAAAAAATGGACGGGATACTGGAGTTTAGTTGCGGCGCTGCAGAGAGGTTTGGAAGAGGGATATCCAATCACTAGCTCGGATTATTGGCAAAATGAAGAGGAGCTCACTGAGGATGTATTCGCGCATATATTTCGTTCATGTACCGCGGAGCCCATGCCACTTCTTACTACACGTCTTATGCTACTTCGGGAAGCTGGGAAAATCCTCTATGAGAAATACGACTGCGCTTTCACCAATTGCATAAAGGAATCTAATCACTCAGCAGCTGCACTGGTAAATCTCCTCGCAGCATCATTTCCTTGTTTCAATGATGTCGCTTCGTTTGAGAATCGCAAGGAAGTACGATTACTCAAACGTGCACAAATATGCGTAGCGGATCTCTGGGCAGCTTTTGAGGGAGAAAGTTGGGGAGAGTTCCACGACATCGATAAACTTACCATGTTTGCCGATTATCGCATTCCGCAACTACTGAACACATTGGGATGTCTATGGTATGCACCTGCTTTGGAGAGTAAAATTAAAAGAGGCGAAGTCATTGAGAGTGGTCATAGTTGGGAGGTGCAGCTGAGAGGTAAGATTTCTCGTTTTTACCCCTTGAATCCCCATTCCATCGTTTTTGGGATGTGCAGAAAATCTATTTTCACAAAACCTTAAATAGTGATCTAATATGATGGATAATAAATAGGTTGTAGTATATGGTGTGTAGAATTGATTCGGAGGGAGATATTGAAAAATCATCCCGAGGCAGAAGTAAATGCTATTTTGATCGATTTTTTCCTGTATGACACGATGAAGGAACGGGAATTGGAAGGAAAGGACGAGATACCCCATCATAGAACGAGAAGTATATGGTATTGACCAATGTAAATTAGGTAGAGTAGTATGTGGCATGAACGCAAGGGACGTATGCAAAACAACAATATAGATACCAATATGTATATGTCGCAAGAATTTGAGTCGTTGAAACGCTGGATATTTATTTGTACAAGATTTTGTATTTTTTATCCATCTGTTTATACATATGCCAGTAAACCTTTCTCAGGCCTTGTGATGCATCCATATGCCATACGCCGTAGGGCCATCATCCTCTTCTATGAACTCCAAAACGCCCTTTCATGCATATATACAAATACCCATTTTATACCTAGTATCGAATGTAAACGCCACTCTATGCAGGTATCTCATAAATACACACGTGAAAAGATTCGACCCGCAACAATATTCCCCCATCACGATACCATTCAATCCCACAGAGATCTTTTCCACTTAAACCGACGAATCAAATGATACAGATGATACCCTTTCCTCGTTCAACAAATTCTCTTGTCGTTGCTTGAAACGAATAGTACGTTCTATCACATGCTCTTGGATCACCTCGTACTCTTGTTCTTCGGCCGGCAAGAGCTTATCTACTGGCGGGTCATATTGGAAGGTAAGGTCCCTGTGGGCTCCCCTAAGTACCTTCCAGCTAGAGTTCGAGTCGATGGTGTAAGTCTTCCTGGCCACAAAAGGAGGATAGGATAAATAAATCTCCTCGGCCAAAAGTTTGATGTGGTGCTTCCTCTGGTTGACCTTGTATAAGATCGAGTTCAGTTTTTTCATCTTTCTCTCTGGATTTACATGAGGAAAGTCAAGCTGAAGTTCCTGTTCCAAAAGTTTGATATGACGTTTGCTCCTATTGATCACATCTTCGAGTACATTCATCTCTCGTAGACCGCTTAAGCGAAGAGATTGTGAATTAAGTTTAATCCTCTCTTTCACGAGATGAAGGCGCCACGCGAGACGTTTAATTTGCTTTGCACTCACATTGATCTTGACGGCAAGATCAGTTATGCGTTGCTCTCTTTCCTTCTCTATGTAGTAAATCTCCCTTTGCAAAAGGACGACGTGCCGTAAACTCAGGTTTATCTGGTAGCCAATTATATGCAGTTTTTGCAGCCGTTTTAAACCCTCAAGAACAGCGATCCTGTGTCCGTAAGACATATACGGAGATTGCTTTAACCTGAGATGATATGTATACTTCCAGTCTCTAGGAAGTCGATCATAATGCAATGAAACCAGACACATCTCAGTCGAAAAAATGTTTGCGTTTGACAAGGCAACTTTGGCTTCCAAGCTTTGCAGCATCACTCTCCTGGCTTGGCGGGCTGTTTGCCTAGCTTTCTTTGCTCGTGCTTTCTCCGTTGTTTCAAAGTTTTGGAAAATTTCCAGGCATCGGTCAATACTAGACTGAGATGATGATCGATTCCGAGTTTCGGAGTCTTTCGGAAGATAATCTCGGACCTGTGTATCTCCAAATTCGGGGTATTCGCGGTGCCAGGTATGAATAATATTGTATTTCGATCTTTTGGAGGATATCTGAAGAATATCATGTAAGGAATTTACACGTGCAACAAATCTGTCAACAGAATCGCGTATCGAACCAAGGTTCAGGTAGAACAGAAGCCTGCCTAAGTTCCAACGAGGAACATCAACTGGTAGATTTTGTGGTAAATCGCGTGACGGGTCAATTCCACAAAGATGTAAGAGTTCTCTCATGGCCCAGCGTGTACTTTTAGTGAGCGCAATGAGATCAGGCTTTTCTATATTTTCAGCCCAAGACTCTAATATTGACTTCAAAAGGGATTCTCCAGCAGCATGATCTAGTTGGGCTACACAACTCGTCACAGCTTCACAAAGTGATTCCGGCCTAATTTTAATGTTTTGACGCAAGGATGCGCGAATATACATGACAGCTTGCCTAGCGGTGGTGATATGGGAACTGGTCTTGATAAGCGCATCGAAGATGGATTCGTCCCGTGGTACTTTTCGCACAAGCCAACCATCTCTCGAAATCAATCTCTGGGCATGTTTCTCCGCCCAAGCTAAATATTTTGGATGCTCAAATAGCTGGTTCGGATGTCTGCGTGCGACTCTCATACTCCCATCTACTGCCCTCATGCGCCTGATAATGCTCCGATAGCCTTCTAGGTCATTCTTAACCGCATAATGATTCAGTATAACCTGAATGGTCCTTGGAGTAGGCTTGAATTTTGTGTCGTAGAGAAATGAATCAACAATTATCTGAGCGTGGTCATGAAGCATCAACTCTGTCAATTTTTCGATTAAAAAATTATACGTGAAAATGTTTGGCGACACGGAGCTTATGAGAAGGTTGTAACAGATCTTTGCCAGAATTAGGTTGAGATTATTCTGACCCGGGGACGTTTTCTTGAAGAGGGCCATCAGTGCATCATGAAGTTGGGATCTTTCTTCACCGACTTCAGCATCCATTTGGTATGTCGGCATGGTGATGTCACCCCTTTGCAATTCCTCAACCCGCTCTATCATTCTCTCTGTCTGGAGAAAAATGTTAGACGACGCTGAATGAAAATCCGCTGCTATAGGTGAAAGCTTAGTAGTCCACATTAATTGGTGAACCAATTTTGCAATCGAAGTTTCTACCCCATCTAAATGCTTCCGAGTTTTTACTTCTCGAGGTTGGAGCATAGAATTCGAGGGTATGTACTCGCCGAACCGTTCTAAGGCAATATTTTCGGGCTTGGCGGACTTGACTGGAAGTATGGTAGGTGAGGGACCCGGATCCTGCGAAGTATCTGGTGCAATGGACTCAACATTTTTTGTAATATTTGAGGATGCGATATTGAGCTGTGTCCCCAATCGACTCATTGAAGAGGCCGCCGTCCAGCTGGCTCCATCCCAAGTCATAGGCCCTGTAGATCCTGCCTTTGTAGCATTCAGTCCAGCTTTTGAGAAAGAAAATTTGTTCCTTAAAAATCCTGGCATCTTCGATAATTCTGGTGTCCCTGATATTTGATTCTCGACTTCATTTGCGCTTCCTTTTACTGGACAATCTTGCCGTTCCTCCACTTTGTCGGTAGGAAGTCCAACCTTCGCTTCTGCAATGAGTTGATCCCATTGCTCCCTTCTTTGAGCTTTCCGATTCGAGTCTGCGACTGCAGCAGTTGCTAGTATGGTTGAGTAGCATGCTGTAAATATATCCCCTATGCTAACCCTTCGACGTTTGCCAATTGCATTTGTTGTTTGGCGAGCTATGGTTGAACCAATTTTCACACAGGCGTTACAACGACATGATGATCTGGTCTGCGCAGCGCGGAACCATAAACTTCGCATTATATTTGCATACTTGTTGATTGAAGAATCTTCAGCTTGCTGGACCGGTCAGTCATGCCATTGAAGGTTGGAAGTTTCGACTTTTGCGCTATGTGAAATAAATTAAAATCTCCCACCAAAACTTAACGGGCGACTTTCACAATTGGGCGGCCGCTTTAATCGGTCGGAGTTGTAGCGCAGAACGACCCCTCCCCATTGTGCCCCTCCATGATTTTGCATACCTACTTACATTGTAAAATCTTAACAATAGATTCAAAAAGAAACTCACTGCGATGCTTACCTTAACGCTTACTGCAGAACTTTCTGGGTCAGTATCCACAGACTCTTCTAGTTTTACATAGTCAGGGGCTAACACTTTTACTGCATACAGCGTGAATGAGCTTGTCCCCGATGACAGCGCAGAGAAGAATTTCTGGTATACCTTTAAAGTACAATGTGTATCATGCCGAGAAACTCACCCAAACTTCATAAACATCAACAGATTTGTGAGTTTGGTCAAGCATCCTAATATCTCCATTTCTCCGAGACTAACGTGAATTTCAGGAAGCAAATGAAATGAGCGGTAGCAGAGGAGAGGCGAACTTTGTATGGAAATGCAAGTTTTGCAAGGTTTGTGATTCACATCATCAGTATATCACGAATCAGAAGTACTGATTTCGTATATAGAAAGAATCATCTGCATCAGTCATATCGACGCCCGTTCCATATCAAGCAGCTTCTCCACCAACCCGTCAGAAGATCCTAGAATTTGATTGTCGAGGTCTTGAACTGGTAGAATTCAAGCCAGAGGTAAGCATTGCTTCCTTGAAGTAACAATTTTCGTATCTGTAGCTCATGTCATTGTTTCTCTTAGGGAGATTGGTTGGCTGTTGGAACAGAAAGTGGTACTAAGTTTACTGCCATTGATTTGAATGATGGGGAATGGTATGATTATGATGATAAAGCAGGAGAAGAAGTTATTATCAAGGATTTGAAATGGGAAATTCGAAGAAACTGAGATCAGATGTGATGAGATCAAAGAACCAAGAAGCAAATGTAATGAATGTTATGAATGGATTGGTAAAGTCGCCTGCAGCTTGTCTAGCTCTGGATTTGGTGCTGAAGCGATGAGAATATTTTATACCTACTTATAAGAACAATTTGGATCAATATTTGATGTCAAACCCAACTTAAAATGTGATGCAACGATTCTCACATGATCAATACAGCTTCCTGGATGTTTTTGCGATTGCATCCCAATAGAGATGAAATAATACTGAAATTATTCCACCCCTGAGAATCGCCAGCCTCACAATCTCAGCCTTGCGCCGCCTCGCTTAGAAAATTTCCCAGCAGCGCCAGCCTAGCCAGCAGCAGCAGCGACCTCACCTCCGACGCGTCTACTGATTCCGCGTCCCTCCACCATCCAACCCTTCCAGCCATCAGCTCACATCATGAGTGTAAGTAGCCTCCAACTCCTCTATTCCCCTCAGCTCAGAAAACTAACACCTCCCATCCAGTTCGTACCAATTAACCCCCGTCCGTTTCTCCAAAACCTGTAGGTATTACCCTCAATCCTCCTCTTACTCGAACTCCCAATCAAGCTCCCAACACTCTCACTCCTGTCGCAATCATCCACAAGAACAAATAAACTAATCAACTCCAGCGTCAACGAAGAAGTAATAATCCGCCTCAAATGGGGCGGCCAGACCGAATATAAAGGCAAGCTCGTCAGTATCGACAGCTATATGAATATCCAATTATCCGGCGCTGAGGAATGGATTGATTCTGAGATGACGAGTACTTTGGGACAGGTATTAATCAGGTATGTTCTTTTTTTCTTTGATTTGTTTTTACAGAGCTCGAGGAGCTTTAGTTATGTGCTTAGAATGAATGCGCTGGGAAATGAAAACAGAAATGCAAAAGAGCATGGGAAAATTCACAAGAGAATCCCAATGCGCAAAAACTAACATGAAATGTAGATGTAACAATGTCCTCTACATATCAGCCGCCCAACCCAAGAGAGAAGGAGATGATACGAAGATGGAGGGATGAATTGGCGAATCTGAATCGCTGGCCAGCGGATAGATAGATGGATGTGGAAATATGGAAAAGTTAAGAGGATAGGCAGAGTAAGAAAGGTCTAGAGGGAAATTTGATAGATACCTAGGATCGGGACACAATATGGATGGATTTAAGGATCATTGCATGACAGGTGTGGTGTGATGGCAGAGCGTGGGATTATCTCAATTCCGTTGAGCAGGAATGGCAGGGGAGGAGAAAGTTACCTATACCTACAAATGACATATTCACGGACGGCGTTGTTCAAAGAAATGACAGCGAACTTGTGGTTCCAAGCTACAAAAAGAGTCACGGTACATACATTTTTCTTCAGAAACTGATTTTTCATGTAATGGTTTTGCAGTAGTTCAAGTAGGACATCCTCCTCTTTTTGCAATGATGGATTTGATTGGTAAATGTGCATTTTTCATACAAGAAATCATCTACATAAGACAGCCAATTTGTCGACTGCTACCCACCTCACTCATACCCACTCTCAGACGCTTATTAGGTCCCACCATGACGAAAGCTTCAACGAGCCACTCATACCACACTTTCCTATCATCAGTTTGTCTCCACATGCTAACTTCCAGCTCGCTATCATCTGGAATATAGAGAGGTGACTATGTATAAGTTAGTCAATTAATTCATGGCCATAAAAAGGGTGACGGGGGAAGAAACCATACCTTCAAAGGAAAGAAAATCGGGAACCACGAAATCATATCTTTACTCTTCGCATCAATAGTATCAGGACGCGTACTCAATTCGACTTTATTATCCGGGTTTTCACCACCCTCATATAGCACCGCTTCAAAATATCCCGCGAGTCCATTCACCACACCCCGATCCTTACATACGAACTTAAGACGTGCGTAACGGGTATTATGTTCATTGGCACCATCGCCACCGGACATACTTCCACCACCACCTCCACTAACACCGCCGCCTCGACGGGCTTCGGCGATGTTTAATGTGTTTACCGGCAAGGGGTGCGAGAATTCCCACGCTTGTTGGATTTGAGGATGCCCTGGAACTGAGACGGCAAGGAAATCGATCGCGTGGAACATGACGACGTAGGGAGTATTTGAAGCGGGTTCATCTGATGAAAATCGGTTGGATATATCGGCATGGAGACGGGGTGCGAGGATGGGGGTAAGATGTGCGGTGTATGAGGCTGGTATCGAGATACCGAATTCTGATGCTAGTACGTGTTGAACTCCATCGATACATTCAGGTGATAATTCATTATCTGCAAAAGAACCGAGGAGTTCAGAAACGAGTATGTCGACTTTACCATAGGTTGTTGCTGGAGTTGCTGGAGTTGTTGTAGAGGTTGTCACGGCTTGGCCTATGGGTCCAGCTGCATTTCTTAATGGTCCTTTCCATGCGCGCATATCGGTCTTGACAACATTGACTACCCCATTCCATTTGTTTTCGTTATGTCGTTGGAGGAGAACATAAGCATTTGGGTTCTTTTCTACTGCCCATACTTCAACTGGAACACCAGTCGTTTGACTTGCCTTTAGAGCTCGAGAAACTAAAGGTCCGCGTCCAGACCCAGCTACTGCTATAACAACAGCACCGCTAAGACTTGACGTAGGCTTTTCTTGTACAGCCCAATCTGAAAGTGCTCGTTCTATAGCTCGCTCGTACCAATCATATTTGACGGGATCTTTCTCAAATACCTCATAGGTAACAGATTCAAGATTGTCAGTTAATGGTTGAAGAGGAGCCTGCAAGTAATCTTGATAGCCTGAACCGAATTTTTCAATAGGAGTTCGTTCCGGTTGGTTTCTTTGAAGATATCTCAAATATACCAAATGAGCTGCAACATCCTTCGATTTCGTTTGTGATTTAGTGCTATTCCTTCTAGCTTGTTCTGCTTCGGCTGGGGTTGGAGAAGGCGCATCTTGAACAACACTTGGTGATGCATAACCATCTGCCACCGAGATTTGCTGACTTGGGTCATCTAAGCCGGGGATTGGACCCACATCACATAATAATAGCCAGGGAGCGTTCTTAAGCTTCATATATCTGGTGACCAAATTCTGATGAGCTTTGCCCAAAACTGGATGTCCACCCTTGTTCTTCAAGAATGTTGATTGAGAGAAAGTCAATAATTTCAGAGGCTCGGCACACCAACGAGACTGAACTGAATCAATTGGAAGTTGACGCGGAAGTGCCAATGCTGTAAATTTGGTTAGCATGTATCCATTCTTAGAGACATTCGGTCTGTGGGCAGAAGTAGTACGTCCGCGAGAATGAATTGATGCTTTGAAGGTCACAACCCCTCGCTAGGGTCTATTTAAACCTCACGAATACAAATATGAGGCTAGAAACGAGATGATTCTGGAGAAATAAAATATATAATCATCGACCTACCTACTGAAAGTCTGGAATTGTATTTACATACATCCCGGATCAAATTCCAAGCATCCCAATTCTCATACAAATCGATTTCTCTTTCACCTTTCGAAGCATCTGCTGTTTCCTGGTATCTGGAGAATGGCAAAAGATCACCCGTCATCTCTTTTTGATCTTCGGTCCCATACATAGGAATATGAATAGCAATGTTGATATAGCTTGCAATTGCGAGAGCTTCCTGAATAGCACGAGCATATTGGGCAAGTCCACTGTTGTCTCCTGACCCACCAGTGTATGTTCTTGGACCTGGTATAATAACATTGCCTACGCCGCAGAAAGACGCATATGCAATTTCGATATTCAAAACCTGACGAGAAATGTTTGCGATTAGCGGATCGGGTGAGCATAGATCTATCCAAGGACTAGAATATGCGATGAGCTGCGAGACTGTATCGGAGGGAGTCAATGGCGTATCGACAGGATTGAGTGGTGGAATGATGGGAGCTGGTGGTGTAGCTTTATTTGGCGCATCGCTTGAATCAATCGCTGATATTTCCGCGAGGTGATTAGAGATCAATGTGAGGACTCTTGAGTGGAAATGAGGACTTGTGATGGGGCTTGTGAGCATGTCATACTAGGGCAGAATTATTAGCAAACCTTCTTAACAGGGCGAGGAAGCGCATACTCCAACATCTCCAGCCTGTTGTAGAACAAAATCCGTGACAGGTAAAGGTCGCTTCGACTCATGGTGTCCAATGTAAAAGGTTGGGAGGCTTTCATCGGCTGCCGCATCAGAGTTAGCATCGGCATCTACGTGCTCTCCAACAAAAGGATCCCAGGCTAGGGTACCGGTAGCCATTGCGACAAGGCGTTATAGTAAAATGCGCCGATTCTGTTTTTTGGATCTAGCTGTGAACTATAAGTTCTCGGTTGCGCGGGGTAATAGTATTTGTTATTTATGAAGACGGGGAAGTATTTCCCATACCACCACAAGTATCTCGTATTCCTAAATTCTGTGCAACAGTCCGTCTCCAATGGACCTGGTATCAAAATGTGTATTGTGTAATTGTGAAGGTGGGGTCCTTTCAATTATCGTCTTGGATCGATGGAATGATATTTCTGAATCAACTTTTCTGCCGTACTTGATTAAGGCGGTGGGTGTGAAATTCGACGTCAACCAACATCTCAATTTCTCAACCTTAAGGAACGGGCTCGCAGTTTCGTCGCATCACTTTATTCACAAATCAACAAGAAACACCAATTCATATTGTTCCATTGCCAAGCTTAAACTCCATCTATATACTCAGTTGTGGCTTTTGTCATAGATTGCATTGTTTCCATAAAAGGTTAAAAGGGAGACAGAGCTTCTAGCTTTGAGCGTCGATATCTTCAAACTATTCTTTGCAAGTATTCACAAGTGTGCCTTGGAGACTGATTACAACCCTTTGAAGACAAGAGACAGAAATTAAGGGGCTTCGATGATCATGAGAAACAAAGGATTGCTCCGAGGAAGGCCATAAAAGCTAGCTGTTGTAGGTGCCTCTTTCGCCCCGAAACGGCCTAAAGCAAGCGAATAAAAAGTTATCATACGTGACTTGAAAGGCAGAGCATACGGAAGTTGGTGTATTTACATATGCATGTTTTGGGAAAGAAAATGGGGGTTTGTCAAGCCATTTCTTTATTCTACTTGGGTCTCTTGTTCTCCTTTATGCAGCAGAGCAATCCAATCAGACTTGGTGAGCTTTGCAAGGCGGCAATTCCCTTCGTTCTTATATACATAGATCAATTATGATATGCAAAGCGGAGGTTGTTTGCTCATTCCATGCTGTCTACTTAGACTTTTACGTCCTATCTATGAAGATAGCTTCCGGTCACTGTGCCTAGAGGACCAAGAAATGACGATCCAGACCAGTTCTTTGATTTTGTTCTTGCTGAGGCCTTTTCTTTCCTATGTACCACCCACCAACCCCCGTTGCCGTCGGTTTTCGTGATTGGTTCAGGCAATATGCAAAATGAAAGTCTGTCTAAAAAGGAAATTTATTCATCTCACAGCCAAGCCTATCACAATGCTGTTTATACATGCAGTACTAGGTAAAATACCAGCGTATTGCCGCCCTTTTGCTCAGATCATCTCCAAGAGAGCAAAAGTTAAAAAAAGATACATACAACAGTGGGGATTCGCTGGTGGTCACCCACCCAACTACTAATCCACCGATCTGAAGCTTGTGTATGGCAGAGCGGACGGGATGCCCAATTCTCTTCAGTCTATGGTCGTATGTGTCGGAAATCCCTTCGTTTGAAATTATATTTGAGGTAAAGAGGGTGCCAAAAAAAAAGAAAAATCCAAAGGGCCCAGAGAACTCAACGTGAGTACAATGACCCAAACTTTATAACAAAATCCGTCAAATGCCTCAAGAAAATTCTATATTTCCTTACTGAAACCTCAGTTAGTATGTTCATCGCACCCAGTACGCTACAAAATTTGTTTCAACAAAGTTGGACATGATCTTTGTGGCCAACTGTTATCCCCGCACCAATCCCTTTTTCAAGAGAACTATCCCGGACTACTCTACGCCTTCAGATCCTATTTGCATACCTCAAAATAAACCAAAAATATAATAATGCGCTCAAAGTGCCAAAGCAACCTTCAAACTTTTCACTCACGTTTATGTTTACCTCGAGCCTCACCCAAAAAGTGACCCACCTATATCCCAGAAGCTTCGTATCACGCACCTTGGAGAATACACGATGATCCATTATCACCTTTCTTTACAAGAATTGTTTTGATTGGGGAAAATTGCATTGCTAGAAATGGTCCCTTTGAGGTTTAGGTTCCGCCTAGGGATTTTTGCGCCGGATCTGATCGAAGTGTCGAAGCGGGAGATTGGGCCGATGAGAGCTAGATGTGTCAATTGTGTCTTGCGAAAGCATCACTTCCTTATCTAAAGCTTATGGGATATAGTTCTGTGCTGTGTGCTTATGTTTCAGACCTACAGCGACTTGACGTTGCATTCCTTAATACGGAGTGTTACAATGGTCTCAGAAGGTTCAATTTGTTCACACAAAATATGTCTGTCCTTGTCCTGCTTTCGTATCCCTTCTCACCTCAACCTCAAAGAGCCGTAACACTTCCATTAAAATAATAAACTCCTGCAGTAGTAAAGCGAAATTTCTTGGTCAGTTCTTTTGATATTCTAGGTTTCTCCGAGGACTGTTGGTCTAGAAATGATATTTGGAAATGGGAAACGAAACGGCAAGTGCAGACAATTTATCATATTCGGTGGAGACTAGGCATTACATTTAGAATGATCGAGGCGTGATGAAACTTTACAAAAGAACATGCTGCATATGGTGACACGCCGAAATTTTGTATTTGATTATTTTTACCTCGTTTCATGATTACTGGTATTGAGAGTCTGAAGGCTGACTTGAGAGGAGACTTCCATGTAGGAGGAATCGGTAAAATGGGTAGAACTAGTTAGTTATTGGCCGTAGACGAGAAGCTGCGCGTGCGAAAAGTGAAAACATAAGGATGTAATTGTAATCTTAGTATCGTGCCAAAGATGAATGAAGGGTATATCCAGACGTCTGTGTATTTGATTGTAGGGGAAGCGATGGACTTTCTTATAGAGTCAATATTGTTACTGGCTTGGAAAACGAAGAATCCAGACACAGAGTTATACCTATGGAAGTTCGATATCTATCATTTGTTCCGTTAAGAATATGTTATCACTAGGCTTGTTGTCTAAGGCAATACTGAAGGAATTAGGTTTGTATTTGCAACTTTACGCATTCTTTTTAGATCTATCAAGCTTCTTTTTTGAAGAAACGAGATCAATTGAATTAGATTGGATATCAGTGTTGGTTTTGTGTTCTTTGGTTTGGGTTTTATTGAAAAAGAATCTCAGATATACAAAAAAATAACCAAAAAAATCTGTGAATCTATAATTTAATTGGTTCTTTACTATAAACGAAGACATTTGTTACATATCTGATTTTCAAAGAATTGGATATATATTCTTAAAATGCTTGTATGAAGTTTGAAAATATTTGTTTGTGTTATTTTCTATATTTGCTTGAAAGTTAGAATCTAACTTCTTAAGAGTGAGGTGGAGAAGAGATAGTATAATAGTGTAAAAGTGGTAGGTCGAGATACGTGCGTCCCGATAGCACGCTGTGAGGAGGGAATTGGAAGAGAAAGCTGAATTAGATTACATTGTAATACGTCATTTATGGGTAAAACGGGGTTCACAATGGTTTTGGGGTTGATACTATATGGGTTCAAATGTATATATGTAGAAGGTTGATTGTTGTGAAAAGAAGAGGCAAAAGGCTCTTCTTTTATATCTAACTACAGAAGGTCATGTGATTGACTAGTTAAAACCTTTATGTATTTGGCCTATAATTCCAACTTTCTCACAATAGTTTAAGAAGAAAATAAAAGAATAACCTAGAAGATTTTTCAAAGAAGAGAAGAATAAATGATCATTTTTATAAATACAAAGTTAATCAGTTTTTGTTTTAGATATATAAAAATCAAATCCAGTTTGTAGTATCTAGTTTATTATCTGGAAAGGAATCTCTACACTCTAGACTCTGAACCTTTTTCTTTGTTTTTAAGAAAATTTATATTTGTAGCGGTAGGTTGGCAGCTGGCAAGAAAGAACCATACCTGAATTATATATATAATTAGGCAGTTAGTCTATAGTCATAATCGACGTGGTCGATGATCAAAAAAGTTTCTTTTGAAAATTCAGATGTGCAACAAAACTTTTTGGGAAGTGGAATTTGACCAATGAATGATAGCTATATAAGTTTTTAGTTCTTCTATAGTGAGTATTTTGAGAATTTTGGTTTCATGTCTTGTTTTGTATTTTCAGGTAAGTGTAAAGAATTGACTTGACTTTAAGTCTACTTGATGGTATTCTCATCTCTTGAACTTGATGTAAAGTAATAGATGAATGTGATGTTTTGGATTTGATTGATAACAAGGCTGTTCAAACTATCTAAGTTGTCAAGTATATATATATTCTTACCTATGGAAGGAATATGTCAATTACTAAGGAGATCGGGCAAGAGTTTTGTTACAGATAGATGAGAGAATCCCTACAGTAAAAGTATTCATAGTAACATCGCTCGATGCTCAAACACATAAGAAGTTCAAACACATAGAAATCTTATACAAAACCCTACCCACACACAAACAAGTATTCTCATACCGGACAAGCCGATACAAACTCATGCTTGATGGGTATACCCGTTTATGACCGAAAATACAAGAACTCGTGTTGAAGAGTCGACAAAAGCAGAAAGTGGAAATACGAGCCATACTCCGTAGGAAGATCTATTTCCCTCTCTTGGCATCCGCAATGGGCAAAAATCATACTGGTACTTGTTGGTAGTAGGGCTATGGTTCGTGTCATATAACTTTATGTGACAGCTGAATTTATTTATAGACTGGAGATTTTTAGATTTTTGCTTCTTCACTTCCTGTTGAAGTATTTGATTATTTCAGGGATGCGAGAAGGATTTGAGTTCATTTTTATTGTTTAACTGATGAGCTTAACTTCATGCTTGTGACGATTGAACTTTTAAGATTTCTATCCATTTGTGGTAGATTTATATATAGATAGGTTGGATATAAATTTGTATACTGTGAATAATAAATGATGATAAACCAACAACAAGATCACGAATCATATATGAAACTTTCCACCAACCAATCAGAGATACTCAAACATACTCCCTAAAAGCAACAAACAAATCTCCAAATCTCCAAATTCAAAAAATCCAGACATGCAACAAAATCAAGCAAAACAACCATCTAATTGGCTAGCGCACCAGGATACAGGTAGGTAATTGAGACAAAATAACCTTTACCAAGAACCAAAGCGGCAGAATTTCATTTACCGAAATGTTTAAAGTTTTGGGTATAGTAGAACTACTTTGCTAGAGTACTCCCGTATATATGTTGATCCGCAGCGAAAAGAATACGATTAGATATTAGATTTTTATACGACAGAGTCTCAGGTCTGTGTGTACTGAGTACAGGACCTTTCTTTTCGCGCCGAGGAACTTCAGCACGGCGGAGGCGAAACATATGTGGTGGGGATGTTCGTGAATGGAGCGTATTCAGAATGGATATCATGGGAAATGGAAAGATTGAAAATGGAAAAATCTCGTGTAGAAGGTTTCTATGGGGTCGAAGGAGAAATTGCAGAATGAAGGAATATGGTGGGTGATACGAGGTGTTTGAAAGGAAATAGAAATCGTATTGCTGCTTGTTATATCGATAACACTAACTATCCGTCGGTAGGTATTGGATAGAAACTAGGTATTGAGTAGAAACTAGGTATTGAATAGAAACTAGAGATTGAATAGAAACTAGGTACCTACCTACCTACCTACCTACCTACCTACCATTATCGATTCGAGCTTTCCGTTGAAGTGAAGGAACCACCAGGGACCTAACTAGGTAGCAGGTAAGGTTACCTACCTATCGATTAAGATTAAAATTACTTTACCGTATACGCGTACAGTAAGTAGCACAGCAGGACCCGTTGAATATATCTTTATTTCTCCGCACTGTGATTAATGGTCTTGGCATTGGGCACTTTTTGGGCGGAACGAGTATTAGACCGGTTATGCTTGATGAAAATGCGAAGCTGCACGGTTTGTGAGATGAGGTATAATTCTTTAGTTGTCATGATTTGGTTCATCACGGGGATTATGGAGGCGGTGTAATGTTGGTCCGATCTAAATGTGTGATTGTTAGGAATCTTGCAGGATTACAGGATTTACATGATACCGAGTAGGTGAGATGTGAGATGTGAGATGGCAAGGTGGTAGGAAAGAGCCCTTTCGGATTTATATCGGGTTCAAAACTCCTTTTCTCTCATTCGTTATTTGGCATGAATATGGTATGAACATGCACAGGGTGGGAACATAAGTAGATCTTTTCTACGGATTCCCTAACGTGAATAGCCGATCGGATAAATTGTGATGCAATTGAGATAATCGGTACTTGCAGCATTCATTTACCTGTATCATGTATCAGTGTATCTACAATCTCGTCATCCTGGTGAATATCTATCAATCTTCTGCAATGAATCAACAACAATCAACAATCAACAATCGACATGAAACGACCCAAACAACCATTACCGCAATTAATTTCATCTTAATCGTCTCCATTTCTTCTTTACACTTGACCGATCATAGTTTAGCTACCGCCTTGTTGCTACCTCAATATCTCGTATTAAGTTCAAGTCTCTTATCAAGATTAATCTTTTCATGGATTAGTCCCAACAGGCCTCCTTCAATAATTCAACCGTGCTATCCTTTCATCCTTCCCCTTCAGTGCCTTCACTCCAAACAAGCTTCAAATGCTCCATTTTTAACCTAGGAAAGTAAACTTTTTCTTGATCTCATCACTCATCCACTCATCCACTCATCCATCCACTCACTCCCTCCCTCTCTTCTTCCCGCTCTTTCTCGTGTCATCTTTTATTTTTATTTGATTTTTTTCGCAGGAGCCATTGATTCAATATTTGTAACATCTCCATCAACTTTCTTGGTGAATCCTAACTTCACTCGTTTGAAGGATCCCCTCCCCAATAAAAAAGTAATAATAATCTTCATTTGACCTCTTCAATTTGATCCATCTTGCTCTCGCATCTTCTCTCGTTCTTGGTCTTTTGAACTTTCTTTCCTTCTTTTGCAAGAGATTGCTCTACAGTACTACTCGACTACTTAATTAATTTTGGAGGAGAATCAGAAATCATGTTGTCTTCTATGGTATGTTTCAATCTTTCAACCTTTTGATATCCTCGGTCCCTTGCATTATATCTATCGCTTCAATGAATCAAGGAACACAAAGGCTTTCAGTGCTGTGAACCGCAGAATTCACATGCATAATCTATTCCATCTATTGTTGTGCAAGTGTAATCGATACGGTACTGACATTCAACTACTTAGATCCCCACTACCATCCTCGCTCTTTGCGCAACTGTTACACTCGCTGTTCAAACGATAGAAATTCAAGGTTCCGACTTTGTAAACTCTGCTACCGGTAATAAATTTCAACTTTTAGGTGTCGCATATCAACCAGGTGGATCTTCAGGATATAATCCTGGAAGTGGTGTTGATCCTCTCAGTGATGGAGCCGTTTGTTTGAGAGATGCGGCTTTGATGCAACAATTGGGTGTTAATGCTATTCGTGTGTACAATGTGGATGGAACTCTTAATCATGATGAATGTGCAAGTATCTTCAACGAGGTAAGTAATTTATGACCTTCAATTCCAAGCTCATTCGGCTAATATCTGTAGGTTGGAATTTACATGTTGATTGATGTCAATTCCCCTCTTGTTGGAGAGAGCATCGATCGAAGCGCCCCATGGACTAGTTATGATGTCACATATTTGAACAGAATCTTTGCTGTTGTTGAAGCTTTCAAGGATTACCCAAACACTTTACTTTTCTTTGCAGGAAATGAAGTTATTAACGATGATGACACCGGAAAAACTGTTCCTCCATATATGAGAGTAAGTTTCACGAGTCTCTTCTTCATTCCAAACTAACAATCATAGGCTGTAACTCGTGATCTCAAAAATTATATCGCGAAACACTCTTCTCGCTCTATTCCAGTTGGTTACAGTGCTGCAGATGTTCGTGATATCCTCCTTGATACATGGAATTACCTTCAATGTACCACTACCGAAGACGATACCGATCCATCAAGAGTCGATCTCTTTGCCCTCAACAGTTACTCGTGGTGTGGAGACTCTTCATATACGACTTCCGGTTATGATGGTCTGGTTTCGGATTTCGGCAATTCTAGTGTTCCAGTTTTCTTCTCCGAATATGGTTGCAACGTTCCAGCTCCTCGTGTTTTCACAGAAGTTCCAGTTCTTTACGGTCCATTGATGACTCCAGTTCTTTCCGGAGGTATGGTTTATGAATTCTCACAAGAAACCTCAAATTATGGATTGGTCACTATCAACGATGATGGATCGGCTCAACTTCTTTCCGATTACAACACTCTTCAAAAACAATTCAACACCCTTAACATCACTAGCATTGAAGGAGTCAAGGCACAAAACACCACTACAGTCGCGCCAAAATGCGATTCATCTCTCCTCACCAGTACAACCTTCAACAGAAACTGGACACTTCCAGCTGTTCCACCAGGAGCTCAAGATGTCATTGATAACGGTATCAAGAATGCTAACAACGGAAAGATTATTTCTGTTTCAAATACAAAAGTAACTCAAAAAGTCACAGATGTTGGAGGAAATACCATTTCCAACCTTGCCATTAAACCATTATCAAATGATCAAAGTAACACTCCATCGGGTGAAACCACCGGCTCAGACGTCACATCCTCATCCGCATCTACCTCAGCAACCAAAACTTCATCATCGTCATCATCAACTTCTACTGGCACTAGCTCAGCTTCTAGTTCTACCAGTACCAAAAAGAGTGGAGCTAGAAAGATTGAAGGAAGTATGATTGCTTTGGTAGCCATGATGGGAATTGGATTGGTTCTTGTTTAAAATTTTTGATTTGCATATATTTCTTCTACATAATTTCAATTCTTGCACATATATTTATTTTTACCATTATCGCATGTATGAATATGTATTTTCATTGTACATTTTTGTTGTACATGATATAATGTGGCTGGGTTCCACTGAATACTATAAGTCATGATGAGTAGGATGGAGATGAAGGTGGAGGTGAAGGTGGAGATGAGATGATTCCTTGGGGAAAGTGACCTTGATAGGGTAGTATGGATTTGAAGAGGTTTCTTTTGAGAGTATGGTATTGGGGGTTTTTTGGGGAGATTTTTGAAGGAGAGAATTTTGGGCGAGAGATTTTGGGGGAGAAATTTTTGGGGAAAATTATTTGTTCTTTCTTATAGATGGATTTTTGATGAGAAGAATGTCTATATAGGGGAGCGGCTTGTAGTAGTATCTTTGGAGGAATAGTTTAGGCGAATCGAATCGAATCGAATCGAGGAGATGATGGAAAATAATGAATGATTATATGTTACAAGATTATTTTGTCTTGCTTTAGTGTACTGTTTTTGATGTGTTCTTTTTTGTGTTGTCTTGAATGTACTGTCTTAAAGTGCACTATCTTGACCACACTATCTTTTATATTCTACATTCATCTAGAAAGGTTATAAAATTATAAAATAATTAATCAATCACCGTGACTATTTAATCAGAAATGAGATTATAGTTGATATATATATTATATTTAAATTAATATAATTAATTATTTAATAAATTTGTTATGTTAGAAGAGTAGAGTGTAGATTTGTTTTAGTTTTGAGGAGGAGTGGGGTATGGTTACTTTTGCTACTTTTACTGTTGATGGATTGTTATTATTTGTTTTTATTGCTGAGGGGATTTAAAGAGAGGTGTTTGGTTGGTTGGTTGGTTGGTTGGTGGAATTCTACAAAGGAGGAAAGAAGGTGCTAGGAGGAGCATTGACTATATAGGATGTGGAAGCCGTATGCGTCCATATAGACTAACGAGAACAGGTTGAACCCATGACATTGTTGTTATTGTTGAGGGGAGTTGGAGAGAGGTCGGTTGTTGGTTGGTTGGTTGGTTGGTTGAAGGAATTCTAGGGGTGAGAGAAGGATTGTGGGAGGGATTAATGGATTGATTGATGGAGGTTGAGGGGGAGAGGAGGGATAAAGTAGATTGTGTGATGTGTGATGTGTGAGGGAGAAGTGAGGTGGTGAGGAAAGAGAAGATAAAGAGAAGGAATAGTTGTAGATTTATTAAAGGATATTATATTAGATTTTGAAGCTAAATTGATAGATTGATGAAGTGAAGGGGTGAATAACGATTCAAGGGAATGATGGTTTGAAGATATATTTTATAATTAGTAGTGGTGTTATAAATAGTGGATGGGGACTGGATGATTATATAAAAGATAAAATAATGGAATATTGAATAGTGGAATGGATGGAGGAGGAGATAGAAGGATAATATAAGGAGGAATAAGGAATAGAAAGATGTGGAATGGAGAATAGGATGGAGATTGTATAAAGAATGAGGATGGGGTGGAGATGGGGATGGAATGGGTATAGAAAGTTAAGAAGGGTGTAAGGAAATAGAGAATAGAGAATGAGGAATAAGATAGATGGATGAGATAGATGAATGAGTGTTCAGATTAGATTGGAGATTCTAGAGTGTAAAGTTTTAGAGGGGTATGGAGGAGTATAATGAAGAGAGTATAAAGGGGGAGGGAGAAGAGAGTATAAGGTGAGAGTATAAGAATGTGTGGAATGGGATGGGATGAAATGGGACAGGGATGAGAAGATGGGAGGACAAGGGCCATGAAAGGATTGTAATATAATATCAAAGTTATAAAAAGTAAGTTGTATATTTTATTCTAAACTAGATTGAGTGAGTTGGCTTTATAAAGATTTCTATTATATATTACCGCCTTCTCACTTTGATCAGTAACAAATACTTTATAAAAAAAATAAAAATAAATAAAAATAAAAGAATATTTTGTAAAAATTAAATTTTATTATCTTTATTGAAAATTAAAATTATTTAACAAAATTTATATTTATATAAAGATATTTAATATTTAATTTTATAAAGATTTTATTACAAACTCAAATAATATATAATGAGTAGACTATAAAAGTTTTTATTATTTAAAAATATATATATACTCTACTCATTTAATAAACAACTTAGTTCTTATTCAGAAAAACTAAAAATATATACCAAAATCCACTGATGCCAGATAGACAAACAGATAGTATATGTATATCCACATCAATCATCCATCCATCAAAGAAGCATAAAAAACATCCTCATCCATAAGAATAAGAACATAAACACCAAATCATATAGTATATATATCCACACTAAAAATCCCTCCTAAACTAATCGAATCAATCGATGTGTAACGTTATTTAATTGGTAGTGTCAAAAATCCACTTCCTTAAGCAGAAACACATTGCGAGTACCAAGGATTCTGCACAACACAAGTACCCTCAGAACAAGATTTTCCCCCCGTACAATTTCCGTACAAAGGAACCGATCCCGATCCCGATCCCGATCCAGATGCAGGAGTAGAAGTAGCGGTAGGTGTACTAGATGTGGTGGAAGTAGTAGAAGTAGTAGTTGTGGTAGAAGTAGTAGTTACTGGTTTAGTAGGTATGACGGGTTTGGTGGTTGCAGAAGCGGTGGTGGTTACTGGTTGGTGTGGTGCGGTGGATGTGGATGATGGTGTGGTTGAGCTTCCTGTTGAGACGGAAACGCTGTAGTCTGAGACCGTGAAGACGGCGTTGGAACCTAGTGTCTTGTTAGTATTACTGATGGATCAAAATGCATAAAACAAAATGCATACCAGTAAAAGGTTCAGTTCCAGCTTGCAAAACCTTGAGATATTGACTCTTGGACCAGTTCTCATTGGTAGCCAAGTAGTTCAAGAAATCCATGAGGTCACCACTGAAATCGGTGATTTGGGTAGAAGCAACGAAAGAATAAACGGTGGTGTCCCCGTTGGGTCCAGAGTACAAGCTGAATTGATGACCGGCAATGCTAGCGGTAGCAACTGGGGAACCGGTGGAGGAAATTGGTCCGGCTCCTCCGATGGCGGCTAACCAGATCATGATTTCATATTGGTTTGTTCCGTCGGCTGTGGCGGCGGTGAAAAGATCCCAAGATACGTCAGCGACGATGGATGATCCAGTGTATCTAACAATATCATTAGGAGTGTTCCATGAGATCAACAGAGAAAATATGTACATACCCCCATTTCCAAACAGCAGGAATGCTAGAAATAGAAGAAACTTGAACACCAGCGGTAGCAACCGATTGAAGAGCCACATTCGCATATGACTTAACGCTGCTCGATGCACCAGCCCAACTCCAAGATGTTGACCAGGCGATAGTGGTACCACTCAATGAATCGACAGTCGTACATTGGGATCCAGATGATGCTTGAGCCTCACCCCAAAGATCTTGGTAAACCGTGTATGCACCAGTAGGAACAGAGTCCCATTGACCACAGATTTGAGTCGATCTAGCTTTCAAAGTCTTGTCGGCAACTGGTGCTGCTATTGCTGCAGTAGAGAAAAGGAGTGGAAGCGCGACCTGCGTGAACTTCATTTTGACGATATTTTAAAAGAATGTGATGGTTTGGAAATGAATGAATGAATGATTGTACAAAAAGAAGATAAGGCTTTATTGATCAAGGAGGATGAAGGACGGTAAGTTATATATGAATTACATGATGTAAGCGTGTAGACTTTATTAATCTAGAACGAAGCATGCATTTGGCGCCTCCTTTCGACATAGATGAAGATTAGATGAAATAAGATGAGATGAGGGGGAAAATGGGTCGATAAGCGACAAAATATAGTGAACAAATTTGTTTCATTTCACCTAAGACAGTTAGATGCTCCGTGTCATAGGATCATTTCAGGGGTATTTTATGGGGGTGCATAACTTTAAAATATTAACGAACCAATGATGAAGCTTGATTTTAACCATGACTATGGTTAGTGGTGAGAAGTAGAAAACAAGGCACATCGATGTAGCCATGGACCGTTTCTCATTGACAAACTGTCATCGCAAGCATTACCGTTTGAGAAATTCTCCTTGGCGCAAACTATTCTTCCAGAAGATATTACTTCATGCGAACCACAAGGCGTCGACATCACGCTACCAAAAATAGGAAAATTATGAAGAACTATCGATTCGCAATGTCGGATTTGAATAGGCGAACCACTTTTTATAGTAATTTTTTGGAAACTTCCCTTGAAGAATTTCCACCCAATATGCTGCTCAATGTTCAATACGGGTAACGTTCCGAAAGATTTGATCGATGACGGAAATAATTCTTGGTACTGTTCGTCCAGTAGAATGATTCCCACCACAAGAACATGTTCCATCCCATATCCCCATGCCATCGAAAGAAGATTTCCGAACCCGGAATAAAAAGATTATAACTTAGAGATTAACGAATCTTGTATAAATGAGATTATCAACAGCAATCAGTTGTTTTCATCAATTTACTTGTACCGTTCCAGAACAATAAGGTTCGCGGGGCATGTACGGAATAAAGCCAATCGAAGTCATCGTGATGTTGTGCATTGCTGAATCTAAGACTTCAAAGTTTAAGGAAAAATTATCAACAACACACCAAGTCTTGGAAGAAATTGTATGTATTTTTATTTCGACATAAATGAAGCCATAGAGGAAATCGACTAAACTATAATTCTCTTTCACTTTATAGTAACAGGACGAAATGAATCACATACCTCGAGTAACTGTAAGCATGGAATAGTCGGCTTCTCGCGCGTGCTCGGTCGACTAGCTCCCAGCTAAAAAAAAAAGGAACTATCTCTGGCAATACAAATCTAGCAAAAAAGCTTTATTATGTCAGCTTGAAAATTCATATTTATGTACCAAAAGTAAAATGTTTCAATGACAATTTAATAATTTTGTCGTATTTGATATATTTTATACCAAAATCCGGTAAAGGGACAATCCGCTTTCCGAGGACATCCGCTTCCCCGACTAGGAACTAGTTGACTATTTGTGAGAGCTGATATGCAATTCTGCGAAACTGATTTGACTGCGAAAGTTGCACTTGATGCTGAAAATTGTTTGAAGCATCCGCATCCAAGGGCAAAATCCGATTGTCATTTCTGGGATAGACAAATAAGAGTGCCGCAGGAACCAGATATGAGTAATATCAGCGAAGATTCATGCCTGTACCTGATCCACAGACTGAAGTCACCATTGTCTAAACCAAGCAAGTCTAGCCGATCGATACCGTGTCATCACAAGTTGATGTGAGAGCACATTAACCCTTAAGTAGGGCGTAGTCCAATATGTTTTGTACATTGCGGCTTTTGGATAGGGGGTCTTACTAAGGATTCCGGCATTGACCATCATTTTCATCTAATATTTCGCTTGGTCATACCTTCTCTTAATAAAAAGGTGTTGCATCTCCTCATTCCCACATACTCTCTCGAAATTTCGAAATGCTGGTGGACAAATGCGAAAATCACCAATTCCTCAATATGAGTGAATTCGACAGCGATGGAGCCGACGTGATTGTGATGGTTATTTTTGAAAAGCTTTCGTCACCCCAAGAGTAAAAGGTAATTCTGGGGCATTTTTCGAAGCAGGCGTATGCAACACGGCGAGAAAAATAAGAAGCATTTAATGCTATAAATGAGGGCATTTTGGGAATTCATTGTTGTTTTAGAAGTGACAAGGTATTCGCGAAGGTCCATCGTTGATCGGAAATGACAGCCAACCCTTCAAAATCCAAGTTTGTCGTAACGTGGCCCAATTTTTTCGTGATTCCCGCATGAAGGAGAGAATTGAAGGAGAAGTTCGAAGTGACGGTTCGCACATCAAGGGAGGGGCATGTCCTAGCTGTAAGGAAGTTAGCTGCTAAATTATGTGACTATGCCAAGCAATGGATGAAATATATAGGTATGCTCCTTATTTCCGGCCTAGATCTGAAGGAATATTTAATTGTCATACCCGATTTACGATGGCGAAGAGTGGTTGCTAGCAATTGTGGAACTGCAATTTAAATATCGGACATCCATCGAATCTGGTATGTGTTGATGCCAACCAGGCTTGCGAAAGTGTGAGTATTAGATCATATTATTGTAATCTTCTGTATCGACTCTCGATTGATTCCCAACTCTGGACTTTAGACAGGTTGGTGTCTCGCTAGCATGTGTAGCACCATCTTGAGCATATGATTGTACCTGCATTATGCTGCAGTATGCGACTACTAGGTAGTCTTGCGCGTCCCACGGTTGAAAATGGCAATGGGGAACAAACAAGGCGGTGGCAGTTTGCAAGTTCATTGGAGTTGGAGATGCACGCCAAGCTGACAGTTTAGGGTCCGTGCATTAAGTGTACGAATGCCCTTGCTCTAGGCCAAATTGGGGTTAGCTAATGCCTGACAAACTTTTACAGTACAATATTTTGAGAACTTCATTAATGTGATAGAATACTGGACTTTTCTTTATAAACGCCCATCTTATCTGTATTCGATTCCTATCTTCTGTCCTTCGAGTGCTTCATCCAAACCAGCAGCCTCCATACTTCATCAAACGGGCTACAATCTGGCTTGCAATCACCAGATATACGAAGTTGGCTTATAGAATTTCTAACCTGTTATTCCTTGAACTATCAACCTCGCCATACATACTAATTGCACTCCTCTATGCACATGCTGATTTCTCACACCAAGTCGGAGACTGAACAGAATCCAACCATGAATTTTGGGCTTCATGAAGCGTGTCTCGCCAATTCCTGGGCCAGAGAATGATTCTATACTCTCGCTACATGGCATTGGTCTAATTTGTTTTATTGAAGAAATTGACAATCGCTCTTCCTCCTGCGGCTGTAACATCTCAGAAAAATTGTTTCCTTCCCAATCATACCCGGTGGGATTGATATCTTGGATCCTACCAGGCTTTGGTCCTCTACTTATGAACCCTTCCAGACCCCCATAATGGAGCCATTTTACCCATCTAGCACGCCAATATACTTCTGCTTGTGTCGACGGTAACGACATTCTCGCCTCCCACAAAGAACTGCCGTTCTTTCATCCGGATCTTTTACCGGAGACGCTCCCCATATTTGGACACGGAAGTTATTAATTCTGTGATGGAGTTTTCTAAGAATGGAGTGAATCGGAAGTCTACAGGACTTCGCTTGAAGAAGTAGTCGCCAAAGCTATAATAAAGGTAGAATTTCGATACCTTCTCGGAAGTCTCTATAATAAGGTACCGTGGGTGGTAAGGCGATATTAATTTATGAAATGTTCGAATATGCGGGTCAATATCTTCCCAGTCTCCGTCATAAAACTTGCGGCGAACGAACTTGTTCCATCTTCCTCACTTTCTCTAGCCCTGTCACAGGGTGAGCATATATTTATGGCAAATTCAGCTGCGCCTTCTTGGTGTAAAGCTTGATAAAAGAGTGTGTTATTGTTATAGCTGAATACACCCATTGGGCATATACAATCATTCTGGGTGTGGCGATAAATTCGTGGCTCGATCTTATGTTCTCATCAGGCTTTGAGATGCTGACGCCAAAGCTCATTTTATAGTATTTTAGACCAATATTCCGTGACAGGACGCTAAAATATAAAATTGTGTGAACAATCTGCGTTGTGATTAACTTGAAGGTCGCCAACTAGACTGCATCTACATCTAGAGCCCAGATGTCTAGGTTTCTTGGCTTGTCGTTTGCGACGATTTACCAGAACCCAATCTAGAGCTCTGTTGACAACTTCTTGCGATATATGGATGCGCCTTGTACAACACTATGGGAATCACTATTGTCCATCTTATTATCAGTGTCTTTCACTGACATACTTCCGATGAAGGCACAGGATGGCATGTTAGCAGAAACACCCCATGCTCCAGCGGGCAGGATTCGTCACCGTCGGTTTTTCTTTTATCTTCCACTCCGTTGAGTTTATGACAAGCTCATCGACCTTAGAATTACCCGATGCTTCGAACCACCTTGAAAAAATATCTCTATTTGGATAAAAGCTGAGTATGTCTTCGATGCGTCAGCTTCAAGACCGTTTGGAAGAGGAGAGTCGAAAGGAGCCATGACTGGATGAAGGCTGGTGAGTGGAGCTGATGTCTTGTGTTTTTGAGGTCCGAAGGAGTGAGATTTCTTCTTTATTCTCGGCATTAGAGACTGATAGATGGTGTTCCGATATGTTATTGCAAGATTGTAGCGTTAATTCCAAGGCTCTTGATTTCAATTAAGTATCAAAAGCCAAAAACTCTGTTTATGGCCAATACATCACATTTCTCTAATTATATCTAACGATCTTGACGCTCAAGTTGGTCTCTCTGGGTATTTCAATGAATCCACGCCTCCAGCCACACTTCTTAGAATTCATCCACCCGTTCTGCCACTCAGCTTCGTTTCTCAAAGTCGCATCACATTAAATTGTCTCAAGATGACTGGAAAAGTTGATTTAATCAAACAAAGCTGTGTAGCGCAGCTCAGATCTCCTTTCGACATCCGCTGTCATTCTGCTTCTCACCGCACCCAGGATTACTCCGAACAATTTGATTCTGCTCACGTCACTACCAGCTTCCCAATCACATATCTATCGTCATGCCCATGTACGACTCCCAAACGGACACGATACCTTCTGGCACGAACATGAGCATCGACTCGAGGGGCATGTTGCGCTTCATGCTTTTCTCTATGATTTGGATCCCAAAAGCCCGTTCTTCTACGCGAAACACTTTTCATGCCGGCATCCGATCCCTTCATAGCTCGAGGAAGATGCGAAAATTATGATATTGAAGTAGCGACAGCTTCGACAATTGTCCCCTCGACCAATATACCACCTGCCAGCCGAACCATCAGCTATTCACACCCGTTCTATATCAAAGGAATCACGATTTACTACCACACAGAAAGTCTCCTCAGAGTCAAAAGTATGTAACCTTTTCTACACCCAACCTCAAAACTCCACACCACTAACCCATCCACCCACCAGCCTTCACCTGGGCGCCCATCAACCCAAACAATCTCTCCAGCACTCCCAAATCCCAAGCCATGCTCACCATGCAAGAGACCATCGAATCCACATACCAACACTAGGAACTCCGACGCTATCGCCACCAGGTTCACTACACCCAGCACATGCAACGCTGCACCCTCTCTGTACTTCTCGCCGCGCTTGATACTCTAGAAATGAGGGAGAAACTTGGAAATACCGTTTGGTTACTCCTGGGTATGACGAGGGATAATTGTCAATCGCCTTCTGAGGAAGCAATATGCGGTGAGAATGAAGCATAAGACCGCATATCTGGGGAGGGTTGAAGTTGGAGTTTGGAGTTCGGAAGAGATGTGGGAGGTTAGGGTGCCCGCTTTACTAGATATTGAGTCTACAGGTTTGAGTTTGGGGTTTGAGAGAGGAATTGTAGGTTGTTGGAGTTTAAGTTGTAGATTCGAATTGTTTGAAAGAAGATGGGGTAGGAAAGGGGGCAGATTTTAATAGTGATTTTGAAATTTGTTGTTTTATATAATCATTTTGTAGAATCATTTACATAATTTGATATTGTTGGAATATAGTTAGGTAATAGAATACGGAATATAACAAATAAATATTGAACTTATTCTTGCTATTACACAGGATTATTGGGATAATTATAATTTGGTTTTGTTTTCAATTTATGGCTTAAGTATTAATGAACTTGCGTTTCATTAGCTGCTTTGCTAATTGTCACTTTGTTATTCTTTAAGGATAGGTAGAGATGAAAAGATGGCTTGAGGAGAAATAAATAAATCTTATGACGGGAGATGGTTTGAAAATATACATGAGAATTTTGTCTAGATATTTGAGTGTGCGACTTCAATGCTATGTGCTGCTTATGTGAGATATCCTTTCTGATGAGTTCAAGGTATTAGATTTATTCCGGGACTACATAACAAATGAATAATAATTGAAGCCCTGAAGAATATAGTATAACACGATGTCACTTCACCTCTTCTCTAATCTGCTCTATTAAATATATACTTTCTTTGGCTACAAAATCTAGTACCCTAGTAAGAACCAATCATTTCTCCGACCTTGATATTTGGTCGTTGTGAAAGTCACAGCGGACATTCAGGTTGTAATATTGAGATATCTATTTTCTTGAGCTGATGGTCTGTAGGCAATATCAAAATTGAATAGAAAGACAGTAGATGCCGCTTATAGGTATTTTTTAACACTTTATTTTTTTTGATTATATTGATTGAAAACTAAAGGATTCGTTTATAGTAGCCCTGTGATAATTATCTTTAAATTTAACTAAATGAACTCTTATTTAATAAAAGTTAAGATATTATATTCTACTAATAAGAATAATGTTGAATATATTAGATTTATTAGAAGACTAACAAGAAAGTTAATTACAGTGAAATTTATTATAATATGAAGATTATAACTGTGGTAATTTTCGAAATGTTGAGATCAGAAGACCGTAACATTGCAGCCGATGATTAGCCTGTGGTGTTTCTAGCTGACTAATCACATTTTAAGCGATTGGTTTCAATGATTTTAGCTGATGTATTATGAATAAGTTTATTGATTGATCGCCTTGTTTTTCCAGGCAAAGTCCAAAAAATCACTTGAATTTGTAAACTAGCCCTTAAGTGAAATTTATTTTACTCAGCCTCATTGCATTTACTGTGTGATTTGGCCTGACTTTATTTAGAGACGTCCATGGTTGCTTCGAGCTTCCAGATCGACCACCAAAAATATCAACCTTTTATCCTCTCCTGAGACTTCTTACACAATATATCGAAGGGCTGGCAGGTCCGGCAGCGCTTATTTTAAGAAATAGGATCACAAAATATCGACTTCCAGGTCATCGCTCTGTGTTGCTTCTGAAGTAGGTCATCACCTCAACAATCATTCTTATCATATTCAATTTCTCCCTGCAACTGTTCTATCTACATTTTAACATTTTTCAAACAGTTTCTGATATTATTGGAAGACCCTAAGTGGCTCCGCCTCAGAACTAACACGAGATGAAAAGGCAGCGCGTAAGAAAACGTTCAAAGCCGTTCCCAAGAAGATTGCAGTGCCAATCCAAGATCAGCTAACCTACCCTAGGGACTGGAAAGTAAGGAAAGAGACTGAAATTCTCTATGACTAAGCCCAAGTGAACACTCTCGAGTTTTCTTTCAGACCCATTCCCTTGCGTGAACTGGACTCAGTAGCAGTAACCATATTGTATACGGGGGTCCGAATATGCCGTCTGCGCTTGCAGTGGACTCTCGAGTCATGAGCGGAGGTCGATATAAAAAGATGCCTAATATCAATCATTGTGAAAGCTGAACCATCATGTTCATTATATCTTGCTACTTTATAACGTAGAATTATATCAGGAGATCAAACGTTAGACCAAGGCCGAGAAATTTGCAGCACTGTCCAAAATTGTCAGAATTATTCCTTTTGGCATATTGCGCCATTGCAATTAAGGTAAGGGTTCTGCTCGTTCACTTGTCAATCAAGTTTTGAAATGAAAGGATGCTGATATCTGCAAATTAGAACAAGCGCCGATCAATCATCCACCTCTGAATAGAACAGAGTAACACGTTAAAGTGCTACACCGACCGTAGATTGACGTCGATCTCGTGGCACTGCAAAAGCCACGGACAACTAGCGAGCCTTACGGCATTTGAGTTGATCTAAGACTTAGCCTTACTTCCAGCAAGTAAGCCTTGGCAAATAGAGCCATTGCTTTCATACTCCTTTCTAAAGATACAAAGATATCCATGCTGAGCTGTGATGTTGACATCCTTATTGAAGAGCGCACACCGTGAAGCCATTGTTCCAGTTGGATACCTGAAATTAATCAACATTAAAAACCCAACCTTCTGCAGCAAAACCTTTGTTCATGGTTTGAAGATCGAAATGGCAGACCCATCAAATGGGGATTTAGTTAAAGATTTTACTGCACCAACTAAAAATACCGGTCGGCTTCGAAAACAGGAGCAAGTTCTCTAACGAAGACCGAAAGTCTTTCATATAAGTTATAACTACATGATTTATATACTTTTAAACACTTGATACTTGTGTTATACTAGTGAACAAACAGCGGAGACTCTCATAAGACCTCAGTCTATCAAGAAAGCGACGTGTCATATGCCACTTGGCATCTGCTTGGGTTTTTTTATACAGTCATTTTAAGTCCAATTTAGCGTGGCTGGTGATCAAGTACTAACATAAAGCACAGCCTGAGAACAATACTGGTGGAAGACTTCCAAAACTTGCCAGCACGACCGTGCCACGAGTATTGATACCGTTGGTGGCGCGAGGCTTGCGAATGGATATACCGTGTACTGGAAGTTACGAGGTTCTGTCAGGAATAGATGGCTTATAAACGGAGTTCGAGTGTAAAATGATGCGTAAACCGGGGGTAGAGGAGTTTACCTATTTGTTGGAGGCACCTGCGAGATCTTTTGAATAGAATATTCCTCGATAGAAATGCATCGGGTATCTTTCCTTCAAATTAAAATTGAAGAGTAACCTATCTACTGTAAAACCGTGAGTGGAAAATGTGAATCTCAAAGGTTCTGATTAGGGCATTGAGATTGCTACCAAACTATTGCAAAATAATAGTTTCACCGACTTGTTCATTGTCCTCCAACTACATAAATTCAAGCATTGTCAGATATAAGTCCAAGTTTATCATGTAGCCCACCACTGGAGGAGACAATTGAACTCTGGAGCAGGCTTGACGAATGATGAAATAGGCTGTGACGAACCTGAAAAGCGTTAGCGGCAATCACTCACTCTCAAATTCTGGACTCAGCATCGTCCCCAAGACCATTTTAATTCTCCAGACAGTTTGATTCTAGCCCAGCTAAGAGTTATTAGAAAAATCTGTTATTATTCCATTGGTGGAGCGTATATTGTCTCGAGGCTCGCTATCACACAATACCTAGGTACCATGAGTCACCGACGACTCGCAATCTTGCCACCAACATTGACTTCTCTGAACCCCTTTTTCCATCGTCCATGTAAAATTGCCAAATCGAAATGAGCAAAGTTCATTCGCAAATACTTGCTATATGTGAAATCTGGCCGGTGATTCCATAGGTAGTTCTCGAAAGGTTATGCGAACTCCCGACCGTATAAGCGAGAGTGCAGTTGTACCGCATGTCGACGGATGTATGTCGAGGCTCATGAAGAATGGCGTAAGCTATATTCCCATTTTCTGCTCGATTAAAGTTTTTTCTTTCTTAAAAGCATGGCGGATATCGAATTGAAAGTTATCCAGTCGTCCGACAGGGTGGAAAATGGCAGCGACTCGGGTGAGGGAACGAGCGATATAGTGGAAGCGAATGAGAAGCCCTCCACAAAGACAGAAGGCACAATCGCTTTCAGCGCGGGGTCGTCATCACTTCAATACTCAGATCAAGGCTCTCCTCAATCCGACGCCCCGAAAATTTGATCTCAGGAGAAGGGGAAGCAACCAGCGGCACGAGAGACGCAATCGATTGCAGATGAGCGAAATACCTCACAGCAACTGACCCAACAAAACATAAAGGGAAAGAGTTGGAAGTGGATCATGAGGCATCAGGGGTATCGGAACCACTTCTCAAACCAGGAAAGTTCCTAAGGTATGCTGGAAAGGTTTAGTTGGAACAATGTGCTAATTTTTATTATTTTCAGACGAGGCAGCTGAATCCGAAGTATGGGTTAATGAGCCTATCCCAACACGATCTAGGTATGCGGACACATGCGAGTCCAAAAAGCAACGGCAGATTCAGGATGAAATTCCCGCCCCAGCACCTACCCCAGAGCTGCAACGGCTGGTCTCATACAGCACAAGGAGTTTAGAGGAAGGGAGATACAGGGAAGAGCCGGATGAACAGAAGTTACAGCACGATTCTGTACAACTTACACAGCAAAATTCTGTTACTGGAACATCCGATGTCACTGGTGGGAGAAAGGGCAAGTCTTGTTGGAGCCCCAAAGAGAGGTTTTTTGATCACCCTGCCAACGAGTTTCTCCCTGTTCACCTTCCAGAAGTTGCTCTCTTCATCCGTTCATCCGAAAGATTTCTAGCCGGGACTGACATGGCTCTGGGAGATTCACTTCAGATCGATGACCTGGATACTGTATCGCTGAAGACAATTGGAAATCTCGAGATTTTCTGGACAGACTACATAGGGAAACATCTTTCTTTAGACCCTGCTACTAGGAAATTATATCTTGCATGGACAAGAATGGAAGACGGGTGAAGCTTTGGAAAATTGCAAGAAGCGTGGTAAGAATTTCTTGTACGCTACGTTTTGTCCGAGACTGAAAGATTCAAGGCTCGGCATGAGTGATATTTCCCCATTTCGACCTGGTCAATCACCATTGAGTGTATTGAATGAAAATATTGCCGTTTCTTGGGGGATGATATTCTCAAAACAATACACAAAAAGGGAGAAGTATTTCCACAAAGTATTGCAATTCCTCCATTTATCCGAGGATCGGAAACGGAAGCTAAAACGCCAATACGAAAAAATATCTTTCGACGACAGTGAACTTTCAGTGTTCCATGGAGATTACTTGATGTTTCCATGGCAATGTTTCCTTCGCAACTCCGCACATATGACTGTTGACGAGTTCGATATGATCCGTTCATATCATGCAACGGCCAGAGGGTCGTGGATCTCGTCGCTGAGTGCGGTGAATAGCGCCCAAAATAAATTTGCCTTAAAATATTCAGACTTTGGCCTCTTAGAAGATCGGGTTCGTCAGCTGAGACATTACATGGACAATCAGAAGCCTCGAGGGATTCGACAACTTTGGAGAGACAGGAGAGATGCGTTGAATTATTCTACATTTTGTGGGTGATAATTTTCGGAGCGTTAAGCGTGTTTCTAGCCTTTGCATCTCTTTCTGTCGGCGTTGCTCAAGCTGTTGCTTCTTTCGAGGCTCTAAATCTGTGTCCTTTCCCTAGTAAAACATAGGGTTATCTATTTTTCTTTTCTGCTGTCATATCTCGATATCTCGTTTCAGTATAATTTCTTTGCTTGCATTGCAACACGACTTCTTTTGAGGCTGGGTTTGCTGGAAGGACCTTCTTTATTTTTTCCCTATTATCTTCGTGTTTGGGAATTAGTAAAGAAATGCCGCTTAATAGTTTGACGAATTTTGAGATTGAAAGCAATATAACAAATAATGAATTTCAAATCGAGTAGTAATCAATTTATTAATGTTCTAAGAGCAATGAGCTGCGTAACACTTTGTTGAAGCCATCTAATACATACCAGGAGAGATATTCACTGGATATCAAAACTTGCATTAGGATACTTCAAGCATGGGAGTCCTCATCTAATTTACTCCAAACAATGAATAATCTAAATTCTGAGACTCTACTTTGTTCCGAACAAATCCCCTAAGATTTGATAAAAGATATCGATCCCATAGCATCTGCTTACTATAAGCCTGGCGGCCATCATGAGTAAATCAGAAATAGTGACAATATATTTGGAAAACACCAAAATTTCTGGGACTGAAAGGATTTTACAGTGCAAGGATCCAAGGGGGCAAATGTGGCCTTTTGTGCTATTTTGAGGAGAATGAAGAACATCTACAAATTAAGAAAAGTAGAGTGCTCAACATAGTTCAAGGTTTCGAAGGTTTCACTAGGCCCGGATTTTCTTTCACCCACCATGCGCAGCGTTTGATAGCACAACCAAACTCTTTGTAAATAATATCAAAAATCTATTTTTGAGGTTGTCTGATAACGGAATAGATGCAAAGACACTAGTAGAATCACTTGAGGCTAGCTGATCAATGATAGTAGGAATAAGTCTTCTTCCACGTTCTTTTGGTGACACAGTTCCTTGATACATACTGAGATTTGGATGTCTTATGAATATGTCTAATAATGATACTTGTGTTGGAACTAGCTGATATATACACAACATAAGCAGCGTAATGGTAGCGCGTGAATCCAACTATTTATATGATAACGAAAGTCTTTCTTGGCCAATCGACCGATGATGTATCATGTATTATCCAATCAAGCAAGTACATTCATTGCCGTTCATTGTGTGGAGCGTATCACTTCACAAATGCAGCTTTGCGGCAGTAATTATCCGTCATGCACTAGCACTTGATCTTTGACTACTCGAAATCTGGATTGTCGAATCAGTTCGTTGCTTTATAGTCGTCCTATTGTAGCTATTTATATAACCAAGTAGATATCCGGATGTGGATCAATTTAAGTTCAGGCCAGGAAGAGAAGACGACTTTGAGAATAACTCCATCCGAGTTCTAGATTCCAGCTGGATGAGAACAAGTTGGGACGAGCTGTAGAAACCAAACAAAAGACACTGAACTGCTTTGAAAGGCTGGTCTCTTCTTCTACGTCAAGGGTAAGAAGTCTAGGTAGATCTATTCAATCAGACATTGCAAAAAGATGCTTCTTGCAGTAATGCCACTATTCCTCTTGTGAAGCCAGCCGATGGTTAAGGGGACGATGCGTGATGATATTCAATGTTGTTCAATATTCTTCCCGTTATATGCGGAGTTAAATGGCTTATACTCCCCTAGCATTGAATATGTGAATACGATTAAATGATGTTGAAAAATCTTCACTTCATTTCATAAGACTATTGGTCGACAATTTTATATCTCATTTTCTTTCTAATGCGGGTGAATCAAGTTGCCAGCAGATTGATCAAGTTAATGTCTGTTGTAGCCTGAGGCCATAAAAAAGATAAAACGATCCTGCACTTCTATCGCTCCCCACATCGAACCCATGTCTAAGAAAATTATTATTCCCCTCCAAGATTTTTTTTTGTTTACTACAACAAATTTTTTGATTTCTTTTTCTTTCTCTCTACAAAGTCAAGGTCGAAAACAATATTTTCAACCGACTTCAAATCCAGTTTTCTTGTCATTCCTTTATTAATTTTCATTTTCGATATTTGCATGCAATACATGTGAAAGCCTCTTGAAAATGGATCAACAAAAATTCTTAGAGCTCTTGCAGGGCGTCCAAATTCGTAGGTTGCTATCAAGTCGCAATACCCTCCATTTTGCTAACCTTCATTTTCTACAGCTGATACCGAACGTGTCAAGGCCGCAACCACAGAACTAAGAAAGAACTATTACCCAAATCCAGAATCACTTCTCTGGCTTATCGAGATCTTCATTTCCCATGGAGATCAAGCAACCAGACAACAAGCCGCTGTCGAGGCCCAACGCCTGGTCAAGAAGCACTGGAAAAACATTTCTGATGCCCAAAAACAACAAATCAGAGAACAACTTCTACAAAAGGCATTAAATGAGGAGGTTAAATTGGTTAGACACTCTGGCGCTCGTGTCATCGCTGCTATCGCTGGTGAAGACATCGAGAATGGACAATGGGCCAATCTTCCTGATACCCTCGCACAAGCCGCAGGCTCTCCTCAAGTCTCACATCGTGAGGTCGGAGTCTTCATCCTCTTCACTTTACTGGAGACTGCTTCGCCATACTTTGCTGAGCAAACTGCTGTACTCTTCTCCATCCTCAGCAAGACCATCCACGACCAAGAGAGCACTGATGTCAGGATCAACACTTTGATCTGTCTTGGTGCCGTTGCCACAATGATCGAGCCAGACGAGGATCCAGAGAGTTTGAAACTATTCCTCGAGATATTCCCACAAATGGTCAGTGTATTGAAGAATTTCATTGATGCCAAGGAGGAGGACCGCACTGTTCAGGCTTTTGAGGTTTTCCAAACTTTGTTGGGTTGTGAATCAGCCTTGATCGCACCCCACTTCAAGGACCTTTGCAATTTCATGCTTGAGATTGCTGCAGATACCAACAACGAAAACGACGCAAGAACCCAAGCTTTGTCCTTCCTTATGCAATGCACCAGATACAGAAAGATGAAGATTCAAGGCACCAAGGATTTGGGTGAGAAGATCACTATGACCAGCATGCAAATCGCGACAGAACTTGAAGATGATGACGACGAAGATGATGAGACTTCCCCAGCTCGCTCTGCATTGGGTCTTCTCGGTTTACTTGCAGAAAGCTTGCCACCTCGCCAAGTTATCGTTCCCCTCCTCAACGCCCTTCCACAATTCTCGAGCCATCAAGATCCAAGATACCGTCAAGCCGGTATTCTGGCACTCGGCATGTGTGTCGAAGGTGCACCGGATTTCGTCGGTACTCAAATGGATAGTTTCTTGCCTGTTGTCTTCAAGCTTCTTGAGGACCCAGAAAGCGGTGTTAGACACGCAGCTCTTAACGGTGTCGCAAGATTGGCAGATGATCTTGCTGAAGACCTTCAAAACACTCACGAGCTCCTCATTCCTGCTCTTCTCAAGAACCTTGATGCTGCTATGCAATACGCAGCTAGCGGAAACAATGATAAACAAACTCTTGACACCATGAAGGCATCATGCGGTGCTTTGGACTCCTTGACCGAAGGTATGGACCAAGAAATTGTTAAGAACTATCTCCCAACTCTCGTCCCACGTCTTGCTCAATTGTTGGACCACCCCGATGTTGGTGTCAAGTCTGCTGCCGCCAGTGCGATTGGTTCCCTCGCGAGTTCCTCCGAAAAGGAGTTCCTTCCGTTCTTCAAGGACACCATCGAGAAGTTGGCACAATTCGTCGAGTTGAAATCAAGCAATGATGAGCTCGATCTCCGTGCTACTGTCTGTGATTCCATTGGAAGCATGGCAGCAGCTGTTGGCGCTGAAGTCTTCCAACCCTACGTCAAGCCATTGATGCAAGCAAGTGAAGAAGCTTTACACCTTGACCACCCTCGCTTGAAGGAAACCAGCTACATTCTCTGGAGTACCTTGGCCAAGGTTTATGAGGAGGAATTCACGCCTTTCCTTGAAGGAGTTGTTACCGCCTTGGCTGCCTGTTTAGATCAGGAAGAAGACAACCTCGAAGTTGAGCTCGGTGAGCATGCCCAAGACTTACTTGGCCAAGAAGTCATTGTTGCTGGAAAGAAGGTCAAGGTTGCTGGCGCCACCGATGTCGAGGATGTTGATGACATGGACGACGATGATGACGACGAAGACTGGGATGATCTTACCGCCGTCACCGCTGTTGCCATGGAGAAGGAGGTTGCAGTTGAAGTTATCGGTGATATCTTGACGCACACTCGTCAACACTACATGCCTTACTTCGAGAGAACCATCGAGGCTATCTCCCCATTGGTTGAGCACTCTTATGAAGGTGTAAGAAAGACCGCGATCAGTACAATGTGGAGAGCATACGCTTGCCTTTACAGTATGATGGAGGATAAGACTGGAACAAAGTGGACCCCTGGTCTACCCATGGCAACTCAACCAACTCCTGAGTTGGTCAAGATGGGAGAAATTGTTACAACTGCAACAATGTCTCTCTGGGAGGATGAATATGACCGGTACGTTGATTTCTATTAATTTTTTGCCTGTAATGCCTGAAATGATGAACAACATGACGTTATACCCAGCTCACTCAGATGCACAAGTTGCACATGCTGCGAACGCGTATCTACTCCTGATCATTCTTCTTTTCATTGATATATTTGAGAGCATTTGGTGAATTTTCCTAATTTTGTGAATAGTGGTGTTGTTACCGATATCAACCGCAACGTCGCTTCTACATTGAAACTTTGCGGACCAGCTATTTTGGCCCAACCAAACTTTGCTGAGGCCATCAAGAACGTCATCTTCGCTGTCATTAACCGTGTCCACCCCTGTCAACAGGACCTCGGTGATGAGCTTGAATCACCTGATGAGGATGATGCCGAGTCGTCCGAATATGACTGGCTCGTCATTGACACCGCTCTTGACCTCACCTCAAACCTCGCTCTTGCCCTTGGTGCTCAGTTCGCCGAAATCTTCAAGGAGTTTGAGAAGCCTCTGAAGAAGTTCGCCTCCTCCAACACTCCATTTGAGCGATCCACCGCAATCGGTGTCATTGCCGAGCTTACCGGCCACATGGGTTCAGCCATCACTCCATTCACTGCATCTCTCTTGCCAGTCCTCCTTAAACGTCTTTCCGATACCGACCCTGAAGCAAAGTCTAACGCTGCATATGGTGTAGGTCTCTTGATCTTCCACTCCCAAGACAGCGCTACCTACCTCCCATCATATAACAACATTCTTAGTAAGCTCGAGCCACTCCTCCAAACCAACCATGCCCGCTCCATCGACAATGCTTGCGGATGTGTTTCTCGTATGATCATGGCTCACCAAGATGCTGTTCCTCTTGACGATATCCTCCCAGTCATGGCTGGATTGTTACCACTCAAAGAAGACTATGAGGAGAACGAGCCTATTTTTGAAATGATTACTGGACTTTACAGCCAGAGCAACCAAACAATCTTGCAGCTTACTCCAAAGTTGATTCCTGTGTTTGCAGCGGTCCTTGGCGAGCCAGTTGATCAATTGGAAGTCGAGACTAGAGAAAAGGTCAAGGGCGTTGTTAAGTTCATTGGCGGAAGCCACCCAGAGTTGCTGAACGGTCACCCATCATTACAAAACTTGTAATGGGCTATTTAGGGAGTTTCTTTAGTAATGGTTTGGGTGGGCTGGATTTCTGGTTGACGAATGCGTTTGTGTCGATATGCGTACGATACTATATAGTTGATCCGAATGAATTTCTGGATGGATAGATCGACGGTTGTGAAGAGATATTAAGGGAAGGAGATAAATGGTTTTTATAAGTTATGACATGATGAACATACCCCCAATGCACGAATTGAAGAATGAAAGATGGATAGATAAATAAATATATTAGTGGTAAACAGAAATGATAATTTTTGTTTTGTTTTTTCTAATTTTGCGCGATTAACATTTTTTTATTGGGCCATATGTTCTTTTGTTTCGTCAACCCCTACAAGGGTTGAAATTATAATGTTTGATTAATAAGATATTTATTAAGATCTTATAATAATCAGATTAAATAAACAATATTTAAAATTATTATATATCTATAAGTTCAAAATAAGAAATTGTTAAAATAAATTTTTTTTTAAAAAATCAGAAATTCATTTTAGATAAATTAATAATAAATACTGGTAAAATTTATAAAGTGATTAGTATTTCAAAATCTTGATTTTTTTTGCATTTGTATTTTCTGTGCCGTCTTTTACTTTACAAACACTCTAACTTCAGAGATTTATCGCGAACGTGGTTGCTCTGATATATATATCCTTCAATCTGTCTGTATCCATCCGCCTTCGCCCTTCATCGCGGTGCTTTTGGTGGAAGAAATCAAAAATTACCATTCTTCTAATGCTGGGCCGTAGTCGGGGTCGAAACACAAATATTTTGTATCACCACTGTACGACGATTGAGCGAGGTTCTTTGATAATACAAGAGGAGGCTATGTTTATTCATCGGGAGCTTTTTATGGAGAGATTGAGGCTCATGCTTGGTTTTGATGTTGTGGATCGTGAATGATATTCATGTGCGGGCCTAGGGGCTTTCCTGAAGAAATGGGACATTGAATTAGTCATGGCTTAAGTGAACGTAGTTATCAAGTTGAGTATTGATAAAAATTTGAAAGCTTTATATATTATGTTTCTTCCGATGAAGAACTCCAAACCTTCCAAATCTTTTTAACATCTTGAAACATGCACTTTCCACCTCCAATTTACAAGGGCTTACTTCCTCTAAGACTCTGTTCTCCTAAATTCCTTAAAGAGGCTTTTCGAAACGACGCAGGAGGGACACAGCTGCTGATGTTGTCTACCCGTTTGATCCTACGTACCACGATAATTTAGTACGAGCTGCACTTCGAGGCTCTCGGCCTTGTTCATGAAGGACGCGGCACGAAATTTTCTTGCAGCAGATTATTGGGGTCGAATGGAGAGTCTTATAAATATATCGGAACGGCATGAGGTCGAGTGGCCTATTTCTATTTCTATTTCTTTTCTCGGTTCCTTGGATCAGTTATTTCGAGTATAATTTTCATCCTTTGCGATATTTCTCGATAACTATTCGATAAAAATGTTGTCTTGCTATTGGAATCTACTTTTGTTCCTGGCCTGTCTTGGAGCCGTCACAGCTTCTTATAGCAGTGATGCTAGTATTACCCATGGTCAGCGAGATTTTCTCTTTCGGGCAGACAACAAGCTTGGGAGCTATTACTGTCCGTTCTGAGGAGCAGAAACGAGGCTTGCCTAATTTCAAACCAAATTTTGAGTGTTCTCATCACTACGCTAATTGTGAGTTATTTCCTTCTAATCTTGCTTCTTGGTTCAGTCAAAGGAGCTCTTCAGTACTTATCGGATTCACGAACGCCAAAGCGATACTCATCGCTTTTTTTACCATGAAACAAGTTACTAACGAAGCATAGATGATTCCATACTTCGAGGAGCACATTCGAGGTTTGCAACTACGTCGATGAGATATAGACTACCTGCAGTTATTCTAGAAGATATTGAGCTCCATGTTAGAAATATCATGTGTTCAGAGTCCACCATTATGATCGACTTTCCTTCTTCAAATTTATTGACTGAGGCAGAGATGGCATGGAAAGACCTGTCACAGTTCCTGGTTATCTCTTCACATGCTGGCTGTAACGGCGAGGGTGCTCGAGCTCCGTATCTGTAAGGAACCCGTCATCATGAGGATGTTTTCGTTCTTACTGATAAATGCAATAGAGTATTGAACGTTGATTATATTTCCAAGTTCCATTCTGCGGTCTTATCTGCCAAACGCATTGAATGGAGCAATACCTATGATAAGATGGAAGTGAAATTCGGCATGGGTCTTTATGAAAGCAGTTCGCTCCGCGTACATGGTGATTTGAGCAAACGAACAACCACAATAGTCTCAGTGACATCTTCTGAAACTGTCTCTTTTTCATCAACTTCCTCCGCAACACCAACTGCAAGTACATCAGTCCATGATATTAGCTATTCGGTACCTGCGGATTTTGATCTCGGGAATTTCTCCGTTGCGTATGTACCGACTCCATAGCCAAACTGTAGAATCATCGTGGCTAATGGCCATCGACAGAACTGCGGGAGCAAATGAAACCTCATCAATTAAATGTGCCAAATGTTCCATCGAAAGCTCGATTGAATTGACGCAAGGCGTTTTCACCATTAGTGACTCCTCACTTGATATCGAGAAAGCAACCAACTTCCTTGAATATGGTTACTTTGACGCGGTAGTCAATGGATTAGGCGCTCATATCGAGATTGACGCTGCAATTTCTGGAACTTTTAGCGAAATCTTTCAATATGAGTCTTGTCACTTTGACGCTACCGGGTTTTCAGGTATGTAAATGCACTTACCTGACATTTCCCCAACGGGTTTCTTAATGAGACAAATGCGAAACGAACGACCTGACGTAATCCTAGATCCCTGAAATTGCCGCCATAGGTCCGATGTGGATTCCTACCATCCGCGGCGCCATCAACGTCTCCACAAACTTAGAATTCACCTACGGCTTTGAAGTCGCCGTCCCAGACGACTCCTCTATACGACTCAACATCGGAAACCTCAGCGACTTCCACCTCCCACGGTTTCAACAACACATCCATCTCCACACTCCCCCTAACAGCAACCGATTCCTCCCTAGCCCTAACTCTCTCCCTCACCCTCCACTCCGAAATCCTCCTCAGCGTCGATATCCTCTCAGGAAGAGGCATTCTAGCCGCAGGAGCCTTCCTCGATCTCCCCGCCCTCTCAGTATCCATCACTGAACTCTCATCCGTAGACAAAAACTGCAATCCCGCACAAAACACCTCTCTCAGCCCCTCCCAGAACCTCAACTCCAAAGATATTTTCCCCTCGCTCATAAACATCGTCCCCAAAGCCGAAATAGCACTGGGTCTCGAGACCAGCGCTCAGTTAGCAGTCCCCGAAATTAATTTCGTGGAAAATGTAGGAACGACGGCTACGCTTGCTGGAACGGCATTGCTGCTTCCGACTGCGTGTTGAGTTTCGATAGTAAGATGAAGGCCTTTGTTAGTCCGACGGCTATGGGTACAGTTACGACAGGAAGTTCGTCGGCTGATTCGAAAAAATCGGCTAGTGCTGGAGTTCAACTTTCCGCGCCTTTGGCGTTGGCCGGAAATATCGGCTCGTTGTATTGGACTGTGGGGATGATGGTGGGTGTGATTTTTGTAGCGCTTGGTTTGTGACGAATGAGTTAATGAATTTTCATGGATTTTGGTGGTGGGATTCCAGCTTTTCTTTTGATTTAAAGGTCGATTGATATGGTGGATTCATGTTTTTCTATCTTCCTTATTTTTATCATATTTTCATTTTTTTCTCTTCCATTTTGTATTGGTAGAGGCTGTTTTGGTCAATAATAATCAACGTTACTTTATGACACCCATTCAATGGACTGCTGCCATACTCAACAAACATAGATTATGCAGTTGTGGTATCTGGTGGAAATCTGCCATACCGATATTCTGTACATAAATAAATTAAATCTCGTCATCTCGCGCTGAAAGAAGCAAATCCGCCTCTGCCATCAACCACGACTTGAGTGTACCTGCAATTTTGCCTTCAAGGCCTTGTTGGTATATCGACAATCTCGAATATCATCGAAGGTACAAATCTCGAAAAATTATCCGCTGCGATGTCACCGCTGGTGGACCATTCTTTTTCCGCCCATACTCTCTAATCGCGTTGATACATTTCAAGCCAAGGGCGGCTCGGTGTATCGCTAGGAGACACGCTGCACCTGCTCCATTCTTTGGATCAAGTATCACTATGAAAGGTTCTGCTAATAAACCAGCACTGGGATCGATAAACGTGAAAGGGTTTATATCGAATCTGTTTCCAGATCAAGTAGGAACCCTGGCTAATCTCAATGCCATAAAGACCCTCTGAATTCAAGCCTTTGCCCAGCTGTGGCATTCGCTGGGCCTATCACTGTCGCTGTCTATGGAACGAATCCATTAACACCTTCGAGCACGACTACTCCTGTGCAAAGTACTACTCCTTCCTCTTCACCCATTCCAACGGTTGATGGCCCCACTAATGGGCAAGTATACTGCTTCACGAGCATAATGATGGCACTTACGTGCCATTTAACATCACTGGCGAGCAAGCAGTCCTAGTTTCCACTTATAATCAGGGAAAAACTATTTCACCTGGTGGTACACCATATAAATATGTGTACACAGACCCAACGGGTGTTAATATTATCGCACAATTGAATTGGGCCGCTGATCAAGCTGGATGCAGTCCTGAGGGTGCTGAGCATTGAAATCCAACGATTGTATTGTGAGAAAGTTGGAATTATAGGCCAAATACATAGAGGTTTTTAACTGGTCAATCATATGACCTCCTGTAGTTAGATATACAAGGAGAGCTTTTGCCTCTTCTTTCCACAATAATCAACCTTCTACATATATACATTTGAACCTATATAGCATCAACCCCAAAACCATTGTGAACCCCGTTTTCTTTATAAGTGACATATTACAATGTAATCTAATTCAGCTTTCTCTTCCAATTCCCTCCTCACAGCGTGCTATCGGGACGCACGTATCTCGACCTACCACTTTTACAGTATCACTCATCTCGATTATAATCCGTTACGCTGCGACGGAAACAGCATCGATGATAATTACGGCGGTGCTTACGTCTGGAATGGGCCCTTTGGATGTATTGAATATATGCTTTATGCGGTTGATAGTGGATCAGGAAGCAGTACTTGCAGCTGTTCTGAGGATGGATGCACCCCAGATATAGTCCGGCATGTTCTGCTGATGGGACTTGTGATAGTACACGGAAGTCTGCAGCGCCGAGCTCCGCAGCTTTTATTGTTGGAAGAGCCATCTCGGGAATTGGCGTCTTTAATGGAGCTGTAAGTAGACATAACTTTGTCATTTTCCGCCAGCCTCAGCTATTGAAATATGTCCTTAAATTATTTGTATTATTCACGCAGTGCCACTACAAAAGCGCCACAGGTTGTCGGGCCTGTTTCGACGCCATCTTTAGAGTTGCACCAGTAGTGGGTCCTCTAGTAAGGGAGCCTTAACCTCGAAAGTGACCTGGAGATGGTGTTTTATATCAATGCTCCCGTTGGTGGTGTAGCAGTTGTCATCATGCACTCTGCCTCAACGTTCCTGACCAAGATAACACCAAGCTAGCTTTGATAGATAAACTTTCGCCCCTGGATGTCATTGGCAACATGGTCCTAATACCTGGAGTAGTTTGTCTTCTTTTAGCTCTCCAATGGGGAGACCAGACGTATGCTGTGATTGAGCGGTATCCTCTTTTGCGTTTCCTTATTTATTGACCATCAGTAGTGGGAAAATGGACGAGTTATAGCTTTGCTAGTTCTCATGGCCGTAGGTTTGTGGCTTTTATTGCCGTTCAAATACTACTTCCAAACACGGCCACGATACCTCCGCGTATTGCTAATCAGTAGAGTATTATTGCTGGCTTCTTGGCAACTATCTTCACAGGCTCTTCGCAATATGTGTGTAGTAAAAAGTCACTAGTACTGTATTATCTTAGAAGCTAACCTTTCGTGTAGTATACTTCCTACCAATTTGGTTTCAAGCCATAGGTGGAGTCTTTGCAGTAGACTCTGGCACCCGGTTGCTGCATTTGATGTTAGCAACAGTGCTTGCGACGATTCTTGCAGGAGTTGCAATTCAAAAGATTGGCTATTATACACCGATCGCAATCGCTGGTTCTTGCATCATGTGCGTTGGGGCTGGACTTCTTATGACGCTGCAAATTGACACAGGTGAGGGAAATGGATCGGTTATCAAATCCTATACGGCTTTAGCACGGGCATGGGTCCTCAGGCACCAAATATTGCTGCTCAGACCGTCCTTTCGACACAAAATGTCTCACTTCGAGTAGCGCTCATGTTCTTCGGCCAACTCATGGGCGCAGCTGTACTCGTTTCCGCTGGACAGAACGTGCCAGGCACGCAACTTGTACAGAGATTTCCCTGGGTTCGAGCCTAGTCCTATCACCTCGAGTGGCGCCACATCATTTCTTAGCTCGCTTCCTGAGAATCTACAGGAGACTGGCCTTGTAGAGTATAATGAAGCATTGTGAAAGGTGTTTCAGATTGGACTATTATTGTCCTGCCTTACAGCTCTTTGCACATTGCTATGCTGGAAGGAAAGAGTGTAATCAAGAGGCCTAATGCAGTCGCCGATGACATCCATAACACCAGCAACGTTGGAGAGAAGGTGGCTGATACAGATGAAAGTGCTGCATCAGATCCTAGGCTGGCGGCATAGAACCGTAAGAAATTCTGGATGTATAACATTAGCGAAAGAGTTGGCGTTCTAGACTGTCTTATAGGATTCCATCGGGATTTCAACGATCAATTGAAACATGTCTGATCAAAACGTTAAATACAGGGCTTGAAGTGAGAGTGTTTGCAAAATCTGTTTCTAATAAGAACGTGAACTCTCCGAAATGGCAAAGGAGAAATTGACACAATGTAGGACGGCAACGACTTTATGCAGCGGCATCAGACAAATTGCAGATTCAAGAAATTAGAGTTGCGAATGTGGGTTGAATATCTCCCTGACAAATCAACTTATTGCAATCGAGATCATTCGTAACTTTACTTAAAGTATTAATCAAGTCTTATCGATCAAGTCTCTGGAGATCGTGCACATACCTACAGCGCTTGAAACAAGTTGAAAGAGAGATCAAGTACACTTCCAGGTCTCAATCATCCGGCCAGCTTCCCGCAAATCGAAGGAGATTATGGAAATTCCTTCAAAGTAAGAATGGTCGTGAGATTGCCGCGCACCTTGCAAAAGAGCTTCATCATCTGCATGCATTGACTGGAGACCCGCTTCTCGTTTTCGCATACTGAGTCCCCAATGCCCAACAAAGTATTTGCCCTCACGATCCCTACGATCTTATCAAACCACGCCATCCATGGTGGGTTCACGATGCCCACTTGAATGCCTCACTGGAATAAAATTCCCCACACGTTCTGTGAACAACGCCATGAACCAAGCAAAGCAAACTCAGGATCGACCAACCAGCTGTTACTCGAAGGAATGCAACAGCAGCGGCTCGGTGGCAAGATCACGAGAATTCCAGCCTCGGTAATGCATGTTGTGTGGGTGACCATGAATGTGGAGGTGGCATACATGGATTTATTCGAGATGCATGAAATTTATGGAGAAAAGATACATTTTCCCTCGACAATCGTATTGACGACACTTATTCCTGTTTTGCCCGCTTCCCAACAAAAATTTTGGAAGAAATATTCATGCTTTGTTTAGGCCCACCACTAGGCAAAAACCGGGTTGTGGCCCGGGTGTTCGTGCCATGTCAGGTTGAATCTTCAATTCTAATATTTTGATTGGTTGAAAATGATTTGAACTTCCGAGCACAACACTGGCAATGAATGAATACCTCCTACCCGGTAGTTCCGTGGTGTGGTGATTCGTGAATTATAAAGTGTTTGTGATATTTCCTGTGAAGACGAGACAGTGTACTGAGCTTCAAGGAATCAAGGTAGAAGGGAGCATAAAGAAATGGCTTTAATACCGGGTATCTATTATCCATCAATCAAACTATTCATCAATTATTCACAAAGTCCCCTATTAAGAAAAGATCGAAACTCATCAACCACGCTTAGAAGGATTTCCATTTTGGGTATTAACGATAATGCAGGTCCCCCAAAAATAAACTCTTTGGTGCCCCCTCCATCCCCTGCCAACCTGAGCTCTTGGACGTTATTTTAGGGGTCCAATAAAGGTTTCATATGTGATATATGCCCTGCGTAGGGTACGAGACTAGGTGGAATGGGATGGGAGGGAGCCAATCTCAATTTTGTAATTGAATTCATTGCGCGGTTGAGACATTTCAGACATCCCCTATAAAACACATTCAGAATAGAACGTAACGTATTGTCAGGATTACAAGTATTCTTTACTTCTTAGCGGAAAGCCAAAATAATAACTTTTACCTTTTCGTCTTCCTCATTTATCCGGTGATGTTGAACTGACTGATGGATGTTGTATGTTGTTGGAATGGAAGGGTGATTCCTGGAAATGCACCTACGCTCGGTTAACCGCCCAATAAAACTCGTGTTACGACCAAATCTGTTGGGACGTTGAGGATCTTGATATCATTCACAGCCTGTCAGTTGCGATGATAGTAATACATCCACCTGTACTCCAAACTCATAACTCATAGCTCATAACTCAATACTCAATTCATCTTGACTGTAAGTGGGAGCATGATGGGATATTTACATCGGATCCTAGGTACGATTCTCACCAAAATTCAATATTTATCTCCGTAGATTAGATAGAATGGTCTTTAAATTCTTCGATCCACCTGAGCATCAGCGCTTGATCAAAGCAGACTAAAACCAAAGCCCAACCCCGAACCAAACCCAATTTAAAGACGTTTCTCTTTCTTTTCCACCACCCTATTAATAAACGCTTCAGTCCTGCTTTGGTTTCAAAGTGGCGAATTCAAGAGTGAAGATTTGCAAGCTTAGAGGGGAAGCTTCTACGCGTTCTTGCTCGCTTTCTTACTAGCTCTTGCCTAGGGCCTCCCACCAAAAAATATTCGAAAAATCTCCCATTCCCTCCCTTCCTTACCTTGTTTGATCACCCAACTGGAGTTACCCCATTCATCATTCATCCAGTCCGTCCCTTGTACTTCCTTGCCAATACGCTTCCGTTCCCCACCCTATCCCTACAATCCTTGTTCGGAAAGTGCAATTACTATTAGTTAGTACATTTCCAAACAGGCCAATCTACTTATAAGTGCATTCTTCCTCCACATCCAATCTTTTCTCTTCTTCCCTCACGCTTTCTTCCTACACATCGACATTCTCTCAAGATGGCTTCCCCTGCGTCACAACCTTCGGGCATGGCGAAGACCACCGAGCCAAATCGTAATAAGAAGTACGACCCAAAGAAACCTCACATCACCGAAGAACCTATCACCAGGGCAAATTGGTACAAACATGTTAACTGGCTTAACATCACTCTCATCGTGGGAGTTCCTATCTATGGTCTCATCATGGCCTACTGGACTCCGCTACAGTGGAAGACAGCTGTCTGGGCAGTCATCTACTATTTCATGACCGGTTTGGGTATTACAGCTGGTAAGTCTTCAACTTATTACTTTGCAATGATATCGTCTAATCCTCTTCTCCTTCCAGGTTACCACAGACTTTGGGCACATTCCTCATACTCTGCCACTCTCCCATTAAAGATTTTCCTCGCAGCCGTTGGAGGTGGAGCCGTCGAAGGTTCCATCAGATGGTGGTCCAGAGATCACAGAGCCCATCACAGATATACCGATACCGACAAGGATCCATATTCCGTTCGAAAAGGTCTCCTATACTCTCACTTCGGATGGATGATCATGAAACAAAACCCAAAGCGTATTGGCCGTACCGATATCTCCGATTTGAATGATGATCCAGTCGTCGTTTGGCAACACCGCAACTACATCAAGACTGTTATCTTTATGGGTATGGTCTTCCCTTGTCTCGTCACTGGTCTCGGTTGGGGTGACTGGTTTGGTGGCTTCATCTACGCCGGTATCCTCAGAATTTTCTTTGTTCAACAAGCTACTTTCTGTGTCAACTCCTTGGCTCATTGGCTCGGTGACCAACCTTTTGATGACCGTAACTCTCCTCGTGATCACGTCATCACAGCTCTCGTCACTCTTGGAGAAGGTTACCACAACTTCCATCACGAGTTCCCCTCCGATTACCGTAATGCTATTGAATGGCATCAATATGACCCAACCAAGTGGTCTATCTGGTTGTGGAAGCAACTCGGTCTCGCATATGACCTCAAACAATTCAAGTCCAATGAAATCGAGAAGGGTCGTCTCCAACAACTCCAAAAGAAGCTCGACCAAAAGAGACAAACTCTTGACTGGGGTGTTCCTCTTGAACAATTGCCAATCATCGACTGGGATACTTATCAAACTGAAGCCAAGAATGGACGTGCTCTTGTTGCCGTGGCCGGTGTTATTCACGATATTACCGATTTCGTAAAGGAACATCCAGGTGGAAAGGCTCTTATCACATCCGGTATTGGCAAAGATGCAACCGCTATCTTCAATGGTGGTGTCTACAATCACTCTAATGCCGCCCACAACCTTCTTTCAACTATGCGTGTCGGTGTTCTACGTGGTGGATGCGAGGTTGAGATTTGGAAGCGTGCTCAACGTGAAAACAAGGATATTTCTTTCGTCAGCGATACAGCAGGTCAAAAGATTATCCGAGCTGGTAGTCAGGTTACCCGCATTGCGGAACCTGTCCCATCGGCTGATGCTGCATAAGCATTTTCATTAATGAGTAGATGGTTAGACTACCTCGAATGGCAAATCAAAAATTGCATCTTTGTTTTTATGAGCGTGGGTTTGTGTGTCTGTATAGACCGGGGCGTTGGGAAATTGGTCAAAGGATGACTTTATTAAAGCCAAGGAATGGTAGGATGGATCAATCATTGCAATACGCACCACAATAAAGAGTGTTGATTATGTATTTTAGAGAAAGAATGAGTGAAAAAAGCCAAATTTCGCAAAGGTTGATGCTTCTTACATATTTGAGCCGACTAGCAATTGAACACATCATTTTCGCTCCATCTTTATGTTATTTCTGCTGTGATGTTAAGTATAGGTTTCTGCATGCATCCAATATCATTTTCAGTTCTGAAGTTATCATGAAGCTCCATCCGATCTTGTATTCGACAAATAGAACGGGCTATTGTAAAACTATCTGGTACTCGAGTCATTAGAGAATAAATATAAAGGAGTATTTCAAAGAGGGGGGTTATTTTTCCTTCAAGTTAAAATCATCTTTTATTGTTATCTATTTTCCTCTATTGTTTTTTATTCTTGTTTTTTGAAAAAAAAAAAAAAAAAAAATTAGAATATGGAGGAGAAGAGAAATACTCGAGTAGAATTATAAATTATAGTTTGATTATTTATCAAGGTTAATTGAATAGATAACCTTGGATTTTATTTCTTTTTATGAATTTATGATCTATGTCGAGTATGTTGAGTAAGATTTGAGTAAGATGTGATGTGATGTGTGTGATGTGTGGATTTGTGGATGTGTATGTGTGGATGTGTGTGTAATATGCCGAGGTTCATTTCTATTGACCCCCTGATATGTACATAACTCGGTACATAACATCGATGTCATTGAAGGAAGTAAGTAAGTAAGTAAGTAAGTACTCTTATCTAGATATCTACTAGTACTATTTACTTATATTTTACCGGTCCCTATCCAAGATCTTATCTATTTATATATACTATACTATACTATACTCGAGTCATCTGATTCAGCTCATGGAGTTAACTTGGTATAGATAGATAGATAGATAGATAGATAGATTTACAGAGTACTTCTATCTCTCTCTTTACATTGAGACGGGTTACTTGTGTCAATCTATCAGTTAATCAATCAATCGGTTTTGTGATTTAGCCTAGGTATCTACGGTTAGACGGTAGAAAAGAGGAAAGAGAAAAAGAAAGAGGAAGCAAGGAAAGGAGCAAGAATGTCCTCATCTTTCAACGCAAAAACAGATGTAGGACTTAAACGGTTGGGTTTTCTTATAAAGGGCTGGAAGGATAGTAAGGGGTTATGTTGTAAGATCTTTTGTTTGTTTTTTTCCTTTTCTCTTTCCTTCGCTCCTAAGGTCGTCTAAATTTCTTGATATCATTGGAAATCATTGCATCCCCTCTCTTGGGACTCTGTCTCTATCTCCGGGGCCAAAGATTACGATGAATATACGATGAGGATTGAAAGAGGGAAGAGGCAAAGATGATATAAATATGGAACTGAGCTAATCGGGTTGACTCCGTATAGGGATGGGGTCATGGTCTCTTACCCTCTCTTTCGCTTGCAGTGGATGAGACGCTTCATACGGAGAATATTACTACGTTTGTTTTTAAACCGACGGTGCATCATTGGTTTGTTGTTATATTTTATTTTCTCGTTATTATATCCCTTTCCTTTCCTTTCGTTTCCTCTCATATTTAATTCTCTTCATCACACGAGCCCCTTTATTCCTCTCTACCTCAACCCAATCCCCTTCTTCCCCTTAACCCCCTAAAAAAACAAACCCCACTAACTCCACCAACCCACTAGCAACGGAATGGGCACCGTCCACGGTGGTTGCATCTCCACCGTCTTCGACGTCTGCACATCTGTAGCCCTAATGGGAAGATACAGTGATGCTAATTGGGGCGGAGGAGGTGTAAGTCGTGGATTGAACGTTACGTATTTGAAAGGGATTATTGTTAAAGATGAGACAGGAGAAGGAGAGAGTGAAAATGATGTATTGGTTGAGTGTGAAGTTGTAGGTGGAGTGGGGAAGAGAAATGTGGTTTTGAGGGGTGAGTTGATGTTTAAGTTTTTGTTTTGGGGAGATGGAGGAAGGTGGTTTGTTCTTTTGTCTTGTTTTTTTTCTCTGGTCGATTTCTTGTTTTATCGTTTGTGTATCTTGTTGCATATAGCTTGGCTAATCCTCATAATACCCCTTTCACATACCGATCATCCTCCTCATCATCCTCATCCTCCTCATCATCATCATCATCATCTCACTATCCCTCATATCATTCTCTCCTAACCACAACCACAACACCAAAACCAAAACCAAACAAAGAAAAGAAACAAATGAACTAACCACCCACACTTCACTTCAGGAACAATGAAACGACGCAATGGACAAGTATTAGCTATATGTGAACATAGCAAGGTTAATATCGTGAGGGTAGAGTTACCAGGTGAGAAGAAGGGATTGAGGGGAGAGAAGAAGGAAAAGGAGGCGAAGTTGTGAGTGTCATGTGGTTTTGTGATGTGTGTGATGGGAGATTTAGAGTTAGAGGGGACGGGTGGGAAGGGTGGGGAGGGGCAGAGAGGGGAGGATAGATGGAATGGGTGAGCGGGCGGAAAGATAAATATGATGAGGGGGATGTGTAGATGGGTATTATAAAGAAGATATATAGAAAAAAAAAGAGTGAGAAAGAGATAACCGGGTTATATTTATTATATATTAAAAATAGAATATAATATATATTTATAATACAAAATATAAAAACAATATCAAATATTATAATGTAAATCATTTATTTATTTATAAATAAATAAAACAAAATAAAAATAAAACTATAAATTCTTATAAATAAATATATTTTTAAATTAAATAAAATTTTAAATAACTAATTAAAATAAATATAATATATATATCTATAATATATATATATATATATATCTATAAATACAAAGTAATAATAATAAATAAATAAAATAAAATAAAATCCAAAACAATAATTATAAATTTATCAATCTCAAATACTTTTCTTTTTTTTCTCCTCTTCTCCCTCTCCTTCTTTTATCTCCTCATCCTCTCATCCTCCCTCATTCCCTCCTTATCCATCACCTCCATTCCATATTTCATCCATCTCCTTCTCACCCTTCCTCTTTCCTCTTCCTCATTTCTCTCTCCATTCCATTTCTCCTTCCCCTCCTCATTTCCATCCATTCTTTCATCCATTTCTCTCCATTCCATCTCCATTTTCATTCCATTTTCATTCTCATTTCATTCCATTCCATTCCTCATTTCTCATTTCCATTTTCATTTTCCATTCTTCCATTTCCTCTTCCTTCCATTCTTCCTTTCCCCTCTTTCCTTTCCTCCTCCTCTCATTTTTTTTTCTCCATCTCCTCCTCACCTCATCCTCCATTTCATTTCATCTCTTCCATCCCTTCCATCTTTCCATCTTCTCCACCCTTCACCCCACCATCCATCCATCTTCTCCTATCTTCTCCATTTCACCATCTTCCTCTCCCTCTCCTCTCTCTCCTATCATCTTCTCTTTCTCCATCCCTCTCTCCTGCCATATCAAAAATTATCTAATCTAATCTAATAAAACTTACGAGTTACAATGAAAGATTTATATATAAATATTTGTGGACACATAAATATTTCTTCTCCAAGAACCTCTAACCTCTTAAACTCCCAACCTAACACTAACACCTCTAAACCGAGATATATATTTATTTCTCCAGCCATCTCCTCAAAGCATATACAGTAAACACTCATTCATTCTCATTCTCATTCTCTCACACACCACTCTCATTCCTTCAAAAAAATAACATATATTTAGTATCGTATTAACATATACATTTACATATACATAAACCACCTCAATCTTATTTCTCTTCCCCTTCTACTTCCCTTCATCCTCTCAGTCTTCGACACCATAACGTTCAAAGAACATTTCTTTTCTCCTCTCCTTTCCTTCCACCACTTCCTTCCACCACTTCCACCCTCACTCCACCCAATTCCCAGTTGCAAAAAAGCAGAACTGTATATGCATAATTAACAATTGAATAAAAGCCCATCAAATACAAATCTTGAAGAAGTTTCCCTACCTCCTTCCCGCCTACCAGATATGTATGTGATGATCATGCTCTCGAAAAAAAAAAGAGAACAAATACAAAAAAGAAAAGTATTTGTATGTAATTCCACCCAGCCAAACCAAAACTCCTTGCTACCAGGTCCTATTTTATATGTCCATTACTCCTATCCTCGAGAGATACAAAGCAAACATTACCAACCTAGGATATGTTCGCCTAATTGTTCAATTCTGGAAACAATTTCTGGTAATGATGTTCACCCACTTCCAGAACCGTGATTTCATCTCCAACCTTTAAAGCACCAGTTTTAGTGGTTGGTACCAATTGCATACCAAGACAACCAAGATTTTGACCGGCTCCTTCATCAATAGCTCTAAAGCTTCGTAAGGTTTTATCTGGTTCGGATGGATGTCTAACTCCTGTTTCTTGATCGACATTGGGCATTTTACATCGTACTGTTCGGCAGGAAACGTCATATTCATAGAAACCAATCTTAATTCTTCGCCAATCATCTTCATGGTAAGCTGGAGGTCCGGTAACTGGAAAGTATTAGCATTAGAAATGGATAATCTGTAAAGTTTTGAGAATGACATACTGATTAAATTGGCACGGAATTGTCCTGCAGATAATCTAGGCGCCCCCTTTTCCTTTGGCATTTTACTTTCGACATCTCTGATGCTAGCAAGGTTGACAAGGTGAATAGGATACTAGAATGAATTAGCAAATAATCCACACATCAAGTCTTGAGGTTTCGAAAAATCTTACAGCGTCCTGAAATCCAGTAACTGGTTGAAACCCAAGTTTCTCCTTTGTAGGTGCATTTCTGAAAACTTCTCTAGGATTCGCGCTGTCGACTCTGAACAAACCCAACTTGTTGCTGATACCAAGGTAATATCTAAGTTCCTCTGGAATTTCAATCTCCACGTTCAAAGCATTAACACTTTCTTTCCAAATCGTCATTTTCTCAACAGTATAACCGGCTTTCTCAATTTGTACTGGCGATGGATCAAATGGCACACGGAATTGTTTTTCCGGAACTGTTCCCATAAATTTGGCACCCCAACTTGCGACGGTTCCTCTCCATCCAGGCTCTTGATATGGGAAGCTCATAATTATAACTCCTCCACTCTCAACATCATTAATATGAGGAGCATATGTATCCACACTTTGATCTGGAACCCACATCTCAGTCCTAACTTTTGCCAACAATGGAAATTGTCGTTGAGTGATGAATTCCCATTGGTGTGCGGCCTTTTTGTGATCTGGATCATTTTCGGAGAGGGGAAATGGACTTTTCAACTGTGCGAAAGTAAATTGACGATCATATTCCATTCCAGTTGCAATAACGGTTCCTCTACCCAATTCAACCCCTTTACAGCTCTTGACTGGATAAATCCACATGCTCTTTAATCTCCACCATTCTGCAGATGTTTCTTCCGTACTTGGAGGACGACCTTCGGAAAATTTGGGCTCGAATTCATTCGTAAGATTGCTATCGATCTTTAACCCGAGCTTTCTGCAACCCTTAGGTTCTTCGGCACGTTGTCGCGATTGCTCGAGTTCGTAGAAAGTCAAAAGGGCGAGAGGAGGTAAACAGATGGCCAAAATTGTGAAGACATATGTGGTCGTGGAGACCAATGACATTTGCCCGAGCAATTGATCCTTGTAAACTTCTAGTTGTTCCAAGGCAAGCTCGAGATATGGTTGAATGAGAGAAGACATAGTGAGTGAGTTGATTTGATTTGAGAAATAAAAACACAATTTCTGTGTTGTCTAAATTCTAGTGAATGTTAGCTTGCTGATATTAATTGCCTTTTATGACATGAAATGGATTGGTATTACCAGAAAATGTACATGGAAGATGCAGTTAAAGAGCGTAAGAAGAGAAGAAATGAAAGTTTAAAGAGTAAAGTCGGAGTAGAAGCAGTAGAAGAAGCAGCACCTCGTAATAGAAAAATAATTAACTTTCGAAAGAGGTTGAGTGAATTGAAATAAATTTGGGGAAAGAGGAGAGGAGGAGAGAGGAGAGAGGAGGAGAGAGGAGTGAGAGGTGTCGTTCGTTTGACTTTGAGGTCGGTAGCTCTCGCACCAGTCCGTCCTTTTTCTTTGGCAAGGCAAGTTAAGAAGAATCTTACTAGTGTTAACAAGTTCGGAACACAAGATCTTCCAAAATCAAATCAATTTAAGAATTAAGCACAAACTTTCTTTCGTTGGTTACTTAATAGTACGCACTCGTAGGAATAATGAAAATAGAAATAGAAATAGAAATAAAAATAAAAATAAAAATAATAAAATAAACTAAAATCAGAGAGCGTATCCGTACTTATCGTACGAATCCAGGTTAATATTGAATCTCGAGCTAAACCGAGTCGGATCCAGTTCCTTGCGGATAGACTTGGATCCAGCCTGACACACGTTTGACATTCGTAGTTGGCGGATGGAGAGAGAACTTGGATGGTGCGCGGTTGTTTCCTGTGCACAACGCAAACAAGGGGGTTTGGAGATGGATTTTTGAAGGTAATGAATGAATTACAGAGTAAGAATACAAGAGTGGTACTGTGGCACAGCGAGTCACACAACTTGTATACGGGTAAGGAGGGAGGATTTTAAGAATTCGGAAACATGTTGATAGCCGTGCAAATATAATAATTTGCCTAGGGTTTGCGTTGCCGTGATTCTCAGGTGGGGTTTGTTAAAGGGTGAGGAGATTACGAGTAAAGAGGGTTCGAGGGAGGGAGGATTGAATGGAGACTGAATGAGGTGAGGTTGTTGGATATTCTACAAATTAAAGAAAGGAGTCCGTCCCCAATTCAATTCAATTCAATTCAATTCAATTCAATTCAATTCAATTCTGGGTCCAAGGTATTTCAAACAGACCTTTCTGCATTGCATGCGAGGGGCAATTACTACAATTGACGAAAGGAGTTTCCGATGCGGTCAGTCAGTTAGTTGTCAACGAGATTCCTTCCAAGTTCTATCATCTATAGATTAAGTCTTTTAAAATGCACCACCAGGATCATTGAAGTGAAATTAGGAGATGAAAAAGTTAAATTCACAAAGCCAAGAGAATAAGAAGGGCCAAGAAGGTGATTGAGGGCGTTTCCACTTTTGGATCATCCATCTATAGATTATACGATGGGCTGTGCAAACAAGTTGGATTTATTTTATGGGTGAATGAATGATTGATTGATTGATTCATTGTGATTGAATGAGTACACGAACAATAATAACGCTGCCGACAAGTAGAAATCAATCAATCAATCGTTCAATCATTCAATCATTCAATCATTCAATCATTCATTCATTCATTCATTCATTCATTCATCCATTCATCCATTCATCCATCCATCCATTCATCCATTCATACATACATTCTACATTATTTTGGTGTACATGTATGTGCCATTGTTCCTTCGACTTTTAATCATCCTCTACATCTACAATATGAATTATTTGACGTTATGTCTTTCTCTCCTATCATCTCTCCCAATCTGATACTTCTCCACCCACGTACCTAAAGAAGTGAGGTCCTACTCCTCTTTGATGCATCTTCCAGGGTCTCGGCTACCTTCCCTCCCCTTCCTCTTCCAAGAAATTTCCAGATCTCTGGAGTCTGCAGGTATTAGTTTCACACTAGCGACCTTCTAGACGAATGTAACCCCTGTGAGATTTTCAGCAGAGTAGGGCTTTTAAAATCCAAGTTATTTTTACGCCTTCTTAATTTCCTTACGAATCATTGCGAGGAAAGATTGGGATCGATTTTATGAATGATTGATGTGAATGTGGAGTGAGTCTCTATGCACTCTGGAATGATGTGGCAGGCTCTCGTGAAGAGAGTACCCCAAGGAAAAGCATGAGATAGCTACGATTCTCATTGAGAAAGGATGAGGAATCCACGTCATGGAGCAATCAATATGGGTATAGATAGGGGTGTAGAAAAGTAGAAAAACCCACGAAATCAACTGAATCACTCCTCGGCAATTCAGCATTGATGTCAAAACTTAAAACGGGGATGATCATTCACGCCCCAGGACCCCTATTCCATACCAAGTTACGATTCAAGGATCCAATAAAATTCTAATTTATTTATTTATTTATTTATTTATTCATTCATTCATTCATCCTATCAATCACAAGCTTACAATCAAGCTCACAATCACCTCCGATAGCAGTCCCATTCCACACAACCACTCGAATCGCAAAACCCCTATCCTATCTATCCTCTATCCACACCAACCAAATCGAATAACCGGGGCCCAAGAACATAACCATCTAATATCTAATATCTAATATCTACAACGTACGTAGTCGAGTGAAATCTAACACCCAATATCTAACATCATATCCACCACCAGAAATAGGAGTACCCAATCTAGCACACTATGGTAGGTACGCTCTTCCATAGTACTGTACACCGGTACTAATAACTACTGACTACTATCTAATATCTAGCCCTAAAAGCCCCCTCCAGAACACTTCAGATCCGACATCCCATCCAAGCATACCATCATGCCAACGATTAGCAATGGAAAATGCCATTATTCCAAGTCTAATCTACCTAGTACATATCTACATATCTACATATCTACATATCTACATATCTATCATCTACAAGCAAGCCACATGCCCATTCATTATACATCAGCACATCACAAAGCATCGGGAAAAATCTACACTAATTACCTAGGTATCCATCCCGTCACTCACCACACCATCCTCGGTATTCAATCCAAATCCAATCCAAATCCAATCCCCGTTCTGTTTGCTTGTTTGTTAGTTTCTTCCCCGTTCCCGTTCCCCTCCAGCGGGCGGCTATCAAATAAAATGTCCGTTTCCTCTTCCAATTATTCCTTCTTCTATCTTCCATCATTCCACCTTCCATGATTCTATAACTCCCATTCTTCCCCACCTCGTACTTCGTACTTCGTTCTTCTTTCTCGAAATCTCGTACTAGTAGTCTATCCTGCCTTATCGCATATCGCATATCGTACATTGCATATCGCATATCCATACATACACATCCATCCCACAAAACCCGGCACACGTAACTTCTCGTAAAAGAATCCAAAAAATCCAAAATTCCCAAATTCCCAAATTCCAAGATTCCGAGATTCCTCACGCGCCAAGTAAACTAAAGTAAAGTCGCAAACTCAAAGTCAGCAAACCGAGTCCGAGTCCAAGTCCAAGTCCAAGTCCAGCACGAGATAGAGCGAGTCCGAGGCTCAAAAAAGCAAAAGCAAAAGCAGAATTTCCGAACTATCCGAGTTAGAAAGAAAAAGAATGTAAAATTTAAATAAAATTCTATTTTCCGAGTTTGTTGTTTTGTTATATTATATTATATCCCATCATGCTATCAATAACCTAAGATCTTAGTATCTTACAGGCTCATCCTTTGATAACCTGTACCTACCTACCTTCCCCTCCTCATCCTTTCCTCTCAACCCAAACCAACCTAACTCAACCTCCCCAATCTTACCCAAAGAATATCCATCCATACCCATTTTCACTCATCTGTATATATCTACACAAATACAAATACAAATACAAATATAAGCAAAAACAACAACAACAACAACAACAATATAATCCCCCAATCCTCCCCCCAAAAACCCCATAGCTAGTCCTCCCTCGCATTCGTACTCCATACTCGTAAATACACCATGTATATAACCTACATCTTATATATACCAATTCTCTCTTTATTATTACGCATCTCATACAGCACTCTATGCATCCATCCATCTACACATCCATCCATCTACACATCCATCCATCCATCCACCCACCCACCCATCCATTCATCAAATAGATTCATAGATTCATAGATTCATAGGTTCATTCATAGACAGATTCCTAGCGCCCATCACCTCAACTGTATCACTTCACTTCAAATCTGCGGAAAGTATACATACACATATAATATATACATACACATATAATATATCCATATATATATATATATATATATATATACATGCTCTACTACAAGTAGAAAGATGAGATATATCTTCCCTACCTACATAGCTACCTACCTAGCTAGCCAGTCTATCTAACCTAACCTAATCTAATCTATTCTATTCTACTAATGGAAAGATGTACATACATACATACAAAGCGATTGAGATTAGATTATTTGAGTTACCGTCCTATTGCTACCTACCTACCTAACTATAGTATTGCATACTAGCATACTTACACCATAAAAAATATATCACAAAGTGGAATATTGCGGGGTAGGAATGACCAAATGAGTAAGAGGTAATAAGAAATCCTATAGGCCAAGACAGACCCTATGAATCAAGCTTGGAAGAGGTCAAAAACTCAAATGAAGATGTATTTTCGTAATCATACATCCTAAACATCATCATTCCAAAATATATCTACACAAAATTTATATCTGTAGATTCATACTCATTCATCCAGTCATTACTTCAAGATTTCCTTTTCCTTTCCTACTCCATTCCATCAGCCAAATGATGCCGCCTAATCCAAAGCCCCCAACCCCAAATACGCCTCGTCTGCAACACCAACGCCTTCATCCATTCATTCATCCATTCATCCATCCAACAGGAAACAAACAATCAAACCACCTGCCCATATAATCATTCACTCCAACCAAACACAAAGCGAATCAATTGAAATCTGCCGCCGTCAAACTTTGTACCACCGAAGTGCCCTCACTAAATCTAGTTCGGAAGATCCGATTGGCGTTTTGGAACATGCCATCTTTCAAACTGACAACAATGAATTGACTACCATGGAAACGAGTTTTGATCAAACGACCAATATTTTGCGTGTGTGATAGATCGAGAGCGGCATCCACTTCATCCAGGATGTAGATCGGTGCTGGGTTGAATTGTAATAGCGCCATAATGAGTGAAAGTGCAATGAGCGATCTAGTAATTGATTTGTTAGTAAACGTGGAAGTAGCAAAATGTGAAGATACCCATACCTTTGCCCACCACTTAATTCTGTCAAACTCTGTTTCCACACTTTGCCCAAAGACACCTTAACCTCTAATCCATCGGCTATAGTCTTTCCCTCAGGAGGATCTAACTTTGCAAAACTGCCAGGTAATAACTCGGCAAAGATCTGACCGAAGTTCTTGTTAACCTTTTGCCATGTCTCTTGTAAAGCCTTTTTCTTATACTCATCGAGACTGCCAATGGTTTCCTCAATCTTCTTCTTGTCCCTGATGACAGTTTTCATCATATTCTTGAGTGCTACTTCCTTCTTCTCGACACTATCAATCATGTTCATAACCTTAGGGTTGATCTTTTTCTTCATTCCCTGGAAGCGTTCGGTTAGATTCCTCAAAGTCGATTTACATTCTGCAATGTTTTGGCCCTTGAAATCATAAGGTGTTCCACTTCGACCAAAGTTGTCTTTCTCATCAGCAATCCATTCGTGCTCTTTCTCCATATGCGAGACTGTTTGAACGGCCGCTTGCTGCTCCTTGTGAAATTTCTCAATCTGATGACCTAGCTTTTGCATTTCTAGACCTTCTTCAGTGATGCGAGAAGCTTTTGATCGTGATGCTTGCTCAAGAGAATGCAATTCATCATCGAATCCTGTCAATTTAGCTCGTTCATCGTCGAGATGTGCCTGTGATATGTCATGCGAATCCTACGGCAAAATTAGTTTTGTACATGTGCCTATGAGATGATTACTGACCTTGACCCGGGCTTGCTCGGAAACTAGAGTTTCAATCTCCTCTTCCTGGGCTTTTAAGGTTTGCTCCACTTCTTGAAGCTGTTCTTGAGCATTTGAGAGATCACCACCGACCTGTTCCGAGTCCATCTGCGCACTTTGTAGTTCTTTGTGTAGTGCCCTGACAGCCGTCGAGCTTTTGGTAAGTGCTTTTCTCAGGGAATCAAGAGAGCTCTGCAATTCAACGAGCTTGCCATCTTTATTATTGTCAAATTCTTTCATATCTTTCTCAATACGTTTGATATCTTGACTAGCTTCATCCTGTCGTTTCTTTGCCTCGACTATATCTTGCTTGAGTTGAACAATGCTAGCCTTCATATTTTCGATTTCCTGGATAATGGATGACGACGAGTTACCTCCAATTTGCTCTTCCGTGAGCTTGACCTCGTGAGATTTAAGATCTAATTCTTGTTTGATCTTTCGTGCTTGGTCCATTTTCTTCTTCTCTTTGGCAATAGTGGCCTGAAGGTCTGCGAGCTCCATCTCTTGTGATTTCAGTTCCTTATTAAGTTCATTCAACTTCTGCATAGTGACTAGAACTCCGCTTGAGTTGGGAGAACTACCTCCAGATAGTGTACCAGAAGGATCATAAGAGTCACCTTCCAAGGTGATGCTCTTCATACGAACAGAAGGATCAAATGTTACACGCTTGGCTGTAGCGGCATCGGCGCATATCAGCGTATTTCCGAAAACGTAATCCATAGCAGTCGAAACTTCTTCATCATAACCTACCAAAGAGAGTGCAAGATCAACTTTGCCTGGGGCAAGTTTTTGTGCAGCACCAATCTTTTCTGCTGAAGCTCGAAAGGCGGCAATCTTGTTCAGGGGTATGATGGTGACTCGCTTCCTCAATTTTCCATTTTGAAGTAATTGGGTACCAGTTACTTCTGTGTCAACAACAACATTGTATAATCGACCACCAGCACAGATTTCAAGAGCCGTTCCTGCAGTTGTGTGGTGCTGATCGATTGTAAAGAGTTGAGCCACCAGACCCTTGACTTTCGACCTATCAAAATTTGGGGTAGGGTCTGCGTAATTGAAATCCACATTCGCTACTTTACGTTTCAAGCCATCGGACTGTTCTCGGATTCTTCGTATATTTTGCTGAATTGTCGATTCTTGCTTGTACATGTCATCCTCTTTGCCTGCTTCGAAGCCGAATTTTTGAAGCTCTTTTTCGAGCTTCTGCGCTTGGGATCGCAGCCCCTCGAGGTCACTCAATAGCCCGGCATTCTGCTCTTTAGCCTTTTTGGCCCTTGGCTCTTCTTCTTTAATTCGCTTCTCAAGATGATTGATCTTCAATTTGGCTTGTTCTTGCTCGGTAGATGCAGCACTCAATCTATTTCTTGCATCTTGTAATTGCCCTTGATATCCACTCTCTTGGCCTTCCTTAGACGCAACACCAGTTTGTAAAGTCTGTAAAAGCTCCTCTTTCGTCTCCGCTTCCGAATTTTGCTTCTCTAGATCCTCCTTGGCTTTGTCGTATTGGGATTGGAGTTTTTCGTAAACTTTAGTCTTCTGTTTGAGTAAAGATTCCATCTCCGAGACCGTCTTTTGAGTTGCCAACTTTCGTTCCTGCTCTTCTGTCATACTCGATTTCTTGAGATCCATGACTGTCGCAAGCCGGACCAATTCATGGGAATATTTCTTAACCTCCTCCTCTAAAGCTTGCGCTTTTCCGCCCTTCTTTAGTTCTTTTTCCCTCTGCGCCTTCACCCGTTTGATATCTTCTTCCAAAAATGATATTTCGCTTTTCAATCGATTCGCCGATTCCTCCAAGTCTATCGCCCGTTGTTTCTTGAGCTCAAGATCATTGGCTGATTGCGCAACCTTTTCTTGATTCTTCAGGTAGTCATGTGCGACTACCACTCGTGTAAGCCTCTCTAAATCGTTCTGTGTCTGTTGAAAATCTAGGAATGCCCGTTTCTCCGTCCGCAGCTTTTCCAACTTTGGCTCAATCTCTTCTTTCAACAACTCGGTAATCTCTTGTACTTTCATTTCCTTCTTAGCCATAGTTTTGAAAGCTTTGTCTCTCCTATCCTCGAACATTCGTGTCCCAGCCGCCTCCTCAATCATAGCAAGAATTTCAAGCGCCTTCATGTTCAACACTTTTGTAATTCGTCCTTGCATAATCAAGAAATTCGGATTGTTGATATTAAGCTGAACGGACTGGAAAAGGTTTTGCACCGTTTGCTGCTGTGCTCGATGTCCATTTATAAGATATTTGCTAGTACCTCCAAGGACAATTTGTCGAGTAACACTGATCTGAGCATATTCTTCAAATCCAATGGGTGATTTCTTCTTGTCTCGATTGTCGAAAACGATCGTCACACTAGCTTTCGTCACCCCAGCCTGCCCGCGCTTGTATATAAGATCCTAAAGAGGCCCGTCAATACACATTACACTTATGTGAGGGATTGTGATGTACCTGAAGGTTCTGCGCCCGAACTGTGGTCATGTTTGTAATTCCAAGAACAAAACATATCGAGTCGAGAATATTTGATTTACCACTTCCATTGAGACCGGTAATTGAGTTGAAGCTCTCGTCCCTAAACTCAGGTGTAAGTATTGGAGTAAAATGACTCTCTGTTTGCATTGTTTACCATCCAGAAATTACCGTACGCACAGCGTACGATTTGAAACCCTATTAATGAGTTAGCTGGGGAGTCCGGCGCTTTCAGGAGGAAGGCATTACATCTATAATTACTTCTACTACCCTCATTATGGCTGCGTTGAGTCGTAATGTCGTTGGTCGTGAAGTCGTAAATATCGATATTTTGATTTGCGCGTGAGAGTAAACAACAGAATTTGGGTCCTGCAGCAACTCGGATAAATTGTTTATTCCGTTCCGTACCCCTCCAAACCCCTCCACGCCTGTGCTTCAACTGTTGTTAATGTCGGCAGCTTTCAGGATATCATCAATCACTGAAGTGCAAACATTCGTTGTATCTTCGTAGTATTGGAGTGTACTATATATAGCTCTCTCACTATAGCTATGGTAAGTTAATTAGAATGAGTCAGGATGGCACAGGAGAGAGGCGATTGGCATGATGATTCGGGGAGCAGTGTAAAGAGCATTCCATACTGCATTAACTCACTCTTACCGGATTTGAAGCACCGTTGCGGAGACAGGAGGAGACAGGATAAGTTTTTACAATCTAAATGGGTATAACGAGAACTTGTCTGAGTTTTAAAGAGGACTACTAGACATATGGGAGGTGATGCTAGAAATAGAACACTGATCGAACAAGTTACAGCTTAGATTGTTCAATATCTCCTTTGCGACAATTTTGATATGTGCCATCTAGTGTAAGGTGTTCGATTTCTTCAACGCCCAAATAGGATTCAGATGTAGGAACACTCGTGTGAGGCTAGAAAATTGTAACCTCATTGTTGAACCGCACATAAGTATTCAAAACTCCGCAAAAGAGAGCTGCTGGAACCTAGATTTCAGTTGCTTCAAGTAGCTCGTATATAAAATAACCATCATGCTCTAGGGGTCTAGGCTGACCTTCCTTCATAGACTTTACAAGCTTTCACAAAGTATGAACGCAGAAATCCGTTTGCCTTGGTGGGTGATAATCCACTCCGCTCGAAAGTTCTCGCTCATATCCTTTTAATGATAAGAACGAGATCCGGAGCGAATCTCTTTCAGGGTGGTGTCTCATGGGCCATGAACAATGAGAATTCTTAGAGGCACCATGCACACATTTCAGATAGACTTATGGCGCTGGACCGGTATGGTATGTTGAAAACTAGGAATGTGAGATTCCTATTAATATTGTTGAGTTGAGGCTCACATTGCTCCTTGATCTACAATCATTAAGTGAGTAAGAAGGGCCAGCTTGTCGAGAAGCACTTGTCGTTTTTTGGATGCTCAACAGCCGAGTGGTAACGAGGCTATCTAATGTGCAGAGCTGCGGAGGAAAGAGGTTGCAGGATGATTCATACTGGCGTGTATTCCTTCGTCACGTATCATTATTTCAATTCTGAAGTCTCTATTGAAGTTGTAAATTATATATGTAGTTATTTTTTTATTTCAAATAATACTAATTATCATTTTCAATAAGTATATTATTAATTAAAATATTATTATTTATAATTATTATAAAAAATATTAAATCAATAATTTCGTCTTTAATCATTGATTAGTTTATCTATAATCGTAAACACTCAATTTATAATCAATTTTAATATATAGAATCGAAGGAAACCTTGATAAAATACATCAAAGTTGTAGTATTTCCTCAATCATAAAGGTCACCTTCTGAAGTAATCAGGTTGATATGGATCCAATTGCAAGCCGATCTTTTAGTAGTCAGATAATTCATCATAGCCACAAATCCCATTTATGGTTCTTCCCTCAAACGACTCCAAAGTCATGCCAAATGTGCTTAAAATTCTACGTAGTTCGCACTTTCCCTCAATATCCAAAAGCAGCTCAAACTCAAAAATCAAAGTAAATAATCAAACATGAAGCTCATCCACCAACCCACATTATCACCGCTCAATACCACATCAAAACATCTCAGACCACGCTTCACCCCTTAATATCAACACAATCGTCATCAAACCACTTACCATCTCACATTATCACCATTTGGTATCCACATACCCATATCAAGCACTTCCTCGAGGTACAAATCACTGCATCAAGGCTCAACAATCGACCGACAAACCCAATATTGAGAATCATACACTTAATCCCCCCAAACAAACACACATACCGCTACAATGAGTAAAATTAAAATGAGCGAGGAGGAGTTAAATTTGCTGGTGGTGTATATCGAAAAGCGCACAGTGATGACTGCGTACAATGGCAACGTGATTAGCATATTTGATAATGGATGGTCACCAGCTCCGGGTGATTCGAAGAGAAAAATCTTCACAGATGTAGCGGTTGAAATGTCAACGGCCAGAGGCAAAGCGTGCGGGATGCGTGGTATAGAAAGCTTTTTCTACGAAAATCGACCCCTCAGAGTACGTCATAAAAGAATAAGGGAGACTATCAATGAAAACCTGAACAAAATAAAAGGAAAACTTGGACCTAGCGTGGAAACCAGAGCGGAGATGAGCCCGGACAATATGAATCCGAACAACATGAACCCGGGCAATATGAATCCAGGCAGCATGATGAGTCGGAGCAATATGGATCCGGTCAACCTAAATCCAGGCAGTATGACGAGTCCGAGCAATATGAATCCGGCAAATCTGAACCCAGGCAGTACGATGAATCCGAGTAATATGATCAATCCGAGCAACATGAACCCGGCCAACATGAATCCAGGCAATATGAACCAGGCGAACATGAACCAGGCCAACATGAATCCGGGCAATATGAACCAAACCAACATGAACCAGGCCAACATGAATCAAGGAATAGAGGGCTCCGAAGCACAGGACATTGGTTCAGTTAGCTGGGTCGATGAATTTGGCAACTTCATATTTTGGTAGGGGTAACAAAAGTCACGAACACTGATAAAAACAACCTAGTTATTTCCCTCTGGATAATGACCTCGCTTACATCTGGAGGGGAGCACCAATAGAGGGAGTCCAAGTTAGAAGTTGATCCAAGAATTTTTATATCCTCTTTGTTCTTTTTGGAATGCTCTCATGATGGAAACCAGGGGGTAATGGGATCTCACCGATGGAATTTCGTGTTCCCTACGCACTCTGCTGTTTTGGGCACTGCCTCGTTCACTTTAGACCTTTTGTTAGGTTTTTCATTGATTGAAGAATCTCACTGTGTGTTTGTCTTATTTTAGCATATCATATCCCGGAAGGAGCTATTGAATTTTCATTTAAAAGATCATCCGGCCTCAGAAGCGCATGGTGGTTTTGTTTCTCTTAGATGTCTTTCACTCTTTTGAGATATTAGGCATTGTTATTGATTTTGAACAAGCCCTTCTAAACACTTGTTGGTAGATAGACTTGAATTGCACCGCTATTACAACCACTTGATAAATGTGTTGTGTGCACATGAATGTGGTGTTTTTGTGTCTGTAATGTCCATCAAAGGGCAAACCCGCTCTCTACTTAAGTAAGGCTTCTTACATGCCTGACGCTAGCAAGTTCTTTAGTCCCTTGAGTATTAAACCATTTTCAAGTTCTTGAGACCGCACTCTATTATTCCATGGATAGCAGCGATTCAAAGACTATAGGCTCATTAGCTTGGAGTCAACACTGTCAAAAGCAGAATCATGGGCAGCACTGTATTATATGTCTAGCAGTTCTTACTAGTCAATATGACATTGGTGATTTGTAAAAGACAAAAAAATTGGTCAACTTCAACCACTTCAAGTGGACCACTTACAGTGGTATGGGCTCTTGCTCAAACGGTGCCGACGAGGAGTATAACAGATTATGGTCGTACCAGCAATGGCAGGACGAATAGCCTGCCGAAATCTGACCAAGCTCATGCCATGCATCATCACCGGAGTGAACCAACACTCCGGTGAAGTCTCACGTAGGCTTTATTCGTGTTCACAAGGGCTGGACTTTAAAAGTAGTACGTGGACAACCTCTCCTGCGGTATTTGCAGGCTGGAAGTGGAGGGTGGTATGCAATTGATCATATATTAAACGGAGACGGAATAAGGGATATTCCAGTCTCAATTACGTACTCGGGATTAAATGACGACTGTGTACGTGTATAAATGTAGTTTCGTGTCTGCTGGGGTAGCAGGAAAGCCAACGTTAAATGCTTCCACCGGTGGAATTACCCATATTGACCTTGCAAACCTGCTGGGTGATGTCCGTAGACCGTGGAAAGATCCAAATATATGGAATAAGCCAGACCGATACAGTTAAACTTTGAGCTTGGAAATGATTGGCCATCCATCGTGAATGATGGAATATCCAGATTTTTCAGCCTAATTTTATAGAAGTCTTACATTGTATCTTTCAAGGGACCTCAATTGTAAAGACCCTGGCTCTTGAGGACCTTGCGATGATTAGAGAAGGACATGATACAGTTAAGAATTTGTGGTGGAGTCTTTCACCTCACCACTTATATCAAGCCAGGTCCAGCACGCAAATCAGAAATACAACATACAATGAGGCCTTGTTTCGAACTTCTGATGAACCTCTACTTGTAATCCAAGACCAAAATTTAGGTTTTGTGCATGACAGGTGTAAAAGTAGAATGACAGATATAATCGAGGGTGGGTGGTAAGAGTACGAAAACGCCGCAAGAGGGATGTATCTCAATGTGTAACACTACCCCGACTTTAACCTTAGTGCTAAGGCCAATATATTATAAGTTTGGGTGTATATTTTGCTCTTCCCTCCTCAAAGTCTCATCCGCCTATCAAGTGCCGTAATTGTTCCTTTGAGTACATATATATTGAATGGCTGGGAACAGAAAATGATCATCATTTGTGTCACCATCTTTTTCCATCTGTGGTTCATTATACGGAGTATACGGGTTTTCTATCGATCTACAGATTCTATTCGACTAAATTCCGTACGGATAAATGAAAGTCTTCTCCAACCATGCTCCTCTCCTTCCTGTTTGCTACACACAATGCAGGATAACTCTAGGTCAACCTTGTTGTTGCGCCAAGCTAGAGCAACAATGATATACTCCGTACAGGACTACGGGCCCCGTACTACGTCGCTATTCGGCATCAACGCCAATAACAGATATGATAGGTATATGAGCTTGAAGACTAAGTTTCGAGGTATATGGTATCCATCATGATTTAGAATTACTTTTGAATATCCATCTCTCCAAATTCATGCCGTCCTTTAGCTCACACGGCATATATACTCATTTCCGTCTTGTACGGAGCTAATTAACGGATGGACGATGTCCCGTCACTTTGGTTCGGGCATGATCGATTGTCGGTCCGTCCTGACCTTGTCGACTTCCTGCCACCCGATTTACTGCTTCTGGTATGAACTCCGGCCATGCCATGCACTGGATAGCTTTTGGGAATTGGTGGAGGGCAATTGAGGTAATTGTTTTCCGATGATGAGATAACACCCTAGCCATGATTTATAGGCTGAATGGAACCATTGGAGTGCAAATGTCGACGTTGGTCAACAGGCAAGGTTTGCAACACACGTATTTATATTTGGCTGGGGAACGTTTGATGTGAATTATTTTCGCAACTACCGATACGGATACAGTATTCCCCTCGACCATTACTCATTTGTCTGCTACCATCCCACAGCTGCTAATCAAGTCGACGCACGACTCTAAGGAGGAAAACACTATTACTTAGTCTTAATATTGATTCCACCCCGGTTTGGAGCTTCATCCTGCGCACACCAAGGTCTTCATGTACCTAGTAAGCCTGATGTCCCTGCACCTCAATACACCAGGTCCAGGCACTGGCGTATGCCCTATATTCCGAATCCCGATGTACCTATGTTGAGACTTAGAAACTGGGATCGCCGGATTCTGGAATTCTGGAATTCTTGGAATGCCAATTTATTAGACCTTGCTCCAATTCACATACATGACTGTCGACTTGATGATAGCTTCCACAGAAAACTAGTGACTAAGACCTGCCTGCAGCTTTTTGCTATGGTAGCTGAACGAAGTAAGTACTAACTACATGGATAATTCTGTGGAGAGTTTATAACCAAGTTGATTTGGCTTTGACTGTCTGGTTCATGCATCTACTCCATAGGTAGTGGAATGAAAAGTGTTCCCCATTCTCTTAGTGCACATCACAAAGGACTCTAAAAGTCACTCGTCTTATAATTTTAAAGCCTCATGTTACAATATCCAGAAAAGAGCATAAGAGATTTTGGCACCCAAATGATTCTTTAATATTCTCGACGGGCCCTAACCCCTGGACCTTGTCGCCAGAACTTTGCACAGACGGGAGATGTAGCGCTCCTTCAAATCATCTCCACATCGTACTGCAGCACTCTCAAATTCTAAAAAGCTCTTTCGTTCTTCATGTTCTGAAATCCACAAAAGATTTATTAACACTACCACTTTCCAATAGAATTCTCATCTTGGCCGACCCCACCCTCAGCTGCAGCTTCCAGAATTTGGGCCTACGACACATCACAGGGTCTCTCACAATTGATGAGGTACATACCGGTCTCCCTTTGTTATTTTAGCAATTGGATCTCGAGACTCAGCTAATCTGAGTCTCGAAAACTGTTTTCCTCTATCCGGACTCTTATGTATGCAAGAGCCGGCAGATAAAAATCCACTCCCTTTATTACATTAACCTTGGTGGAAATTCACATCCTGACATCAGATCATACCAATCGTTGGTCAACTGGAACCCTTTCGCCTTGCTGCATCCCCATTCCCAAAGTTGATGCAACTAGCTGCGCTTCTTGTATCGTGTCACTTTGTCCTGTTTTAAACTCTAATGTCAGAAAGAACTTTACACCGCAACCAGTTCCACAAATCTTCATCGCCAGACACCACCGCGGAAGAGCATTGTGCATAAGCTGGGTACTTCCAGAACCATCGAAACTTCAGCTCCCCGTATGCTCCATAATTGTGTCTGTTAATCCATGTTCACATCCATTACTGCAGCTTGAGCAACAAACCCTTTCAGACCCCGCCAACGTTGGAGTGTCTCCGATAACTGCTTTAAATTCCACAGTAGGGCAAATAGTTCTGTAGAAGGTGCTTAGGAAGCTAAAAGTTTTCAATACTTACATTTCGATCCGTTTGAATAGTGGGCGGAGGTTTTTGCTCACTCCAACGCGGAACTATCATGAGTGGTAAAGGCCGCCTAGACCGGTCTAAGCAATCAATACCCGATCAGCATCTCCTCAAACTCGAAAGCAACCCTCAGGCACGGCATTCTCAGCAGCTACTAAGTTCGGCTCGATCTTACGCGGATCTGAACTACCTTTTTGGGAGTCAGGACATAACCATGCTTGGGCCCATTCCCAAACCAAACCGGCGAAAATCAACTCAAGGTACTGAGCATGTGAAGCATCGTCGAACAAGATCTGGCTGTTATACTTGTCGTAGTAGGCGAGTGAAGGTACCTACTTGACATTTTACATTCCAGTAAACGCGCGCTAACTTTCCAGTGTGACGAGCACCACCCAAAATGTGATAGTGAGATTTTGAGCTTATCTTTTGGAGCACAGAGCTAACATCAAAATCATAGGATGCACAAAGGGCAATCGAGAATGTGTATACCCGGATGTGCAGAAGTCGGCAAAGGGTGCAGGAAATACTTCCTCTAAAGTTGGACATCCAAAGCCATCAGAAAGCCCTGGTTCATCCGAAGATGAATACGAGGACCAAGAAGTAGAACGTCTTGAGGTTATCCGAGATGAAGATGAAATTGAAAGCCAAACCGAGCGACCGGAAAACAGTTGGAATACTAATGCCGCTGCACCAAATTCCCATCCTACCATGCGAACCAAAAGTTCTACACGGCAGAGCTCAGAAACCCCTTCATTGATACAAGATAAAGGATCTTCCCCGACGCCTTCAACCGAAGGCTCTATTGGTTATTCTTCATTCGATCAAGGGGCCGCTAGTTCTCAATTCGAGGAAGAGACATTCGCAAATGACTCGGAATCCGGCAAACTAAGGAGTAGCTGGTCACATCTGCCAGCTGATCTACAGTTTTACTTAAGATATTATTGTCAGAATATAACCTTCATGCATTATAGCTTGAGGTCCAACCATGAGGGCTTTATCCACACATTGTTATTGGACGTTGCCCTCCGGAGTGAACCGCTTCTCTACGCAGTCGTGGGATTCTCGGCTTTCCAATATGCTGTAGAGAAGCGAGAAGGAAAAATCCAAGACTTTTTACAATACTACAACAAGGCAGTGTCATTACTTTTAAAGTCACTGAGGAAAGGTGTTCGGCATACTACAGCGACGCTCTTGGCTATTCTACAGCTGGCAACGATCGAGGTAAGAACATGAAATGACGACTGCAGCATGACGAACTGATCACTCACAGGAATATCTTGGGGACTGGGCGAATCTCTTAGGCCATCAAAAGGCTGCATACAAAATCTTAATAGATCTATATGCACCACAAACGATCTTTGAGACAGGTATAGGCCGCGCCCTTTTTGGCTGGTACGCACGTTTCGACGTAATGGCTGGAATTATGGGTGGTTTTGACGCATCTATCCCACGAGAATGGTTTTCATATTCACAAGAGTACTTCAAGAGCCAAATGGCCATGCACCCGAACAGTCTAGTATGGAGGATAGAGCTTCAGATTTCGACAGTGCGTCTCGTGGGTAGAGACATGTCGACATTATTTGCGAAAAAGGGGAAAGGGGAAATAAGCCACGAACAATTTATTGTTGAGAACGCAGAGATGACGCAGAGGATGAGAGATTTCATGGACCCGACATTATTAGATAGTCGATTTTTGGTTATGGACTTCTCACCGACGAACAAACAAGCCGAAGGTCTTTTTGATCCATACAAACCGGGTGTGCTTTACAGTGGGCCGCTTTCGCTCATCAATCTAGCCCTGATGGACTGGCGTGCTATGTATCTAATGCATGGACTGCATACTGCCCAAGCGATGCAGACAATTCCTGATATTGAGCATATGAGCCAATTATCCACCGACTTTTGTCAGCTGTATGAGGCCATTCTGCACCATCCGGAGATACCCAAGGGAGCGGCGGTAGGTCTCCAAGGAGGTCTTGGTATTGCAGCGTTTTTCCTACCAAAAGATGAGGCACACACCATGTGGATGCGCCGAAAGTTTGCAACAATAGAGTCTCAAGGGTAATGCGACCTCTATTCACAGATGCTCTACTGCTAACACAGCAATTAGTTTCATACAAACCTTCGCATTCAGGAGCAAAATGGCTGAGCTTTTTCGAGATAATTCTTGCATGCATTGGTGGCTACCAAATGACGAAATGTATCATCCAATCATTCGCTCCATACGAAAATTTGTCGAGGACAGAACGTCGTTGCCAAAAAACTCCGAGAGCAAAGATGTCCAGGACATGAAAGCTGTGTTTTCTGCTATGGATGTTAGTGACCAGAGTGATAGCTCACCCCAACTGACTAGCAAGGGCAAATCGGTAGCAACGGAAGTGGATGTAGCTAGCAACTCGGGGTGGTCACCTGCACAAACAAATATGAGTTACAGTCAAAACGAATATGGAGGCGGCTCTACCAACGAACAACCTTTCTGGGAAGATCATGCTGAAGGGTATCAATGATTACGAAGCTTTCAAGAATCAAGCTTATCATAGGAAATAACCACAGGCCTTGGACAGCTGCATAGTATCTTAGCGCCCTTCGTGGTGCCACCGGGGTCTGTGGTCCGGCACGGGGATGGAATATTGAAACTTTACTCTGGAAGGTTCTAGGAAAAGCGAAAAATAATATTCTCGTCCCTAGTGCCGAATAACGTAACGGAATTCCCAAACCGGTGTGACTAGAGACCTCGAGGGGTTTTTGGAGCGGGGCCCTATCTTCTATGAGGTGGAAGAATGGTCATAGGATGCTACGAGGAAACATTCGTGTTATGCCATTATTATATCAATGTATATATTATCGTCTGATTATCCCGTAGTGGAAAATCGAATACCAGGAATTTGATGAATCAATGAGCAACTTGGTTGGACACACATTTACGATTGTGTAGAAAGATTCACCTCGATATAGATGTGAGCACCTCTAGATGTTTATAATAAACACTAGATACTTGTTTATTAATAGCATAAAAAGTTAAAGAAGTTTAAACATGAGGATGAAGTTCCAAGTTACAAGTTCCATGTTCCATGCCATACTTCTCCATGTTGATGTTATTCATGATGTGATGTTCTAATGTGATGTTCTTGATGATGGTTCCTTGTAACCGACTATCCCCAAAGTAGACTACGGGGAGGCATGTGCCCATGCGCGCAATAAGGCTCCCCAAGCTCCATGAAATTCAATGGTTGATTGAAACAACGGCTCTACTTACCACCTCACATCCAGAAGCGCACAAGTTCTCGTCCCATATCGGAAACTAATACGGATTGATTAATACTGGGCTTTACAACATCAATCATGAATCGACCAGGTATGAGCCCTTGAACTCTCTTTTCCCCCCACAACTGCCCCGCTGCACGGCTCCGAGAGAGAAGGGGGACAGTTTGCATTGGATGATGCGTCAAATGTGAGAGGAAACAGATTTCAAGAGGATATAGAGCCTTGCGAAAAGTTAGCATATATAGGTTTTGTAGGATTTGGACTGTGCGTGGGGCGCGGATATATCGTAGGAGCTTTGCATGTAGTTGGCTTTTACAGCTCGATGAAATCAGATGAGAGTGCTTCAATGAAGGGGTGATCGCTTGATCTACTGGTAGAAGTTGAAGGGATACAATTGGGTTCTGGCACCCGTGCTGAAGGGAGCACTTTTGTCGCTAGAGAGTGTTTGGTCGCATCAACCTGCAAACATTATGAGGCTTTCATTGGACATTTTCTGCCGCAGGCCTACTCACAGAATTGTGCTGACCTTTTTTTCTCAGGTGTAGGACCGCAGGCAATGCGTGGCATACCAAACGGATTCCCAAATCAACAACAAATGCAGAATAGGAATGTATCAAGCAGGATACCGCCGGGTGGGAAAATGGGTACGATTCATACCCCCATGTTAAAGCAATCCAGGAAGACTTCATGTATACTGATGTTTGCCGATAATTTCTAGCAAACAATGGAGCAACATGGGCATTTGGAGGTGTACCGATGGGAGGAGCGGGTCTAGGAAATCCACGTCCAAATAATGGACCCATGACAAGTTTTGCACAAACAATAGGAGGCTCTTCACAACCAGCGACACCACTCGATCTTTCGTAAGTCATAGCCTACTTTTTTTGTACTTTACTCCTATGATTCGCTGAAGTATCTCTTCTTCTTCTCTACATCAATTCAAAAATGAACGAAACTCATTCCTCAAAAGATGGTGGTCCTCTTCGTCCATATTCTCCCGGAAGGTATAATTATTCCAAAGATCTTCAAATCTGCGAAACCACAGTTTTGTGTGTTACAGATATATTATGTATAGCTCTGGCACTTGGCACAGTTTATGCTGTTGGTTTAATCTGCCTCAGTTCTATTACTCTTCTTTTCAATACCGCAAAGCTTCATGGTTGAACTTGCTAACATTGTTTTAGTGAGTTCCCTTCACTATCAGGAAACCAGCCCCAACACAATCAATCAACATGGGGAGCGGCAGGAGCACGTAATATTGGTCCATCAGCAAATATCCGATTACAGCAATCAGCTGGATTATCCGCGCAACATGCTGCTCAGCAACAGCAGCAGCAACAGCAAGATGAACTTTTTAACTCATCAACTCAATTATCGAATAATTCCGGTGGGTTCAGATTTGGAGCACAAAGTGCAGTTGGTCAGTCGTCACAGCCGAGCAGCGCAGATGACTTCCCGCCTTTGAGAAATTCAAATGGAGAGATCGGCCAAGATCGCGGTTCCGGTCTATTACAGAATGTGGGGTTTGGAGGCGGTGGGGGATTAGGATTTGGTTCCGGAAACCCACCCCAGCAAGCCAGAAGTAATGGTCTTTTAAGCGCATTATCTGGTGGTAGTCGAGTTGCACCAGGTAAGAGAGTTGCTTCACCAGGGAATTTATCAGGTGAATAAATACCATATTGATTGGGTGATGTGTTACTGTACTCCTCGGCTAATTTTGATTATTATTCAGGCCCATCCACAAACAGATCCCCTATAGACTCCAGTCGCCAAGGTCTATCCAACCTTGGAGAGAACGAAGCTGGGGTAAGGCGGGGACTCCTCCCAATTATTGAATTTCTGCTGATCAATTTGCGCAGGGCTTCCCAAACACGAATTTTGGCTCATCGAGTCCCATACCACTCCGAGAAGACAGCGATCAACAATTCAATATGCCTACAGCAACCAGCTCGCGACCGGATGGTCCATCAACCCTAACTCAAGCGCAGGAACTCGACCCTAGTTCTGCGCAGAGAAATGCCGAGAATGCCGATTCTAAAGTACAAGATCCCTTAGCTCACATGAGTGACATCGACAGATTTGGACTCAAGGGGTTTTCCTATATGATGAACAACTTCCCTGACTATGCTGCTCTTGTTACTGGAACCGATATCAACCACTTGGGTCTCGATCTACATTCTGAACAGTAAGTTATGGCCTGATAGCCTTCTGTCTTTCCGGAATAGTACCTCAGCCATGCTAACAATTACAAGACCCATCTCAAACCAAATTTACTCTCTCTGGGATAACGAGCCACCGCGACCAGATGTTGCCCGTTTCAATCTACCTGAGTGTTATCGTGTTCTGAATGTTGCCCCTCTCGAAAGCAAGATGCCCAGCTTCAACGAAGAAGCCCTATTGTTCATGTTCTACAGTAATCCTGGTGACAAGCAGCAGCTCATGGCAGCTAGGGAGCTGTAAGTAGAGTATCCATCATTCATCAGGCCATTTGCTAATATTTATATCACTCGACAGTGGCAATAGAAACTGGCGTTATCATAAAAAATTGCAAGTTTGGCTTACGAAAGATGATTTGATGGTTCCCCGACAACTTACTCAACAAATGGAGCAAGGCTATTATATCTTCTTTGATGTCAAGACTTGGTCAAGACAACGAGTAAGTCTTCATACATCATATGTATAGTATAGTTTGCTGATATGACTTTAGCGGGAATTCACATTGTCTTACGATGATTTAGAGAGGGTTGAGGATCGATTTTAATGTATCCAAAATTCCAAGTCAAATACTGTCTCTCTTATCGACCGATAAAACCCTACATTTTGATGAATAAGGCACATATCGATCAGTGCAAATATGCATAATCTCATGAGGCTGAATACATAGCATGCTCGTTTCTCTAATTACTATGGCTCACTAGTTGTATTTTGCTATGGGGCGCAAGGCCAATGCATACATGGGGCTTGGCTTTCTTTTTTAGCGGTGTACATAGGTGGGCTTAATTTGCTCAGGCTTCTGGACTCTTTGATGGCTGGCTGGCGTTTCAATCATGAAGCTTCTGGAAGGCTCGGTGGAAGGTCGCGTCGTAGGCATGACAGGCAGATCAGGTATATGGCATATCGATAAAAATGGATTATTTTCGGTGATGATCTATATAATTCTGGCTGTAAATATCATATCGTGTCATATCCGCTGCGGTGCGGTGCTTGTCGTGTAGCGTGATAAGATCATAAAGTAGGGAGGTAGGTAATCTCAGCAGCCAAATCAAGTAATAATAAGTCTCTGGAACCTGTTCTGCCCTGTCTTGTTCAGCAGTAATTAATACTCGATTCTGGTCATAAATACTCGAGCATATATTAAGGTTATATGTATGTATGCGAAAAATTATAATATATACAATACCTAGGTACACAAAATAAAATATATACAAAGAAATGGAAATCAGAATCAAAATCGAAATCGAGATCGAAATCGAAATCGAAAGCGAAAGCGAAAGCGAAAGCGAAAGCGAAAATAAAAACCTCGAAATATCCAAACGGCTAGCCAGTTCATACGTAATATATTAATAAAATTATATTCTTTTCTCATCATCAATGTGTTCCTCTTCAACTTCTACGGTTCGTACTACATCGATGTGGAAATCCCATCCTCCTTCTTTTTCTTTTTCTTTCTGTCGTCTAGATTCCTGAGTATTTGGTGCGTGGGGATTTGAGTTTTGATTTGGATTTTCTCTTTCTCTTCCTCGTTCTCGATTCCGTCGTAGTGATCCAATTATTCCTCGGCTTAGGGTGGGATTATTGGTATGCATATTGCTATTGCTATTGGCGGTATCATTTTCATCCTCTTCCAAAACTGCGAAGGGCGCGTTTCCCAATTCCTCATCCATGGTGCCCTTTGCGCGATTACTACTCGTTGTGCTAGTGAAACTCGATAGTTCGAAGATACTCGTGCCGATTGTACGATCGTAGAGGGAATTATCGGTGCTCAGAGGCGTTTTTGAATTTTGGCTGTGGAGGACTTTCGGCGACTTGGATGTGGAGGTGATGCCGAAACGGGGGCTTGCGAGGTTCTCACCTTTGGAATTGTATCTGGGAGTGTAGGTTCTCGGGGAGTGGGAGGCGCCAGAGCTGCATGATGGATGCGAGCTGAAGAGTTTGGGGATGTAGGTTACGAAGAAGGCTTTGGTGGCGGGGATTGAGGTGCAGATCTAGTGAGAGCACATGTTAAAATTTGGAGAAAAGGTGAGAGGAGGTGAGATGGGGTGAGATGGTGGGTGGAGATTTACAATTCCAATATACAACTCCACGGCTGCGGTAACCCATACGGGGTATGAAGCCCATACTTGGTCCCATACTTTTGTAACTTTATACATGTAGTAAGTGCGGATGATACCTGCGAAACAGGAGAGGAAGCCAAGAGTGAAGAGGAAGGATACGATGAGGCTCTGGCGGCGGGGAAGATTGGTTGAGTACTTGATTAAAACCGTTAGAACTTGGATATATGTATGAGAGGAGCTAGAGAAGACTAACTACAGTACGGATAGGAAGAAGAACGACAAGGAAGTCGGTAAGGGTATTGACGATTCCAGCCAGTAGGAGTGTTGAAGACTGATCTATACAGTTTGGTTGAGGATCTTTAGTCACTTTCCAGTAATCCTGTGGGGGTCTATGGGACTGTTAGTATATCATTCTATATTGACCACAGTTTCCCAGCTCTTCTCATCATATCAAACTTAACGGGAAAGATTGTTTAATAACTAACCTACATTGGAACACCAACACGATACAAAACAAGCCTCCTTGTAAGCCTACTACACAAATAGCACCCAAAGTAACCCTTCTCCAAAACATCGAAGCACTGGTTAACATGCGACGAACAAGCATTAACATGGATAGTTTGGTGAGGGTGCATGCGGATGCAAACATGATCTCTATTAACATGACCATTTTGAGTCCGAATTCAACATGGCTGCTGGGGATATCGTACTAGATATTTTGTTAGTGATGAACAGAGGGGTTTGTATTGTGAGGGAAGACCCGTACTTGATGTCTAGTCCACATAAATTTGAGATCTGCCAGCAGACTCAGGACAAAAAACCCAGTGGTGGGTATCTACATCCCCAATCTCATTAGCCTTCCATTCATTTATATTGAATTCACCTCCTCTTGGGATCCAGGCTTAGCCAAGACAATAGGCAAACCAACCATAGCAAACAAAATCATTATGTCATCCGCCCCAAACGAGGCTCTCAACCTCGTCCTCGTCCATATCCTCAGTGCTATGAAGCAACATAAAATTATGTATAGTACGATATTCAGTATAACATTCCCATACCCATGTGTTTCCGGATCGATATAATTCGGTGTAGGCCATGAGGCTATTACCCACGCGGGAGGTTGTTGCATATTGCCTATTTGTGACTCCAGGCGCAATAGAGACTCGATATGGAAAGGAATTGGAAGGAAGGAAAAATATAATGTAGATCAAAGAAAGAAGAAAAGATTGTGAAGTGTGATGTGAGAAATACTACTCTAACTAGTAGTCAATAGAGTGTAAACGTTCAAACGATAGTAAGATGCATGTGCCATATCATCAATACGTCAAGTAAAGATGTGTGTTACAACATCAGAGACCAAAATCGACAAAAGTAAAAACCAAAAGAGAAAGGTACCCAGGTAGGTTTGTAAAAATCTGAAAGGGCACTAGGGGACCAGAGCCCAGAGCCAAAAGCTATTGTGGTTAAGCACTCTCGCTGTGACCATAGGATCCATCAAGCACAAACCATCATTTGCACTTGGTCCTGCCATTTGTCTCTTTGACATGCGCCTTTGGCGCGCCGCTTAACGGATATTCATGACTCTTTTGATGGAGAGAGCATGCGGAGAATCCCTACCATCGGCCACCCGTTGTCCAATCCCAGATACAGAGAAGAAAAGCTCAATCGATGGTTCATGCCATGCAGGAGGAGTTATCTTGGGAGAGAAACAATCAGTGCAGACTTCGAAGGCCGCACATCTATTCCCATGCTGGTTGATGAATGTAATTATATAGACCCGGTACCTTAATATATCAAATCGAATATCCTTTCCATGGGATTGGTTGAATAGAGGTACTGTAATTTACATGATTGAGCCGGAAATCCCTCAAGAATTTGACCCACTTTCATTCATCCTAATGATTCTCCTGGCCAGAATTGCACGTGCACAAGTTAGTAACAGTGATGTGGTATAAATACGAGTATGCCCCGAATGATATACTTGTAGATACTTTTTTCAAGTCCGCCTAGCAACCACTGGTTAATCTAGGTAGTACGGAATAGTTTCTCAATTATAATGATTCTCCGCCTTCTAGGGCTCTATGACCTCGCAAGCACATCACTTGGGATGAAAAAATCGTTCGATTTCGACCAACATTTTGCGCCATCAAGAAACGTGCCCTAACTAGGTATCACTAAAGGAATTCCAGACTTGGCACAGAAAAGGGGATCGTGATAGGCGATTAAAGGTTCATGTCTGTGTGTATGCACTATGGAAAAGCTCTCGGACTGGTGGACTAAACTTGGACTCGCTCCTATGTTCATAAAATGACTCGAGAGAAAAACGTAGAGAATATGGTTTAGCATAAATTGTGCCTCACATTGCGCCGTGAATGTCCTAGCGTTTCACAGTTACACTGGGCCCAAATGTTCATTATTCAAATACATACATACGTACTCCGTACATGCTTATTTTGGTTCAGGGTAAGATATCTCGCCTAACTGATTTTTCATTTTTGCCGGCGGAGCAATTCTGATAGTAAAGTTCATAAACTTCCATGAGCCGTGGCCCCATGAATAAAAGAATCAATAAATATCCCATGATACATAGGCAAGCTCAATCCTTCATAAATACCAAAATATCTACGTGGCCTTCTTTGCGAATTCGACTCGTAAAATCAAGTGCTTGAAACCATAACCATCCATTTTTTCACACGCCTTCGCGGCGTCCGATCTCTCCTGGAAACTAATAAATGCGAATCCCTTCGCCAAACCAGTTTCTCTATCCTTCGCCAGAAAGACTCTTGTGACTCTGCCGAAGCGCTCGAACATATCCCGAAGTTCTTGTTCCTCGGCCATTTCTGAGACCTAATCTGTATGTTAGTAAAGTGTTAAATGGGTCTACGGAGCGTGAATAACTTACGTTCGTGACACGTAGAGTCGCCAAATCATCCCTCTCAAACTTACCACCACCCATTCTCTCACCACCAGCAGCACCGCCATTTCTGAGATGAGGTGGTACGTATGAGGATTTACCTGCACCAAGACCGCCAGGACCCTCTGGAGTATCTGCATGGCCAGCGGCAACGTCGACTGCTCCTTCCTCACCCAAAGGTGCCATTGTGCCCTTGAAGGGACACTTGGCTGTGAAATGCTCTCCGCTACAAATACGACATTTGACTTGCTTGTCCTTCAACTTGTTCTTCATAGCTCCGGCATCTGAGACCTCCTCCTTGGCATCCTTTCTCCAGTTCGTGCTTGGTCTGAATATAATGTTCTCTCCTACACTGGTGGTATCCGAAGCAGGCTGAAAAAATATCAGCTATTAATGAATTTCTTGTTCCAAATTCCCGTTGTACTCACCCCCGCAGCATCCTTTTGGGATAATCCGAACTTGCCCCAGGACTTTCTCTCAGCCACTCTTGGGTTGACGATTTCCTTAACTTTCGTGAATCTGATGCGGCGTGTAGTCTTGACCTTCTTTCCATCATCGTTGAATCTCCAGGTTACAATGGTTTGTGTGCCATCTTTGTTGGTAGTGGTCGTTGACTGTGGGAGCTCGTTGGAATCCTCGAGATCCTCATCATCGGCCCAATCCCGATTACTAAAATTTTTGTTAGATTGTGCTGACGGTTGACTGTAAATATTGAAATTTCTCACTTTGCGACTCTGGACATTGTGTAGTAGGTGTGCTCTTTTTCTTTGGCGGGGTATCTAGTATGGGAACTGCGAGCAAAATGCGAGGCTTTTACTATACCAAGCACTCGTAATTTCCTCTGCTAAATTCGATGGCAGAGTGGTTGATGGTGACTTCGATTGTGGGGTGTTCGAGGTTCAACGTGAAGTTCTTATTTAAAATATCGCTTTGAGTGGGCAAATTTGCTAGGGCGAGCTTTCGTTATCAAGAATTAGCCTAACCACTTCTGGTACTAGTGCGGTAATATTGTCTTCCCAGCCGTTTCCCTACAATGCTTTCGGTGCAAGTATTCTCTGACTCGTCTTGAAAATGTTCCATTTATCAAAAAATAAATCCCACTGTATAACATTGAAAGCAAAGATTGAACTACTATTGCGACAAGTTTCCTGGTAAACTCTCCCAGCTCTATGTTAAGAGATTCAACTCATTGGATGAGCATGTCAAATACTCAATTACCTACCTAGTAGTCACAGAAAAGAATAGCGCATATTGTTAATTACATGGGTCGTGGGTTGCGGCACTACTATGTATTCATAATAAATATATCATGAGTATTATCTACCTAGATGCCTTTATGCCGAGGCTATGTTTGAGCCTTCAAACATGATTAAATTTTGACATTGATCATATAAGGGTCAATAACATGAATGCCATTAGCAGTTAGAATGACCAAGTTCAGTCATGAGAGGGGATGTCATATTATTCGTCGTCGTCTTATCCTAATTTTTATACACAGCCAGAGTAATGCCATTTTCCATAATTTTTGCCTCGTAACACATTCCATGAACGCTGAAATCTAGCGAACAGCATTGGTTGCTCCAACGCCTTTTGTCCCAAAGCTATGATGAGTAAAAGAAAAAATGTATGTGTGACAAGAGAGATCGTTGCTTTATATGCAACATAAGAGTACAAAAATACAATGAATGGTAGCTCTATGTGCGCTCCTGGATATCGCTAAAAAAGTTGAGATGAAATATGCCTGTATTAAATCTTTCAAGGCTTCTTCTCGCCGTCCTTGGCCTCGCCTTCTGATGCGCTGCCCTCGGTACCTTCTGGCTTGGCCTCTCCGGACTCGGAACGGGCCTTGTGCATCTTGTCGAAGAGGTTCAAGCTAGCCATTTGGAGCTCGTCGGTCTTCTCCTTCAACTCGGCAGCAGTGATAGTACCTTCTCCGGATTGACTCTTGCTGACAAACTCACGGAGAGCGGTGATCTTCTCACGAATGCCATCAGCTTCGGTCTTGTCAAGTCTGTCGGCGAATTCGCTCAAAGCCTTTTCGGTATCGTTTAGAACACTGTCGGATCTGTTGGCGGCCTCAATGGCAGCCTTACGCTCCTTATCAGATTCAGCATATCTTTCAGAATCATCAACCATGTTCTGAATTTCAGCTTCAGAAAGACCAGAGCCGGAAGCGATGGTGATGGAGTGATCCTTGTTGGTAGACTTGTCCTTGGCGTGAACATGGACGATAGCGTCGGCATCAATGTCGAAAGTGACCTCGATTTGAGGAACACCTCTGTGGGCAGGTGGGATACCAACAAGTTGGAAGTTTCCGAGCATCTTGTTATCGCGGACAAGCTCACGCTCACCTTGGTAAACTTTGATCTCGACAGCAGTTTGGAAATCAGCGGCGGTAGAGAAAATTTGAGATTTCTTGGTTGGAATGGTAGTGTTTCGGTTGATCAATCGAGTGAATACACCTCCCAGTGTTTCAATACCAAGAGACAATGGTGTAACATCCAAAAGAAGGACATCAGTAACGTTACCAGCGAGGACACCACCTTGGATGGCAGCACCCATGGCAACAGCCTCATCTGGGTTGACGGATTTGGCTGGATCACGACCAAAGATGGACTTGACTGACTCGCTGACCTTTGGCATACGGGTCATTCCACCAACCAAGATAACTTCTTGGATGTCCTTAGCAGCGAGGTTGGCATCCTTCAAAGCCTTTCGTACTGGCTCGATGGTGCGGGTGATCAATGGATCAACGAGCTTCTCGAGTTGTGATCGGGAGAGCTTTTGGTTGATGTGCTTTGGTCCAGAAGAGTCGGCAGTGATGAAAGGAAGGTTGATATCAGTCTGCATGGAAGAAGACAACTCGATCTTAGCCTTTTCAGCAGCTTCACGGATACGTTGAATGGCCATGCGATCACCGGAGAGGTCAATGCCAGAGTCTTTCTTGAACTGTTGAACCAAGTGGCGAACCAAGTGGATATCAAAATCTTCACCTCCCAAGTGAGTGTCTCCGTTAGTGGATTTGACTTCAAAAACACCCTTTTGAATCTCGAGGACGGAGATATCGAAAGTACCTCCACCCAAATCGTAGACAGCGATAATCTTGTCCTCGTCCTTCTCCAAACCATAAGCGAGAGCGGCAGCCGTTGGCTCGTTAACGACTCTGAGAACGTTCAAACCGGCAATTTGACCAGCATCCTTGGTGGCTTGACGTTGGGAATCGTTGAAATAAGCAGGAACGGTAACGACGGCGTTTTGAACAGGCTTGGTAAGATAGGCCTCAGCGGTTTCCTTCATCTTTTGCAAAACGAATCCACCAATTTGCGATGGAGAGTATTTCTCCCCACGAGCAGAAACCCAAGCATCTCCGTTTGTGTGTTGGACGATCTTGTATGGGACCTCCTTGATATCACGTTGAACCTCAGCGTCGGTGAACTTTCTTCCGATCAAACGCTTTGTGGCGAACAAAGTGTTCTCTGGGTTGACAACAGCTTGACGCTTTGCGGATACACCGACTAATCTCTCACCATCTTGTGCGAAAGCTACCACTGATGGGGTTGTACGGGCACCTGTTAATCGAGTCAGCGCGGGGTCAAAAGCAACGAAGTGCGGAAAAATCACCTTCGGAATTCTCGATAATCTTTGCAGTTTGTCCTTCCATCACAGCGACCGCTGAGTTAGTGGTACCTAACAAAATGTTAATGTGCAATTCGAACAAGCCCGCTTGCCACTGCATAGAATGGACATACCCAAGTCAATACCAATGACTGGTCCCTTAACCTTTTTATCCGCATCATCTGAGTTCCATCGTCTGGTAAACGAGGATCCTAATGGTGTGCGAAGAGGTGCTGATCGTGTGACGGATGATGTTGCTCTTGGAAGCTATTTGACCAGGAAAAGTTAGCAATTTATTGATAATGTAATGCTTTTTAACTCGAACTTAATACAAGAAACTTACAGCTCTGGAAATTCTGGAAGCAAACATCTTGATCACTTCTGTAGAATAAAAAACCTAATTGCAGAAGGAATTGGATTAGGTAGGAGAAGAAGGAATTGGTAGAAAAATGTATAAAGTTTCTCAAGATTGAGAGGATGGAGGGAGAAAATATAAATCAACGGCGGGCCACAAGGGAAAAAATGTCATTTTTAGCGTCCTTTTTTTGGTCGATTGATAGGAATTGGTAGAACATCATCGAAACTTGCACGTGATGACTTTATCTCGAGAAATATGTTTGTTGATGTGGCAAGGGTAACGAGCCTATGAGGTATTCAAATTGTGGGTCCACCTTGTGCTTTATCCACTTAGAATGTACCAGACTCTTAGTCTCCCGAGATTAATAAGCTGCTTGACGTCGTCTTCGAATACAACTCCGGTTGAAAACATCATGCTTCACATTATCTATCACTCGCGAATCACAGCCCTGTATCTGTACACTTTTACCATTTGGTTGTGCTCCATGTTATTTCTTTCATCTATGAAAAGCAATCTTTAAAAGGATACATTTGAGCATATAAATAATAGTCAACATTTGCAAGGTTTAAACTTTGTTAAATTCATCCAAATACTTTACATCCTGTTGTGCATGGTTGCAACATCTTGAGTGCACGACAGCATGGCTGTCAAAGAAGAGAGCTCGTGAGTTTGTACAACATGGTTTATGTTGTAAATAATTGATTTTGATCCATATGCTGATCACTTGCACGGTCGTAGATTTCATCCTACAGATGGCTTAATTCGCCCTTCGCCTCGAAAATACTATCGTGCTTCCATATGTCCAAGGTACGGAAGATCTCCGTTGTGCGCATTCGTGTATGAATCAGATGCGATGATGTGGAAGTTTGTGCATTATCGCAGATTCCTTGATGGCGTCTATTCAATAATCTGTTCTTGTAAATGTCTGCCTGATACCGTACTTGCTTGTTTGGCAGTCGTTGGCGTCTGCTGAATGGAATGGGGAGATTGCTGACTTTACATAGTCATTGGCAGTTGCACGATTTGTTGAGTTCTCCAAAGCAGGATATTGTTTACTACCCAAGTTCGCACGACATAATCTGTCTTAATACCAAATCTCGCTCCCGAGAGCTTCTCACGACTTTAAAATACGAACCGCGATGTTTGATAGCCGCCAAGGATTGGGTATGCGCTGGAGGAGATAGGGGTCAATTCACGAGCTTTTATGTAGGAGACGGAGACAGACCCGGCAAGACTGATTCGTTTCTGGAACTTGGTGCCGATGCCGATGCTCGTTTACCTCTCATCCTCCAACCAACTGCAAGAGCAATTCAGAGGGAATCTTCCAACGATTCCCGAAGATCTAGTCCTGATGCTACTACTCCACATGTATCGAAGAGGGTCGGTTCTGATGTTGTAAACTGCATAACACTTTGGTTTCCATCAGAATCATCATTACAGACGGAATATACAGATCCAGTGGCTGTTGCGGCACTCAACGATAGTTCTGTTACTATATTGAGTTTACATGACTCCGAGATTTTAGATACCCTCAAATACCCTGATTATGTGAATCGTGCTGTAATATCACCGAAAGGTGATCTCCTCGTTGCAATGTAGGCCTCCAAACTTTACTTGAGAATGACAATTGATTAACTTTACACAGCTGCGATGATCCATTCCTTTACATTCACAAAAGACAGATGAAGCAGGCATCGAGGTCTCGTTTCAGCTCACAGATGAATGAGTACGAATGGGTGTTCTCTGGCAGGATTCAGCTGCAAGGGCAACGACCAGCGGATAAAACTTCTATGAGAGGCTCATTCGCATCATGCTTTTCTCACTCGGGCAGATATCTTGCTGTAGCCACTCAGTATGGGGTTATATCAATTTTCTTGACCGAACTCCTTACTAGTGACGATGTCGATCCATTACTAGTCACTTTCACTACATCGCGACCTAATGTTGAATCTGGAGCTGTCAGAGCCATGGAATTCTCGCCAAACTCCTTCGATCTCCTTGCTTGGACTGAAGCCAACGGGCGCATTGGGGTAACAGATGTACGGGATTTGTTTACTTCTAGGCAAATAATCGATATCGATTCTCGTGGGGATGGCGTTGAACGGGTTTGGGTGATAGAGCGCTCAAATGAACCTATGACGATAGAAGCTAGGATTGATGCAAGGCTTCGTGCTTTCCGTACTGAGTCGCCCTCTGAGGCTTCTGCAAACGCAATACCAGACTATCTTGGCTTGGATTTTGAGCGACAGCAACTAAGGAATCTTACTCGCGATTTGACAGATAGACACCAACTTCCGCCAACCCTTGATGAAATGGAGATATTACAGGCACATCGAATGGCCCGCCGGCAGAGAGACGCAGCACGTGAAGCCCAAACGCAAGCAAGCAGCTCCAGATGGGGCACCTTGGATGGAGAAAGATCGGTGAATACATCGACAACATCTCGCGATGGTTCTGGCAGCACAGAACGCCGCATATCTACGACCGGTCTGCCAAGTGCTTTGCGGGAATTCGTGAATTCTGATCGCACCCCTGCTTCATTCCGAGCGTTCATTGACAGGCAAAACCAGGATCGAGAAAGACGCGCAATGCAGAATGAGATTAGACGGCAAGCATCATTAGTATCAGGTGATAACTCCATGGATATTGAATCTGACAGAACTCTACGGACAAGCGCAGATACATTTTCTGGTCTGGAACGTCTGTCGCTCGCTCCTCGTCTTCCTACCACAAGCTACGAGACAGCCCCTAACGCTTGGGCTGAGCTTGAGGAGATGTATCGAACGCGATTTCCTCGAGAAGCCCAGTCCGCAGCTCAAGCTGAGGGAGTGGATGAAGAAAGTCGAGCCTCTGCTCAAAGATCAAGACAGCAACCATGGCGACCCTTGGATGCACTTACTCGGCTCAGTCTTGATGTAGGGAACGATAATAATTTATCGAGGCGAGAGCGAGAGGGTAGGAGCGAACCAGTTGAAACTATGGGGCTCGCCTGGAGTGAGGATGGCAAGTTACTGTATGCTCTTTTTCCATATTCCATATTCCTGACGCTAACCTTTTCGTAGATATATTGGAGCTGGAGATGGTATTCATGAGTATCAGGTGAATTTGGCGGCACGGAAAATTTTTCCTCATCGTGTATTACAATAGTTGTATATTGGGATTTGGAAGGTCATTCGAGGGGATTGGAGTCTAGGGGTTTATCGGTGTAGGACGCATACCAGAATGCCCATGAAATAATCTGTTTGAGAAGTACAAGGCTGACGATTTAATACCTTCTACTGAATCCATAATTAGCCATTACAAATATTCTTAGTTTAATTGTCGCTCTTGAAAAAGCAAATGGCAGCAACCTTGGATATTAGTACTCAATGTTCAGTGAAAAGTCATGTGATACATCGTGCCTCCGTGGTGCCTAAACTAAGCTGATTTGAGCTTCACATCCTTGTCTAGTTGCTTCTGATGCCTTGAACTAATTTCCAAACTAGAGATATAGATGAGGTGGGATATCAATATAAATAGTTAGGATAGGTACTAGATATACGTCGATCTATATGTAATATATATATACAGCTCATGCCAACTTAAAAATCTAACTCATCACACAAATATTCTTTTCCTTAAACTTTATTAGCCGACCTCCTCAATTTCCTCTCAACTATTTCCTCGGAACCCCAACCTACCCATCTCATACTTCGACGGTCATGGAAGGTAACCCTTCCCAACTCAATCAGCTAGAACCATCATTTAGCAGTCGTGAGATCGCTAATCGATTTGTGATTCGAAGCTATCTGAATACCATCAAAGTAATAAATACCAAGACATTCCAAACTTCTGAAAATTGATAACAAGACTGATCGTTATCCATGTAGTATCGTTTTCAAGATGATCCCACCATCTATGAAAAATTCATATACTCCACTGAAAACTTCCAAGAAGGTGGGAATATGTCATCTGAAGATCTTGAAATGGTTCTCGAAGTGCTCTTTCGAGGTCATGATGATTTGATTCAGGAGTATCATGGTCTACGGCCTACTTTTGAGGAAGCGCGGACATTTTTCATGGAAAGGAAACGCAAAGAGAAGGAAGCGGAAGTTGAGGAGATGAAAAAAATCGCCGATGCCACCCAAAGAGACCATATCCGAGCTTGCGAAGTGCAAAGTAAATCCACCTTACTTGGTCTCCCAAGAGAGATCCGAGATGCAATTTGGAAAGATGTTATTACCGAAAACATAGTTCATATCTCGCGAGATGTCGATTCCTCATCTTATTCCTTCCATTCGTGCGTAGCATCTAGTGGTCTAAAAAGCTCCGCCTGCCCTTCTGGAAAAGGGGATCATACACAATGTGCTACCACGGGCCCATCCGATTTCCCTTCTTATCGTCTGATATGCAAACAAATCAATCTTGAGCTTCCAGACGCCCAAGGAAATTTCTTTTCCGAAAGTGTTTTTCACTTTGATGATTTGATGGAGGCGGAGGGATATCTTTTTGGATTGAAAGAGTGTGATCGAGCTGCTATTACGCATTTGAGATTACCGATCCCCTATTCATTATCAACGGAAAATAAAGATTCGGGTCCGGAGTTTCAGGCGTGGGAAGCTACTATGAATTATTTTAGTTGTCCTTGGGTGAGAGAAACGGTAAGTTTTTTTGTTAAATTAAATCTATGGTCACTCTCCGGAATTTGTGTATAGGATACTTTTACTTATATATCTCAATATTAGCTCAATATCGGTGTCCACGATAGAGACAATACACAATACCTAAGAGACCCATGGTACTTCTACTATTCCTCCTGCTACTATCACCACAACCGCCACCGCATGCATAAAAAATGGCAAATTGGTTTCGGAAACACGAGCTGGGATATGGATATTGCATCTCTGCGATACAAAGCAGAACCCAAACTGGATATAGGAATGAACTATCCAGTATCAGGTAAATAATTTATCCTCCATTATCCCAACCCTTTTTTTCCCCCACTTCCTACAAACCACCTTCTTCCCATCCCTCCATTTTCCCATCCTCTCACACACATACATCAAACACCGCACTCACCAAAAGCCCAGCCCAATCCATATTCCGTCCCTACGACCCCTACACCTCCAGCGCACCCTTCCCAACCGATCTCAACAATCACCCTCTGTGGCTACGCTCTCTCCTCCAATTTCGCCAATATTCCGGACTCAATTTTCATTTTTGGAATGAGAATGGTGTTACGAATGTGCATCGTCATGAAGAATTCATAGATGCCCTAACGGAACGGGTGTCGCGATCGGAAATCGGTCCGTGGAAGGTGGTGGAGTTTAGAGGGGGGAGGTTTGGAAATCCAGATGGGCATTCTTTGAGGGATTTGTATTAGATGGTTTGTGGTTCTGGATGTGTGTGAAGTCACGCAAGTGTGTGGGTATGGAATACTTGAAAATGTAGATTGGCATGTTGGGAGTTAGAATTAGATATTGCATAATATGTATCATTCTCTATATGTAATTCGTATAGTCAAACAAGTGTTCCTTCCCGTGATGATGTATTTCAAGTCTATCTTCCATGCTCATGTTCATGTTAATGTTCATACCCACTTTCCAAATTTCATAAAATCTTCATCTCCAACTTCATCTTAATATCAAACATCACCTTACCTCCGCATTCTCCCATTCTCCCATTATCACTCCATCACCCCATATCTTCAAGACCCATCATTCCCTCCGTTCCATTCAAAATCCCTTTCATTCAAATCCCAACCTACAACCCCAAAACCAACCCTACCCCACCAAGCAATACCGCACTAATCCCGCCAGAAGCCAATCCCGCAATCCCTCCCGCTCCATTAACACTCACAGTCGCCGGGGGCGAACGGTGGTAGTAGTAAGAATAGAATGTCGATATCACCGGGAACCACGGATGTAAGTATAAGTGTGAGTACTAAAAGTACGGCGACCGCGTTTGCGACGACGACGGCGATATTGACTCCGACAGCGTCGAGGAATTCCCAGTCACTTCAGTTTCGATTGTTGAACTCCCGGTCGTCGCATTACTTCCCGATCCAGCGGTAGATGTAGTCCACACCGTCGTTGTAGCTGTAGCTGTGGGAAGTGGAGTTAAGATTTTTGTTGTGCTGGTTATTGGGGTAAATGTGAAAAGACTTTTATTTGTGTTTGTGTGTGTAGATATACTTGTACTTGTAACTGATAGTATACTTGAAGTAGATTTGCTGGACATATATGTTGAGGAAGCGGAAGCAGAGGTGGAGACAAAAATATTGATATAATTGGGGTCAAGATGCCCACAATTAGCTTGTTCCTTAGCTCTGCATTGGTATTGTGCAGCGGCATCGGTTTCGCCGGCAGCAAGACAGTTTTCGAATACTTGCTCGCATACATAGGTAGGTATGGTTTCGGTGTAGTATTGGAGGGCGGGGGGAGAGTAATTGGAACTGCAAGTGCAGTCATAGCAGAGGGTTCCTTACGGTGGATGTTTTAGTACATACAATAGGTGATAAGTATATTGGAGGTGAGAAGAAGAAGAAGAAGAAGAAGAAGAAGAAGAAAAGTAAAGTAAACATACTAGATCACAAGAGTTTGTATTAACACTAGCAGAGCAAAGCGTTCTGCATGTGTTGATTTGCTTGAGACACCATTGAGCTGGATGGATATCTCATTAGTCAATTATCCATCCAAAGAATTCATCTGAAAAAATAAGACTACATGGGACTTGAACTAAATGACTTACAGCGCACAGAAGCACTGACACTATCCAGATCAATTTCTGTAGTGCAAGATCCTGAAGAACCTCTCACCACCATCGCCAATTGCGTAACTAACCCAGAATTTGTACGACTCTCATGATGATGAGAAGATGTGGACTTCCACTTCAAGAAAACCGCGGCGTGCAAATATATCTATGTAGGTAAGATAGAATATCAAAGCGAGCTCATTCTAGGACAAAACCACATGTATCATGCTCTATCAAACAGGATCAAAATCAAACACACGAGGGCGGATATGGCTGATATTTATGTAAATGGAGATGCCCATGTTATTAAAGATAAGGGAAATTAAGAATGCCTTGCACACATATATGCATATAGGGACTTATGCAATCACGCTGTTAGACGCTCTGTTGTACTTTTCATTTCCCTTCATTTTGGTTCGTACTCTGAAGGTTCCCTGGCTTGCTTGCTTGCTTCTGACTTGTCTAGTCTTGACCTACGTCAGCATTGCTTACACTCGTAGCATCGCGCAGCACCGAATAACAAATATAGTTCTGGTAAAGATAAAAAGAAAATTATTCATGAGATTACGGAGTAGGATCAGAATGATCTTGAATACGAAGTGGCCCTCCATACGTTTTCAATTTTCCTCAGCCTTGCATACACAAACGCGAATGTTCTGTAAGCAATCGGTTGTAGGTAACATTGTCTGACACTTGGTGTGCCTGGGGATCTGATGTAGCCGACTCGGCATGCAGCGTGTGGGATGAGGAAGCGGCACAGGTAAGAGGATGTTTTTAGACTTTTTGATTTGTTGGTTTCTGATGTGCTGGTTTGTTGTACAGAGTTTTTAGTCATCTGCTGATATCTGCATTAGATGGATGTATTGGTATTATAATAACTCTAGTGAAAGCTTGGCAGCTCAACATTTCACCTCATTCATGGATTGAAGAATATTTACCTAATACCTAGGTATAACGACTTCAAAGCCCCCCTTGACACATATATCATTATAAACAATTATTATATTTGAGCTCAGAATTATTTTTATATATAATCCTTCATCCGCTCTCATATAGTATATATATAATTTTATTTTAAATAAATTTTTTAAAAAAATATACTCTTTTAACTTTTCTAATTATTATAAATTATATATTATTAATTTCATTTATTATTTTATTATAAAAAAAATAGTTACCTATATTAATATTTAATACTTTCAATTAATATATAAAATAATTTTATATTAAATTAAATTTTTATATTTAATATTATATACTTTTGAATTTATTTATTTATATAAAATAATAAATATAAATTCAAGAATCTTTTATTATTATTTAATATTTCTATAAATATTAATTTTTAATTTTTAATTTATATAATCAATTATTATTATTAATTTTATTAGAATATTCTAAATTTAATATTTTAATTATTTTATTTAATAATACTTTCAATATTAATATAGAGTATTTAATATTTAATTTAAATTTTATATATTTATATATTTATTTATATAAAAGAAAAAAATATAATAATTAATAATTAATAAATGACTGAAGTTATTATTTATATTAACTGACTTAAAGAGATTGATATCTCAAAATCTCCGTCAGAATAAATATATTTATGTATCCCGAGCCAACCCAACCCAACCTAAAGAATCCTATCACAAACTGTCCTTCCTTCATGATGCCTATACCTGAAATTTCGTAAAAGAATAATACCCCCGTGCTATTCTCCAAGCGATCCTCTGTTCCAAACCCATACAGTATCAGTATCAACATCCAGTCCCATGTCTTCCTAAAATTATGTTACAGTCATAAAGCTATCTACCTACATACAAGGCCTATTTTCTTCCTTTTCCACTCATTTCCTCATAAATTACGAGAAAGTGGATGTGGCTGGCCACTGACAAGATTGATACAATTGTCCAATAATGATGCAGCTTCGTGCAATAATTCCCATTGTGTTTTCTCAAAGACACCTTGGAGAATCATGAGCAATCCAGTACATCCATTGAGCCCGGTCAACTTTTTCAGTTCCTCGGGATTACTGATCGAGCCAAATCGTCGCAGGTAGGCTCGCATATCTCGGGCTTGATCAATCTTTGAATGACGTTCAGGGACCGGAGCACTGGTTGGCCCTTCAAGAGCATAGCCATAGCACCAAACGATCAGAGCAGCAAAATATAACACCCACGGTCTATTGAGAAGGATATCGTCGCGAGCAGAATACTCCACTGGTGAATCCGGTTGTACATGATCGTAGCCATGGGACATTGAGGCGGATTTTTCGGGAAGGAGGACAGTGCAGAGAAATTTGATCGCATAAAAGGTTGCGTCCCTAGCTTTCGCAGTCGGTGCCCAAATGTCTCTCATTCTTCTTTGGGCACTGTTTAAGTCCTGCGATCCGATCGCGCGGCCAAGAAGACGTTTTGCTCGGGCAAATATTTGACAGTCGACAACGTCAACATGCATTGCCATGTGTGCGAGATGATGGAGCACTGTCCTGGATTGGTATACAACATTGTTCTCCTTACCAGTGTAGGCATATGGTCCTGACATAGTTTGAGATTGTTTCAGCAAAGATGAGTCGAAATCTTGCATCCAAAGGTCGAATGCTCGAGTCAAAGATCCTCTCCATTTGTCCCGCCCGCCCAGTGCCTGCGATACACCTAACGAGTTGACTTGCAGATCACGTTGATTCATATGCCAGCTGACACTCAAAAGGCCCGCCATCAGTATTGTACGACCAAAGGAGTTTGTCCTCACGTCTTGAGCATTAAGGGTCCGTTTGAGACCTTCCAAAAACGATATAGGTTTCATCCCATTCGCTTGAAGGCTTGACTCCAACCTACCAACCTCAGCACTACTTGTGGCAGTCCACATGGCTTCATCGCAAGGTAAAGGGAGTCGCATTTCGTGAGCAACCATAACAGTAGAATGCCCGAACATTGTTGCGTGCGTGGAGTCTATAACAAATGCCGCAAATGCAGCACGTCTTGTGGCTTCATTTATAATCCAATGATTCCACCACTCGTCGGGTGTATTAGCTGCTGACGCTGACGACTGACGTGAATCACTGTATCCATGTTTGTCATCTCTCACACTCGGGGGGGAATCCAGTGCAGAACGGCCTATCAATGAGCTACCACGACGCATCAATGTGATTGTGGTTGCGTGGTGGATATGAGCTCTTTCGTGAAGTGCTCTGGTCGAGTACATTTTTTCATATATCTCCAGTAGCAAAAGAGCCTGAAACACCCATAGACTTGCTGGAGGACGGAATTGATGGTCATTAAATATCTCCCATCTGAGGTGCCATGCTAAAAATTTGGACAAGTCCGCGCCAGCTTCCGTCACAGCTTCACCGTGAATCTTATCAAGAAGCGAGGCACCTATAGCCATCATTGCGATCAAAAGGAGATCTGGTGTCCTATCCGGAGAAAAGGTTGGTTTGTGTACTGCAAGGAAAATTAGCAAGCTTTACACCGCCCGTCTAATAGCAAAGAAAAATCCTACATATTGGCATCTGATCGCTGAAATGTAACCAATAACTGCCGATGTATGTTTGCATCATTTTTCTACTCATCATGTGATTGTCATTAGTACGATCCCCATCGACAAGTTTCTCCTTCTTCTGCTTAACAAAGGGTGCATTTCCAGTCTCGTTGAATCTCTCTTTGATCAAGTCGATAATGGCTTGACTCTTCTCTTCTGACAAAACGGTTTCTGGCAAGCTGGTATCAAGTAAACTAGTTACAGCCATAGGGTGGTGAGATTGTTGAGCAGCTGGAGGATAGAAACCTCCATTGCCGAGATCATTAGTGAAGTATGGGGCGTAATACTGCGCTGTAGCATCAGGGTAACTGCTAGAAGTAAGTTGAATACAAAACAGATTAGGAAATCAGGTCGAAATACTTACTTTGGATAAGGTTGTGGATTCATTTGACCCATGTCGTTTTGTTGAGTGCTGAAAAGATATGCTACGAAGTCTTCTGGTATGGCGAATGGGGATCGGTTGTAGCATCCTTCGCCACCAAATACAGGCATCGTGTTTGATACAGCCATTTGATCTAGAAGCATCATTTCTGGGCCTGATTGTTGGGCTTGGCTAATCTCATTTGGATATTCAGCAGAAACTGGAGTCTGGAGCGGTGGTTCAGTCTCACCGGAGGTAATCGTGTTTGCAGCCACATTCGCAAATCCCGAAGGCGGTAAGCTGAAAGGGGGAAAATTCTGTTGACTTATATATGCCTGCGGGCTGTGTGCCTGATTGCTACGGTAGTTTTGGTTGTTTGAGACTGTCGGTAGCATACCATAGTGGCCAACATTCGGTTGCGGTGGTCTCGAGAATTCCACTGACTTGGCATCGGGAGTTCCGAAGCTTGGGTGCCGCTGGCCTCTGGTATTAGAACCGGCAGATGATGTATTCTGGCCCCTATGAATCATCTCAGAATCAGAACGTTTGTAATTAACCGAGGGATATCCATCCCCGCCATTAGTTGACCCACCACCGGAATATGTTCCAGATGCTGGGTTAGTCACTGGCGAGTATGAGGTAGATCGAATGTCTTGTGGAGACTGGTATTGCATTTGTGTTGTGCGTATGGTGGGGCCCATAAGACTCGGCCTTGTCACTTCAGGAGATGTGGACCCTTGAAGTGACTGTGGTTGCAGGATCTGTGACGTTGGCGACCCTTGACTCAAAATCGAATCTTTTCTGTGTAGTTGAGACCCTTTCGCAGTATGTCGGTCGCGATGCCTGTTACACAAATCCTGCCTAACAAACGTCCTTGAACAACCGTCAAAGTCGCAGTTATATATCTGTTTCGGGGTATGATTTAGCTGGTGACGATAACTAAAAGGAGAAGACGTCAGCAATGAATAAACGGATGCAGCCACGATAGTGTAAACCTTACAGATGTTCGGCTCTAGAATAGCTCTTTCCACAGCCTTCCGTAGAACATTCGAATTTCTTGTCCAGGCCTTTGCGACTTCTCCTCCGCTTTCGCGGGCGACCATCATCACCAGAAGTGTGACCTTCTACAAGTTCTCCATGTGAGAGCTCTTCTTCGTCTTCTGTGGGTCTCAACGATGTACGGCTTCGCCGTCTTCCGCGATTCTTGTCGTCAGTCTCTCCGTTCGGCCCGCGCTGTAGCATAGGATCGGCCATTTGAGACATAACAGGCGCATCGATCTGAGCCATTATGTTAGGTGCTGGCAAGGTAAGAGGATGCGCAGCTAGTGTCGAAGTCATAATCTCATACTATTGTTGTACGAAGCCGCAAGAAGTACGATACACTGGTTTATCAGCACTTCTGTCGAGAAGTCGAGAGAATATTTAAGAGCTTTACAAAGCTGAGATTGGTGCATAGGGTGGCGATGTCACTCTACTGTCGACCGAGGTCAGATTGGATGAACATGTTGTATGTGAAGGAAAGGAAATTAGGCAAGGGCAATGCGAATGAGTGGAGATGGGTGGTAAGCTAGACATAATGCAAAAGGCAGAAGATGTCCCCAGACTCTCCTACGCATCAAGTAACGCGGGGAAATGTGCTGTACGCTCCCTGCTCAACACGAGAGTGCTCTGTCGGACAGATGATGGAGACGCAATGTGAGATGTGGCTAAGGTCATGCAAGAAGACACGCGAGAAGCTGACGAGCGCGCATAGGGCGCTTGTATGAGATTAGGCAAAAAGATGGAAAGAATCATTAGAGTAACAAGAGGTACGACTGACTATAAGAACTTTTTCTAGCTACTCACTCATGCTGCTTTCAAAACTTGTGTTATTGTGTTATTGTGTTATTTGTGTTATTGTGTTATCGATGATAAGCTGAGAAATGGAGGGGAAAAGGCGATTTAATTATTTCGTGCTAAAATTTTGAGTTTGTGCTTGGTGAACCGTAGAATTTATGATGGGCGGATGGATGGTGGGTGTGGTGGGTGTGATGTCTGGGGCCGGAAGCTTTTCTTTTTAGCGGATCAGTGAAGCTGTGGATCTTGCGGGGGATGTTACCATAGACTTGGCTGGATCGGGTTCTTTTGCTTACTTCGTTTTTATGAGTTCGGCTTCTATCGGTCCGGGGAACGCTCGCTGGTCGCACTGAATTGAATGAATACCGACCGGCACACTTGGATTATTGATATAGGGAAGTTCCTCATGCGTACTGAAACTGTATGTGAAATAAAATGGGGGCGGGAGGTTTTCAAAGTCAGCGTTCTTCAAGTCTAATAAGGTTTTCTCTTTGGTGCACTTTGTTGAGGTTTAAAGTACTTGACAAAATAACCACGTTCGTTTGTGCTCGTAGGATTATATTCCGATGGGTTAGGTGAAGTCGATATTTGGTTGAGATTATGTAGGATGGAAGGCTTTCCAAGAGATCAAGAAAAGTTAAGACTTCGAAAATGTCTTTCTGCTTACAGATGAGGATCGAATTGTGCTTAAGCTTGCTGGGCTTGCAGTGCACCTTGGCGGGAAAGGCGATTGAAGGATTTGGAGTGGTTGGTTAATCTTTTAACCTTGAATGTTATTTTCTCAGCTGCATGGTACTTGTTCGTTCTTGTGCCGTGTTGTATCTTGAAAAAGCAGAAATTGTGTTCATCTGCTCATCACCAAATTTGTACTCTTTGCTTTTTGTTACCTGAAGAAAGTTTCAATAATAAATCTTTCGTTGTTGATAAATGCCAAACATACGTTAATACTTCGAATTCTTTCGGGTCATTCTAGTCACACCCGCCATAAGTCTCCACGAAAGTCATGTGCACTGTTTGATATATTCACCTAGACTCGAGGTTATGCTTATTCAAAATTCCCTCTCTCTTCTCTAAATCCATTGAAAGTTGTGCGAATCTAATTGAGTTCGAATTAGATCGTTTCTATTCTCTTCATCGCTATCCCCCTTGTTGAATTCGTTCGAGATTGATGTACGCCAAATAAAATATTTACAGGGAAGAAATGAGGGGTTTATTTGAGACTTTCCTTGTAAGCTGCGGTTACTAAGACGGAATAAAAAAAATGACATTAAAAATTTAGCCAAGGTCTTTTGTTGCTTTTCACTCGTGAAGAACATGATAACCTTTCTCTAGAATGAATGATGTGAGGGAAGAAAGCTACGCCATCGCCGTCTTCCGATAAAGCTCGCTTGACTCCTTAAAAGCTTATCATTCTAAGTACGAAGTACGCATTGCTGAATGGCCAATGTCACAATTAATTATTGACTTGGAAAGATGAATTCTAGTTCTTTTCTGATCACTTACTTTCCTGTACTCATCATGGACACAATCTTGGAGCTTATGTTATAGTCTACCATGAGACAGTCAAAAGCCGGGACCCGGTAGGTAAGAAGTCTTGAAAACAGCCAGGCTGGTCTCTACTCCGTGCAAACATCTGACTTAACTCTGTAACTAACTTATCAGTGCTCAAATCTTAAGTTGCTAACAATGTGCATTAGTATTAGCATTACCGCATCGTACCTTAGTAAAGTGGCTCTGGAAGTGTTTTGACCCGCTACTAATAATCAATCTGGGGTACTGAACCATTAATAAATCTATTCAATTTCGTAAGCCCCAGTAAACTTTCACGCTGTAACTTTCACGCTGTCTTGTCGGAACAACTTTTTTATTCACTTATTACCCATGACGAATTTCACAGTGAATTCTTTTTCAACACCGCATCAATTAAGTCCTACTGCCAATGTAATTAATTATTGTTTTCCAACTTCAAATTATAATTTCTCAACAGCGGAAAATATAGAACTATAAGCTCTAGAACCATCTGTCGTTTCCTTACAAAATGCGTAAAGCGCCTCGCCCACAACAACCTGACGATTCAGAAGCATCAAGCACCAAGGAGAAAGGAAATCCGAATGCTACACCCACTACGAACGGGAAAGGAAAGAGAGTTGCAAGCAGTGCAGTTAATGCAAATGCATCAGGGGCAAATAGCACACTCACTGCGCCTAGTGCTGTAGCAGGAGCTGCGGGAAATACCAACACCGATGGCAATGTTGGCGTATGAACCTCCGCCATCATATTTCAACTCGAGCACAATAGCTAACATATAACTTCTTTCATAGATACAATGGTCAGAATTTGACCCATCTGTATTGCACAGTTATCGATACGAGCACGGGATGCATACGCCTCCTGCCTTCAATAGTTCATACAATCAAATCGTTCTTTCCCAATCGAGTATCGGCCGTATGTCACCAACTATGGTTCGCAAGAAGGAACATAAGAGGCAGAGCAAAGAGCAATTGGCCAACACTGTGCGCAAGCATTTCAACAGCCAATCTGTCAACGAAAATGACGTTATTGTAAAGTTCTTATACAAAGTTCGATATCAGGGTTAGTAGACATATTATTTACATAGTTGGCAATGAAACGCAAGCTAATTATCTACAGATAAGAAATTTCGCATGAGATTCATGCCACAGCTGCGACATATGGAGCGATCCCAAGTGGAACGGTCCGCATAGCATACGTACATAGACAAGGCTTTTGGCCTACTTGGCTTCGATTCTTCAAAATACGAAAACAGCTCTACGTTTAATGATACAGTGAGCATATGGCAAGGAAGTAGTGTTATAGGGATAATTGGGTTAGAATTGTATAACACATTGTACAAAAGCACTTATAGGGACGGTTTTTTTTCGTTCAGGGAGTAGTGGAGTAGGTATTCTGTGGGATTTGCATATTTGGAATAATGACAATCATGATGATGGACAGCGAGATAAAGCCAATACATACCAATACATTTTCGTACCAAGCAATCCATCTATGAATGGAAGATTTAGGTTTTTGCATATCGAACTTTTTGATTTCCATTTGAAGATTTTCAGCCTTGCACGATTTGTAATGGTTTTCCGGGGTCAATTATAATCACCCAATCAGATTTGAGCTATCTCAATTGATAGCCTTGCTCCGGCAAAGAAAAAAAATATTGGAGCTTTCCAGAATGATCGTTGATATTCATGATAGTTTTAGTTTTACTGCAGTGACACATTCACCTCTTACATTCTTTATTTGTTCCTGTAACCATTGCAAACTTTGATATATTTCTCATGCAAATTGTGAACATTACTTTATCACAATGAAAACAGGGACAACAGGCCTGACATCAGGTCTTTTGTCAAAGGCCGCCACTCCATCTCGAATTTTATGTTCCACCCCAGCAAGCCGACATCGAACATTGAAGAGGGATAACAACAACCCGTCTCAAACACGAAATCTTTCAACAATATGCGCCTCGAGAAGGAAATGCAAATATTCTCAGCAGGATCTGTCACTGAAACCAATGCAGAGACGTGTGAGTAGCTATTTATTCAAAATACTTGAAGTCGCATCACGAAGTACTGACCCAGAATTCTTTTAGTCTTTTCATGCGTCAGCGAGATATCAAGCCACGAAGAATCCCTATGATGTTCTCGGAGTAGACAAGGGCGCATCTGCATCAGCCATTAAGAAAGCATATTATGGTCTTGCTAAAAAGTTCCATCCAGACACAAATAAGGATCCAAATGCTAAAGATAAATTCGCCGAAGCACAATCTGCCTATGAACTGTTAACCGACCCACAGAAAAAGGCAGCTTGGGATCAGTATGGGTCTGCAGCATTTGACCAAGGAGCAGGACCCGGACCTGGTGCTGATCCATTCGGCGGTGCGGGGGGTTTTGGAGGGTTTGGGGGTGGATCTGGCGGGTTCCCGGGTGGAGGGTTTGGAGCCGATTTCAATTTCGAAGATTTGTTTAAGGGCTTTACTGGAGGAAGAAGGGGTAGAAAAGGTGGTGCCAATCCATTTCACTCCGAGGAAATACTTGTGGGAGACAGTATTGAGGTTCAAACGAATATCTCCTTCATGGAAGCAGCAAAAGGGACCAGCAAAACCATCAACATATCCCCACTATCCACTTGCAAAACATGTCGCGGAAATGGCATGAAATCTGGAACGAAGCGGTCGCCATGTAGATCCTGTGGAGGGAGCGGTACACGCGTGCATTCTATGGGTGGGTTCCAAATGGCTTCAGCATGCGGTGCATGTGGTGGTCATGGAATGGTGATTCCACCTGGAGGAGAATGTGGGACATGTTCTGGAAATGGAGTTGTGCGTGAGCGTAAAACGATCGACGTCGATATACCTGGAGGAATTGAGGATGGTATGCGATTGAGATTGGATAGGGAAGGTGACGCCCCGGCTACTGGTCAAGCTGCGAACCCTGACAGCCCTTCACAACCTGGTGATCTTTATGTACTTGTTCGAGTGGCTACAGATCCCAAATTCAGCCGCTCCGGATCTGACATCTTATATACCGCAACGATCCCTCTCACAACTGCATTGCTTGGAGGTGAGGTCAAGATACCGACTTTGGATGGAGATGTCAGTGTTAAGATCGCAACTGGTACCGGCACTGGAGATAAGATTACTTTAGGAGGTAAGGGTATGAGAAAGTTGGAAGGGCGTAGAGGGGGAACTGGGGACCTGAAAGTCGTATTCAAGGTCCACATGCCCAAATCTCTCAGTGCTAACCAGCGAACGATTGTGGAAATGCTTGCCGATGAGATGGGTGATAAAACAGCCAAGCGTGTCATGAACGTTGGCCGTGCCTCAAGTTCCTCGTAAGTTCAGTGTCATGTTCTCAAGCTGGGCACTGACAGAGACAGATCAAACCCATCGAATACCGAAGAGAATCACAAGCAAGAAGGATTCCTGAAATCCGTCTGGCACAAATTTACAGATGGCGCTAATTCGCCCAAGGAGGGCGACAAAGAGGACGAATCCAAGAAGAAATGAAGCTAATGACGAAAATTTTCTGTATAATAAATGGCGAAAGTGTAGAAGTACCACTGTGTAGAGAGGATAAGGTAAATCGATGGAGCATGGCGCGTCCCGAAGATACGAATGATGGCTGTCAATTTACGAATGCATATCTCTAGAGTGCAGTTTAGAATATGTTTATGACGCATACTTAGTACAAAATAAAATGATATCTCAACTCATAGTCGTGACTTGACCAAACATCTAATGTTGCGATAGACATATCCTCAACTTCTTAAACATATGCTCAACTTCTCCACGAAAAGGACTTTCATCTTGGCCTGACATCCCGCTTTCATCCCATTGCCAAAAGGACTCATCTCGGGCCGTGTGCACCTCGAGCCTCCTGAATGTGATGAACCTTGGGGATACGAAATTTCTCTACCAATCAAAAATACATTTTAAGAGCCGCGGCTCGCCTTTTCATCCAATTTGTTTTATTTATTTTTTGCTATCCGAATAAAAGGGAATTAAAACAACATAAATATAAATGAGATTTTGAGATTTGTAAAGGATATATGACAGTTTCAAAGTAGTGATTTGTTTTGGATACCTAATCAAGCATTGAGTGAACATTGTGGACATTGTGAACATCTTACCGGTACATGGCTGTCGTGACTATTAGACTACCATCTGCATTGAACATATTAGCTATATATTTGCATGCTGCACTCATTTGTGTACGTATACTTGCAGACAGAGCCTAAACAGTCCCATGTAAGTTTCACAGGAAGATTTGTTCATAGTCGTGTTGATAATTCATGATGAAATTTCAGAAGTAGCTGGACATTGAGGTTATAATATCATTCATTTTGTATTGTGCTGATTAACTAACTACCTTATCTAGACAGGGCGCTTATTACATGAGCTCATACCCTATAGTGTGAGAAACATCCCTTCACCATCAAGGTGTGATGGTGGGCCATGATTTACTTGTGATTGAAGAACAAACTGTTTGTTGATGGATGTTTCTTTCATTTCTGCATTTATGGTTTGTGATTGTTGTGTATGATTGATATTTAGTGATAGAGGATGAAGGATAGAAAGAACATCTATGTCTGGGTATAACACCAAAAAAGAAACCGATGTTTCGAGTATTAGATAGGTACTTGAAAAGGCAGTAAGATAATTCATATACAATATACAATATACAATATTCACCATCATTGTTGTACGTACGAAATGTCCTCTGGGCTCTGGCGCTTATCTGAGTAAATCTGGGTCTCCTGAAAGGCCGCAGGGAAAAGTAATACAGTGCAGATTCCCTGTATTGTAGTACCAGCTAGTGCCCTGTAGTCCCACAAGCTCACACAAATTAATGAAAGCTTGGGCACCTATCAACTACCTACGTACCTACGTACCTACCTGCTTGGGAAGCGGATATTACTTTCCCTTCAATCATCTGCTATCACAAACATTTCCTACTTACTCTTCCATTTATCATATTGTATCGCACTATCACAATACCAATACCAAACTATCAAACTATCACACTATTAGACTACACAATCATAACTCTCACTAGTATACACCTGATGGCCAGCTACTAGTAGGTATGAGAGAGCCATGAAATACATGAGTGAAATCTTGCGCAAGGATCGGATCATTCTTTTCAAGATACTGCGCACCCAAACAAATTAACAAGTTAACAAGTCTTACCACTGACGACACCAACCCCTCCTCCCCACCGCTTTCCAGTCCACATTCAACGAATATCGGTGTGCACAATATTGTCGATTTTATTTATCTTCTACCTTCAGCCAAAACTTATTGAATACGCTCCGAAGTGTCATATTTCCTTCACGAATTTTGCCCGGCCATCCACAATCAGGGTGTCGAGCATCGTCCGGTCAAATCTCGAGATGCAAGCACCGATGATATCAGTGCCTCTCAAGGCAACCAACGAGATCGACTGGATACAGCCGTTGAAGAACTATATCAGACAGACGTATGGCGACGATCCGGAGCGATATGCGGAAGAATGTGCTACCCTCAACCGCTTGCGACAGGACATGCGAGGAGCTGGCAAGGACAGTGCTGCGGGCAGAGACCTACTTTACAGATACTATGGCCAGCTGGAATTATTAGACCTGCGATTCCCGGTCGACGAGAACCATATCAAAATTTCCTTTACTTGGTAAGGATCTGACCCAGTGAGAGATATTGGAATTTTGCTTACGACGTTGGCAGGTTTGATGCGTTCACACATAAAGCCACTGCACAATACTCCCTGGCTTACGAAAAAGCTTCGATTATATTCAACATTTCTGCCGTGCTATCATGTCATGCAGCGCATCAAAACCGATCAGAAGACTCGGGTCTTAAAACTGCGTATCACTCTTTTCAAGCATCTGCCGGCATGTTCACTTATATCAACGAGAACTTTCTCCACGCGCCATCCACGGACTTAAGTCGAGATACAGTCAAGACTTTGATTCAAATTATGCTTGCTCAAGGCCAGGAGGTATTTCTTGAAAAACAAATCGCCGACGGTAAAAAGGTTGGACTATTAGCAAAACTTGCTAGCCAAGCAGGTTATTTGTATTCTCAGGCGCTGGAGGGAACCCAGGACAACGTAAATAAGGCCATATTTGAGAAAGTTTGGCTACTGGTGGTACAAGTAGGTGCTTCTAATATTCCTTGTCTGGTTTTTGGAATACGTTTGGCCATATCAATGTTCCAGCGCAAGATCGGTACTAACACAAAATAGATCAAAGCAAATTACATGTCATCCCTAGCTCAATATTACCAAGCTCTTGCAGATGATGATGCAAATTCACATGGTGTAGCCATTGCACGACTACAGGCAGCAGAACTTACATCTAAGGATGCTAGCAAACTTGCTAACAGTTTCCCCGGAAACGTACCTGTCAATTCAAACTTCACATCAGAGACGGGTACAACATTAATAGAGATTAACAGGCGTCATCTTACTAATGTGCAAGAAAAACTTGCTGAGCTTATTAAGGACAATGACTACCTCTATCACCAGACTGTACCAGCCGAAGCAGCCCTCACTGTAATCCCCAAACTTCCAGCGGCTAAAGCGATACCAGTTAGCGAATTATACGCTGGACAAGATATTCAACGTATCACTGGACCTGATATCTTCCAAAAGATTGTCCCCATGTCTGTTACGGAGTCAGCCAGTTTATACGACGAAGAAAAGGCGAAATTGGTGCGGGCAGAGACGGAGCGCGTAGAAACCGCCAACAGCGAAATGGCTGCAAGCCTAGACTATCTTAGATTACCCGGAGCATTACAGGTTCTAAAGGGCGGTTTTGATCAAGAACTTAGCGGAGGCGAAGACTTTAGGAATTGGTGCGACGATTTAGCCGGTCATGTTTCTCCCATGTCAATATTTGATTCTTTGAAATCAAGCAAAGAAGCTATAGTATCGATATTGGACAAAAGCAGCAAGCAGTTGGATATGGAGGAGAGCGTCTGTGAGAAAATGCGGTCAAAGTATGAAGGAGAGTGGACTCAACAACCAAGCTCACGACTGACCTCTACACTTCGAAATGATATACGAAACTATCGTGAAGCTCTTGAGGAGGCTGCCCGTAGTGATAATCTACTTTACTCAAAAATATGCCAGCATGAGGTTGATTTTGACGAAATGCGCTCTGCTGGTGAACTAGGCGAGTCTGATGTGCTCTTCCAAAGGGCGTTGATACAGGTCGGAGGAAAGTCGAGGAATACCGCCGCAAGTCCAAGTTCGCGAGAGGGAAATCTACTTGATGACGATTTCGACGATGGCAAAAAGAGTGTCGCGGAACAGATAGCCAAAGTTGAGGAGATTCTCAAAAAATTAAACCTAGTGAAGCGGGAGAGATCACAAGTTTTGAAAGATCTAAAAGAAATGGTTCGTGAAGTAACTTGGATCAAGTTTTTTGGTGACTAATCATAGAGTAGGCACATACTGATGACATTTCTCATGTCCTTATTCTCAACAAAAAGTCTATCTCAAATTATGAGACTCAGCTTTTCCAAACAGAGCTTGAGAAGTACCGACCTTATCAGAGTCGTTTGTTATCTGCAAATCACAAACAATCATCACTAATGAAAGAACTGACACTCACATTTAATGATCTCTTACAAGATAAGAGAGTTCGGTCTGAGCAAAGCAAATATGAGACTATAACCCGACAACGGTCATCGGTAATGTCAAAGTATAAGAGAATTCATCAAGAATATCTAGATCTACAAGCTGGCCTTGAAGGTGCAAAACAATGGTATACCGAGATGAAGGATACTGTTAATAGCCTCGATAAGAATGTCGAGACATTTGTCAATAATCGTAGGTCAGAAGGCGCCCAACTTCTAAACCAGATCGAGCAAGATCGAGCAAGCAATGCAAATGGACATGCGGATAGGGAGCGCGAACGTCTCAGAGGATTGATGGAACGCATGTCTATGGACCCATCAACCTCACCAACATCCGGCAAACCCCCTCGTAAGGGTTCCAATGCATACAGCAATACATCTCCGTCGACAAGGTATCCAAGTACAAATTTTGCCGGACAGTACCAGGTACCCACCTCGCCACCTCCACAGACCACTACTGCACCTCCGACACGCGGCTCTATATCTGCCCCTGCTAACGGGGGATATTATCCTCAACAACCATCCCAGAGAGCTGACCCGTACAACTCAAACCCTGGGAGGTCTTCACCGTATGGTCAATACAACCCAAGCACGCATTCCCGCAACGCCTCTCAGCCCATGTCACCTCCACCAAATCAGAGCCAATTTCCGCGCTCACCTCCGCCGCAGCAAAGTCAATTCCAACAAAATCAACACCACTACGCGACAATGGCACCGCAACAACAGGGGCAATATGTCCCAGCTGGATACGTACCCCCGCCCCCACCACCAGGACCACCACCTCTTGGCCCTCAACAAACCTTTCACCAAGCCGGCACTTCCATAACAGGTCAAAATGACTATGGATATGGAAATAATGCTGCTTCTCATCAACGGGCTGCATCGCAGCAGAGTTCGAGTGATCCTTGGGCTGGGCTTAACGCATGGAAGTAAAGAACCCGGAGTACATTGGGAAATTTCAGACATTGGAAGGAGCGGACATAGGGAGATTACAACTTGGCTTATGGGAGGATATGGCGCCGAGGACGAAGGAATTAGTAAATGGAGATTGTGATACCAATTCAGAGCGGCAATGGCATGGAGAAAGGCAGGAAATGTATTTATATTCTCTGGAATCGCAGAACCATCTCTGTTCTACTTGATAGTAAAATCCTGCAATTTTGAAAGAAATTTACACGCCCGAGACCTTTCGGTCAAGGAGAAAAACTCGTTGGCTCTGTCAGTGTAGCGCGCGTGCGGCCCTGGTCAATTTCGCTAAATGTAGCCTGGCTATAAGTATGAAAGTTTGTGAATCATGTTGGGGATGATTACTCGGATGATGAGAAGATGTATGATGTACTTGCTGGCTTACTCAGGAAATCTGTTTGCTCGATAGATACTGACTTTGCTATCCGCTCTGATACTCTAACAGATATGTCAATGGGTCTTGTTGATACTCTGTATATGAGGAAGGACTTCTTACTTGGTAGCACTTGGTAGAAAGTTTGAGAGTATTACCAGTGAGTGGGTGCATAGGACTGAGGGACTGTTTTGCAACCTTCAAATTATGTAGTTAATACAATCTCTAAAATTCACGACCATCAGTCTGTGCACCAAATTGATGGAGGGGGAATTCAAGGCCCGCCGGGATTACGTTTTACCGAAGTTTCGGGGTACCGATATTGCCGATGAGCTTAGAAAGCAGTCTGGACATCATGACGGAGCAGATCGTAAAATGGTAGGGAAGCTCATAGAATAATAATTGTCACCATTTACGACTGCCATCCGCATCAACTCTTTTCCTCCGTTGTAAATCAAAAGTTTTATTCTTTTCTACCATACAATTAGATTCTTTATCTTCTGTATTCTATTTCTTAATTCCCTATTCTCTCCATAATAAAAAGCTATGCTTTACGGCCAAAACTTACCGTGGCGGATTGCGCTTCGAAATGTAGCCATTAAACAAAATACAGATGCATCGAGTACGATTTTGAGGAGGACAATCGGACAGCATCATGTCAGAACCGCACATTCTTTGGTCTCTCTGCGACCTGTTACGATTCACCCAGCTCTGGGTGGCGTCTCAAGGTTTTCAACATCTCCTTCTAGGCAAAAAGATGTTCCGAAAGATCTTTTCAATCAAGCGGAAATAACAGCAGAAGATAAGAAGGAGAAAAAGGCGAAGTTGAAGACCGAATTGGTTGAGGAAGTCAGTGGCGAGAATGAAGTGGAGGCCAAGAGCAAGACAAACGAAGCATCATCCTCTAGTAGCAACAGTTCTTCTGGAAGTGCGATTGATGCAAAAGGAAGTAGTGCTGGGGGTGCGGGTGATTCTGGCAGTGGTGATGGCGGAAAGAAGGGCCGCAAAGGAAGTTCGGAAAAGGCTTTGCAAAAGGCTACGGTTCCAGAGGTGTATCCACAAGTGATGGCAATTCCAATAACCAAACGACCTCTATTTCCTGGGTTCTATAAGGCTGTCACCGTGCGAGATCCCAGTGTTGTAGCTGCTATACAGGATATGATGAAGAGGGGTCAGCCATATATTGGAGCTTTCTTGTTTAAGGACGACAACATGGATAAAGATGTCATTGAGAACATAGATGATGTACATGATGTTGGAGTTTTTGCGCAAATAACCAGCGCTTTTCCTGTCCATGGGGATGATTCTGCTCTGACTGCGGTACTTTATCCACATCGTCGAATCAAGATGTCTGCTCTCATCAGCCCCGAGCGTGAGGGCGCTGATGCAAAGAAAACCGAAAGCACCCAAGCTGAGCCGCCTGTTCCTGAAATCATACCCGCAAAGTCTACCAAGGAGGAAATTTCGGAGAAGAAGGGCGATGTTGTAGCCAGCTTCGAGGAAGGGACAGTTGCGCAGAAAAGTGCGGAACGCCCCGTGCTGCCATATGAGCCAATATCGTTCCTACGCAAATACCCTGTCAGTTTAGCAAACGTGGAAAATTTGACGGAAGAGTCATATGATCCCAAGAGCCCTATAATCCGTGCTGTCACAAATGAGATCGTAAATGTGTTCAAGGAGGTGGCAACTCTTAACAGCCTCTTCCGAGACCAAATTTCTACATTCTCTATGAGTCAATCATCGGGCAATGTTATGTCTGAGCCAGGGAAGCTTGCGGATTTTGCTGCTGCCGTTTCTGCTGGTGAAGTCTCCGAGCTCCAAGATGTACTTGAGACTCTCAATATCGAGGAAAGATTACAGAAGGGTTTGACTGTCTTAAAGAAGGAGTTGATGAATGCTCAGCTACAATCCAAAATTTCTAAAGATGTTGAGAACAAGATTCAAAAGCGTCAACGCGAATACTACCTGATGGAACAATTGAAAGGTATTCGCAGAGAGCTTGGCATCGAGTCTGACGGCAAAGACAAACTAGTTGAAAAATTCAAGGAAAAGGCTGCTAAGCTTGCGATGCCCGAGGTAGTCAGGAAAGTCTTTGAAGAAGAAATCAACAAACTAGCACATCTTGAACCGGCTGCGTCCGAGTTCAATGTAACCCGAAATTATTTGGATTGGTTGACACAAATCCCTTGGGGTCAGCGCAGTGCAGAAAACTTCGGAATCAACAACGCAATGACTGTACTTGATGAAGATCATCATGGTTTGAAGGATGTGAAAGATCGTATTTTAGAATTCATCGCGGTTGGAAAACTAAGAGGCACCGTGGAAGGTAAAATCTTATGTTTTGTTGGTCCTCCTGGTGTAGGTAAGACGAGTATTGGCAAGAGCATTGCCAGAGCTCTCAACCGTCAATACTACAGATTCAGTGTTGGAGGTCTTACAGATGTTGCAGAGATTAAAGGTCACAGAAGAACATATGTCGGAGCCCTTCCTGGACGAATTATTCAGGCGCTAAAGAAATGCCAAACTGAAAATCCATTGATCTTGATTGATGAGATTGACAAAATCGGACGAGGTCATCAGGGTGATCCAGCGTCTGCACTTTTGGAATTACTGGATCCCGAACAAAACACTTCTTTCCTCGACCATTATCTTGATGTACCTGTGGACCTTTCTAAAGTTCTCTTCGTCTGCACTGCCAACATGACTGACACTATCCCTCGGCCTCTATTGGATCGTATGGAAATGATCGAATTATCTGGGTACGTTGCAGACGAAAAAATGGCGATCGCGGAGCGCTATCTTGGACCAGCAGCCAAGGAATTGGCTGGGTTAAAGGAGGTTGATGTCAACCTTAGTAAAGAAGCTATCGAGGAATTAATTAAGTCTTACTGCCGAGAGTCTGGTGTTAGAAATCTCAAAAAGCAAATTGAGAAGGTTTATCGCAAGTCTGCTTTGAAGATTGTACAGGATCTTGGGGAGAGCGTTCTCCCTGAAGAAGAGGCTTTGACTGAAGAAGGCAAGGCAGCGTTGGAAGAATCTAAGAAAGATCAGACGGATGTAAAAGAAACCCCGGAAGCGATTGAAAAAGAGACTACTGAAGTACCTCGAGTTAGTCTCAAGGTTCCTGATGATGTGCATGTCACGATTGGCAAGGACAACCTTAAGGATTATGTAGGTCCACCCGTTTTCACCTCAGATCGCCTATACGACGTTACCCCTCCAGGAGTCGCAATGGGCTTGGCTTGGACACAGATGGGTGGCGCTGCATTATACGTCGAGTCAATTCTGGAGAGCGCTCTATCACCATCGTCCACCCCTGGCCTCGCTACTACTGGTAACCTTCAAGCCGTAATGAAAGAATCAACTACCATCGCATATTCCTTCGCCAAGTCAGTCATGGCGAAGAATTTCCCAGAAAATCATTTCTTTGACAAAGCCAAGTTACATCTTCATTGTCCCGAAGGAGCGGTTCCAAAAGATGGACCGTCAGCGGGTATTACTATGGCATCATCCTTACTTTCTCTCGCTTTGGATCGTCCGCTAGATCCTACGATTGCCATGACAGGTGAACTTACCGTTACCGGTAAGGTTCTGAGGATTGGTGGGTTGAGGGAGAAGACCGTAGCCGCTAGACGAGCAGGCAGCAAAATGATCATTTTCCCGGATGACAATATGAGTGATTGGTTGGAACTTCCTGCTGTAAGTACATATCATTTAAATCCTATGTCCAAATTGTATTCTCTGTGGAGATGATTGCTAATGAATTAAATAGAACATCAAAGATGGAATTGAAGGAAAACCAGCAAAATGGTATTCTGACGTCTTTGACCTCGTATTTCCAAATCTGGATAAAGAAGCAGCAAATGGTCTCTGGAAAGATCGATTGACGAAAAAGAAGGGGGATAAGGAGGATGAGTGAGTTGCACTTATGAAAATGGCGAATGATGTATATATTAGAAGAAGCTAGTGATAACTTGGTTACATTGGTGCATGCAGCGATCCATGTTTTTCTTTAGCATGATGATTGATGAGTGGAGCCATGGGCATTTCTGGCGTTGGGGATTGGATTGGATTGGATGAAAGGAACTCCACTCTGCAAATTTATGTACGCATCTATGCATGAGCATAGCATGGCATGGCATTTGAGTGGAATGGTGACGAAGGGGGATGGATGGGAAGAAGGATGTCGCTAGGGAGGCCCGAGGGGGCGGGGGAGGTCTTCATGTGAAATAGGTATCTCTCTCCCTTTAATAGAAAGTTTGGCCAACTCCGCAGGTTTTCTAGGATGGTGTGCTACGTCTAGACGCTTTATGCTATGATTATAAGATCTTATTTAGTGTTGAATAAAGTGAAAATGATAAGAAGTAAAGAAGTAAAGAAATAGAGAGGTAGAGAAATAAAGAATGTGTTGTTTATATAGGTTTGGATTTGGATTTGGATTTGGATTTGGATTTGTATATGTGTACAGTCTGTGTCAACTCCTATCAGCCATCTTCAAAATTCACAATCAAAATAAGCAAATTATTACTTTTATAATTATAAAAATTAATAATTTAAAATGAATATAATCAGTAGAAAATTCATATTATATATAAGTATATTTTATATTAAAAAATTTATACATTATATTTTTATTCAATAAAAATACTAATATTTTAATTATTTATATAATTTAAAAAATTATTTTTAAAAGTTCTTGATTTTTGTTTAATTTTCTAATAAATATTCAAAAAAACATAAAGTTTTTAAATTGATTTTATTTTCAATCTAGATTTTATAATAAAATAAATATTTTTTTTTTATTAAATTTCATTTGAAAATAAATCAAATGATTTAAAAAATGTTTATTTAAAACTTAATTTAATAATATTAAAATAATAAATATAACTTGTGTTTTTTGATAAATTTAAATGTGATTTGTAAAACGGCTGATAACAGTTAACAAGTACTGTATGTAGGAGTTGTGAGTTGTGTTATTTTGGACTGGCTTGAACTGGCTTGATGTTACGAGGGTTGCCGTCCTAGATCACATGGAAATGCTCTAGACTCTCGAGGTGGTTTATAACTAGGCGTCAAACGGAGACTTAAATAACAATGATAATGATATACAATTCGTAACTAATAATAGATTATGCTAAATGATTAAGCTTGAGTATAAAACTTTACAAAAGAAATCCATCCTGATTATATACACCTTTGTATTGATTAGATCCTCTTGGATCCTAAGCTCCAAAAGGATCCAAGTCATATGTTTCCTGCATATGCCTCAGCTTTTTGATAAGTCAGCTGTTACCTTCGTAACACTTGGCTTGGATTTTGGGGTTGTGATTGTGATTAGGTTGATGTAGATATAAACCGACTTATATTTCACCCTACGCCCGTATATAAGATCTTAGATGTAACTAATTAACAAAAATTCCATCTCTTGAGACTCTTGAGATTGAGATGGGTGAGAAGTGAGTAGTGAGAAGTGAGAAGTTATTACTGAGTAGAGCTTGTGTGGGTTTACTTGTGTAATACCTACGTACCTACCTAATGGTTATTTTATATTATGTTATTGATAGGTATTTTCGACTTGCAATAATCTTTGTCCGTCTGTCGATCAATGACAATGATGGCTTTTGATGGCGAAGATTTCGGTATTATTATTTATTATTATTATTATCGTATTTGTGAATGGATATTTGTGGGCTTGTTTAGAGAGAGGCTTTGGTACCTACCTATACCACGTCTTATTTTTGGTGTGCTTGTGTTTGAGTTTGGAGGAGAGGGAGATTGATTGTGGATTAGATGGATGAGTTGTGATGTATATTCAGGGACTGGATTAACTGGTAGTTTCTGTTCTCCGAGATGATTGGAATCTTTCGGTCGCAAGTCCTGGTCTGGGAGAATGTAAATGACTGGTTTGGTGGTCGATATCCTTGAAATGCTACTTAGTCTCCCGGTAATTAGTTCCCGTTCCTCTTCTTTATAACCGTTAACTTGGTTTGGCTGTATCTAGTTCCAAGTCCTAATCGGAAAGGAAGTGCTCATAGATGGGTTCCGGGTATTTGATGCATGGTCTTATGTCGCACTGGATCACGCCTTGTCATCAACACTATACCACAACTTGAGATTATAGATACTCCTCCTACTTCCTCATGACTTCATGAAGTCCTCATCGGAAGGAACTGGCCGTGGATCATTGCGGATAATTGATATAATCTCATGATCTTATGTCGTACCAGATCATTGACTTATCATCAGTAATATACCCTCGAGCTTACTGTGTATCTTGTCAATCCTCGTCATCCTCATGGTGATCAAATTTTCTGGCGAGTTCCCTTATTCCCTTGTTCTCGGATGAAGTTACATAGTTCCCCGCCATATTGATCAGTATACTCCGTACTGTACATTGCGTGGTACCGATACTTATAGTTACAGTCAGAGGGGCTGAGTAAATGTAAGTACGGAGTAGGTAGTGCGGGGGACCACAGGTTATTTTAACGGTGAGCGGGGCGACCCTCTAGTTCCAAGGTATTGTTGAAGAATCCAATTTAGTGCTAGCTCGTTCGTTCGTTTGTCCGGCCTTGTGTTGTTAGCCTGTTCATACCCGTGAGCCTTCATTGAACCTCTATCATATGCAGTAAGCTATGTTCTTACTATTACTCCATTAGGTATGCTCGTATGCAATTTGTAGAGCACCCAAGGTTGGAATCGGATATTTTAGGGTTCTCGCTTTAGTAAAAAGCTAGGGAATTGCCAAAAGCGCATGATTGCATACGTGGGCGATTTATAGCAAGAAGCCTCATGTATACCCAAGGAGTGGCTTGTTAATGCCCAACGAGATCGCGATGAGATGGAAACTTTATGATATGACGATGGGTATGTAGAGGACGTAGTGATCTGATTCTGATGTAGCGATGTACTTACTATACTTGCGTATAGTTCGAGGGATAGATGTGTGTACTCCTAAGAACCTATGTAGATGGAAGTTTATATGGGGGTCAGGAAATACACAGTACCTGCTGTTTTGTTCAGTCTTGTTGATGTTACCGTAACACAGTTTTGAATGTCCGTGGTCATGAAGTAAATTTGTGCTTCGTGGTGAGATTCAAAGGGTGTGAAGGATCGGTATGTGAGTTAGATGTATTGTGACGAGAAGATTGTGATCAATACGTAAGTCTTATCTAACCATAATATATAAAATATTGGATGATATGATGATATACATGATCTCGTCATCATCAAATCCGTCCGATCGGGGCGTTCAACATGTGAAACGAAATGTCTCAAGAATAAAACGAGGAAAAGTATTCCTACTAGGGACAGCAGTAGGTAGGAGGTACCTACCTCGTACCTAGGCACTCCGTAAAGGCAACCAACCAGTGGGGAACGTGGAAGAGTGGAGAAATGGCATTGCATCCCACCAACCCCCTCTACCGATGAGTCTACTGACTCTACTCTGTATGGGAAAATTCAAAAAGATGCAAGACTTGACTAGAGATATACATGCTGACTAGAGATACCAACGAGAGATACATATTGACTAGGGATCCTAACGAGAGATCCTAACGAGAGATCCTAACGAGAGATCCTAACGAGAGATCCTAACGAGAGATCCTAACGAGACATACATACTAACTAAAGATACTAGACGTAGTAGACTTACTCATAAACGTATACTATCTTACTACTAGGTTTTTTGTTCCTGGAATTCCGGGTTATTGTTGTCATCCCGCCCTGAAAAAGTCAAAATATCTCTGCCACCTCATATATTCTTGGGAAAAATGCACTCACTCTCTGCACGCACTGCACGCACTGCATTGTATGCATGTGCATCACACAAACCGCAGCACAGCAAATCATTGATGATGCTCTATTTGCTCTTCTCGTTTTTCTACCTTCTTTTAATTTGAGAGAGTACAGCCTTCTTCTTTTTTCTTTGCTCTCAATTGCATTGCATCTTTTAATCCTTTTTCTTTTCTATTCTTAAAATATACCTTACTGATCTTGTTCAATTAATTGTTTTTGTTGTGTTCTACGAACTAGGCTGGAGAAATTGAACAAGTTGATCTTATTCACGACCATCTCCAGGAAAAATCCAATAAACATCGACGTTAATATCTTTGAACCATACTTTTCTTCGCGCCTCCTCCTTTTTAATGCCTTTGATTCCATTGATACCCTTTTCTTCTTAATACATTGGAGGAGCATCTTGTGTCTCTTTACTTCATTTTACCGGATAACTGCTGGCGACACAAACAATTTACCCCGTACAGTCATCTTACTCCGTACAAGCCTACCGAAGCTTTGATGCGACCCTTCTTGAAAAGAACTTATATTACCATTTTTCCCCGTGTTATTTCATTTCTGCAGATGTAGGGAATACATTTCTTTCGCGCGATACTTCAATTCGAGTGTACTGACAAATATCCCAGCTCATGGGAAAATACTGGTTTAAATTTACGAGGAGGACAATGGCGCAAAAAAGGCCAAGTGTGCCGGCATCGAATGATCATAAACTATCTTGGTTTCGAAAGTTCATCTTTCCTAAGAAGGATGAGCACCATACGCCACCAAGCTCTCCACCCAACGCTCCGCCGAACGAGGCTCAACCGCCAGGGTTAGCTCGTCGAATTTCGAGAAGGGTTGTCCCTGGACTTCCAAGAGCGGGCACCTTTAAACGACAACAATCGGAGCTGAGGGATAGATTGGAACCGGTCAAGCCAAACCCTGATGAAAGGCGGACAGCTTCAGTGGATCGTCGACTAAATAATTTGCATCGCTCATCTTCGACTGCTTTAAATCGTGGTCCAAGAACCAGCGCTCCTGAATTTCTGGAAAGGACGGAGACTCTCGACAATACGTTTGATAGTGTAACTGTGGTAGCACCTACGGCAACCACAAATAAACATGAGAATGAATCTCAAAGTTATGTGGATGTTTCGAAGGAGGATAAGCGGGGCTCACATATCGAAGAACAATCGATCTCTACAGATACATTTGATGAGATAATACTTGAGGAGCTGGAGAAGAAATGGATCTTGAATTTGAGCATGCATTTTCGAGACAAATCTAAAAGAGAAAAGTTCTTTGTTACATATGCAGAAACACCGACACATTGGCGAAGGGTCACAATCTCCCTGGATTATAGAAATGCACCGAGTAATTCCCTGGAGGAGGAGCTACAGCGGACAAGGTTCCAGAGAGACAAAAGTGCGCGCATTTATGAAGCTATTCGCGAATCACTTCCGGACATACAATTCTACGACACTGTGACAAACCTCAAGTTAGAGACACAGGAGGAAAGACTTCACGTTCATGTCGTGGAAGATCTCTCCGAAGTCATTCACTATCCTCCGGTGAAGGCTCTTAACCACCTTCCATGTCACAGAGTTCTCGAATCAGAGCTTGAATTTGATTCACATCTATCCGGCTTCGTTTACAAAGTTATCGTGGGCGGGCAAGTCTTTATCAAAAAAGAAATCCCAGGACCAGATCAAGTGGAAGAATTTTTATATGAGATTAATGCCCTACACAAACTTTCCGGATCTCATAGTGTGATCCAATTTGGCGGTGTCGTACTTGATAATGAAGCGAAATGCGTGAAAGGTCTTCTGATTAGCTTTGCCGAGCAAGGAGCATTGATTGACGTTATTTATGATGCCGATGGTGGGATTCCCTGGGAAAGACGGGAGCGTTGGGCCAAACAAATTGTTCATGGACTTTCCGAAATTCATGAGGCGGGCTTCGTTCAAGGAGATTTCACTTTGTCTAATATTGTTATAGATGCGGATGATAATGCAAAGATTATCGATATCAATCGACGAGGTTGTCCGGTTGGGTGGGAACCTCCAGAGATTGCTGCATTACTCGAAAGCAATCAGAGAATATCGATGTACATAGGCGTCAAATCCGATCTGTATCAACTTGGTATGGTTCTCTACGCATTGGCCACTCAGCACGATGAACCAGAAACTCAAAGACCGTTAACATTGTCGACTTTTCCCCCTGATGTACCGAGCTATTTCCTGGAAGTTTGTGGTCGTTGCCTTAGCGAGGATCCCCGAAATCGATTTCAAGCTTCAGTTTTGCTAAGCATCTTTCCTGAAATTGATGATTATCGTGATTTCTATGAAGATCAATCGCCAACCCCTATTGTCATAGATGTTAAGCATGCCGATGAAGGGGAACTTTTGGTCACGGTTCATGATAATAACGAGGAACACGAAAAGGATGTACCAGAAAGAGGTCGGTCACGTTCTAAACCTTATTCACCACCATTCATGGCATCCAGATCACCAGAAGCTTTGATTACAGATTTTGAGACACAAAATATCAGACCATCACAGATTCAATTACCCTCATCACTTTCTGGGTCTGATTATTCCAAAGATCAATCCGACCAGCAGCAGGATAATTATCAAAATACTTCAACTATAGAGAACTCAACATTAGAGACTCGACGTCAAGATTCTGAACGTCGATCGTATTCAGAAAAGGATACGACTGATATCCAGTCCAATCCAACGACAGAACAAGCGCGAAATACAGCAGCGACACCTAATATATCAATGGCATATGCAGGGGATTTGGCACACATTGGAACCGGCGTCGATGGTGCACATATGGGATCCTTTACATTTGGAGCGGTTAACCTAGATGATGATGATTTAACGATAGATAACGATGCAGGCAATGTTTTCTATATGACGGAGGAAAAGATATCAGTTGTATAGCATGACATCGTAAAGGATGTGAGGAACAAATATGCTTTGGATGGACATTTTCACGCAACTAATATAATGACTTCTTTTCTTTCCATGGATTGCACATGTAATTTGTGTTTGGATCTTTGACTGGGTGGCAGGTACTCTCTTTTAATCGTTGGTGCTTCGAAAGTGTACGAATACGATACCAAGAATATGAAGGGAAATACAGCTGAGCTGAACGAACAGGCCCGAATGAACGATGAGATGATTATCAGTCTTGAGGCCCTTCCTATTGACTCTTCTGTTCTACTGATCGATATCATAGCCGCTTCCCGCAATATTGATGCTTTTCTTTTCCTAAGAATGTCCATGAAATCTATGAATCCTATCGGGTCCGTGATCGGCTAAAAAGTTCATCTCGGAGGGCTCCGCCCAACAAGCTAGACATGGAGATTGTTAAATCCTAATCCATGCTATGGGACGACTAGACGGGGATGGGTGGTTTTTGATAACGATTGCTTATCTATCCAATTGTGTTACTCGATATGATTTGGTGGCACAGATTGATTATCATTTTTTGGGTAGAAACTATTTTTTTCTTACGGATCCTCAAATGTCAATTCCCACGGCTTATCTCCCACGGCCGTGGGCGGACTCCATTTATTGTCTCTGGGAATCCAATTGTCGGTCTCCCGCTGCACTTTAAAGTGGTGAGGGGTCTTAGTAGCTAGCTGATTTAGCTTGTAGATACACACGTTCTACTACGTTGATGTTCTGTTCCCTTGAATCGGAACTACGTCTGGACTTCTTTCATACGTGCGGCCTTTCTCCGATTTCTCTCCAATTTCTTATTCTTGTCGCCGTCGCGGGTTGCGATATATATAATTGAGTATCTTGGTTTTTTTTGATTCAATTGCTTGCTCAATTGTTCATCTGAGATTGTGACTTGGACTTTGAGGTTCGCGGATATCATTGCATCGACATCACGAAAGGTGGATACTATATCATATAATCAAATCTTCACTTCAAGATATTAGTCATCGATCAGTCTTCCATCTTTCCGTATACATTAATAACGACATTATGTCGGTTACCATCGACAGGGGACCACATGATGGGCCAGATCGTATTGTCCCTGAAAGCTCTCCAAAACGTTCATTTGGAGAGCGTATACATTCCACCGTGAGGGCTTTCACTACAAAAGATGGATGGATCGGGAACTATGATTATGGTATGCTCAAACCATGATCATGATATTCAAGCACCAGAGCTAAACGATCATAGCATTTCTCTTCAAACCTAATCTTCCCTTCATGAAGAAGTCGACGCGACGAGCACCGTTCTTCGGCCTCCAAGATCGCATGCCAGTTATACTAGGTCTCCTCCTCGGATTTCAACATGCCCTTGCCATGTTAGCGGGTGTTATTACGCCTCCTATCCTCATAGCCGGATCGGCATCTTTTGACACGGAAACAACTCAATATCTTGTCTCTACCTCTCTCATCGTATCGGGTATATTATCCGCGATCCAGATCACTCGGTTCAAAGTTATTAAAACTCCTTATTATATTGGTACGGGCTTAATTTCAGTCGTTGGCACTTCGTTTGCTATCATACCGGTTGCTTCCAAAGGCTTTACACAAATGTACGCAAATGGTATGTGCAAAACGGCGGATGATGGAACTCCATTGCCTTGTCCGGAGGGTTATGGTGCGCTCCTTGGGACGGCTTCGTTATGCGCACTTCTCGAAATAGGACTCTCGTTCATGACACCTAAACTTCTGAAGAAACTTTTCCCTCCGATTGTTACGGGTCCAACTGTCATGCTCATTGGTGTATCTCTTATTGAAACGGGATTGCAAGGTTGGGCAGGTGGTAGTGGAACTTGTATGTCAAGACCAACTACAGGAGATTATATGCTCTGTCCCTCCAATGCTGCTCCACATCCTCTTCCATGGGGATCTGCAGAATTCATCGGTCTCGGTTTCTCCGTTTTCGTTACTATCATCCTTTGCGAACGATTCGGTTCTCCTATCATGAAGTCACTCGCCGTTGTACTCGGTCTTCTGGTGGGTTGCATCATCGCAGCAGCTTGTGGATATTTTGACAGTAGTGGAATTACTGCAGCCCCAGTCGCATCATTCATCTGGGTTAAAACTTTTCCTCTGAGTGTATACGGGCCTTTCATATTACCACTTCTAGCCATCTACCTCATTCTAATGATGGAAGCCATTGGCGACATCACTGCAACCTGCGACGTTTCTCGACTTCAAGTCGACGGAAAACTCTTCGACTCTCGTATTCAAGGCGGTGTCCTAGCTGATGGACTTAACGGGATGTTAGCAGGTCTCTGCACAATAACCCCCATGTCAACCTTTGCTCAAAACAACGGTGTAATCGCCCTCACACGTTGCGCCAACCGAAAAGCTGGCTTCGCAGCATGTTTTTTCCTCATCGTCATGGGTGTCTTCGCTAAATTCGCAGCGGCCATTACATCGATCCCCGATGCCGTTTTAGGCGGCATGACAACCTTCCTCTTCGCAAGCGTAGCCGTATCCGGTCTCCGCATCATTTCCACCGTCCCCTTTACCCGCCGCACAAGATTCATTCTCACGACATCTTTAGCGCTAGGATATGGAGCCACGCTCGTCCCAACGTGGTTTTCGTACGTCTTTACGTATACCGGGAATAATAGGGCCAAAGCGGGATTTTTCGATGCCATTGTTCTGGTTCTTGAAACGGGATTTGCCATCGCGGCTTTTGTGGCTGTGTTGCTGAATTTGGGATTGCCGGAGGAGAGTGAGGATGAGGAGATTGAGAGTTTGGTGGAGGATTTGGGGGAGGGAGAGGGAGGAGAGGAGAGGAATTGGAGTTGGAGATGGAAATGGAAACTAGAGAGAGGGGTTGGAAGGGGTAGTTTTGAGATGAGGAAGGGGTGGGGAGGGAGGAAGTGAGGTGTTGTGATGGATGGGATAGGATTGGATGTTGAGTGTGGTTTTTAATCGCTGCTCTTTGTTGCTTTTTTGGATGTATGAGTGCAAAAAAGAAGAGATGTATTTGGAAAAGGAGTTTCGAGTTTTAGAGGAGATTTATTATATGAATATATAATAGTATGATTAATCGATTAATTATATAAAAAGTAAAAAAACTTTTATCAATTTATTTATTTATTATTGAATATTATTGTAAGGATCTGGTCGAGGCAGCGGCTGCCTGAGGTTTGTATGATTGATAATTGTAGTTTAAGACTATTAATCATTGATTATTCATTTGAAAATGAATTTGTTATTAGATCAAATAGAATATAAATAAACTAATTGATAATTAAATTGAATATTAAGTTTCTAAACTATAAAATTATTCTAATTATATACTAATGAATGAAAAGAAACTTTATAAAACTTGAAGATTCTCAAAAACTCCTAAAATTTCAAAAACTCTTCAAGCTCCCAAAACTCCTTATTACATGATCGATCCTAAGGCTTTTCCTTTCCTGAAACACTTATCCTAGAAGCTTTCCTTTAGGAACCTCTACCCCAAAATACGATATCTTCTAGAGTAATTATCCCATCACAACCGATTAACTAGAACACTTGTCCTATTCTAATATGATTGCCTAGAATACCTATCCTAGGAATCCTGAGTTCCTATTCGTAGACGATTAGACCCCCTGAAAACAACAGTTAAATCACACCCCCCCGATAATCGACAACTAAATCATCGATATCAACAATACTACTATAATCTAAACCATGAATCATAACAATTATTCAAATTAGAAATTAGATTAATAATTAAAATTCAAAAATCAAGAATTCAATATTTGAAAAAAAAAAAATTTATTTATATATATATATAATAAATCAAAACTTGAAGATTAATCAATAATATAAATTATTATAAATTATATTATTATAAGTTTTAAATCAAAATAATAAAATTATATTAATTAGAATATAAAATATAAAATCAAATTATAATTTATTATCAATCTTTTTAATAAGATTAATCTCAAGCTTAAATTGAATATTTTAACCGGATTTAAATATCTAAAAAAATATATATAGAAAATTAAAAATTATTATAAAGTTATAATCTGAATTATAAGATAGTAAGTATAGATAGATTGTTTTAGTTTGGGATGAATGTTGTGGAAGAGGGGGATAAGGTTTATTGGTTATTTGTTAGGATGTTGGACTGGATTTAGATGGGGAGGTGTGGATGGTGTTGGGAATTTTGGTGGATGGATGTGCATGGATGGGATGGTTGATGAGTGGGATTTTTATTGATATGCAAGTTTGAAAGTAATAGAAGGGGAGGGAAAAAGCTATAGAAGTTATATTCTGGACTATGTGAACAGATTTTAATATAGTCATGAATTTTCGTACAATCAACGGCATTTTATATATCAACATATAATCTTAGCTCCACATCCATTCCCTAAGTATTAATTACCTCATCCATTCAAACAAAATCACCTTCATAGGCATGAAACGCTACTGAACTAACAGCTCTCCAACCCTCTCCCCCTTATTCTGTTCCCACAACTCCCAAAATTTACTAGCAATATACTCCGGATTATTAACAGGTTCCTCTTCACCAACCGGCCCCCCAACCATCACAAGCGCAACATGAACCTCATCCCTCACCAGCTCAATCAACCCCCTAACCAAGTTCGCCTGCGCAGCCTTTGCCATACTCAAAGAAAAAACAGGCGCAAAAGGTTGATAAACAATAGGAGACGACGTAACAAAAAGCGCAGGATGCGAATCTACTTTTTTCTTTCCTAATGCTTGCAAGGCTGGAAGTAATATTTTAGCCGTAGTATATAGTCCTAGATTGGGAATCTTGAAATCTTCTAGAATATCTTCTTCGTTGTATTCTCCGAATTTTCCGTAGCTGACTCGGGCCGCGTTGTAGATTACTACTTCGGGGGACCCGACTTCTTTCAGGGCTTTTTGGAGGGCGTTTGTTAGACCTGGTGTGTCTGTTACGTCGGCTGTGTAGGTGTGGGTTGCGAATAGACGGGGGATGTGAGATCCGATCATGGGACCGGTACCAATGATGAATAGGGGACCTGGAGCAGACATGATAGATTTGTGAATTTTATCGAAGTAAGTTTTTGGATTAGAGAAATAGAGTATGGGTCTGGAGAGTGCCATATATTAAGTGCATGTGAAGGGCTTTGACTGCGAGGAAGAATATTACCATATATATTGTGATCGACCCACTAATGAAGGGTGGATACACGAAGCTCTCCGTGTTTATGTAAGGTTAAGGATTCTTTTCATGTTTGTTAGTAGCCCAGGATGAATGTTGCAGTCAGTGCAAGTTAAGATTCTAGAACTGTGGTATCATTAGAACGATGGACGAGTTGTCGTACGTATCCAATTGACGAAGAGGAGTCAATGGTCCTTGTCCTAGGCAAACAAGGTATACACCGCGGGGTAATGGAGTTGCGGAGCCTGAAGAGAGTCTGATTGTTTTTGATATAAAGGTAAAAGAACATAAATCCGGGGTGTTTGAGTCCGTTGTAAATGTATCTTACCTATCAGCCCATGTTGTGATACCACTGTTGCTTTACATTGCCAGTACAGCAAGTATATGATGTAGTATATGATGTGATGTTCATGGACTCATCTCATAGAGAAGCATTTCATCCTGTATACAGACCAGTTCCTATACTGTATTAAATTGTACAAAGAACCTAGAGAAGTGATGTTAATCGTCTATAACCAAAAATAAACATAGCTATGGAATAGCTAGGAAGAGGTAAGAATAACAGAGGTGATATGCGCAAGTAATTCTGCAGTGGACCTAAATTACGGAGTAGAAGATGAAGTGAAAGTGGAGCCAAAGAAGCTCTGCTGATTACGTAATGATTTCTGGCCGCTAGTGTACCTCTGACAGACATTAGAAAAACTCTATATAATAAGCCATTATCAGTGTCATTGTTGGTTATTATACAGTGGACGTTATCTGTTACGAGGTTGCGATCTAGATCACGTGGAAGTGGCATGGATCCTCGAAGGGTTTATAACTAGGCGTCAAGCAGGGGAGGGGCTAAAGTAATGATAATGATTGCAATTCGTAACTAATAGTAGATTATACTAAATGATTGATCTTGAGCACGAAGCTCTACAATAAGGGATCCTTCCTAACTATATAGATCTTCGTACTTAGAAGCTGTAATGCTCCACCATATGATCCCCTAACCACACGGTTCTGTAGCAATATATATTAAGTATGGCTGTATGTGCTTTCTTTGTCACGGTATTTTTGTGATTGATATCAGACTTGTCATTTTCTTACCTGCAACTACCTCATGTTTTGCTAACCATTACAGGCAATACCCAAGATTTCATAATATTTCATAATATAATATGCATCATAAGATTAATCACCATCGGCGGATGTTATTACTCTCGTGGCGCATTCTTTTCCGGAATTGGGTAAATTCCAGATCATTCCTACCCGACCAATGAACCGACGCCGGCTACATACTTCAACCCGTCCGCATTGTTGATCAAATTCTCCCTCCAGTCAGGTTCAATCTCTGACATATTCGGTGTATAGAACTTTTAATCACTCAAGCGGTGATAGTGAAGCTGACTGCATATGAAACAGGGTAAATCCCGGACACGTGGGGGAGAGCACTAAAGAGCTACCCCTCACTTACGTATAGATCGTGATTAATGGACTTATTTGTTGTAGGGCTCCCAACATAACATAGTTCTTTTTTCTTTTTTCATTATCTTTGCTGAAGCTCTTCATTCGCATACCAGATAAACGTTCGTGTCACCGTCTTCTACTTGGAACATTACTGACTTTATTTTCATGTGTGTTAGCAAACGACATCAAGTACAAAGTACAACTCACTTCCAATCATTGGAAGTCATGTAGTCCTCAGCATGGACATTATCCGCCTGCGGATCAAGGTAGATCATCAAATTGTATAAGTAACTCTCGCATGAACCGGTGTTCGATCCTATGAATCATCAGCTTGCCTTTCATTCACCATCTTATTAGTAGGATGAAATAAAAGTGCCGCTGATGAGGGGTCGTTCTGAGATTATACGGTTATATGAACTTGATCTGGATAATACCAGCGAAAGGATCATGCTCTTCCATTCCGTCCTCATGGACGTCACTAATCTCTCACAGGTAAATTAACTTTCCAAAATATCGAAAATGGCACCACCATCCGCAGTCGAGGCAAATTCTCCCATCGACGGAGTTCATTTGAAATCCGCCTTTGACGTCAAAGCTGTTCCTGCTCAGGCTGCTACCCAAGGCAAAACACTTGCTGAACTTGCTGAGAAATGGGATCAAGGATTTACCTTTGCTCCTATCCGTGAGTCACAAGTCTCGCGTGCTATGACTCGCCGTTACTTCAAAGATCTTGATACATATGCCGAGTCTGATATTGTCATCGTTGGTGCCGGATCTTGCGGTCTAAGCACTGCATATATGCTCGGCAAGGCTCGTCCAGATCTCAAAATTGCCATCATTGAGGCTTCTGTCTCTCCTGGTGGTGGAGCTTGGTTGGGAGGACAACTATTCAGTGCTATGGTTATGCGAAAGCCTGCCGATGCTTTCTTGATTGACCTTGGTGTTCCATTCGAAGATGAAGGAGATTTTGTTGTGGTCAAGCATGCCGTATGTTTTATTCTTCGCATCATTCAACTTACCTCTATATATTCGCTCAAATTAAATAACGGCGCTAACAATTGGTGACCAATAGGCTTTGTTCACTTCCACTCTTTTGTCCAAGGTTCTAGCCTTCCCGAACATCAAATTGTTTAATGCAACCTCAGTTGAGGATCTCATCACACGTCAAACTGCCGATGGTAACATCAGAATTGCTGGTGTAGTTACAAATTGGACATTGGTTACAATGCATCATGATGATCAAAGTTGCATGGACCCAAACACAATCAATGCTCCTATCGTCATTTCAACCACTGGTCATGATGGTCCATTTGGTGCATTTTGTGTCAAGCGTCTTGTATCCATGAATCAAATCAAAGAACTCGGTGGAATGAGAGGTCTTGATATGAATGTAAGCATAAGGTTTTTTGTCCTAGACTATGTTCTTTCTAATTTCGTCTCTCTACTACTGATGCATCTATTTCTCTACTCTGCAGTCGGTTCTTAGTAGAAATTTATTGACTCAGATGTCATAGGTCGCTGAAGATGCCATTGTCAAGAAAACCAGAGAAATTGTTCCAGGTTTGATTGTTGGAGGTATGGAATTATCCGAGGTTGATGGTGCAAATCGTATGGTATGTCATTCAACTAATCATTACTTCGCATCACAATTCTAACATGAGTTTTTACCATAGGGTCCTACCTTCGGTGCAATGGCACTCTCTGGTGTAAAAGCCGCTGAAGAAGCTTTGAAGGTTTTCGATGAGCGTAAAGCACAAAATGCCTACTAGGCCTATGTATTTCGTGTGTTGGGAAGAACACAAATCTTAGTCTATATACGAGACTACCAAAGTACATGAATTAAATAGCACAACGAATATGATTATTTGCTTACAATCGTCTTGAACATGTTTCAAAGTACTTGCAATATGAAACTCTCCAAGTTGAGCTCCAGTTCCAAAGTTGCCAAGGAGGATATTTCCAATTTCCAAGAAAACCTCCCAAATATCTGCAAAAAGCAACACACACCTATTCCCAGTGTCATTAATCCCAGCTATTTCTCAACCTCCTTCTTTAATCCCATGTACTAACCACAATCAGCATAGCATACTCATATAAATATCCTCACTTCCTCATTCCCCACCAATTCTGACAACGTCGCACCATCTCAACATCTCTCTCATATCATTTCCCCAAATAATCGTATCCCCTTCTTCGCAGACAGTATTAACCGAATTCCTTTAATATTTCTGCTTTATAAGTATTTCCCTCCTTTTTCCGTTTTAGCTTTCGATTTTTTTAACTCGTATTCGTTCAGTGGAATTATGCGGTATAATCACTGAAGTCTGCGGCCAACATTGGGATTTGACTGGGAAAGTAAAAGAGATGGAACTTTGGAGAGGATACAAGTATACGTAGGAACTATTCCGAGGAGATGTAGTCTTACGTTTTTTTCGTGCAGGAAAAAGATGAGGATGAAATTTGAGAGGCCATTTCTAATACCTAAATTCAGGCGGTGCGTGATAATTTTTTATGGGATATGGGAGGAAAGGGATTAGTAATTATTATTTCTATTCTAAAAGAATTGTAAGACTACAAGCCTGAGCTATAATCTCACTCATGCGAATCCTAAGCAGGATTACAACTCACCTGTTAGGAGATGAAAAAATATCAAGATTTGTGTTCGGGTAACCTTATAAAAGGTCATAGTTCGAGAATCTTGGGATGACATGGCATAGTTCGTTCGGGTCCAGGAGGTAATCAATAACAGGATTGTGATATGAATGGTTGGAAAATCGATAATGCATGTAGAATTTGTCGGCCACCAAGAAGCATGTCAGCAATGCATGTCAGCGCCATTATTAACTCTGTTGTTTAATGTTAATATAATAATAATCAGTGTTTAGCAAAGTAAGTGTCCCTGGAAAGCAAATATTTGTGATATCATTTTAAGATTTATATAATAAATTTTTGTTATATTAGGTTAAAAATTTAATACTATACTTTAAAAATAAGATTTTTATTAAGGATAATTCAGGATTCTGATATATTCTATACCAAAAAATATTGCGGTGACATTGGCTTTCCGGATACTTGCTTTCCCCGACTAGGGATTAATGGGTTGATTATGAACACTGACTATTATTGTACATGTCAATTTGATATTCCCTGCTTGAATAAGCGCTGATCCAAGCTTAGAATATCACCTCTTATAAATTTCAAAATATTTCCAATCTTGCTTTCTCTTCAAAACCTTAAAAAAAGTATTCTGTGTCCTTCTCTATATCCAAGAACTTCCTAGTCAGTATCTGGAAATCCAAAACATTTTTTATTTAGCAATTCGAAAATATGCCTATTGATTTTCATCTCTCTGCGAGCGAAGATGGCATTCGAAAACATGCAGCCGCATTGGCTGCTGGCCCTCTCAAAGATATCAAGAGAGTTTATTCTGCAAAGAAAGATGAGCAACAATTTCAAGCACTGAAGCCTTTCTATAGTGATATGGCAGCCGGCGGCATGATCAAGGGCTTCATAGCGTCACATCTTGGGGGTGCAGCTGGAAGCTTGACTGAAGCAGCTATCTTAGTTGAAGAGATGTATGCCACTGATCCTTCTGCATCTTTGACGATCTATTCCACTGGGTTGGGCTTGACTCCATTGAATTTGACTGGAAAAGAAGAGCACAAAGAATTCTTGGAACCATTTTTGAATGGTGAAGGGGCACCACTAGCTAGTTTGGTATTCTCAGAACCAGGAGGAGTTGCAAACTACTTGGAGAAAGGTGCTCCAGGTCTCAACACAACTGCCACGCTTGACGGTGATGAATGGGTACTTAATGGAGAAAAGGTATGGAACATGTGACGGAAAGTTGGCTTAATACCAGAAGTGAAGCTCATTTGTAATATAGATGTGGGCAACCAATTCTGCAGGCTGGGACTTCGAGGGTGCAGACCTTCAATGTGTAGTCTGCCGCGATACAGGTATTACCTCAGACGAACCTGCTGACGCTGTCATGATACTTCTTGTGAGCAGGGCAGATATTGAACGAAATGAAAAGGGCGCATTCAAAACACTCAAGCATGTTCTAACTACAGGGCACCCTGCTTGTTCTGGTCCACATATCAAATACACCAATTTAAGAGTTCCTGCAAAGAACGTCCTATGTCCGGCAGGTGAAGGTGTTCCTGTGGTGTCAAAATCATTCGATTTTTCGGCTATTTTGGTTGGTGCCATGAGTGTTAGTGTTATGCGAGCCGCCTTCGAAGCAGCTTTAGCATTTGCCAAGGTTGACAATCGCAGAGGAGCAGAGGATCTATTATCAAGACAAGCATTCGCCGATCTCCTGAGTGGTATCAAGATGAAGACAGAAGCGTGTAGAGCTTTGACATGGAAAGCAGCTCATGCCCTCGATAATGGACCAGGTGATTATAGTGCCAGGAGTGAATTGGCATTAGCGGCCAAGATCTATTGCTCGGAAGAGAGCGTTAAAGCAGTCACAGATGCCATCAATGCCGTTGGGGTGTAAGTAGCCAGTCGTACTATTCCTCTCAAATTATGGCAGTCACTAACTACTCATCAGAACTGCCTACAGCAATGAGCAGCCCTTTATAGACCTTTTGAACACGGCCATCGTTTTACCCATTTTTGACGGCGGTAATGTAGGTATACGTAGAAGGCATATACAAGAGTTAATGGCGTCAAAGTCGTACGATCCTTGGGCTGCGACCTATGGTCCTTCTCATTAGAAATTCAAAATTTAGATAATTTTGGAAGTATGATACCTGAAACGAACTTGCACATGTGAACCTTTAAACTCATACCATACCCGCGACGCAACCGCCGCGAACCGTTGGAAAATTAGGGTTCAGTTGTTTTTTAGAATTTATAATTAACAATTGAAAATTGATGGCTTTGAAAGAATTCTATAAATTATAAGTACATGAGTCGGCTTCGAGCACTAGCTATTCGAGGATCGACCGATCAAGGAAATCGGCTTACATAATCTTCCGAATCGTGACAATATTAATAAGAACTCTGAGAAACTCGCTTAAGTGAGTCGCGATCCTGACAATCTGATTTGTCTAAAATACCCCGGTAAATACCCCGGTAAATAATCGAACAAAAGCTTGGCATAAGCCTTACAACCTCAGGTAAATCTGACTTGGAGCTTTTTTCAATTCAACTCAATTGAAATCATTCAACTCGACTTTATTAAAATCATTCAACTTTATTCATTCAATTCATCTTTATTCATTCAATTCAACTTATTCAATCTATATAATAATAATAATAATAATAATAATAATAATAATAATAATAATAATAATAATAATATTTAATTTTCAATTATCAAAAACAAACCGATATTCTGTTTGCACGTTGATATGTATTTAATATTTAAATTTATTATAAACTTTTTAAACCTTAAATTTTCATTAGACTATCTCGAAAAGCCAGGGGTCCGGGGGGCGCAGTGTAACGATCTGGTCGAGTGTTACGAGGGATGCGATCTAGATCACGTGGAAGTGGCCTGGATCCTCGAATGGTTTATAACTAGGTGTCAAGCAGGAGCTTTAAAGTAATATCAATGGTTGCAATTTGTAACTAATAATAAAGTATATTAAATAATTGATCTTGAACACAAAGCTTCTATATATATAAAACCCCTTTAGTTTATATAGATCTTCGTATCCTATAGATTCGTATAAACCTACGATTCGTATAGACCTACGATTCGTATAAACCTACGATTTGTATGAACCTTCGATTTGTATAGACCTACGATTTGTATCCTTATATATATAAAATCCATTATATAATCTTTAGGATCAGATTATATATCTAAGCTTGTTGAGAACAAGAAGATTATATAAAATGATTATTATACAAATTTGTATATAAATCGTTTTGCTTTTTGATAAAGCTTAAGTTTATATAGACAGATTGATTATTACCTTGTAATATTATCCCCTTTCTAGTTTAATACTGTGAGAAAGTTGGAATTATAGGCCAAATACATAAAGGTTTTAGCTAGTCAATCACATGACCTTCTGTAGTTAGATATAAAAGAAGAGCCTTTTGCCTCTTCTTTTCACAATAATCAACCTTCTACATATATACATTTGAACCCATATAGCATCAACCCCAAAACCATTGTGAACCCCGTTTTACCCATAAGTGACGTATTACAATGTAATCTAATTCAGCTTTCTCTTCCAATTCTCTCCTCACAGCGTGCTATCGGGACGCACGTATCTCGACCTACCACTTTTACAATACTTATCTCAAACTTTTATAATTGTTTTTCCTATTGTATTATAAGTTTTTGTAAAATAAACTTTTTTATTTTTTTTATTATATTATCTACAAAATCAAGAAAATATAAGGAACAAATCGAATTTGCTTTAATAATCGAATCTGAAAGATTCGAAATACCTTTGTATACTTATTACGAAAAACATTCGTATTGTTGTATTATTGTTAAAGAAAATTCTAATCGTTGTAATAAGTATATTTATCGAGGTCAACGATATAATATATCAGGGTTTATTGTTAGGGATATAATGAGTATTGTATAGAAGCAAAAATATTTAGATTATAAATATAAAAAAACTTTATCGAAATTGTTTTGTTTTGATAAACAATAATGTTTCTTTTATAAATAGGTTTTCGAAATGATTTATTGTAGTTTGAAAACGATAGATAAATTGGATAAGATAAAAAAAAAGAAAAGATTGGATAAAAAGTGTATAAAATAGAAAAAGGAACAATCGAATTCTAATTTGTTGATATTTATCAAAGTTAATACGAATTTGTTTAATAATTACAATCCTTCTTCTTTCCTAAATCTTTTGAATCCTTTTTGGGAAGGTTTGGATAACATTAATAAAATGTTTTCAACTTTTCAAAGCAATTAAGATCTTTTTTTAACTTCCAAATGTTCTTCAAATATAAGAAATCCAATTATTTAATCAAATATTTGATTTTGTTTCTGATATATTTATAATTTAGTATTGTTTCGATATCATATATGATGTTTTGTTACAAGGTAACAGTCAACCTGTCCACATGAGCTTAGGCCCCATCAAAAAGCAAGGCGATTTGTATACAAATTTGTATAGTAATCGCCTTATATGGTCTTCCCACTCTCAGCAAGTTCGGATATATAATCTAATCCCAAAGATTACATAATGGACCCTATATATATAAGGATATGAATTGTAGGTCTATACGAATCGTAGGTCTATATAAATCGTAGGTCTATATGAATCGTAGGTTTATACGAATTGTAGATCTATACGAATTATAGGTCTATACAAATCTACAGGATATAAAGATCTATATAAATCAGAGGGGTTTCATATATATAGGAGTTTTGTATTTAAAATCAATCATTTAATATATTCTATTATTAGTTACGAATTGCAATCATTGATATTATTTTAAAACTTTTGTTTGATGTTTAGTTATAAATCTTTCGAGGATCTAGATTACTTTTATATGATCTAGATTATATTCCTTGTAATATTTTGAGCATCATTATTGTTTCAAGTATTAACTCGATAGAGTAATATTATATTTTCTTAGACCCCTTAATTTAACAATTCAATTTCAACTATTTCAAAAGATATAGATTAAAATAGAGATATTGTTATAGAAGGAATAAAGGATCCTTGAAAGATTATTATTATTGAAATCTTCAAGATCATTTTACCCGACAAATTCATAAACTATCGATAAGAATTGGAAACCTTTTTATTTCAATTTGAGATTTATTTTGAATTTAATAAGGATAAGTTTTATTATAATACTGATAAAAGTATTTAGATTGCCTCCTATTTCAAAGGAGAAATCTCCAAATGGATTCAATTTTATCTTAAAGATTACTTTATTTATTTGAATAATTCTAAAAAACGAATATATTTAATATAGATTATCTTTGAAATATTTGTTAGATTCAAAAAGGAAATATAATAGATATTCGGAAATATCAATGAATTATATAATGCTAAATCTAAAATCTATAATCTCAAATAAACAAGGTTAATAATGAAATATATTGTAGAATTTAAACATTATATAGAAATTATAAGATAAAAAGAGAATACTACAATAAATCATTATCGAAAAGGATTTAAAATGAAGATCAGATTAGAATTGGATTGCAATTGTATTTGGAAAGATTTAAACGAATTAATCAAGGAGTTAATCAAGATGGATAAGATATTCTATAAATATTAAAAGGAATATCGATCCTTCAATTCTTATAGAAATCGAGATTGTAGTAAGTATTATAAGAACAAAGAAAGATTTCGAGATTATTGACAATCGTATAAAGATTCAATATAATTGAATACAATTTTCAGAAACAAGTTATTTAAAAAGGAGATAGATCGAAGATGAAAGAATAAATTGTATTTTGGATATAGTGAATTGGATTATCAATTCAAGGATTATCGAAATAAGAAATTATAAGGTCAAAAAGGTTATTATAAGAAAGTTAGATTCGGAAAATACCAATTCAATGTTATTTTTGTATTGTTATTATTTATCTTCAATATAATCGAAGATGATAATTATAAATGAAAACAATACTAAAAAGAAATCGATATAATATCTCGAGATTAGAAAGGTTTAAACGAAATAGATCGATATGAATTGAAATATCTTCGAACTTTATCATTTTTCTTGATCAAAGAAAATTTAAAAGAAATATTATTGATAGAGTATATAATGATAAACTGAATAGTTTGTTATAATGATTTTTGTAGGATTCATTTGTTAAATAAAAAAGTTATAGGATAGTTTCTTTATAAAAGAAGGAGAAGAAATATTTCGTTATATGGTTGATAAAATAATCAATTATATCAAATCGATCAAATTGATCAAATTGATTAAATCGATCAAATTGATCAAATTGATCAAAACAAGGCTACAAATTAAAGACAACTAAATATTACAGATCAGATAGAATAGATTTATTATAATACCAAAATAAATGAACAAAAAATCTAAATTATAATCGATTTAAGAATTATAGGAAATTTTATTGTATTAGGAATTATAAAGCATTTAAAGATATAGTTTCAAATGAAATAGATTTTATATCAATTGTAATTAGTTGATAAACAGTTAGTAGGATTGAACAGTAAGATTTTGTAGAAGATTTATTTAATATAAATAAATATAAATCAATATAAAGAGATCATTCAATTCGATATTGTTCTATTAGGAAATCAACAAATCATTTTGGGAATATTATAGTTAAAGGTATATAACCTTAGAATCGATTGGGTTATTGAAGTTATAAACTTTCTAAACAAAAGCGATCATTATAATATACTAGAATTTACAAGACTGAATATATACGATAGGGAATTGAAGGTAAATAATATTATCAATATAGGATATTTAATTTAGAATCCTTTATTAATAATAAAGAAAAATAAATTTTTTGTACAAATGAAGAATAAATAGAAAGAATTGTTTGATATCATTTTTGTATAAAAACAGAAAAAAACATCAATATCGATATAATATCAGAAATACAAAAAGTTATTCGAAGAAAGAAAAAACTATGAGATTTTACCAAAACACAAATTATAAAATTATAAGATAATATTGAAAGAAAATAAAACATTTCTATTCGGATTAATCTATTAGATATTGGAATTAGAATTAAAAATGTTTAGAGAATATATCGATAATATATTAAAAAAAAATTGGATCAAAGAATCAATCTTACAAATAATTAATTCTATATTATATATATCTAAGAAAGATAATATTAAAAGATTATATATAGATTATTATAAGTTCAATAATATAATAATCAAGAATCAATATTCATTTTTATTAATTACAA